TTCGAATAATTTTTTGTTAATGCCCCAATTTAAAGGGGATAATTTGTACTCCAAAATTACGCAATAGAAAATATAGGTCATCGTGCTCGTTCAAGAGCTAAAGACTATCGTACCTTTTTACCTGGTCCATTAATTAAAAAAGAATACCATGTTGTCACAATGCGCGCTTATTAGCCTGATTACGTGATTCCTATGCGCAGTACAGAATGCGCAGTGCGATACCGAGGAATCACCTCGACGCCCCTTTGTCCAGGGCAAGGAGAGAGAGGCTATGCATAAATTATTTGTCAGTGACACAAATTCGTATTGAGACAAGCTTATCGGCTTATCGTCGTCAGCAATTGCTTGCTTTTCGTAGTCTCTGTTCTTTTTATTTATATTTTATTGTTATTTTCGTTCAACAGAGAAATTCACCGCGATTTTTCTAGCTTTCATCATCGATGAAAAGCAATCAATTTACGATTATGATGTTTTATCAGAATGTGTGGCGTCCAAGTTGTCATCGCTTCCATATCACACGAAAACCGTGGTTGGTGCTCCGAGGGGATAATCATTGATAAGGTTCCTGAGATGCTATCTATTGGTTCTCCAGGCAGGCCAATTAACTCCTCGATCTTCAATTCGATGATTGAGATTTTCATCAAGCGATACTACAAAGTGGATCTCGTCTCAATGATGAGAGAATTATTAAGAACACGGCCGGAAATAGTTTTTAAGCTAGGTTTGAATGACATCCGAGGCAATCTTTCTACTCTTCCAAGTTTTGAGAAAAGGAAAGAACAGGAGCTCGAGCGACGCTAATCATATGTGGATTAAACGAGACACTATTTGAAATAAGAAACATTATCAACAACTAATAAGGGACTGGTCATCCGATCATTATCTATCACCTAGGGGATGGGGGGGGGGGTAAGAGGATTCTTTGTTGTGTCACAATGAAATTTACCTGATCCCCCCTCGAGGCTCTGTCGTATTCATATGACCCCCGCCTCATTGGCAGTCAGTTGACTGATCCCCAATCCGTTTCCTTTAAAAAAGAGTAGTAAATTAATCTTCCCAGGCTGATAAATAATTACTAGTGCCTAACAGAACACCACGCGCCATCCCATAGCTGTATTTTTCTTGTTTTCAAGCATCAGGGTTATTCAATTTTTTTTTCCTATATTAGGGAGGAAATGCTATTTACATTCAAGGATGTTCATCATGCAATTGCGGACAAATTTATTTGCAAAAGCACGACGAATGATACCTGGAAAAGGAATGTACCTGAATCTCCTTTCAAGGGAATATTATCAAAACGTTTTTTTTTTTTTGTTGTAATTATCCTCTCAGTAGTTTGAGCTAATATTGTCTCTTACTTAGAGCTGAGCGGTAGAGTTTCAGAAGTATCATACCGCGAAACTAGAATGAACTCGAGCATACGCGCACGCAAGACAGTTTTCTCTTTTCTGGTATTTACATCTTTCGTCCACTTCGACACTTTACCCACTGCGTTACTTCTCCAAGTAAACGAAAAATAATAACCTCTAGGATCTAAAGAGGTAGCCTCTTAAGAGTAAGATATTGATCGAAAGCTTTTTAGGTTGGCAAGAAGGGGGATGAGTATAGAATTCATAAAGCTGACATTTATTACACGATGTAACCGAGCATTCAAAGCTGATCTTTACAAATAAACAATAGATCAGATAACTATATTAAAATACTAGGTAGGAACAGATTATGATGCAAAATTCAGCTTTGTAAACTAGTTTAGATGAGTAATCACAATTTTTGTAACAATGCGACAACACTATTCAGTAGAAAATGGCATGATAAGTGGCGCAGTGTTACATTTATTTTTGTGCAGATTAGTAACTGCGGAAAAGGCAGTAGTTCCTTTGACGAGATTTAAAAACGCATTTTAAGCAAGGTTCAGTTTTGTTTTTAAGTCTAATGATCCCGAATATTGCGATTTCAGTAGAGTAACCCATTAACTTCAAGTTAAATTGGTGAGAATCCACAAATAATGTAAAAGCAAAATGATGACAATTTTTTGCAAACCAGTTGAATTGAACCGAGGTATTGTAACGATTTTAATGAGATTTATGCAATCACCCTTCCTTCACTCTCCTTCTTATCATGCTGTCCTTGGTTTTTCCCAACGTGCTTTGTTATTGCATGCAATTTTCCTTTCGTTTCTCTCTACACCACCATTGTTAGTGCTTCTCGGTTTCGAAAATATTTTATCAAGTCGCTCTTTAGGAACATTTGAGTTCTTTTACTATGCATGTAAGATGACCGATCGGTTTTACCAATATTCTCTTTTCCTTTCATTTTTCTAAAGATATTTGATTGGCTCTGACAGATTTAAACAAAAGTAGGTTATATAATAGGAACTGTATGAGGCTAGGAATAAGCCAACTTTCAAAAAAAAAAATTGTAATAAATAACCTAAGGGAAAGCGAGGAAATCTGCGGTTAATTTTACAGCTTCCTGTTACGGATGACGCTAAAGGAGTAGCTATTTTAGTATTTTAAACAATTTTTTTATGTTAAAACTCTAAGCTTCTTTTCTCGGGCGCACCAACATGATCAAGATAAAAAGAAGTAGAATTCTTGAAGCGCCTCTCAATACTTCTTTAAAAGCTTTTACAACACTTTGCGCTTTGATCAGACTGCGTGTCATAGCCTAGCCTAGCCTTTTTACAGACGCCATGTAATTTCAGAAACAAGGCTAGACCACAACACCGGCTAAACCCTTTCTCGTAGTCTGCGCAACCGGATCAAGAGAACTTACGTCATCATCGTTACGCTTCCAATGTCGTCACTAATATTTCCACCTTCGTGGTAACCTTTATCTGTTTCACTTTGCCCTTCAGGTATTTGATGTTTGCTTCTTTCTCGCCATTTCGTCACCTAATAAAACCAAAATATTGATGGATATACAGGCTTATAAGGCTATATTGAGGCTCAAAAATGGAAAGTGCTTCATCAAACAAGCGTACGGGAAAACAATAAAATGAAATGTTACCCGGCCTCTGAAAATATTCTCTGTTTCTATCTCTGTTAAGTCATGAAACTTTTGAGAAACACGCCAAGCCTTGACTGCCCTGGTCAAACAGCATATTTCCGAAAGCAAACTGTGCACGTGCACCCAAATCACTCCGAAATCGGCTGGGAAACGTTAGTCAATCGTTCTTTTTTTTTTTTTTTTTTTATTTTTTTTTTTTTAAGGACTTACAATAGCTAGGTCAGAGAGTCTCCGTGAGTATATTTTCTTGCATCAGGTTATGTTCACCATCTGCTTTCCCTTGGCTACACTGGGAGACGAAAAAAAAGAGTGCAATTCAGTGAAGCTCTTTGGACGTTATTGTTATTGCATTTCTGTGAGTTTGGGCATTTTATAGAAAATAACGAACATCTCAACGGTCAATTGAGGTTTTGATTTTTTTATGGATAGAAACAATTAAATTTGTGGAAGTTTTTCACTCACAATATTTACCAAATGTCATGCGAGCGACCTAGATTATGTGCACTAATAAGAAGATTTATCCTTGAGAAGTTCGCGTGACCTTCACGGAATGGTGCTCACGAATGATATTGAGCACTCAAGATGGTGAGTTATTATACGTCATGATCACGAAAGCGTTACCGTGGCCCGTGGGCAGAGATAGGAAAATACTGACCGGGTAAAGAACCAATCAGATTGCAAGATTCGTTACCGTGCCCTCTAAAAAAAAAAAATTGTGTTATGTTTTGTATTCTATGAATATCGATGACCGCAACTTGAAACGTTGAAGAAATATTATGGAGGAGTTTACTTTTGGGATTCAAATGTTCTCACGCAATACTTGATCAAATAGTCTGGATCACCATGATATATTCTCTTATTTGGGGCACTAAAGTCTGGTTCCTGTCAGTTACATGACAAGTCTGCATTGTTATCCCTGTCTCGTCCCCAGAGCTCATTACACTTAGCGCAAGACCTCTGGGAGATCCCACTGAGGAAGAAGTTGTAAATCCCATTCTCGGAATATTCGTGACTCTTGGCGCCTGTGGTGTCGTATCTCCGACATCAACTCTTGTTAACCAACGAATTGCAAAAAAAAAATCATTTCGTTTGCAGTAATGTCAGCTATCGAATACAGCAGCTTACTCTTTGAAGTAAGTCAGAGACTCGACGAATTGAATATGCTGAAGAAGCTGCTATTTATGTGCAGGAAGAAGCTACCTCGTGGCAGCAACATCGAGAATGCCCTGGCGTTGTTCCAGACATTGGAGGAACAGAATTATCTGGGAACTGATCGATTGAAGTTAGTGAAAGAGCTTTTGGAAGAGGTTGGAGAGTGGTCCCTTTTAGAAAAAGTGAAAACGTTTGAGATCAAAAGAAAGAAGTATAAAGCTTTGCTTGAAAAGGCTAGGTGTGCACTCGACGAACTCAATGATCTAGAGCGGCTGATCACGATTTGTAAAGGCAAAATATCAGAAGAAAGAGAAGAAAACATCCAAGATGTTCAGTCGTTGCTACAAAGACTAGAAGATGAAGAGATTCTGGGAATAAGCTGCCTTGACATTTTGAAAGATCTTCTGGCAATAACAGAGAAAGGCGATTTGCTTCAGGAAGTGGAAAAGTTCGAAGAACGAAGGAATCGGGAAGCTAAATTTAAAAGTCAGAAAGGTGAGCTTGAGGCTGCTTTCTTGTTTTTATAGATGAGTTAGCCACTACACCGTTATGATTAGTATGAATTTTAACAGTTATGCCAGTTTGACTATACTTTCATCATTCCTGTCATGTTCTGTTTTGTTTTTGAACACGGAACGCGAGTGCTAGCTGTGCTTGATTTTTATTACCGTACGTAAGCTTGCAATCTAACTGAGTGTGGAAACCTTCAAAGTCGGAGTGTCCATTTCGTTTTTCGTCACTGCTCACGTTATTATAACGTCAAATACGGCGCGTGACATGTTTAAAAACATTTGTTTGGATCCTCTGTTGTTATGTTCCGAAATTTTACTTGCCATTAACGAAAAAAGCTAAAGAGAGGTCTGGGAAAGGATCGGACATAATACAACCTGGCAGATGGCGTGACAGCTTTAGCTCTCCTGCTCTATGTTTTATACTCTGATGGAGCACGCTGTTACATCTAATGACAGCGCGCGTCATATCCGAAATTTATTAGAAGTTAAAAACTTTATTCGAAGTAGACAACGCTGACAAGTTGTCAACAGAATTGAATTATTGTTTGGAACATCATGGTGCTGTTAAGTCAATTAAATACCAGTATCAAAGAACTTAAGGTGCCATAGAGAGTTACCTGTAGAAGCACAAACATTAGTTTGTTAAATTTCAAGGTCACTGTTGCTTATAAACTGGACAGTCTTCAGGCTTAAGAAATTTTGGCACCATTTTAAATGACTGAGTAATGGTCTGACTGCAGTCACTAACAAAATTCAATGTGTTTATGCATAATAATTTTAAAGCTCATCAAACAATCAAATCAGCAGACTAGAATTACTGTAATGTTGGCTAATTAGAACTATGAAGTCAATGAAAATATTATGAAAAGGTACTTCATGAGTAAGAGAGAGCTAAACTGAATGTACATGTGGTTTTGTGGGAGCCCTGGAAGAAATTCTTGAAATTTTGGTGGATGCATAAATTTTTAGTATTTTTTTAGTATAATAGATTTGAGTTTTCCCTGCATGCCAACATGCAAGAAATTTCTATTGGCCAAGAATACTGCTACATGTCAATCTTCCGTTCTGGTTTCTTCTCAAGGGAGATGCACAGAACATTAAATAGAAAATGTTCAAGGTAAAAACTAGGTAGCTGTGCCACCTTAACTCTTAACATCAAACTTCCAGAAAAATCTCTAGCCATACAGGAGGTATTCACAGGATAGTCTACAAGCACCATTTGTGCAAATCAGTATATTTATTGAAAAATTGAAAGAATTGTTAAGATAGCTAACCTTTGATCAGATAGAATATAACATCAATGAGTGAGTACAGGTTTTTTGGGCAAATGTTACATTCAAATTCTGACTTATAATTTCAGGACGAGCAGCTGCTTATGTAACATCTATTGCAGACTGGATTAAAGGTATTTATTTAAAATTAGACTTTCATCATTATATATAACAGTTTATTTATTTCCTAATTACATTCCACACTTTTCTAACAATACAATAGTTACATAAGACATGTGCACAATTCTGTGTCAATATTAGCTTATACTTTATTGATTGATTATTGCTGCTGCTCTATTACCGATTTCATCGGCAAGAGTTATTACTCTAAGCTTATAATCAAACGTAAAACTGTGACGTGGGCGTTTCACAGCAGGCATTTTAACTTAATTGGTGACTCGTAGATACACTTATCGCGAATGATCGAGGTTTATAATTCTTATTCAGTCAGTTACCTTTTTATAGCATGTAGGAGCGTAATGAGCAATATCCATTGTTCATTTGTCGTTAAAATACTTTTTCAGCGCGAAATTAGTTAAGTTTCGCACCTATTATTTTCAACATTCTGGTGATGCATTTGGGATTTAAAATTACTGTCGGCAATTTCTCAAAAAAATCGATATCTCCTGTTCTACTGGGCCTAACAAGTCCCTTAAAACGGGAAAATTCTCTTTAGCTCAAGCTAGTGAAAACTGGAAATTTGTTACTGATGCGCCGGATATCCTTGGATTATTTTTGTCACCATCAAGGTTTTGTTTTCACGCGTGCCGATAAAAATTTGTTTGTCACGCAACTAATTATGCGTGAAATAAACTCGAGTTGGCATCATGTTTTCGTGCCGCTTTGTGGCACTTTTGATACAATAAAATTCATTTGAGAGGTGGAAACGCAGGTAGGTGAGAAATTTTTTCAATTCAACTTCCAGAAGAATTTAAAATTGTCACATAACCCGCACCTCCCTATTACCCGCAGTGGCGCGGATTTAATGCAAAATCAACAGATTACCCGCGGGTAATCGACCGGAAATTACGGTAACTCGAAATTCATTATTTGCTTAGTCAAACAGCTAGCTAACATATGTTGCTTGAGTGGGCATTTTTTCTACCAGCTTATTTCTTAAGTTAATCAAAGACTGAAATAGTACTTGAGCAGCTTTAAGTGTGACATCTAAAATAATACAAGTATGGGCCAAAAACAAATATAATATGAGCTGAACTTTTGATCTAGTCTTGGTCACACATGGGTGTTAATTGGCTAAGAGGATTTAGGGAAGCTACCTGGCCTTATGTGAATGGTTTTATTTAAGAATAATTAACCCATTTATTTTTGGCCACTGTTTGGACATTGATAAGTTGATCTGACTACATTAACTTTAAAATCATTGACCAAATGGGCCTTCTATATAGTTTGATGTTAATTGATATTATCATATAATGATCAATCATCAGTCATACAAAGCTCTTATTACTACTGTTTGTTATCCTTAATTTCAATTGTTTAATTAGCCATAAACAGTAAGTGTACCCAAAGCTGGTTCTTAGCTTTCTGTTTTAATATCCAATTATATGTATGTAATCAACATTGCTCCCACATGAAATCTTACATTTGTGCCTTGATAATAGAGTGTGTGGTAAAGATTAGATTTATCCATATGTTTGAAGTAAAACTAGGTAGAGAGTTAATTTGACTTAGCCTTTCAGTAATCCCTGCTACTAGCAAATGTAAATTGAAACTTAATGACTGACTCTTGTATTTTACTGTTTCATGAACAATTATTCTACAGAGCTGATTGCTTTTAAAGTTTTAACCAGTGAAAGGAGTGGGAAAATAGAATTCTCATTTCTAGGCCCTGTTCTAAGGTTATTTTTTTTCCCTCTCCTTTTTTCCTTTACCTCTCACAAGATTTCAAACTGATAAGTTTCTCTGGTCCTCAAAATATGATGTTCTCATTAGCTGATGTATATTTAATTTTTTCTTCTTTAGGGGGGGTAGGTGAACAGGTTCTTGGGCTGATTGGGTTCACTCTATCTATGTTTTCACTCGCAGTAATTTGTTTTGAGGGTGTCTACCTTATTGGCTGGGAAAGGGGATCCCAGTACCAAGTTTGATAGACTTAACACATGCAAACTGAAACAAACCCTATGTGATGAAACCCACACTCCCCACCTCATGACTTTTTTCCAAAAATGCTTAACTGAAAAAAGATCAATAAGAGTATACAGAGTAATAACTTTCCCTTGGAATGACAGGGGTTCTGTCAGAAGCTGCTGCATTTTGGCCCTTTCTGTATAGCTTTAAATTTCAAAGGAAGTCAGTTGTGGAAAGTTGAATTGATAAGAGATTTCCCTATTCATTTTTCCACATTTTTGTTTTCAGCACCATGTGTAGGAGGTGTGTCCTTTGTGGTAGAGAACTTAAAAAGAGGTGAGTCACTGAAGGCCATGTGGCTGAGTGGCGGTGGTGCTAGACTCATATTCTGATGATCCCGGGTTCAAGCCCTCCACCCTTCTATGCCCTGGATTTGTTGTCAGTTGCCCCAAGTTCAACTCATTCGCTGTGTGCTGTATATAGCCTACTGGTCTGCCTCTGGCTAGCTGGGATTGTTAAAAACTATGTTTTTTTTTTCAGTATCTGTGTCCATTTTTGATTATCATCATAAAGTTAACTGATTCTCAACAATTGCCACCAAGCGATTATAAACTAACTTCTTTCTCTTGTCTGAGTAAACTTTTCGTGAAATGCTGCAAAACTCTGCAGCACACAGTGTCTGTACACATCCATCCTAGTGCCATTTGCTTCCCAAGCAAACCAGAATTGTCATGGTCGCACGCATTCTATTCAGTGTGTGGGCGTGTTACGCGTGAAATAAATTATATGTATGTGTGTAATAACCATCTCCTGAACTATTTGCCAATTGTTGTGCTTTTTTTCAACAGGTATAACTTTGGTGTGTAATTTTCGTACCGTTGCTGGTGGTCTTCTAACGGTTAACAGTGGCATGGCTCTGCAAAAGTGCTCTAGTCGCCAGGACTACCAGGAGACCTTTGAAAAAGTTGTATTACCTTCATCCAACAAACTGATTGAGATCAGTAATGGTTCTGTACGCTTCACGGTAGAATCTGAGAATTTGATTGCTTTGAAGGAGTTATGGGAGATTTACAAAGATGGAACATTGCAGAGTCGTCTTCAAGAATTCCTAGTCACTTATGAAATTAAGGAGCTTGCGAATGGAGAAGACATTGAGGTGACAGTGTTCATTGATGAACACGAGTATAACGAAGCCTATTTCAATTTGTTTTTACTTCATCAAGGTATGCTTGTAATGATAAAAGGTAGTCATATGCCATGTAAATAGTGGCTTGTATTTGGAAAGCTTCCTTGCACATGTCAAAATGTAAATGTAATTTACAAGTGCATTTCAATTGGCCAGGTTAATTTGGATGGTTCTGGTACTACAGGCAAACTGAGTAATACGTAAGAACCAATCCGCATACAGTCTTTCTTATTGAAACAGTTAAATCCATAATCAAATTTCTGAATTAGTTGTCGCTGGCCCAAAGAAGCACCTGAATTATTGATCAGCTGATTAGTGACCGTCAACAACATATGCAAATGAAATCTGAAATTTCGGAACAGAGCATGTTTCTTTTTTAAATGATCTGTGTGATCGGTCATCGCCAAATTATTGGAGGCATTTGAAATGTCGCAATAACGTTACAGTTGACGTCTTAGGGTTCTCGAGCAGTCTGGTGGCGTCTTTCCCTCATTTTTTTTGTAGCGCTTATTTTCCAGCTTTTTCTCCATCCCTCCCCTCCCTCCCCTCCCTCTATTTTCCTGACACGTACATAGCCAGAGTTTACAGAAGCCTGGATTAAGGCCTCATGGCTGGGTTGCTCAAGAACATTAATCGTAATTTTATACATGGTTTAAAATTTAGACAGCATTTTACCATCAACGAATCTTTCTTGTAAAGGATCAATCAACTTCAAATCAAAGTACATTCTAATTGTTCTTGTTGGTTAATTCTTCCTTTAGCGCCAAATGTTGAAGAGGAGGAACGGCCTGGACGAAGAACTCGAAGGAATTCTGACTCTTTTCTTTGCGTCAAACCCAATGAGAATGAGATAGGCTTGATGAAGCTAATGGAGGAAACAGAAGACAAATGGGGGGAAGAGAAAAAAATGCTTGAATTAAGGATCGTAGAGCTTGAGGAAACTTTGAAGGCGGAAAGGACGAGAGATCTGGATCGTAAGCATTTAAGTACCTCGTTACACTTAATTTATTTTTGCAAAATGTATAGGGGATCACTGGTAAAATAGTGGGTAGCGTAAATTTCTTGCAAACATACAACTGTCGTATTGCATTAGAAATACTTTTCATGTCCTTCCCACGAATTGGGTCAATTGATTCTTCCTGGGACAGAAAACCAGGTGAAACATAGCGGAAGCATCTATTTAACCAAATTCAAATAAACGTTAACTTAATCTGGGCCATAGGTGAGTGATACCGTTGTTACCGTAAGCAAGCGTGATGTAGAACCAGCCTTAAGCAAACTGAAACATTGTTTGCTGTGGTTAACTTGTAAGTGCTGTCGCTCTTTCTTAGGTCCATGACTAGCAAGTGATTTCAGCCTACTGTCATGGTGTTCAGTTGATCTTAGAAAATAAGGAAGTCATCATACATCACAGAACTTTCGTTTGATAAAGTTTTATAAAAATAATTACGAAGAGAAAAAACGTCAAATGTCATGCACAGTAGGAATAGATTCTGGAACTTGAACCATTATTAGAAAATTAAAATTATGTTTTATACCTGTCTTACCTCAGTCAGCTTACTTGCACTGCTTGTTTTGCGAAACGCCTTATGCTAATTCATTCGGGTAACAAGAACAACAGCAATAAAAATCGCCAGCTTCATCGTTTTTAGCGAAGGAGGGAACAATGTGAGAATTTTTGAACGCCTTTTGTTTTGAACAGTTTATTTTGAACAATCCGTTGTTATTCGAATGAACTGAAAGATATTTTTATAGTTATATGTCAAAATTCATTTAACGTAACTGAGCACACACGAACCTTTAGTATGGTTCGATGTCAAAGTCTTACTGAAATGTCACATATGTTCCATGTTCCAGAAGGATAATAATTATGATAAATACATCTATCGACATGGCAAGCCTGGTTAAACCAAAGAGAAACCCTCTTCCTTCACAATCATTTGCCACAAGCAAGTCACCAAAGTATTATTTTTGGAAATAAGCAAAATTATAGATAAAAAGGAGGTGAACTACTTATTTTGATAAACTTTTAAATCGTTTCATGAAAAGGTCTTTTAAGTGTAATCACTACCAATCGTACCCCTCAATTTTGAGCTATTTCACTTCACTGTTTTTTCTGTTTCAGAATACGAGATTCTCGAACGTCCACGCAAAAGAGGTCGAAGAAATTCTGATTCCAATCTGTATTACAAAGCAAGAGAAGAGGAGGTTGAACAAACTGAAAACCAACCAGAGCGAGCTTTAGAGGGTGGAGCACAATTGGATTTCGACAAGCGTATGTTCGTAGAGAATTATTTACAGAATATCCATGAAACACACAGCATGACGACAGAGACAAGTGACAGCGGAATAAGAACACTTGGTACAACATCTGAGATAGAAATGCAAGACATAACTGGTAATTATTTCATTTTAGTCATGGCATGTCAGTCCCCAAAATGTTTGGTAGATAGCAGTGTGACATTTCAGCAGGATCGTAAAACACTGAGTTACTCCGCCAGCACATGTAACCTACAAGGGAACTTTTCTGAGGTTAGAGGTGGAAAGAACTTCAGGTCTCTCGACAAGATATCTAGTTTACAAGAGAATTGAAATAAATGAGCGCTTTAGGAATTAACGAGATTCTGGATCGAGATCGGGTGTTACTAAACCGCAGATCAGCAGAACGCGGAACCCGCGGAACCCTATATTTTTTGTGAAAGAATAGTAATGAAATGAAATATAAAACTATAAGACCTTAACACTGTTTGAAAGTTCGCTTTTGGGTATAAAGATGTTTAGTTTGAAAGAAAAGCATGTTTTAAATGTCCTTGACGTCCAACTTTAACTGTGGTGACATTCACCGTAAAAGAGTATGTAATGTTATAAGGAGCAATCAACAGTCACCCACCCCGAGTGTTAATAATTGAACCATAATTTGAAGGCTCTAACGGTTTGGGTACCGCGATATCCGAGTAGAGACTCATCCGGAGGCTCTCAGCAAAGCTTTAAGATGGAATTAACGGCCTTAAATTCGTTTCATTGTACATGACGCTGGAGTGAGGAACACGAACGTAAAGTGACATCATCGCCTGTGATGCATTGTTATCGCGAAACTTATTGTCATATTGTTTTCTAGGTGTATTTTGTTTACGCGTTAATTCCCTGCAAGTGTGTTTACGTTTCTTTAGTTGTATCGTGTACTTGTGGTGGATGTTTGTGACTTTTATGAGATCTTACGTAATTATGTCAAGTAATTTGTCAGGTTTTGAGTATAAACGTAGTCTTGTGGATCAGTTTTTTGTCCACTTTTAAGAAGGAGCGTCGTCGTTTTTGCCTTTAAAGCTATGCACCGCATTAAGGTAAATATTTTTCTTTATTGTGAGTTTATTTGTAAGTTTTCGTTCTCTTGTATGTATTTTCTTACTTGTGTTTAGTACGGTAGGCGTTTGATGTTTTTAAACAAATGATAAGCACGCAATTACGCGTGACTTCGGTTGCATGCCTTTAGAATTTGGGGTGATAAGGATGTCCAGACTCACGAATTTACATCGTTTTGTTTCCAGTGGATTCGTTTGATTGGCGTTACTCACAGACATATCTTGGAAAGGGTTATGAGGAGGGCCAAGCAGATAAACTAAAGCAGAACTAAATTTCCCCAAATCAGCCCAAAAAATTCACGCGCTGCAAAAGAACAACCACTTGAGTGGGATAAATTTATCCTTATTCAAAACTAGTCCAGATATTTTAAAGGTTGAGAGCGCGAATGTTCATTTCCATGCAGATGCTTGTATTTCACCCATTGCGCAACGTAAACATATTTGCATATTGATAGAGGCTCACTGTGTGAGCTTAGGTTTCCTGTGGTTTGACGTCAAGGTAGTTAACAAAAAACCATATTTCTCCTTAACGTTATCTTCTTTATACCCGAAAACGAAATTTCGAATAGTGCTAAGGTATTTTTAGCATTTATTTCCTTTCATTATTACTTTACAAAAACTAATGATTCCGCTGGTTCTGGAGGTCCGGGAGGTTCCGCGGTCTGTTGATCTACAATTTAATAACACCCATCGAGATCTTGCTTAATGATTTTAAAGTACAAAACTGATATCAATTGAGCACCAACACCTCTATTTCAACAAAACCAAAAGTGGAAGAGAATTGCATCCATCAATTTGTGTTGAGCTTTCATTTAGTTGCTCTTTGCCATGTTCGATTTCGCGTAGGAGTGAACGGTGCTACCCTCATAAAAAAATTATGATAATGATAATAATAAGAGTTTCCCCCCTTTTGTTTTGAATTCTTCGTATGTTGGTATTGTTTATCTTTTGTCAGGCGGCGACCACAATCTTTGCTGGAAAGATCTCAGCAAGGGAGTAATTAGCGAACTGGACACAAGACTGAACGGCGATCAAACTGCATTTAAACAAATATGCCAGTCATTTGGAATGGATAGTTCTCTGTTCTTCGCTCGGGCAAGTGTATTTAGTAAAATTCTCGGTATGTTTCCGGACACACCTGTTAAGCTTTTAAAAGAAGTCTTTGAAGCTTTACAGTTATATGACCTGATTGATTTGCTTGAGGAAGGAAAACCACGAGCCACAAGATCGTTGCGACCCGCTCTTCGTTTACAGGAAATAGAGAAATTAAGGAATCCTGATGATCTTCCCATATCTTATCACAGCAGTGCAGCTGTTCTGATTATTGACAGTATGGAGACTTGCGACACTGAGGGGATTGAGAAGTTTTTTAAAGATTTTAACTCTAAGAGCGAGGTAACTGTGGTGCGCTGTAGAAACTTATTTGAACTTATCAGACAGAGAGAGAGGGAACATTTCTTTCAACCTTTTCCAGTGCTGCCGAGTAAAGACGTAGAGAGAGAGATAAACAAACTGGGATCAACTTCTTCAGAAGTCATACAGAGTTGGAAATCCAATGAAGGTTGGTGAAAATGTATAAACGGAAATTAACATGAAAAAGACACAGTCGTGGTGGTATGTCTGCACACCACGAAACTGACACCAATTTAATAGTTAAGCTAAAGCTAGACCTGCGTGGCCTTCATTACGGGTTTATGGTAGGTGCATAACTTATTGGTGATTTACAACACTTGAGGGCATAAACACAAACTTTGTGTTTATGCCTTCCTCTACGAGAACGGTATTATGGTTGGACTTTGCACAATGAGATCCTCGCCCATAAGTTAACAAGTTTCTTTGAGGATTGAAGACTTAACACTGGTCTAAGAATCGATAAAAATCACCAGGAACAAGGGAATATTTACCAGGAGAACAGAAGTCCTTTTAACGTATTCAGGCAAGGAGAGCTAAGCGCGAGACAAGCACGAAATGAAAGACACGCGCGTGCTCCTCCTTTCGCGTGCGACTCACTTACCCTTCGCGCTCTCCTCGCCTTCATCTTGTGTTTATCTCCGCCCGCTGAAAAAAATATCTCAGAATAACGCCTGCTCTTCAGGCGAGGGAACAATTATTTTCCTAATTCATGTCGCTCGTGATTGAAAACAAATCTGTGCTTGATTCTGTTTAATTTAATGGCATTGCCCTCAGTTAAAATGAGTCAAGGGGTCTTTTTTTCGGGGAAGCGGCCATGATAGATACTGAGAAATAATTCCCATTAACATAGATCAGCTTGTGGTCTTATATTTGTTACTAAATCTTTAATAGTAAACTGTAATTCTTGGTTGTAGTTTTACATTTTGCGTTCATTTTTCAATTTATCCTCAGATAAATTTTCGTTATTTGCTGTAATTTTCAACCTCCATCGGAGCCTTGATCCGTACCAGCTAGCAGAGATGGTAGTTTTCCCTGTAAAGGAGAGGTTGGTCACCTTATTTCCCACAAAAGTGAAATTGATTATCCGACCTTTTTATGAGGAGCCAAGAACAGGGTTGCACGAAAACCTAGTTGACGTGTGTACTAGGTGTGAAGATGGTGGTTTCCTAACTTCGATGCTGGAGATTTTTACCAGACGCTGGCAAACGATGGACCTTATATCAATGATGAGAGAATTAAAGAGGTCTTTAAGAAAAAAGAAAAGTAAACATATAAAAGGACGGAGACACAGACTTTATGGAAGAGAAGACATCACGGTAATAGCTCGGATTGAGGAAAATTTGTCGTGTATTGTAAGACTCAAAATGCATGAAGAGCCGACTTATTAGTAATAGTATTAGGCTTCTTTTCAGTTTGATCGGATTTTTAGTTCGATCGTCTCTAATTATGACGGCATTTTGTCGAGGAGGCAGCTATGCTAAATACTGAGAAATAATTCCAACTAACGTAGATCATCTGAGGATGCTACTACTATGTTTATCATTGTGTTGGTTTGGCTGGTACTAACGTTTACTTGATGAGGAAGCTGACACTTTGTATTTTTTGTAAAATTTGCTATCGGAGAACTTTCCTTTTTTTACTGAATTTTTTCATCTGCGATTGGCCCTTTTCTTTCACGACCGATTGAAATCAGTTTTTGACGATCAAATTCAGAGGTTGGTTTCTGCAATCCCCGCAAAGGTGAAATTTGTCATCAGTCCGTTCCGTGAAGGGACTGTTGAGGTGTTTACTGATTTAAGTGGTCTGGCTTTGGTGACCTCGATGCTGGTTCAATTTTAGAGAGAACCCACTTAGTAAGCCGTAAGTGTGGACCAGAAGGGTGATGGGTATTTTTTATCTTTTTTGTGGAAAAGAGGTTCTAGCTTGGTTGTCTTTCCATACGAAGGTAACCTTGATCGGCAGATGTTAGTTTTCATTCATGGCGTTTGCCTCGACCGTAAACCTCATGCCAAACCTTGCAGACTTTTCAACAATTACATTAAGATTGTGGTATAAGTATAGCAAATCGCACGTACTCGAGTGTATATCGTGACAAATAGTCACGAATGACTATGTAAAAGTTTTCGTTATTACTCGAATTTTTGAAGACGGTAATTTAAGATTTCTTTTTACGAGTTATACATTTACCTTTTAGTGGATAAGCATTCTTTTTTGCAAACCATTTAATTTACTTTCATTCAGTTCTGTCTAGGTTCGGTTCGGTGCAGTGTAGCTCGAAAGTAAGGCAGCATCATGACACGTGAACCATTGTGGACCACTGCGTATTGTTATGGTGGAACGTTTTGCCGTATGGCTAGAAATCGAGGTCAGTCAGCGGCTGATGTCGCGGACGCAACACGAGCTGCGTTTCACCTTACAGCACAGGCTAAAGAGGGACTTTCAATCCCCAACTTCCATTTTAAAAATGAATCAAATGGAGGTGTATCAGACATTTTGCAGCGCAGATAACTTCTTTATTATTTTCTTTCCGAGATATTGCTTGAGAAGCTGTTAAAATCTTGTCCAAGTAAGAAGCTTACTATTTTGTTTTTCAAGTCAAATTATTTTCGCGCCAATGCTGCAATCTATTCAATCTTTGAGCCTTCAGTAGCTACCCTGTAGCGGTATTGTCCATAACAGGCTAGGTTACTATGTTTTTACAAAATGGCGATCGAAGAGTTCTTAGATATGTTTTCAGATCTTATAATTTTAGTTTTTGAGTCAACGTCTCTACTGGGAACAATACCCATAAGAAAAAATTTTTTTTAGACTTTTGGAAGTCGTTTGGCAGCGTGGATTCACACTTTTATGACTTCAAATAGCCTTCAATTAGAAGGTCGGCTTTCGAAGAGATCGAACAGACGTGGGCAATTGATAAAACAACCCTTGTTGTGGCTGCAGGAGAAGCTTCAGCTGACCAACATAAGCCATTTTAAGACACTTAGGGCACCAAAAAGGTTTAAAGTTTCTTCGACTGGGACAGATCGTAACGAAATCGTAAGAGTTTGAGAACGGAGGTGAGTGATCTGGACACTCTTCTAATACATTTCAGACGAAGGCATTTTTAGTACACGCTTCCAGAAAATTACTGTGTCTGATTTTCAAAATTTTCCCACAGAAAGTCTTATGCAGCCGCCATATTTAAACTCTGTAATTTGTCTTTTATGCGCATGCTTAGCCGCCATGATGTCTTCGATTTCTAGCCATGTTTAGCTTTCTATGACAAGAACAATTACAGACACTTTGGGAGCAAAATTTTGCTTTTGAATTTTTCATTTTTTTCTTCAAAATGCTCGACAGAGTAATTATAGAGATGGGCTGTGAACATACTCGAGTCCGAAGGGGAACAAACGAGCAACTTACATTCAGTCGCGTCGTTTATGCGAAATATGGTTTGTGAAATTTAATACAACCTGTGTTTTTTTCTTTGGAATGCAACACGTGCTTAAATGAAATAAGTGTGTCCAGTTCACGGTATTCATGATTACTTAAGTGCACGCTTAACCTTTGTTTAATTTTCTACAACTCCTTAATGGCAGCCTACATTCCAACTGTAAGAGGACGTAGAACAATGGGTTGGTGTTTCTGCTTAACCAGCCCGAGAACAACAGGTGCTTGTGCTGAAAACCACTTTAAGCGATGTTTTACCGGGGTGTGAAAACTTGTGTACTCGTTCGGATTTGAACCCATGACCTCTGTGATATCGGTGCAGCGCTCAACCTACTGAGCTAACAAGCCAACTGGGTCATTATCATGATTATCATTATCATAATTATCGTTATGGTGAGATGGTTTATTTGGACCCAACATAATGACATAATTAGCTCAATTGGTAGAACGCTGCCCCGTTATCGCAGAGGTCATGGTTCAAATCCCGTGCGGGCCTGAAAATTTTTTTTTCAGGTCTTATATCAACTATTAGTTCAGTAGTGTTCATAGCTGGAGGATCTCTTATATCACGGCAGTGCACATATATGATTTTCATATATCCACAGTTGGCTTGTTAGCTCAGTTGGTTGAGCGTTGCACCGGTATCGCATGCGCAAAGGTCATGGTTCAAATCCCATACGGGCCTGAAAGAAATTTTTTTTTTTAACTACTAGTTCAGTAGTGTTCATAGCTGCGAGGATCGCTTATATTCGTCTCTTCACCGCAGTGCACACATATGATTTTCATATGTTCACAATTATTATTCGTCACTTGTATACTCATTTAAAAGTGTGAAGCTCAAATTAAAAATCAGACGAGTCTGCGAAAAGTAATTTTAAATGTGGTAAACACAGCTTTAATTTTTTTGAAATGGTAGTTTGAAGTCATGGTACTCAACTCACTAGGAAATATTCGACGATCGCTCAAACAAACATTGTCCTCTAGAGAAGTGCGGATCATAATCATATGACTTTTTTCTTGCACGAAAACTAATGAAAAAACATTCAGTATTATGTTTACGTGTTAGGAAAAAGAAGAAAACATTATTCATTAGAAAGAGGTTATCGTGGTTATCATGTTCAAATAATAACTTCTGTCCTTTCGCAGAAACCTCTCCCCCTGGAAAACGAATTCTAAGTGAATGAGGTTTCAAAACCTTTCCTCCCCACCCTTGTTACCGATCCAGTCCTCGAGCTCTGTTCGAGTGCTAGCCTTGACGTTAAGCTGGCAACACTTTTAGTGGCGAGGCCAGATCTAAGGCGAGTGAAGCTCAATCTCAAGCAAAAACCTTGCGATCAAGTGTTTGTTGTGTCAATGCACCCAATGCAAAGCAGTGCGTGACAAAACTGAGCTTACCAAAACAGTCCTGTTTTACTAAACAACATTCTCCGATTTACTGGCGTGTCAGAAACTGCCCTCCCATCCCCTAAACTTTGCGGAACAGTCATTCCAACCTCAAACCTCACATGTAGGTATGTCATGAACCGTTTAACATGTTCAGACTTGGTAACTAATTAATTAAACTTAATGGATCAACGTTGCACTCATTAGATCTGAAGGATCATTCGTCATGAAATTCCCAGCTTGAATTGGATAAACGGGACACTGATTTTAATGAGACAGATCCATGAATTCAATAATCTACCATGAATTGCATTCTGGCTGAATCTTGATTCATCATGGTGGACAAGTTTGATGTAGATGAACAATGCCAATGCCTCAATTTCGATTCCAGGCAAACTAATCTTGATTCTGATTCAGTATGATTACGCTATTAAGATTTTGCTGATACCTTTTTGCTGATGGTGTGTCTTCCATAGGATGATAATTCTGCGAGTTCGGGTATTGAGTACAAATCACAGCGAAGAACTTACATCTGAACGTTTGACTCAAATTCCTCTTTCAAGAGCTAAAACGAAAGAAATATTGAGAGTTTTTTTTTTATCTCAGATATCTTGATAAATGTCTCTTCAGGTACTTAAACCCTATCCACCTTTAACAGTTAGCTCGCGTGACTTTCGCACACCGTCGGTTTTCGAACATCACGAGAGCTGGTGGTTAGTCAAGCAACACTTTACGTCACAATTCTTCCGCCTGTGTCCGCTATGTTCGTCGGCTAACAAGCATTAGGGAAACTCTGCTTCATCTTCGCGCTACAGAAGACCCATATATTCATAAAATATGTCTAAACTGGAGTATAGTGACCTTATATTTAGAATAGGAACGAAAATTGGCGCAAACGAATTAAAAAGATTGGTTTTTATGTGCAGAGAGCAGATCTCAGAAGACGGTAAAGGAAAGGTCAAATTATTGCACTCGAATTAATTGGAGAACTTGAGAAACAGGGTAACTTTGGAATCGACCGGTTAGGAACGTTGAAAGAGATTTTGAATCAGTTGAAGAAGCGATCCATGGTCAAGGAGATGTAAGAGTTTGAGATCAGGAGAAAAGGTGCCCAATTAATTCTAGTCATATTAATTTATTTTGAAATTCAAGGAAGGAAATTTGAAAAGCCGGAGTTGCCTTTTTGTTCAAGAAGTTCAATCTAAGGCTTACAGCTTCTTCACTGGTGGCAAAGGAAATTCTCTCTTGTTAAGAAGTACGATGTATTAATTTGATAATTTCGCTTAGCAGTTATTGCTTTGAAATTTTGTTTCCACGTTCCCAATATCAAGAATCTTTTGTCATCATGGCTTTAGATAACCTCACGAATCCTTTAAATTTTAGTTCAGTCAGTCAGTATCATTGCTTCATTTAAGCAGGCCGCTGTCAATTTGAAAGGAGGTAAGGTGTGAAAAGGCAAGGTTCTTGTGCATGTGAAATATTTAGGGCAAACAAGCACAGGTTAGATGCTGAATATGAGTAACAGAAATGTAAGATAAAATTAGACAGTGTATTTATAATGGTGCAAGAATCAGTGCTTGGCCAGTTATGCATGAGTGTTTTTGTCTGCTAAACAATTAATTCAACTCTTACAAGGCCCAGTTCATCTAATATAAGTTCCAAATAGCCAGAAACAATGATAATCAGGGATCCAGGCAAAAATACATAACATAACATAACATACATTTACATAACTTAGTCCCAACCTCTCTTCTAAACTTTCCATTTTGAAGGATTTCCATCTATATAATGCTGTAACGTTGTCCCCAGCTTTCAATCACAACTGGAAAATTATGTTTAAGAAATGCAGACTTTTGTCCATATTTCCAGAGGTAGTTGTCTATTGTTAATGTGGTGCAGTGACTTTAAAATCTGCCAGATTGATTATTTTCAACAGGTTTTTGTTAAGATTTTCATACCTAGCATTGAACAATGTTCAAAAGCATTCCATTCGAGTCAAATTAATTTATTTGTATTTTGGGAACAAAAACAAAAAATTGTGTACAGTAGACCACCATATTTCTCTTTGCAGTCGTCAGAAATGTTAATTTTACCTTATGCTATCTCAATCTTCCTTCTAAATAGAATTATAATAAAGTTCGGAAATAAGGCACGAAGAAGAAGGGAGAAACATTCGGCTATGTCTCGTGTTTTTCCCTACACTTCTTTCGCGCTCTTGCTGCTTCCTGCATGCTTTACAACAGAACAGAACATATTCAAGGCTTCTTTATTTGTATTAGACAACTTTACCTTTACGTGAATAGTAGAAAGCGGAGACCATCCGGTTATGTTTTCGTTTTTTTTCTTGATTATCGACTCTGTGTTTGCGGGTCATTGCTGAGGGGGCAAATGGGTCGACCACGCCCAAGGAAAAGAAAGTTCTGATTGAAAATAAGAAACTCGTTATTCCAGTAAGTTAACAAAGAAACAGCAAATGCAATCTGAAGTAAATTTTGATATGAAGCTCTTGTATTTGTTTATCGCAATTAATATTTGCACCAGAGGTATTGTTTGAGCTTGAATGTTTCATATTGTGACCATTTAAGACTTGTATTTAAATGCGGGAGGTGTGACGGTGTCCTATTTTGAGAGGCTGAAGAACATCAATCACATCAGTTTAAGACGTTTGACTCGGAAATACGAGAAGAAAGCAAATTTTCATCTTTTAGGTGAGCTTGTCTTTTCACTAAGAATACGTTTAATGATGGATCTTTATCATTCATTTTGTTTTCATAGATAAGAAATTCCACTATGAATATTAAGTGATTTAAGACAACATTTTCTTCACTATGTAAAATAGGACAATATGACTGAGAGCATGAGTTGCAGTTTCCTTTCAACCTCGAATTCCAATCACGACCAATCTTGCCCTTTTCTTTTTTTTGAACTGCATAAGTTTTCTTCTTCTTTTTTACTTCATTAGCTACCAGAGACAGCTCACCTTCGTAGCCATTTTGCTTGTTAAACACTTTTGGTGACCTGTTTGTATTGCTTTAGGCAAACTCTCAGTGTTTCTGCATGTTTGTCTCTTCTTCGACAGGTAGCGTCCAAGAAAGCCTGTATCATCATTTCAAGGAAACCATTCGTTTAAAATCATCGCTTGCGTTCCTTCGAGAGATCGTTGTGAGCATTGCTTTTTATTTTCAGTTTATTAATACGAACCACAGGGATGGATCTAGGGAATGTCCTGCAAAAAACTTGTTTTCGTCCCCCTGTCAGTTACGTCCTTCCTTAGTGGTACACTCCCCTCCTTAGAAAAATCCATATCCAAATTCTTGATCCTTCCCTACACCCAGCATAATTGATTGAGCAGTACGACTTTTGTTAAATTATTAAATAAATAAACCCCGCCTTTCTAGATGTGACGTTTATTCGGGGAACCACTTATCGATATTGTTACTCTTCCTCTTGTTGCTTATTTGGGGGAGGTGCTTCATCGAGGGCAGTGCCTTAGCGAACAAACATGGTAGTTCAAGGTAATTTCGTCTCCAACTGGCTCGTTAACCATGAGACGTAAGATTCGTATCTGAAATGTAATGTAGGCTTAATTCTCCTTTTAGGGAAGAAAATGTTTACCTTTTTCTTTTACATTGTATTGAAGAAAAAAGTTTGTAACCCTCTTGTTATACCTTAGGGCGCGAATGAAAAAGACATTGTTCATTCTGGATTGGAGTTCACCTTAGAACGATCAGCTAAGGTACGTCTTCTCTGTCACGGATTCGAAGTTTCTTTCGAATTCATGTCCAATTTTTGACCTTAACTTGGTTGCTGGGCTGTCAACATATCGGTAGCATTCCTGGGAAAAACAAATAAGCGTTAAAAAAAAAGTCCACTTTTGGTCCGCTTTGGCATTTGTTTCTCTTCTACAAATTTTACCTCAAATATGTAGTATTTTGCTTTGTGAGGCTTTGTGAGACTCTCAAGGTTGATTTTTATGGGGAAAAGAGGTTATCCTCTCAGTTGTCCTCCCAGTTTTCCAGACAAGTATCCAAACATAGAATCTGGTATTCACTATTGTGAATGAGAAAAGACTGTCACCAAAAGAAAACAGTGACCAGGAAACGTCGTCTGAAAGAGTCTATGAACTGTGTTCCCAAAAGAGTGATGGGTTCGAATCGTCATCGCGTATTTTTCCCTGTCTTATTATTAGTAAAAAGTGAACATAACTTTGTTTTTTCTTTTTCTTTTAAGCAAATTATGCACTGCGCCAGTGAGTACGACCTAGGTCTAGACATAAGGACGGCTGCTTATACTGTGTCCATGGAAAAAGTCTACAACACATACACTGTGACTGATTTCGCATTTACATAATCCTCCTGAGAACATATGACAAATGATGAATTCTTAGATAACTTTTCATTGAGCTGAATGTATCACTTGAGCTAGTTTGAGCGTACGATACTTTTTTATAACAGCGTCTTCACCAGCCGTCATGTGTTGACGATGATTGTGTTGTGGTGTAAACGAGATGAAATGAATGATTTTCCTGAATTCCAAACGTTCAGAAGCTGTCGCTTGTTTGTAAAAACTGCACATACGAACTGCGACTCTTATATATAATTGAATTTACCGTGATATAAATAGACAGTAAAATGACAAAATTCGAAACCCTTACATCAATAAATAACTGAGAGCTCATTTCTTTTAATGAGCCCGGTTATGTTACCATTAATTTTCTCAATTAAAAACCGTACAGCTTTTAGCCACCTAACTGTCTCTCTCTCTCCCACTTGTGCTGAGCATGCGCACTCATTTTGCCTCTGTGTCATATCTGAGTAGTTTCCCAGGAATTCAGTTGCGTGACTTTAAAAAGTAAACACTCATAGTTAGGTCTCGTCACTGCCATGTTGTATAGATTGTACAGAATCTTAAGAAAGAGAGCCTTCCGCAAGACAAGGAGAGAAGCGGTATTGGCACAGATTTAAAATGTCCACCACAGCATATAATAGTTTGCTCTTCGAAACAAGCGAAAGGATCGACGGACTAAATGCATTCTAACGTCTTATTTTATTTGCCGCGGGAAGCTAGCCCAGTCTGGCAGTGGAAACGTACACGACGTACTGTCATTGTTTAAAGAAGTAGAAGAACACGGTTATCTAGGTGTTGATCGCCTCAAACTAATGAAAGAGCTGTTGAAAAGTGTTAAGGAATGGTCTCTGTTTGGAAAAAATTAGAAAATTCGATAATAAGCGAAAAGAATACAAAAGCTGACTTGAAAAGATTATCTGTGCATTGGACTAACTCAATGATATGGAACGGCTGATCACACTATGTAGAGGAAATATTCGTGAAGGCAACATTGGTAACATTGTGGATGTTCGAAGAGCTAGAAAATCAGAAAACTCTGGGAATTGCTTATATAACATAGTATCTATAAAAGAAAAGACACTAAGTTAAAAACTGCTGAAACTACAGAAATCAAGAATGGTGTACATCACCTTGCAAGCGGCCGGACCCTTTCTTGTGGTGAAGGTCAACAAGATCTTACTTTATTCTCTTGATAGAGTATGAAAAGCCCTTTGTAACTACGCCTCTTTTGTCTTTTACAAACTATTCAGCCAGAGCCTAGAGAGGAATTATTATGTTTACACCACGCTCTCCTTTGCTTTTTGGGCACTAAAGCGATACGAAATGTGAGACTATTTTTTTTTCTTTTGTTGACGCGTCACAGTCTAAAAGTCTGAGAGTTTCTTTATTGTTTTTTCTTGTGCAAATTTGTTTCATCCACTTAGATCTCAAACTTACACAAATTACGTGACCTTTACAGATATTTTGTATTGAATTAGCTAAAATCGATTGATAGCTACGTTGTGCCCGTTATTATCTTCACCAGCAGACAACTGAGTGTTTGTTGCAGCTTATATTCAGATTTGAAGAAACAAATTGCGATTTCTTTATACGTGGAGCAAACTGGTTTATTTGATTAAATCGAGTAGTATTCTGAATGACAATCCCTAATCCAAACACTTTCGTGGCAGAAAACCGAAATTTTATGAGGGGAGCATGGCGTAACATCCTGAAGCGCACTTGCGAAACTGAGTTAAGATAAATGCTAACTAGAGCTGATGTTACGTTGTACGTGGATGTTAAAATCTAGGACAAAGAAGCCTATTCCAACCTTGACCCCTGATGCAAATAGGAAGGGAAGGGAAGTTTTAGCTGTTACACATCTCAATGGACAAAAACTGGGCCAAAATATACCCCTGTGATCATATTACTCCCCACTGTGCAAACCTTGGCCTTCTTAATTCAACACATTTTATAATTAAGTTCTGATATAACGCAAGTCTTCATCGGTTGAAACAGCGTGCTCTATCAGAACATAAAACATAGAGCAAGAGAGCTTAAGGTGTCACGCCATCTGCTAAATTGCACTATGTCCAACCATTTCCCAGATTTCTCTCTAGCTTTTTTTTTTTCTTTTTTTTTTTCGGAACAAGCCAGCCGGCAAGTAGCAACAGAAACCAAAACAAAGGTTTATAAACATGCCAAGCGCCGTAATTTACGTTATTACATCATGAGCAGAGACGAAAATCCCTAGATAGAAAAGGAATGGACAGTCCGAGTTTGAAGGTTTTCTTTAGTAAGGTTGCAAGCTTAAGTACGCTAATAAACATCAAACACAGCTAACTCTCGTATAGTATATAAAATTTTGTGTTCAGAAACAAAACAGAACAAACTAGCATAACTGTTAAATTCATACTAATCATAACGGAGTGAGAGCGACTGCGACTGTGCTGAGGTCCATCGCGGCTAGCTCATCATCGCGATCTCCGGTCAACGTAGTAAAGGAAGCCTCAGAAATTACATCGGCCGCCCTTCGAGTGAACAACTAAGAGCTTGCTCTGATATCCTTTCTGATGGGTTGAGTGCAGGCGAGTTTTACAGCCCCGTCATCCCAAGCAATCTTCATCTTCATGTGAATTCAGCTGTCATTAATTGATAAAACACACGCCTTGAGCAGTTTGTTTTCTAATTGTCTTGTGAAAAAACTTACGTTTTCATGAGTCACAATTCAGCTGGATTTCATTAAACATTTCGCTTTCAGGTTCTGTATTAGAGCCGATAAAAACTTCAGGCAAAAGTGTTAAACTCGACCTGCCGAACTATTTCAGTTTGTAGACTATTGCAGATTGTGAACTTTGGTGGTTTGACATTTTTGACAGCTTTAGTCTTATTCAATCAATCAGATTATTTGAACCATTCTTACAAGGATTCTGATTAGCTTATTGTAGCGTGCTTTATGAGAGTATGGAGCATGCTGAGGATATTGTTATTCGCTTTGAAAATAAAGTTTGTTTTGAAAATTGAGATTAATGTGTGGGGAATTTAACAGATTCTTTATTATAAAACAAACACAGAGGCCTTGACTTCGCTCTGTTCTGTTGTAAGGCACTTAGGGAGCAGCTAGAGTACGCAAGAAGTGGGAAAAATAATTTATTGAAATCGTGCGTTCGGTCAAAACAACCGCGTACGATAAAAACAATAATATACAAATTTTTTCACATCTTTAAAGCGCAAAGAAGTTCGAAGTCCAGCTCAAAAGTTCAGGGAATTGTTCAGTCTGTGTCCGAATCACTTTCGATGAAATGGAATCGTCGTTTGCGAGGTTTAATCATGTTTGTTTTAAATTTCGGCGTAGAATTGCTCGAACAAAGTGTTAAGCTAGATAGGCTCGTAATTTTCGATTTCCTTGACAATTCCCTTATCTAAACATCACTTTTTCCAAATCGACATCCAAAAAGCAGCGCTTTTTGTGGTGTTTGTGTTGTTAGAGCTGTTTTTTAGCTGCTGTATTGTTGTTGCGGTGGTGAAAGAAAACCTACTTAAAATATCGACCATTGTTTCGCTCGCAAATTTTCAGCGTATCCAAATCTTGCAACATCCAAGGCTCGCATTTGATTGACTATCTGTGAGTTTCTTTGATTATTGACCAATCAGAATGTCTGGTTTGTTACTTCTTTGCACTGAATTAACCCTCTTCTGCACTGAATTACCTAAAAACTGAATTTATCTCAACCCATCAAACAGAGTAATTTTTTTCATGTATATCTTTAATCATAGAAATTACAATTTTCTCGATAGTGATTGGTGAAAAACTCCTATTTTCCGCTAATCCACTCGCCACGTTGTTACCAGACCGTTTGTTAGTGGACAGTTTGTTATTGGACAATTTGTTATCAAACAGTTTGTTATCTGACAGTTTCTTATCGGACAGTTCAATAAGCCAATCGCTTTCTAAGTTGTGGTTCGAATCAACCAATCACATTCAAATTTGTAGGTTAAATCAACTAATCACAACCATCACACAATTTGCGCCTCCTTTGTTGGTCTTTGGATGCAAATTTTCCCTTTCTTTCATAACTTGTTTATTCTGTTTTCAGAAATTGTAATTTTTATGATTAATTGGTAATAAGACTTTTTGATATCCAATTTCGGTCTGTAAGGGTACTTGTGATAAACAAATTGGACTCTTATTGTGCGGTTGTCTGAATTTTGTCATCACTCGCATGATTACAGACTGAATTGGACTCCGCTCAGCCTTATTACCATTACTTTTTTTACGCTCTTTTCCCTAGTATATGTAACTATATTGTATCTCATAAAATAAAATAGAAATGACTGTATAAAACAGTAAAAATACTGAATAGATGGGTCAAAATTTGTTCCCAGGGTATTATCTCTTCCCATTTCTTAAATATAGAGATGTGTGAATTAATGAACTGGCAAGTCATCCATTAGGAGGCTATGACTTTTGCAAGTTTCAGCTTCTGGAACTTATGAGTTTTCTATTTGTGCGTATGATGAGGGGGGCATTGGGGCCTATTAGAAACCGCAAAACCGTAGAAAAAATCATCTAAAACCGAAAACCGCATGCAAAACTGTCAATACCGATACATGTTCACATCCCAGTTATTAAAAACCCTGATCGATCCGATACAGTGATGACAAGTGGAGCATACAGAGTGAATTACACTTATTTTATTACAGGATTTATGAATGCCATGGACTTGGCATTCGTATCTTCTAGTATCTGCTTCAAGCTGCTCTCTCGAGGACCTCGAGCGTGGTCTTTGCGGACTCAGCAGCTGGTAATGGAGCCTAATTAAATTAAGGAAATTTGCATAAACGTCCTCTATAGGATTGCAATTTTGCAGTCGCAAAAAGCTATAGCTCTGGAAAGTTTCATTGAAAATCCCAAATCTAACATTTCCATTTGCGAACTAAGACCTGGAAGTTTGGAGATTCTATTGAGTGTTGAATCAATCAGTCAAGCGTGGCCTGTGACTTGGTCACCAACTTCGAGGTGGCCGAAAACCGCATCGAATATCAAATCCGAAAACCCGCTAATATTTTTCGCGAAAACCGAAAACCAAATGCTGAAATACGGAAAATCCGCAAACCGCAATGAATACCAAAACCAAAAAACCGAATTTTTTTGGCACGAAAACCGAAAAACCGTTATAAAAAATAGCCAAAACCGTAAAACCGAAAATCCCAACGCCCCCCTCTATGATAAATGTTGCTACCTATTTGTATTCAGATTCAGTCAGATGAGGAAGGGAGAAATATTACCACAACACTGTAACTCTGTACTCTAAAAAGTACTGCTATGTTTTGATGATCCTTCACCCCAAGGGAATATCTACTTTTATGAGGTTCCTTCCCGACCTTAAAATTGGCATATCCAGCAAAATTGCTGAAATAGTTCCTTGCCATACTTTGGATGAATGTTCACAAAAGGAGCAAACTCTTAAGATAGCTTTTACAGTAGGCAGGAGGGTTTGAAGTTCACTCTTTTGACTTACATTTGCTGTTTCCTCTATTTTAGAACAAAGAGCTGCATTTATGTCATCATTGAGAAATACGCTAATGGGAGGTGAGCTTTCAAAATTTTATTTGTGTTTTTCACTTATTTAAAGGTTGATGTGGAATTTCCTTTCTCTCTCTGGGACATAACATGAAGAGACAATTAGGAATGAGACTGGTAACTTTAAGGAAAAAAATCTTTGTTTCCAACAGAGAGCCAGTGCTAACTAAATTACTACTCATGATTTTCTACTCATGACTTTCCTGATTTTTCAGTGGTGAACTAAAAGCAGTATTCAAAGTGGTTGTAGGCGGTCTTACAGTCGTTTCTGCCATGGAGGTACTGAGTCGTTGGTCCTCATTTGATCAAGTGGTCGCTACTGTACAAACCTGTCTGCTTCCAGCCGGTACAAGTCTGGTTCAAGTTACTGATAGCTGCGTATGCCTTACAGTTCAAGCTGAAAGTTTATCAGCTCTTAAAACTTTGTGGAAATTATATCAGGATAGAACCCTTCAGAAACGCCTGTGCGATTTCTTTGTCACTGATGAGGTAAAAGAACTCGCCGATGGAGAGGATGTAGGGGTGAATATCGCCCTCGATGGAGACGAATATCAGAAAGCTTGTATCGAGCTCACACAAGGGACCCAAGGTGACCCTGAATCACTATGTTTCACTTAATTTTAGCGAATTTCTGAGCCCAAATTATCATACGGGTCGTGTTAACGTTCCTTGACACATATTTGATATATTTCCTGCTTTGAGGGTAAAAAACCAAAGAATATAAAACTAAGGGTGTGACTGCCTACTGCATATTACTGTGTTTGTGGCCGTTCTCTATGTAGAATCCCCCACCGGAAAAAAAAGTGAACCCCTCTTCTTCAGGGTTTTTAAGTTTCTTGGGGTTTTCTCACGAGCTTTCCCAACTTCTCTTCTTTTTCTCAATGCCTCACATAGTTATTTCATCAACAAAATAGTACAGAAAACTGTTTATTACGGATACGGTTGCGACGGAGAACATGAGCCCATCAGTGCTTAACAAGTAAATTTTTATCTTGTCCGTTTTAATTAATGTGTGATGGATGGAAAAATTCAAGTAACGAGCCAAGACAATTAGAAGGAGCAGATTCACTGGTCCGTGTACTCTTAAATTTTTCTCGTTAAGGAGACTTTTTAACTTAATATTGCAAGTTAGAACTCAGACTCAGGCACCATTTTTTAACAATTAACCTAAACTTTTCATATTTTCCTATCACTTACCTATGGGACGTTCCTTTGAAGTATAAATTTATCGAGCTAATAATATCAGTTTTATAGTTACCGTTATTAATTTTTGTTTTAAAACTTCTAGGAGGTGCATCGATTGACTATGTCGAAATAAGCAGGCGAAACCCTGAATCAGCTGTATATTTCAACGCAGTGGTTTGGGAACACTCACTGTTATATCCATAGAGGAAACTGAGGACGTATGAGGTGAAACTGATTTAACCGTTGTTTCTGTTATTTTTATGAATCGATGTTAACGGTGAATCATTACAAAGATCTAGTTTTTTATGAATAAAGGAAGAATGCTGTTAATCAGAGCTTATTGCAAAATGTTGCATCCAAATTTGCGTTTGAAGAAGAAAGGAGTATAACACTCCATCGAACTCAAGCCGCAAAAAAGATCATCAACACTTTTTTTAGTTTTCCAATGAAAACAAACTAACATAGGGTGTAGTCCATTGGCATGATCGCTGCCCTTGAAAAGTATTCTCATCTGAAAAGATGGCATAACTATCACGAACAGCATATCTTGTCCGACGTAGTTAAGTGTAGGAATTTTGATTCAGTCAACCTTCGTTATCTGCCTCCTTTCCACCACGTCGACAGCCATTTAGGCCGTTCAAACAGGGAAAACAGCTATTCAATCACCGACGGACAAACATTAAACTTAGTGGCTATTCACTGAGGCAGACAACCCTTCACATTTTTAATGCGCTCAAGGGAAACACAAATGTCTCCAGTGTTAAAGGTGAACGTTTTACAAACTGCTTTTAGTCACCCTTCATTGTTCGTTTTCCCTTAACATTTTTCGCCCAAAATCATTTTACTGTTTTGTTTTGATACATTTGACAGTTTTACTCATTTTTGTACCAATGTTGTTAAAAAAATGTCCAAAATAAAGAAAAAATATATGTTACATTATACCCCTATCTCGCTATGACAACATTTTCCCTACAGAGGTCGCTTCTCATGGTCAGAAAGGTGGCCTTTTTGGAGAAATATAACTTTCATCAAATATTTCTAATCGTTATTTCTCCTTTTAACTTTATTCAGATTCCAGTACATTTTGCGTTCAAAATCTGACGGAAGAGTCTTTTTACGAACTGGATAGGAGACTTTCTGTTGATAAAGTTGGGTTGGAAACGGTTTTTCGATATTTTTGCGGTGAAATGGGCTACATTCCTCCCATAACAAGGTTATGTTTTTCTTACGAAGCAAATTGCAAAAAGTTCTCCTAACACTCCTGTTGACCTAATAAGGCAATGTTTCGAGGCTCTTCAATTGTACGATCTTGTTGACTTTCTTGAGAAGGCGGTAAAACCAATTTCACTTCGTCCTGTTCTTTCCTCAGGAGAAGTCGAGACGTTACGCGCTGGTAATCTTCCCACAACGTTTCAAAACAATGTGGTAGTACTGGTACAGAATGACAATGCGAAGAAGGACCTCAATCAAAAGATTGAGGGATTTTTCGAAGAATTAAATTCGCGGAACGATGTCACAGTAATTGGATCTTCTCGCTCAGAGAAAAACCGCAGGGCACTGAATGATTTGAAAATGAAGCAAGTACTGGTGAATAAACCTGTTCTTTTGGAAAAGGAATTGAAATTGGATTTGCTTCTTCCTACGCATGAACTTTTGAGAGTCAAGTACAATGTCGCAGAACTCAGAGAGAAAATGAGGAAGAACAAACTGCTTGTGGAGGAACAACTGAAAGAGAATAAGGAGACTAAGACGATCATAACATCTACAATGGACAACTGGATTCAGAATAAAGGTTAGTTGTAAACCTCTTTCTGAGCATGACAGAGTATCAACTGTTTGAAACAGTTCATTATATCAAGGTTTGAAACACAAAAGAAACAAACCTCGAGGCTCACACATTTAGGAGCAGTTTGAAGGATACGAAACAACAGCAGCTGAGAAACTGACCCACAAAATAATCATCAGGATATGACATGAGATTCCGTTCGTTATTATTATATTTGAAACAAGAAACATTATCAAAAACTAAGAAGGTACATTGAGGGACCGCTCATCCGCTGACCATCCGGAGGATTTTGGTGATAAATAATTACTTGTTCCTAGCAGAATATTACGATATTATGAGCCATCCCATAGTTGTATTTTTCTTGTTTTCAAGTGTCAGGGTTATTCAATTTTTTTCCTATATTAGGAAGGAAATGCTAAAAATGTAAATGCACGACGAATGAAACCTAGGAAAGGAATATACCTGAATATCTTTTCAAGGGAACATTTTCAAAACGTTTCTTTTATGATTTTCCTCTCGGTGGTTTGATCGAGTTAATGGTGTCTCTTACTTAGAGCTGAGCAGTAGAGTTGCAGAGGTATCATAACGTGAAACTCGAAAGAACTCGAACATGCGTGCACGCAAGATAGTTTTCCCTCTACTGGCATTTACATCTTTCGTCGTCTTCGACGCTTTGCCCGCTACGTTGCGTCTCCAAGCAAAGAAAAAAGAAAAAACCATTAGTATCTATAGAGGTCGCCTTTTAGAAGTGAAATGTTGATCGATAGCTTTCTAGGTTGGAAGGTGGGTGGGTGGGTACAGAATTCATAAAGCTGACATTTATTACACGGTGTAACCGAGCATCCAAAGCTGATCAATACAAATAATAATTCAGATAACTATATTAAAATACCAAGTATTTTAATATAGAACAGATTATGATGCAAAATTCAGCTTTACAGACTAGTTTAGATGTGTTAATTAGAATTTTTGTAACAATGTGACAACAATATTCTGTAGAAAATGACTTAAGTGACTCAGAGTTTTGTTAGCATTTATTGTTGTGCAGATTAGTAGCTGCAGAAAAGGCAGTAGTTCCTGGAAAGAGATTTAAAAACGTAATTTAACTAAGGTTCAGTTTTTTTTAGTCTACTGATCACGAATATTGTGATTGCGGTAGAGTAACCCTCAAATTAAATTGGTTTCCATAAAGGCTTCAAAAGCAAAATGCTGACAATTCTTTTCAAACAAGTTGAATTCAACTGAGGTATTGTAGTTACTTCCATGAGACTTATGCATTCAACCTTCCTTCACTCTCCTCCTTTTGCCACGCTGTCTTTGTTGTTTCCCAGCGTTCTTTGTTATTGCATGCTTTCTTCCTTTCATTACTCTCTATACCACCATTGTTAGTGCTCCTCGGTTTTGAAATATTTTATCGAGTCGCTCTCTAGGAAAATTTGAGTTCTTTTACTATGCGTGTATGACTTTTGGTTTTATCAATAAATATGTTTGATTAGCTCTGACAGATTTACACAAAATCAGGTTATATAATAGGAACTGTAGTGGGTTAGGAATAAGCCCGGCCACTCTCGAGAAAAAAAATTAACCGAAGGGAAAGCGAGGAAATTCACGGTTAATTTTACAGCTTCTTGTTACAGATAGTGGTAAAAGAGTAGCTATTTCAGTATTTTAAATCATTCTTTTATGTTAAAACTCTAAGCTTTTCTTGTTCAGGCAGACTAACAGAAGTAAAGGTAAACAGAAGTAGAATTCTTGAAACGCTTCTCAATACTTTTTAATACCTTTTACAACATTTTGCACTTTGATCAGACTGTGTGTCATAGTTTAGCCTTGCCTTTTAAGACCCCCTTAAACAGACGCTTTGTGATTTAGGACATAAGGCTACACCGCAACACCGGAATACCGGCTGAACCTTCCCGCTAGTCTGCGCAAAAAGATCTCGAGACGATGATGAAGCTTCCAATGTCATCATTAACGTCGCTAATATTTCCAACTTTGTGGTAACCTTTGTCTGTTTCACTTTGCCTTCAGGTATCTGATGTTTGCTTCTTTCTCGCCATTTTGTCATCGAAAAAGACCGAGGCATATCAAACTCCTTCCCCAGTGCGACGAACATTTGTTTTTCTCGGTTCCAGGTGTACGCAACCACTAACCCCACGTAATGCACATGCTCTCCGTTACGAATTTTCAAAATGGCGGACAGGCCAAAGAGGAAAATAAAAAAAAACAAAGCGATTTTGCAATGAATACTCAACATACACCCTCGTTAGAAAGGCGAATCCACAGAAGAAAGATACAAAACTGTATGATATTGAGATCGATATGATATTAAATCGATACCGAGGGCCCGTTTCCAACTTGCTAAGAAGTGCATTTAGTTACCTTCCGCCACGATTACTAGCTTTCTTGACAGCTTTCTGAAGACAGAATACTTTCTTTCTGAAGACTTCTGATATGCCGCTATTGATTATTACACCTCGTACATCTGATTGCTCAAACACTTTGTTTACGATTGTTGAAAGGAACGACTCATGGTTCTCCGTCTTCGTCTTTACATTGCTTTGAAATAGTATAGATTAGTAAGCTGAAACGAAAAATTAATAAGGGAAGTTTACGAAAAATCCAAAAAAAGGCATTTATTTAGACTTCATAATTCAACGAACTTCACAAATCTTACTTGTTTATCTCGTAAATAAACGATGGCAGATTCATTCCCGAAGCGCTTTCTGAGTTTCCCGATCCCTCTCCTACTGCTTTCACGCTTAAAAAACAGGAAAAAATCAAAAGGAGGAAGATACAGCTGTTTTGAAACGCCATTTGACGAGGGTAAATCTGCTTTTGTTCGACACTTTACATATCAAAACAAAGGAAATTTGTTCCTCTTTTTGATTCTGGCAGTACATTTTAAATTTGCATTTGCGTAAAAGAGATATCGCCCGAGACCCTTCCCTCGGTCGTGTTTTGCTCAAAAACGCTTTGTTAATTTCACGCAACCGCTCGGAGAAAAGGTAAAAATGACGAGGGAAAAACTTTACCTTCAAGTTAGAAAATTAGCGAAATAGAAAGCCACAATATTATAGTTTAATATTTCAGAGGTACATTGAGTGCTTTTTCCGTAGAGAATCCGCACGATGGTAAAACATTCGAAAATTACACTCGATTTGAGTGGGGTGTTGAAGTGGGCGTGGTCACCACATTAATGTTAAGACTATTTGTACCCCATGAGTTTGATATGATTGATGGATATTGCAGGCTTGTCAACAAAAATTCAACTAGAAGGAGAAAATCAATACTGTTTGCAAAATAAGTGGGGCGATTCAACAAAAATATCCTTACCACTGCATCAATCTTCCTGCTACTTTAAAATTCGCGGCGGTTAATTCAGAAAATAAAATTTTTCATTGCTTCGTTGCATCTGCAAATTTCGTTTGCGGCAGTCTTAACATGGGTTTCAAATTCCCAAAGTGCATTTCAACTTAACGTAGAAAAATGAAATGGTGTGACTTGATTGAAAAATTTATTGAGACCTTGCTATCCTGTAATTAGGGTAGACATCGAGTCACGATAGCATTACCCGCAACTTTCGTCGGAACTTGACATCTTTCCTCAATGAATTTGCTCATGAGAGGCTGGGACCGAAATGGATTTAGGCATTGTGCAAATGCTGTTTCCTAGGAAATTTCGATGTGCGTGATCGGTGGAATAGAGCGTGCGAACGGGTCTTGAAATATAAAATAGCGTAGCTTGCTCTAAGTGAGGAGTGGTCCACACAAGACATGTCTGCCATAGAATATAGTTATTTACTGTTTGAAATAAGTGAAAAACTCGACGAACTCTATCCAATCCATCGTCTTCTGTTCGCGTGTCGAAAGTATCTGTCATCTGGAAGCGAAGGCAACATTCAGGATACGCTATCGTTATTTAAGGAATTGGAAGATCAGCAAAGTCTCGAAATTGATAATCTGGTGGTTATCAAAGAGCTTTTAAAAGGTGTCAGAGAATGGCCTCTTTTTGGAAAAGTGAAAAGACTCGAGAACAAACGGAAAGAATACAACGCCTTGCTCAAGGAGATAATTCGTGTGCTCGAAGAACTCAATGATCTGGAACGGCTCGTCTCAATTTGCAAAGGAAAGTTATCTGAAGAAAGTGAAGGCCTTATTGATGATGCTCGCTCGTTATTTAAGGAACTAAAAAACCAGAATATTCTAGATCTTGATCGTCTTGATTTCTTAAAGGAGATCCTCACCGAAACGGAGAAAAAGGATCTACTCAAGGAAGTGGAAAAGTTAGAGGAGCGAAGAAATAACGAAGATGAGTTTGAGAGGAAGAAAGGTGTTTGTTTTATCACTTTTACTGTTTACTGCAGTTTTGTCGCGTTCCGGCACTTTCTTAAGTAATATGGTGGACGTGGCCTATAACGGATACGTCAAGAACACATTTTAAATTCAAACTCGGCGCTCATATATTTTGTTATACCTGAAGGTACTTTGCAAATTCAGAATGCCAGGCTATTAAATTGTTCTGCTGTCTCGAAGTCATGGCTTCCAGTTTAAATCATGTTTTTGGTGCGAAAACTGTATGGCTTTTCATTCAGACTATTTAGTGCTTTGAAATCCCTCCTTTTCATCTAAGTATATGCAGGACGTATGTGAGTATGGAGGACTCGTGTCATATGAACTTCGTAATGGGCATTACTCACCACAGAGTCTCTTCGGCTCAGTGGTAGAGCATCAGAGCGCAAAATTCAAAGGTCTGAGGTTCAGTTCCTCTCAGAATTTTTCCTTTGTCCCGTGCTCATGACAAGAAAGAAACATCTTTCTCTTTTCCTTCACCGAGCTCAAAACTTACCATCTTTCTTATTTTATATACAAAACATCACATCAACATTGCTGATCCTAGCAGTATGAAGAATACATGTTATGTACAAACTTTGTAATGTGCCTTGCTCACTAGAGTCTCTTTGGCTCAGTGGTAGAGCATTGGAGCGCGTGATCCGAAGATCATGAGGTCTGATTCCTCATGTGGACTCAGAATTTTTCCTTTGTCCATGCTTGTGACAAGATGAAAAGATGAAAAACATCTTTCTCTACTTCTTTGTAGAGCTCACGAGCAGAAATTGACAACAGTCAGTGCATCAAAATTTTTGGTTTTGCTCTACTGAGTCTGTGCATGGTTGCTCGCAATTCAAAAATACCTAAAATTTCATTCTACAGAGGACTAAATCGACTCAGCAGGACAGATTTTTTTTCCTGGTATTTATGGGATACGGACACATATATACTAGCGCTACATACCTTGTTATCACGATTCGAGGTGCCGACATGTTTTTGTTTGAATGAATCCTTCAGAATGAAAGCCTTAATGAGTTCTCACAAAATTGTAATCGTGACTATTGATATTGTGGGAGAATAACTCACAAGCTTCAAGTTAACTTGGAAAGAATCCACAAAGGCTTTAAAAGGAAAATTGTGACAATGTAATTCTTTGACAACAATTGAATTTAACAGATGTACATGTATTGTGGAACTTTATCTCTGTATGAAAGAATTTCCATTAGATTTTTGTATTCACCTTTCCTCCGATCCACTTCCCCTTTTAGTTGCACTGTCCTTGTGGTTTCCCAGCATACTCTGTTATTGCATGCTTTCTTCCTTTTGTCACTTCCTACAAACTCCATTTTTAATGCTCTTTGATTTTGAAAAATTTATTCAAGTCTCTCTTTAAGAATATTTGAATTCTTTTACTCTCTTTGTGAGAGGACCTAATGGTTTTGCTTGACAAGTCCTCTTATTCTAATTTGTTATTTTTTCTAAACATATTTGATTAGCTCTGACAGATTTCAACAAAAATAGTATATTTGATAGAAACTGTATGTGGTTAGGACTAAGTTAACTTTAAAAAAAAAAAACCAAAGGGAAAGTGAGAAAACTTGCAGCCAATTGAACAGCCTCTTGTAACAGATGATTGTAAAGGGGTAATTGTTTTGATATTTTGAATTATTTTCTTGTCTTAAAAATTCGACATTTTTTTACTAGTGTAGAGCAACATGTACCAGATAATAAAGAAACAGAATTCATGAAGCACATTTTCTTACTTTAAAATACTTTCTATCGCTGTTTGCAGTTTACTTTGATCAAATTGCGTGTCACAGGCTACAGAGAAGAAAGAGATTTTTTTTACAGACACAATCTAATTCAGGAAACAAGGCTGGGCTGGAACGCCAGCAGAATCTGTTACCTCACTCTGTGCAATGAAGAAAACTTATGTCATCATTAGCTTCATCGCTTTCACCGTCATCATAGTCCATCTTCTTTGTCTTCATAATTAGTATCTTTGTCACTTACATTTTCACCCCCATGGAAATCCTCATCTGTCTACATGGTGATGATTTTCTAACTTCATATAACGTATGGAATGGAAAAACAATAGCTTGCTATCATCTAAACATAACCGTCTAAAAATCCTTAAATGTTCTAAAAATTCTGTTTGACTGTAAAAATCCTTGAGAAAGAAATTCCAGATTTTTGTTTCAAGCCCTTCCTCTTATTAACTTCAAGCCTAACTTGGACCCTGAGCTCAAAAAATGGAAAGTGCTCTATCGAAAAAGCATATGGTAAAACAGTGAAATGAAATATTTCCTGGCTTAAGAAAATAGTCTCTGTTTCTATCTCTATTAAGTCATGAAACTTTTGAAATCACCCCGACATACCTGGGCAACATCAGACAATCATCTTTTTTGTTTTTGCGAAAGGACTTTAGCAATAGCCAGGTCAGAGAGTCTCCTGGAGTATATTCTTTTGTGTCAGGTTATGTTCACCATTTGCTTTCTCTTGGCTGGATAGGGAGACAAAAAAAAAAGAGTGCAATTCAGTGACACTTTTTGGCGTCATTGTTATTGTGTTTCTGTGAGTTTGTGCATTTTACAGAAATTTAGAACATCTCAGCGCTCAGTTGAGGTTTTGATTTTTTTTCATGGATAGAAATAATTAAATTTGTGGAAGTTTTTCACCAACAATATTCACCAAATGTCATGCAAGCAACCCAGGTTATGTCCACTAAGACTGGCCACTAGAAAGATTCCACCAAGAAATTCACAAGACCTTCACGAAATGGTGGTCATGAACAATGTTTAGCACTCATGATGCTGAGTCATTGTGTATCATGGTATCACACAGCCTGAAAGGTCTGAGTTGACACAGGGTAGACCACAACTTGAATTGCAAGTAGACAAAAGTTACCAAAAATATTCAGGTCAGCTTTTCATCCTGATACTAAATTGAATGGATCATGTGTACTATAGGTGGACTCGGTCGACATATCGGGCGACAGTCGGTCGATATATCGGTCGACTATCGGTCGACTATCGGTCGACTATCGGTCGACTATCGGTCGACTATCGGTCGACTATCGATCGACAATCGACCGACTATCGGTCGATAGTCGACCGATTGTCGACCGATAGTCGACCGATGGTCGACCGATATATCGACCGACTGTCGGCCGATGCATCGGCCGATATGTAGCGATCAACTGCCGGTGAAGTATCGGTCAAGTATCGGTCAAGTATCGGTCAAGTATCGGTCAAGTATCGGTCAAGTAGCGGTCAAGTATCGGTCAAGTATCGGTCAAGTAGCGGTCAAGTATCGGTCAGGTATCGGTCAAGTATCGGTCAAGTATCGGTCAAGTATCGGTCAAGTATCGGTCAAGTGTCGGTCAAGTGTCGGTCAAGTGTCGGTCAAGTGTCGGTCAAGTGTCGGTCAAGTGTCGGTCAAGTATCGGTCAAGTATCGGTCAAGTATCGGTCAAGTATCGGTCAAGTATCGGCCAAGTATCGGTCAAGTATCGGTCAAGTATCGGCCAAGTATAGGTTCACTTACCGACCATATCGCTCAGAAGAAAATAGGCTAAGAAAGAGTGCGAGGTTTTTTTTCGATATGTTCCGATTTGGTAATGGAAAATTACATTGTAAAGTTGGTCGCTCTTGTGTAACTAATGTTGTGCCTTAACGTATTTCCATTATTCCTAAAACTACCCGGCTTATGCTTTATCCCTGATGTCATAATGCCCTTAATCCAACATACCTAAAATGATTATTATTCCTTAGCTCTTATAGCTCTAACAGGTCTTTAACGTTATATTGCTTGTACAACGTTACCGATATTAACTGTCCAGTTTATGTCGGTAATGGGATCCACCTAAATTGTATCAGCTAAAACTGCAGTGTGTAACTGCCCAGCTAAACGAAAAGTAAATGATCTTTTGAAACTGAACTAGGCGGTTAAACTCATAAGCAAAGCGATTTTATAAAGACTTCTTTTTGCAGTGCGAGGTCAGCCGTTGTTTGTTTGTTTTTTCATGATTGTTATTTTACCTAGAATAGGGCGTCTTTTTGGGGGTTTGGGCCTTAACAACGGTATCAATTTTTTTTATCCTTAAATAGGGAACTCCGCGGCACCCACCTATCGGAAATACAGTACTAATCCGCTTATAAGAACCTAGAATTCACGAACCTGTTAGCCTAAAAATATCGATTTAGACCCCCTTTACATAAGAACTTATTTAGCCTAAATTTGAAACAGGTTCCTGTTTTAGAAAATAAACCTTAAAGATCTTTAGGCAAAGATAAAAGACATGACTCTCAAAAGTAGTGAACTTAAACATATATGAACTATAAAAATCTCTAAATTTGGTATAAATAATGTATGAAAAACAGTAGTATGTACATGTTGGTTTTGAATTAGAATTCACATGAGTACACCATACGAGTACATTTAGAACCGAGAACTCAGATTCTTATTAGCGGGTAAGTACTGTAGTTTGACTTACTAAAACAAAATCAAGTCTGCAATGAATATCTAGTTGTCTTTGCCTCCAGATAATCCTCTTGCCATTTGGATTAAAAATTCTCCAAACATCGCATAGCTCCAAATTTTCCATCGCATTTTGCACTACCTTTAAAGCGTTCTGATGTGTTCTGGCGATGCCATTTTTTCAGAAAATTGAGAGAGTAAAAACATCCTAAGCAGCTGGTCTGCTAGGAGACTTACTCTTCTAGGTAAAATCACGATAATAAAAGCTTTGGCAGTATCCCAAATTGTACGTGTTTTAACCTCTCTTCCAACGCATCAGGGTGCACTTAAGGAAATCGATACCCTGCTATATGACTTTCTCTGGGAAAGCAAAGGGGACAAACTTAAAAGGACACAAATGATCAATGATTACGATAAAGGAGGCCTCAAGATGATAGATATTCAAAGTTTTAATAAATTGCTAAACAAAAAGTGGGTAAATGGAAACTTCTCGTAGACTTCCTCCTCCAGAAGTGTAGGGAGAAAGTAATGTTTTTAAAGTGCTACTACGATCAAACTATCCATATCCATTTTTTATGATTTCGTGTAAAATGTGACTGTCTAAAATACCTTGCTAAATATCAATCCATTACGACCATCAGAAATCTTTTTTTATTTGTACTTTTATTTCCGAGAAGTTGCAGTCGCCATTTCTTTATCTCGTTCCAATTATAGCCTGGTTGAGAATTAGGGAAAATGACGTCAAATGCTCAAAATACCTCGCGTAAAATAACTCGAGTGTGCTAGACTATTGCAATGTTTGAATTTATTACAGGTACAGTAAAAAACCCTTTTTTAAGAACCTAGATTTTAAGAAAAAATAGATTAACTGAAAATGTTAGACAAAAATTGTGCATTAAAACTCCTTTTACACGAGAACCTGTTTTAGCCTACAACTTTGAAACAGGTTCTTTTTTTTGAGAAATTCAGTCAAAGCAACAACACAGTTCCATGTATTAATGTTGCGTTTTGTTCTGTTTATCTTGGATAGCTTTGTAAACTTGGTAAATATATGCTTGGATTTTTAACATATTATGTATACAATACCAAAAATAGGCCACGCCCTCCAATGACAAACAACTCATTTATTTTGAAAACTAGACTGCGAGCAGAGGGCGCGATCGACGAGCGGTGAGCGGCCAAGCTGCGATCTCTTTTCGCTGTGACTGACGCCCCTGCTGCTCGCAGATCACGGCCTCGCCCCTCATCGCTCGTCGATCACGTCCGCTTTTTCCCCGTTCGTTCCAGTGGGATTTCACAGCAAAAGAGACTGCTCGCAGTCTATTTGAAAACAAGAACCTGTTAAAGAACCTGAGTAGCCAAATTTTCCAGTTAAGCACCATCTTTTATAATAACCTTCTTAGCCTTGCTTGGAAAAAATTAGGTTCCTATTAGCGGGTTTTTACCGTATATGCTTCTGAGTCTAAAATTGAAAAAAATACCAAATTTCACCAATGTTGCACTAAGGTCACAGGAACTGTCCCATTTCGGGGGAGGGGGGTACTCCCGTAAATTTTGAATAAGTGTGTGCCTCGAAGAGTCTTGAACCCTGTCCCACTTTAAGGATGAAACAAACGAGAATTGTCCAAACACGAAATATGACACCCTATTCAAGGAAAAACAATAACCAAACAACGGCTAACCACGCGCGGCAAAACACAAATCTCGATAAAATCGCTTTATTGACAATTTTAGCGGAATTTGCTTTTTGTTTAGCTGGCCATTTACACACTGCAATTTTAGCCGATACAATTTACATATCCTATCTAAAGATCACAACGGAAACACAATGCTAACAGAGGCAAAACGATAACCGCCAAAACCATACCCTATTCCGCGGCACATACATGTATATGGGAGTACCCCCACCTCTGGGTATTTAAAGTGGATATTGTTCTGCAATGTCCTCCATCAACCGTCCAAAACAGCCATTCGGGTGACGCTCACCATGCCATCTTATCCACATGAATTCCTTAAGGTATTCTGGTAGGAAGTTAGGACTTGTGTTCCCTTTTTTATCTTCTTAAATTTGTCCTTTGCTGCAGACCGATTGCTCTCTGCGTGTTGTGTGAGGACACCGGTGATTGGGTCTACAAAGTTAACCGAGTGATTAACCGTTTGATGATTGAAACCCAAGACCCTTTGCATTTGCCTGTATGCCGCCCATTCATCAGTATAAACCAAAGAGCCTGGTTGTACGTGTCTTTGGATAATGGTCAAAAGAGTACGCGCATCTCGCCTTCTCACAAGCTGTAAATACGGTCGAGCAGGGGTCATACTGTGTCAAAAAGCCCAAGAACCCATCTCTCTCCTCGAGGTCGACGTCCCCTTTGGAACTGTGCTTAAGAAGAGACAAATTTCATTAAAACGTGTTGAATATATAGAAAAAAATTAAGAAAGACTGTTTCCTAGCAGGTGCAGGACATAAGTGGGTATTATAAACTGAAATACGGTTGATGTAATGTTTCGTATGTATTTTAGTTGATATGTTTTCTGTTGTAAAAAAGACCTGAATGAAATACAATGTATACGAGGCATCGAGGTGAATCTCTTTATGGGCACATTTCTTGATGACACATTAATTGTTAACATTTTCAAGGTAAAATGCGCACAGTTTTTGGCATTTTGGCTCTAATCTGGCTACAGGTTTTGCCGAAGATTTTGGGAATAATTCGGATGGCGCTATTTTTCTGTTGAAGTCACTACGGTGAGATCGACTTGCTGGGATGGAAGAGAAGAAAATAAAACGTGCTATAGCCATTCGCGAGAAGAAGATAATGTGCAAATAAGCTTACATTTGTTCAATTGATCTTCAAAGGATAGTGACTAAAACACCACACGAGCACTACGAGTAACATACAAGTACATACGAGTAATTACGAGTCATACGGGCGCACACAGATACATATGAGTAACATAAAAGTAACATACGAGTACATGGAGTAACACAGATAACATACGGTCAAATGTGGGTAATACGCATGAAATCTGCAAAGTAAAATACAAGAAATTGGACCTTTAACGTAAATCGTCGATTTGTTTTTCACTGCTCGGTATGGAGAGAAATTAGCATTTGAGGGTGTGTGTGTCTGCATGTGTGATGGGGGTGGGGGGGCTGGGAAGAGACCTTCCTTAATGCTTCCTGTGAGCCTATTACTGCATAAAATAGCAATAACAAAACTAATAATAAATTCAAATACTATTCAATCCAGTAGGCTGAACAACAACGCTGATTTCCTACGGTTACCACCCTCCCGAGGTAATACCCGGGACAAGATCGGCCCTTGTGACCCTAGGGTGAAATATGTTTGAAGTTTTCAGTTTTTCCCGTGGCTAGGGGGTTAGGCAACTTCAAATAACTACCCACACAAAGACTCCTGGGGCGAAACGAGATATGTATTATTTTATTATTTTTTATAATTATTTCATTATTTCTCATTTCTTTTATTTTCATTGTATTTATTATTAATTTATGTTATTGCTATTTTATGCAGCAATAGGCTCACACGAAGCACACGCAAACACACCCTCAAATGCTAATTTCTCCCCACACTACCCCGTTTTGTACATATGATATCATTTGCACATTTATCGCGATTGCCTACCTAATTTACCCCGACCTGCTCTCGTGCTGGTCTCGTAGCTCAGTCGGTAGATCTAATTCGGAGGTCGTGGCTTCAATCCCGACTTGGTCAATTTTTCTTTGCCCCGTGAGGACTCCCAAATTTCCTTTAAAAGGGTAGTAACCCAGGGGGATTTATTGTATTGGCAGTATTGCCTTCTTCCAGCACCCAAACATTTAATTTAAAAAAATTATAATTTATATTACGGGTGCTTCGCGGTTCACATTCTATATCTATATCATTTGAACCAATGAATACACCGAGCAGTAAAAACAAATCGAAGGTTTCCGAGAAAGGTCCAATTTCTCGTATTTTACTTTGTTTTTACAAATCAAAGGATAGAAAGTCAATTAAGCTTTCGCTAAAATGCATGCGATCAAAAACCATTTCCCATTTGAGTTTTGGAATGTAATTTTTTTTTGGATGACAAACTGCAGTTACCAGTATACATCTTGTATTACGGAGGACAGTAAGGAAATTAACCAATGTTTTTTAAAACACTTGCACACAGCCATTGTTTTGCTCCATTTACATCATTTGACTACATCATCGGAAAATGAAATTTCCTTACTCGCGGTCCAATGGGAACAAACAGTGTTAGAATTGTTTTGACGTTTACTAAAAACACACGCTTGATATAGAATGAAATAGTAATCAAAACTTTATGAGTGCGGCTGGAAGAATTGCGAGTTCACTCTACCGACGTCCCGTTTGCCGTCATGTCTCAAACTGGAGGTTTTTAACCCTTTAAATAGTCGAATTGTGTGCTCTTTATCGACAGACGGTGACACTTTTTTTTAAAGAATAATGACAGCGGCGGCGGAAAAAAAAGTTAAAATGCCATTCATTGTCCAATGAAATAAGCTTCCAAAGCACAGATAATAAAACCAAATATAACCTAACCTTTGAAAAGGGTGTAGTAAGTCTCCAACACAATAAACATCGTGCGTTGTAGATCTCATAATTTTGATCTACTGTAAGTGAACACAGATCCTTAATTCTCACACCACATCTACATCTCCGGAAAAGTAACAGGCAAAGTCAGTAGGTTGAATATACTTGAAAAACTAGAGAGGGTAAAGGACCGTGCACTTATGTATGACATGTATTTATAGCAAAGACCCTTCATTAAGAAAGAATGCTCAATTTGATTGGTTTACAAAACACATTAAAGGGTCGTCTCACCCAAGATATGTTAATTACGATAGACAGATGTTTTCAAAAGAAGACACCCACCACTACAGATAATTCATTTCAAGTAAAGAACACGCATCGTAATTAAAGGGGCACAAATATGCTTTGATACCTAAAGTAAGATGTACAAAACATGGTCTAAGGTCTCTTCGTTACTTCGCCGCTGTAAGGACTTAGAATTCGCTGCCGGAGACGATACGCGCTATGGCCGGCACAAGAGAAATTTAAAACTGAATTCCAGACACGCAATTTACATCTAAATTATGAGGTAATCATATTACTTATTAGAGTTTTATATCTTTTATCGTGGAATAAACCCTCCCTCCCGAGGGGCAATGAATTATCGGCCAAGTATCAGTGAAGTATCGGTGAAGTGTCGGTCAAGTATCGGTGAAGTGTCGGTCAAGTATCGGTCAAGTACCGGTGAAGTATCGGTCATGTATCGGTCAAGTATCGGTCGTGAATCGGTCAAGTATCGGTCAAGTGTCGGTCAAGTATCGGTCAAGTGTCGGTCATGTATCGGTCATGTATCGGTCATGTATCGGTCAAGTACCGGTCAAGTATCGGTCATGTATCGGTCAAGTATCGGTCATGTATCGGTCAAGTATCAGTCATGTATCGGTCAAGTATCGGTCATGTATCGGTCAAGTATCGGTCATGTATCGGTCAAGTATCGGTCATGTATCGGTCAAGTATCGGTCATGTATCGGTCGAGTATCGATGGTTTAAGACTATATCGGTCGACACATTTATCGGTCGACTGTCGGCCGATATATCGGTCGACTATCGACCGATAGTCGGTCGACAGTCGACCGATAGTCGGTCGATTGTCGGCCGATAGTCGACCGATAGTCGACCGATATATCGGTCGACTGTCGCCCGATATGTCGACCGAGTCCACCTATAGTACACATGATCCAATTGAATTTAATGTGATATGTTCTGTATTGTATGATGTATTGGTAACCACAACTTTAAACTTTGAAAAAAATATTACAAATGATTTTAGTTTTGGGATTAAATGTCCTCCTGCAATACTTGGTCAAATAGTCAAGATCACCATAATATAATCTCTTATTGGGCCACCAAAGTCTGGTTCCTGTCAATTACATGACAAGGACTGCAGTGGAGTCTACAATGGCATTCCTGTCTTGTCCCCAGAGCTCACTATACTAAGCACAAGACCTCTTGTGGTATCTTGGGGTATCCTTCTTAGGTAGAGGTTGTAAATCTTATTCTCTGCATAATCACAGTTGCTCACAATTAGTATCAATTTTAACAGTTATGCCAGTTTGGCTATACTTTTCATCATTACTGTTTTGTTCTGTTCTGTTTTTGAACATGAAATGCAAGTGTTAGCAGTGTTTTTTACTGCTGTAGGTAAGCTTACAATCTAACTGAGGGTGAAAACCTTCCAACTCAGAGTGTCCATTTCATTTTCTCTTTGAGGATTTTCCTCTCTGATCACATTATAATTGTATCAGATATGGCGCTTGACATCAGTTTACAAACCTTTTTTGGTTCCTGTGTTGCCATTTGCCAACTTGCTTGTTCCGAAATATCAATTTCAATTAATAAAAATGAGCTAGGGAGAAGTCCAGGAAATGGCCAGACATACTACAATTTGGCAGATGGCGTGACAGCTTTAGCTCCCTTGCTTTAGGTTCTATACTCTGATAAAGCAGGCTGTTTCAACAAAAGACTGTGTGTGTTATATCGAACTTTATTATAAGATAAAATATTCTTTGAAGTAGACAACTCTGACAAGTTATCAATAGAACTGATTTATTGTTTGGAACATCTTGGATGGTTGAGAGATAGAAACATGTGGTGAAACTATAGGTGGCTTTGTAAGGAAAATAATTGGAGAAATCCCCTGCAGAGGTTGGTTGGGGGGGGGGGGTGGATAGACTTAAGTTTTTTCTGCACACCAACCGGCAGAAAATTCCCATTGGCCATGCAAGAACACTGCTATATGTCAATTTACTGTTCCGGTTTCTTTTCAAGGGAGATGCACAGAACATTAAATAGAAAGCATTCAAGGCAAAAACTAGGCAGTTGTGCCGCCCACACTGATCATCAAACTTCCAGAAAAATCTCTAGCCATACAGAAGGTATTTACAGGATAGTCTACAAGCCCCCTCTGTGCAGATCAGCATATTAACTAAAAAGTTAAAAGAATAATTGTTAAGGTAGCTGACCTTTGATCAGATAGAATGTAACATCAATGAATGCGTACAGGTTTCTTGCACCAATGTTAAATTCAAGTTCTGACTTATAATTTTAGGACAAGCAGCTGCTTATGTAACATCTACTGCAGACTGGATTAAAGGTATTTATTGAAAATTGGGCTTTCATCTTTATATAACAGTTATTTATTTCTCTACATTCCACACTTTGTCAACAGTACTAAGTTACTTAATTAACTTGAAATTCATTATTTGCTTTGTCAGACAGCTAGCTAACATATATTACTTGAGTAGGCATTTTTTTATACAAGCTATTTTCTGAAGTTAACCAAAGACTGAAATATTACTTGTGCAGCTTCAAGTGTGACATCTAAAAAATACTAACATGGGCCACAAACAAATACAGTGTGAGCTGAACTTTTGCTCAAAGAATTTGTTTTCAACAGGGCCAATTTAACCCTTTTACTCCCAACATCTTGTTTGAAGAATTTTATTTTGGATCAACCAATAATTGCCTCATTGATATTTTTCTTTATTCTTGTCCTTTCTCTGCTTGATATTGTATTTTGTAAGGAGAAATTCTGTCTTGGTCACACATGGGAGTTAAACGGTTATTAGGGAAGCCACCTGGCAATGCGGATACTTTTATTTAAGAATAATTAAAAGTTTATTTTTGGCCACTTTTTGGAAATCAATGAGTTGATCTGATTACATTAACCTCAAAACCATCGACCAAATGGGCCGCTTCAATATTATTTGATATTTATAGATATTATTATTATCATTAATAATTATGATGATCAATCATTAGTCAAAGAAAGCTGTTATCTACATAAACTAGCATTATCCTCAATTCCAATCATTTCATTGGCTGTAAACAGTAATTGTTCCCAAAGCTGGTCCTTTGTTTTAGTTTTAATATCCAATTACTGTATGCATATAATCAACATGGCTCCCACATAAAGTCTTGCATTTGCATGCATAGATAATACTGAGTGTGTGGAAAAGATTGGATTTATCCACATGTTTGCAGTAAAACTAGGCAGAGAGCTAATTTTACTTACCCTTGCAGCAATCCCTACCACTAGTAATATAAATTGAGACTTGATGACTGACTCTTGTATCTTGCTGTTTCTTGAACAATTAGTCTACAGAGCTGGTTGCTTTGAAAGTTTTAACTAGTGAAAGGAGTGGGAAATAGAAATCTCATTTCCAGGCCCTGTTCTGGGATTGTTGTCCTCTTCTCATCCCTTTTTTCCTTTACCCCTCACAAGATTTCGAACTGATCAGTCTCTTTCCATCTTCAAAATATAATGTTCTCATTAATTGATATATGGTGAATTTTTTCTTGGGAGGGGGAGGGGGGGTGAACAGGTTCTTGGGCTGATTGGTTTCTCTTCATCTATATTTGCACTCACAGTAATTTGTTTTGATGGTGTCTGTCTTATTGGCTGGGGAAGATGATGTCATTACCAAATTTGATAGAGGGCTGGATTTTTTCCCTTATTCCTTGAGGAAGGTAGACTTGAAACATGCAAACTGAAACAAACCTTGTATGATCAAACCTACACTCCCCAACCCATGACTGGCTTCCAAAAAATGCTCAACGGAAAAAGATCAGGGAGAGTATACTGAGTAATGGCTGTCCCTTGGAATGACAGAGGTTCTGTCAGAAGCTGTTGCATTTTGGCCCTTTCTGCATATCTTTAAATTTTGAGGTAAGTCAGTTTTGGAAAGTTGAATTGATTAGAGATTTCTTTATTCATTTTTCCACGTTGTTGTTTTCAGCACCGTGTGTTGGGGGCGTGTCCTTTGTCGTAGAGAAGCTAAAAAGTGGTGAGTCATTGAAGGCCGTGTGGCTGAGTGGTGGTGGCGTTAGATTCATTTTCTGATGATCCCGCGTTCAAGCCATCCACCTTACTATGCTTCTTAGTCGTCCTAAGTTCAACTCCTTCGCCATGTGCTGTATATAGCCAACTGGTCTGCCTCTGTCTAGTTGGGATTTTTAAAACACTATGTTTTTTTTTACAGTAACTGTGTTCAACTTGTTTGTATTGGCCTTGAATGGCCCCATAGGGGAAGTGGTCAATTATCATCGTTAATTCTCAACAATCACCACTAAGCGGTTATGAAATTGTTCCTTTCTCTTGTCGGAGTAAAAAATTTTGTGAAATGCTGCAAAACTCTGCAGCACACAGTGTCTGTACACACCCATTCCTATCTCGGACCGGTAATGCTAGTGCCATTTGCTTCCCAAGCAAACCTGAATTGTTATGAGCGCACGCATTCTATTCAGTGTGTGAGCGTGTTACGCGTGAAATAAATTATATGATTCTTTCTATAAACCATCTTCTGAACTATTTACCAATTGTTGTGCTTTCTTTCGACAGCTATAACTTTGGTGTGTAATTTTCGTACCGCTGCTGGTGTTCTTCTTGTGGTTAACAGTGCCATGGCTCTGCGAAAGTGCAAGAGTCCCAAGGACTTCCAGGAGACCTTTGAAAAAGTTATATTACCTTCATTCAACAAGCTGATTGAGAGCAGTAATGGTTCTGTACGCTTCACGGTAGAATCTGAGAATTTGATTGCTTTGAAGGAGTTATGGGAGATCTACAAAGATGGAACATTGCAGAGTCGTCTTCAAGAATTCCTAGTCACTGATGAAATTAAGCAGCTTGCGAACGGAGAAGACATTGAAGTGACAGTGTTCATTGATGAACACGAGTATAACGAAGCCTATTTCAATTTGTCTTTACTTCATCATCAAGGTATGCTTGTAATGATAAAAGGTAGTCATAAGCCATGTAAATATTTGCTTTTATTAGGAAAGTTTCCTCGTACAAGTCAAAATGTAAATGTAATTTAAAAGTGCGTCCTAATTGGTTAGGTTAATTCGGACAGTTCTGGTGCTACATCAGGCAAACTGAGTAATAAGTAAGAACCAATCCGGATACACTCTTTCTTATTGAAACAGTTATATCCACGGTCAAATTTCTGAATTAGTTGTCGCTGGCCCAAAGAAGCTGCTGAATTATTGATCAGCTGATTAGTGACCGTCAACAACATATACAAAACAAATCTGAAATTTCGAAATTCGAACGGAGCATGTTTCTTTTTTGAAATGACCTGTGTGACCGGTCATCGCCATATTATTGCAGGCTCATTTGAAATGTCGCAATTACGTTACTGTTGACTTCTCTGAGTTCTCGAGCAGTTTGGTGGCGTCTTTCCCTCATTATTTCGTAGCTGTTGTTTTCAAGCGTTCCTCCATCCCTCCCCTCCCTCGTCTCCCTCTTTTTTCCTTACACATATATGGCCAGAGTTTACAGAAGCCAGGATTGAGGGCTCATGGCTGGGTTGCTCAAGAACATTAATCGCAATTTTTTACATGGTTTAAAATTTAGACAGCTCTTAATCATCATCAAATCTTTCTTTTAATGGATCAATCAACCTCAAATCAAAGTACATTCTAATTGTTCTTGTTGGTTAATTCTTCCTTTAGCGCCAAATGTTGAACAGGAAGAACGGCCTGGACGAAGAACCCGAAGGAATTCGGACTCATTTCTTTGCGTCAAACCCAACGAGAATGAGATAGGCTTGATGAAGCTGATGGAGGAAACAGAAGACAAATGGAGGGAAGAGAAACAAATGCTTGAATTAAGGATCGCAGAGTTTGAGAAAACTCTGAAGGCGGAAAGGACGAGAGATCTGGATCGCAAGCATTTAGGTAACTAGTTACACCTAATTTATTTTCGCAAAATGTATAGGGGATCACTGGTAAAATAGAGGGCAGAGTAAATTTCTTGCAAACATATAACTATCGTATTGCATTAGAAAATATCTTTCATGTCCTTCCCACGAATTTGTTCAATTGATTTTTCCTGGGACGGAAAACTAGGTAAAACATAGCGGAAGCATCTATTTTCACTAAATTCAAATAAAAGTTAACTTAATCGGGGCCATAGGTGAGTGATACCGTATTTACCGTAAGCAAGCGTGGTGTAGAACCAGCTTTAAGTACTACCTGAAACATTGTTTCCGTGTGGTTAACTTGTAAGTGCCGTCGCTCTTTCTTAGGTCCATGACTGGCGAGCGATTTCAGCCTACTGTCGTGGTGGTCAGTTTATCTTAGAAAATATGGAAGTCATTATGCATCATTAAACTTTCGTGTAATAAAGGTTTTTTTTTTTAATAATTACCAAGAAAAAACGTCATACGTCATGCGTAATAGGAATAGATTCCACAACTTGAACCATTTAAAGTTATGTTTTATACCGGTCTCACCTCAGGTAGCTCTCTTACACTGCTTGTTTTGCGAAACGCCTTATGCTAATTTATTCGGGCAACAAGAACAACAGCAGTGAAAATCACCATTTTCTTCGTTTTCAGCAAAAGGGGGAACAACGTGAGAATTTTTGAACGCCTCTTATTTTGAACAGTTAATCTGTTGTTATTCCAACTAAGTGAAAGATGTTATTATAATTATGTCAAAATCCATTTAACATAACTGAACGTACAAGTACCTTTGTTATGGTTCGTTGTCAAAGTTTAAATGAAATGTCACATTCTCCATATGAACCGAACGATAGCAATGATGACAAATACATCTATCGACATGAAAAGCCTGGTTAAACCAAAGAGAAACTCTTTTCCTTCATAATCACTTGCCATAAGAAAGTCATCAAAAATTGTCGTTGAAAATAAAAAAAAATTATAGATAAAAAGTAGGTCAACTACTTATTTTGGTGAACTCTTAAATCCTTTCCTGAAAAGGTATTTTAAGTGTAATCATTGCCAATCGTACCCCTCAATTCTAAGCTATTTCATTGTTTTTTTTTCTGTATTAGAATATGAGATTCTCGAACATCCAAGAAAAAGACATCGAAGAAACTCTGATTCCAATCTGTATTGCAAAGCAAGGAAAGTGGAGGCTGAACAAACTGAAAGCCAACTAGAGCGAGCTTTAGAGGGTGGAGTACAATTGGATATCGAGAAGCGTATGTTCGTAGAGAATTATTTACAGAATATCCATGAAACACACAGCATGACGACAGAGACAAGTGACAGCGGAATAAGAACGCATGGTGCAACATCTGAGATAGAAATGCAAGAAATATCTGGTAATTATTTCATTTTAGTCATGGCATGTCAGTCCCCAAAGTGTTTGGCAGATGGCAGAGTGAAATTTCAGCAGGATCGTAAAACACTGAGTTACTCCGCCAGTACATGTAACCTACAGCGGAACTTTTCTGTGGTTAGAGATCGGAAGAACTTCAGGTCTCTTGGAAAGATATCTAGTTCACAAGAGAATTGAACTAAATGAGCGCTTCAGGAGTTAACGAGATTCTGGATCGAGATTGGGTGTTACTACGCTGTGGATCAGCAGACCGCGGAACCTCTGAACCCTATATTTTTAGTAAAAGAATAGTAATTAAATAAAATAGAATACTATAAAATGTTTTCGGGTATGAAGAAGATTATGTATGTAGTATTTTTTAAATGTCGTTGACGTCCAACTTTAACTGTGGCGACATTCACCGTAAAAGGGTATGTAATGTCATAATGAGCAATCAGCAGTCACCTACCCCGAGTGAGAGCTGGAATTAGCGGCGTTAAATTCCATTCCTTGGACATTGTACCTGGAATGAGAAACATGAGCGTAAAGAAACATCATCATCATGTTGGTATTCATTTTTTTTCAGGCGACGACCACAAACTTTGCTGGAAACATCTCAGCAGCGCAGTAATCGAAAAACTGGATTTAAGACTGAAAAACGATCAAACTGCTTTTGAACAAGTATGTCAGTCATTTGGAATTGATAGAATACCGTTCTTCTCTCGGGCAAGTACATTTGCTGGAATTCTCAGTATGTTTCCAGATACACCTGTTAAGCTATTAAAAGAAGTCTTTGAAGCTTTACAGTTATATGACCTGATTGATTTGCTTGAAGAAGGAAAATCACTAGCCATAAGATCGTTGCGACCTGCTCTTCGTTTACAGGAAATAGAGAAATTAAGGAATCCTTATGATCGTCCCATATCTTATCACAGCAGTGTTGCTGTTCTGATTATTGACTTTGCGGAGACTTGCGACACCGAGGGTATTAAAAAGTTTTTTAAAGGTCTTAACACTAAGAGCGAGGTAACTGTGATGCGCTGCAGAAACGTTATTAAAGAAGTTGGGAGTTTCCCACAGCCGCTGGAGAAGGTGGCGGAGGACATCAAGAGAGAGATGAACAAATTGAGTCCGACCTCTTCAGAAGTCATACAGAGTTGGATATCCAATCAAGGTTGGTGAAAATATGTGAACGGAAATTAACAAAAAAAGAACGCGGTCGTGGTGGTATGTCTGCATACCACGAAACAAACATATCTTTTATAATTAAGCCAAAGCTAGATCATCGTGGTCTATATTGCGGGTTTATGGTAGGTGCATAATTTATTGGTGATATATACCACTTGAAGGCATGAATAGAACTTTGTTAGTGCCATAACCTTAGACGAGAACGGTATTATGGTTGCACTTTGCACCATGAGATCCTCGCCCAAAAGTTAAAAAGTTTCTTTGAGGATTTAAAACTGAACACTATGGTCTAAGAATCAATACATCGATATATCACCAGAAACAAGGGAACATTTACCATGTAGAACAGAAGTTCTTTCAGCATATCCAGGCAAGGAGAGGTAAGCGCGAGGCGAGCACGAAATGGAAGACACGCGCGAGAGAGGCGCGAGTCACGTACTCCTCCTCTTGCATGCGGCTCACCCTACGTGCTCTCCTCACTTTCACCTTGCGTTTGTCTCCGCCAGCTAAAAAAGTAGTTAAGAATAACGCCTACTCTTCAGGTGAGGGAACTACTAATTTCCTAATTCATGTCGCTCGTGGTTGGAAACAAATCTGTGCTTGATTCAGTTTAATTTAATGGCATCGACCGTAGTTAAAATGAGTCAAGGCGCTTTTTTTCGAGCAAGCGATCATGATAAATACAGAGAAATAATTCCCATTAACATAAATCAACTTGTGGTCTTACATCTGTTACTGAATATTTAATCGTCAACTGTAATTCGTAGTTGTAGTTTTGTAACGAGGAGACTTACATTTTGCGTTCGTTTTAAATTTATCCTCAGATAAATATTCGTTAGTTGCTGTATTTTTCATCTTCAATGGTCTCAATGATTGGTTCTCCATAGCAGGAAAGTCATTTGTTGAATCTGTAAAGGAGAGGTTGGTCACCGCATTCCCCACAAAAGTGAAATTGATCATCCATTCGTTGTCCTATCAGCCACGTTTACGGACGCACAAAGAGCTTGTTGAGGTGTCTGTTCCTTTTGATGGTGATGTTTTGCTACCTTTGATGCTGGAGGTTTTTATCAAACGCTGGGAAACGATGGACCTGTTATCAATGATGAGAGAGTTAGGGAGGTCTTTTGCAACAGATTCGAGAGTCATTCTTTTTCTAAGAGGCCCTGAGGAGTTAATTATAAAGGAGAATTTGTCGTGTCTTGTAAGGTTCATAATGCATGAAGAGCCGACTAATTAGTAATATTGCGGCAGGTAGCGACATAAACCATTAAGGCTAACCGAATTAGATTAAACTCAGTTTTAACTGAATTTAGCTAAATACGGAGGCCACTTTTCAGACATTTACCTTGTAAAATTAGTCTTTTTTGAAAACGCTGTCCTGCCTCCTACTTGGACAATTTTATACGGGAAATATACGATCGTCTGAGACCCAAGTGACCTAAACTCAGATTTAAAGCGGCTTCGTTTTAGTTTGATCGTCTCTAATTATGACGGCATTTTGTCGAGCAGGCAGCTATGCCAAATACTGATGACTAATTCCAGTTAACTTAGATCATCGTGGGATACTACTTTTATATCATTGTGTTTTCGTTTGGCTGGTACTAACTTTTACCTGAAAAGGAAGCTTACACTTTTCATTGTTTGTAAAATTCCTCAGAGAACTATTCGTTATTTGTTGTATTTTTTTATCTACGATTGGCCCTTTTCTCCAACGACCGATCGAAATCAGTTTTTGACGATCTCCTTCTTAGTCGTATAGTATCCAAAACATCAGTGCTAGGGGCGGAGATAGTTAATGAAAAAAACCTTCATAAGGCACACTAGGATCTCCAAATTCAATAGTGTAAATATTGCTATAAGGATAATGATTGTCATCCTTAGCCTTGTTCTCTTTCAAGATTTCGGTTTTATTTGCTGTTATTGGCTCCCATATTATTTTCCCCTTTGTTTCACAGAAGTGTTTTCTCATTGAGAATAGCGCATGATGTATAGTAAGTATGTTAACCAATGCAAATTAAACTTTTTATGCTATCACGTTCTCCGAAACTTTGAAGTGTATTGTTTATGTCTACCACTCCAATTTTTTTACGAATTGTATGGTTAACTTTTAGTGGATAAACATTATCCACTATTCATAAGATTTGGTATAAGTATAGCAAATCGCACGTACGCGAGTGCATATCGTGACAAATAGGCGCGAGTGATTATTTAGAAGTTTTCGTTATTTCTCGAATTTTTCGAGAGTGCAATTTGAAAACCTCTCACAGCATCACGAGGGACCATAAATCATGAAATGCATGAACAGAAACAAATAAGATCTCACAAATGCATGAAATGCACCAGATCTAATTTAATTCACTTCTCTTTACTCCCTAAATGACAGCTTCGGGAAAAAAAAACCTCTTTTTGAAATTATTACAACTCTGATGTATGAACGGTTGAAAGCAAACGGAGAGAAATAAAAATGATTGCCTTTTGACGTTTTCTGCAAAATTTGCGCTTAACTTCGCTGACAGCAAAAAGTGTGATCTCCCTCTTAACCGTATAGTATCTAAAAGATCGGTGTTAGGGGCGGAGAAAGTTAATGAAACACAATTCTATAAGCGACAATAGGATTTCTAATTTCAATAGTGTAAATAGTACAGTGCTGTAAGGGTAACGGCTGTCATCCTTAGCTATAGCTTAGCTGTTATTGGTTCCCATAGTATTTTTGACTTTGTTTTGCAGAAGTGTTTTCTCCTCAGTTAAGAATAGCCCGTGATGTCTAATAATATGGGAATAAACGAGTAACTTACATTCACTCGTTTATGCAATTATGGTTTGTGAATTTAATGCAACTTGTGCTCTTTTCTTTGGAATATTACAGGCTCTTGGATGAAATAAGTGTGTTTAGTTCACGTTTAATTTTTTCATGGATTACTTAAGTACACGCTTAACTCTTATTTAATTTTCTACAATTCCTTAATGGCAGCATACATTCCAACTGTAAAAGGACGTAAGACAATGGGTTGTGTTTCCGCCCAAAACCAGCTCGAGACAGGGCGCGTTATATTCGAACTTTATTATAAACCACTTTAAGCGATGTTTTACCAGGGTGTGAAAACTTGTGTACTCATTCAAAAGTGTGCAGCTCAAATGAAAAAAGCAAACGAGACTATGAAATGTAATTTTAAATGTGGTGAACACAGCCTGAATTTGTTGAAATGATAGTTTGAAGTCATGGGTACTTAATTTACTAGGAAGGTCCACCAAACTGGTCAATTCCAGTGAAAAATATTTGATGATGGCACAAATAAACATTGTCTTCTAGAGAAGCGATCATAATACTTTTTTCTTGCGCGAAAACTAATAAAAAACATTCAGTATTATGTTTACTTGTACGAAAAATAAAGATAACATTATTCATTAGAAAGAGGTTACTCGTGGTTATAATGTTCAAACTTAAAATTTCTATCCTTTCGCAGAAACCTCTCCCTCTGGGCAACGAATTCTAAGTGACTGAGGTCCACGGGCTTTGTTCGAGTGCGTTTGAATGCTAGCCTTGACGTTAAGCTACCTGCGCTTTAAGTGGCCAGTCTAGATAGGCGAGTGAAGCCCACTCTCAAGAAAAAACCAAGCGATCAAGTGTTTTTGTTAATGCACCCAATGCAAAACAGCGCGTGACAAAGTTGAGTTAACCTAAGAAGACCCGTTTGACTCAGCAACACACTCCGATTGACCTGCGTGTCAGAAACTACCCTCCCATCTCCTGAACTTTGGACAGTCATTTCAACCTAAAAACCTTACAAGGGAACCTAGGTAGGTATGTCAAGAACTGTTTTAACATGTTCAGATTAGGTAACCGATTGATTAAACGTAATGGATCATCTTTAATTTGCACACATTAGTTCTGAAGAACTATCATTTCTCCTGAAATTGCCTGCTTGAATTGAATAAACGGGACACTGATTTAAATGAGACAGAACCGTGAATTCAATAATCTACCATGAATTGCATTCTGCCTGGATCTTGATTCATCAAGGTGGACAAGTTTGATGTAGATAAGCAATGCCTGATGTGTCGAGAAGGCTTATTATCCCATGATTTGCTGCAAGCCACAACTGGACAGTTTATATTAATAGTATGGCATCATTATGAAATCAGTATTTATCTTGTATCTTCGCGCTACAGAAGACCCATATATTCAGAAAATATGTATGAAATCGAGTATTATGACCTCATATTTGAGATAAGTACGAAAATTGACGTAAACCAATTAGAAAGATTGGTTTTCATGTGCACAAAGAAGATCTCAGAAGGCAGTGAAGGAACGATAAAAAGTGCACGCGGATTATTTAAAGAGCTTGAGAAACAGGGTTACCTCGGAATCGACCGGTTAGAAAATTTAAAAGAGATTTTGAAACAGTTAAAGAAGCGATCCATGATCAAGAAAGTGGAAGAGTTTGAGATCAAAAGAAGAGGTGCCTAATAAATATAATGCTAGTCATATTGATTTGTTTTGAAATCAGTTCAGCGAAGAAAATTTTAAAAGCCGGAAGTGCCTTGGTGCTCGAGAAGTTCAATTGAAGGCTTAGAGCTTCTTCATTTGTTGCATAGGAAATGATTTCTTGTTAAGATGAACTATGTATTATTTTAATTTGATAATTTAGTTTAACAGTTATTGCTTTGGAATTTTAAGTTTCCATGTTGCCAGAATTAAGAATCTTTGTTATCATGGCTTTAGAAAACCTCACGATTCCTTTAAATTTCAGCTCAGTCAGTTGGTATCATTGCTTCATTTAAGCAGGCTGCTGTCAATTTGAAAGGAGGTAAGGTGTAAAAAGGCAAGGTTCTTGTGCATTTAAAATATTTAGGGCAAACAGGCATAGGCCAGATGTTGAATACCAGTAACAGAAATGTTAGATAAAATTAGATAGTATTTATAACGGTGTAAGAATCAGTGCTTGGCCTGTCATGCATTATGACATAGTTTTATTAGAGTGTTTTTGTGTGCTAAACAATTAAGTCAACTCTTATAGGCCCCAGTTCATCTAATATAAGTTCCAAATAGCAAGAAACAAGGACAATCAGAGATACGGGCAAAAATACATGACTAATGGTCCTAACCTCTCTTCTAAACTTTCCATTTTGGAGGAGTACCAAATGGTTTAATTCTTTCAATGCTCACAAACTTTCAAAATTTGGCTTCTGCTTCTCTCCGTTTGCTTTCAACCGTTCATACATCAGAGTTGTAATAATTTCAGCTTCAAATTAACTTATCATTATTCTCCTCCACAAAACAAATATTGTTGGTAGCTGACTAAGTTTTTAGCAGTGAAGACTAATGTGAACAAAATATTATAAAGAATTTACCTTTGGACACAGATTCTTGGCCCTTAGTTTGTATTGTACAACTATAATACAAACTAAGTTAAGCTCTATGTTACTGACATTTTAGTGATCAGGTGATTAGTGTTTATGTAATGTGTTACAACTGTGTTTGCATGCAGTTACAATAACCTCAGCACATCATTTACAGAGGCTAAGCCATGCAAAATTAAATTTGCTTGGCTTTCTCTAGTAAATTACTGAAAACATAATTTTCAAAACTGAAGTTTAGTGTTGTTCTTATGGGTTCAATATTGCATCCTAGTTAATTTTTTCTCTCTCCTAGGAAAGCATATTAATACTGTATTTTGATAAATTTTGTTGCCAAACACACACTGAAAACTGTTAGAAATTGTAACTGTCCCAAAAACAACATTCTTCCCCTTAAATGTTCGTAGAAGAGAAGTTTGACTGTCCAATCAAGAGAGCTTTCCAAAAATATCATCATATTTAAAATGTAGTATTAACTTGATGCTTAAATGATTTTGAATATGATTAATTCAGGCAGTAATTAATTTCTTACTATTATAAAAAAATCTGCAGTTGTTAAGAAGCTACTTGCATACCGCAAATAATTTTGAGAGTATTCATAATTAGTCAATATAACTGTATTTTTAATGTCTTAAAATCACTCAAACAGGGCTGTTATTCTTGTGGAACTGATATTGTAAAAATTTCTGGAGTAGTGTCAGTGTCTGGGTGCATGTGGTGTGTGTGTGGGTGGGTGGGTGGGTGAGTGTGTGGAGGGGGGAGGGGGTAGCATTGTGGCACAATTCTATCTCAGAGAAAATGTTTTGAAAAAACTTGGTATACGTCAGTTGCAAATGTTTCTTTTGATGAGATATTGTGATTACTTAAGATCAAAAATGACTTGTTTCAATAGCTATCAAGATGGTTTGTAACTTTCGCACAATTGGTGGTACTCTATCGGTAGTTACTAGTGGCATGGCTCTCCGTAGCTGCAAAACTTTTGGTGAATTTGTGGAGATCTTCAACAACGTTGTGCTGCTTGCATGCAACAAACTGTTTGGATCTTGTAGTATCCGTTCCTCCACACGCAGTGCGAACCTACATTGTATCACGTGATATTGTAATAAACATGTTCTATCCAACATGGCGTGTGTTCACTGACGATCGTACATTTGGCGACGAGGACCGCGGATTACAAGAAGACAATCAAGGCCAGAAAAGAGAAAACCAGCGAAACACACGGCTAAGACCTCGAAGCACTTAAGCGACCAAAAATTAGAAGAAAGAAGAAGAAAAGAAAGCAAGAAACGTCGAAGAGAACTTGCGAAGAGACCACGTGCTCGATACGAAATCATGCTAGATACGCCAGGCCAAGAAGGAGCCCAAGGACATGCGCCGAATTCGACAGAAATAAGAGTGTTCAGCACCGGGAAATCACTAAGGATAGAGCCATTCAAGATTCCAGAAAATCCCCTGGAAGTTGGACGAGCAGGTAGAGAATGGATTGAAGACTTCGAGGACGAAACATCGTATTTCGAGATCACAGAAATAAGAGACCGCGTGAGCGCCCTAAAGATTTATGGCGGCAAAGAAACTCGCACGTAACTTGCCAGATACAGCGCCAGTGGTCGGGGACGATGACTACAAGAAGCTGAAAAGGAAACTAGACAACCACTTCCTGCCGAAAAAGAACAAGCATCACGGAAGATTCACGTTTAGCAAGCAAAGACCCATCGAAGGAGAGAGTGTTATCACATACGCGGCGCGACTACGCGAAAAATCAAAGGATTGCGAGTTCGACGAGCAAACAGACGACAGAATCCTGGAACACTTGATACAAACTGTCAAGGACAGCGAACTCGTTAAAAGAAGCATTCAGAAGAAATGGAACCTTGATCAATTCCTTGAAGAAGCAAGCCAAATAGAAGATATCAATCAGCAAGTCAAAGACATGAAAGAAGATTTCAAGATATCGAAAGTCGAGTATCAGTAAAAGGATTTTCCGAAAAGCAGCAAGTGGGGCGTAAGAAGAAACTCGAAGAAGAAACCGCTGCGACCTCCCAGAAAACGAGAAAACGAGAAAGAAGAGAAAGAGAAAGGCACAGGAGGAAGACAGGAGCACACCCTCCAGGCCGAAACTGTCCAGCATACGGACAACAGTGTTTAAAATGTGACAAGTACAATCATTACGCGTCATGTTGCAGAATCGGTGCCCAACCTCAAGAGGGATCTAAGGAGACTAAGAGAGGGCGAATCAAGAAGAGAACAGAGGCTGAGGAGACAAGCAGCGACTCAGATGATGATTACATTTACCTTCAGGAGACAGCACGACACTTACACCGAGTGAAGAAGATAAGATCAGGTCCAAACCAAGACACTCTACTAATCCGCATCGGAGACATTGATGCTGTCGTTGAACCAGATAGTGGAGCCAGCGCAAATGTGATGGATGAATATCAATTCAAGGCCCTCAAACACAGATCAAAAGAAATTAAGGAACTAGACCCTAGCAGAGACACACTGAAGACACTTCAATCTGATCTAACAGTCAAAGGCGAATTCACCACAACATTGCGGAACAAGAACCGGGGTACACAAAGCAAGTTGTTAGTGATCCAAGGAAAGATGGATTCTCCGCCACTCCTAAGTAAGAACACACTATTGGAGCTTGGAATGCTCAAAATCGATCCAGAAGGAACACTTAAAGAAACCAATGAGCTGAGAATCAAAACCGTGAAAACACCTGATGACAGCATTGAAGCAGCACTGAGCGAATACAGCGATGTATTCCAAGGGATCGGTTGTTTTCGGGAAAAGAGTACAGGCAAGAAGATTGAAGTCAAGCTAGAAATGGAACCTGATGCAGAACCTGTGGCTCAGAAACCACGCCCTGTACCGTATCACCTACAGAAACCACTTAAAGATTGGCTTGATCAGGGAGTGAAGGAGGAGATATTCGAGAAAGTTCCAGACGGAGAAGCAATTACTTGGTGTTCACCACTCGTGGTTCAACCCGAACCCAAGTTCGCAGATATGAAGAGTGAAGAGTTAGAGTCACACATGATTAGGGCAAGTATCGACATGAGGATTCCAAACCAGTCCATGAAGCGGAGCCGCTGCGTCCAATCACCAAGAGTAGAAGACTTCATCTACCGCCTACATGACTGCAAGATCTTTGCGAAGCTGGATCTCAGACAAGGTTACCACCAGCTAGCTTTAGACCCATCCACAAGACAAGTAGCAATATTCAGCACACCTTCGGGAAACTACAGACCCCAGCGACTGGTTTTTGGAGCAAAATCGTCACAAGATGTATTTGACGAAGCCATGTTCAGAATCTTTGGGGACATACCCCACTGCTTAAACCAGAGAGATGATATACTTCTTGGTGGAAGAGACGAGACAGAACATAGAGAAGTACTGAAGACCGTCCTAAAGAGAGCGAGAGATCACGGAATCACATTTAATAGAGAGAAATGTCAGTTTGGAAAGGAGCAGATCGAATTCTTTGGACATGTCTTCACCAAGGATGGACTGAAGCCATCACCTGACAAAGTAAGAGCAATCAAAGAATGTGGAGTACCTGAGAACAAAGAGGCATTGCGAAGTTTCCTTGGAATGGCAGGCTACCTGGACACCATAGCAGCACCGCTGTACCAGCTAATCAGAAAAGAAACAAATTTCCACTGGGGAAAACAAGAGGAAGTTGCATTCAGGAAAATACAAGACAACATCTCAAGTGAGAAGACTATGGCATTCTTCGACCCAAGCAAGCCCATAATCCTCCGTACAGAGGCCAGCTTCAATGAAGGCTTATCAGCAACTCTGCTCCAAAAGACAGACAGAGGCATACAACCGGTACATTTCATCAGCCGGACAATGACAGAGACTGAGAAGAGGTACTTTCAAACCGAGAAAAATGCTTTAGCAATCAAATGGGCCAAGGAGAGATTGAGAATTTACCTACTTGGAGCACACAGATTGAGAATCGTGACTGCTCACAAGCCACTGATACCTTTGCTCAACAAAGTAAAGGCCAAGGTACCTCCAAGAATTGAGAAGTGGATCATGGAAATGCAAGACGTAGATTATGAGTTGGTGTACGAACCAGGAAAGGACGAAGCAGACCCCTTAGACTTCCTCTCCAGACACCCTCTGCCTTAGACAGGAGATGACAAAACTGAGGAGATCATCCGATGGAACGTGAATGCAGAGCATGCTGTGGTTGTCACGCAAATCAGAGAGGAAACCCAGAAAGATGAGATCATGCAGCGATTGGCCAAGAGGATCGCTTAAGGGGACTGGGAGAAACACAAGAGAGATAAAGACCTTGAACCCTACCTACATGTGAAGCAGGAGTTATCAGTTGCAGAAGGACTTATCTTCAGAGAACACCGAATAGTACTACCGCCGACACTCCAGAGAAAAGTGGTCAGACTAGGACACAGCCTAGGACACTTAGGAAAAACCAAGACCAAGCAAATGCTGAGAGAGAAGTACTGGTTCCCTCTGATGAACAGCATGATCGACACAGCTATTGACCAGTGTTATGAGTGTCAAGTAGCTACGAAAGGAAACAGAGAAGAACCAATCAAGGTGACCAACATCCCAAACCGACCTTGGGACACAGTATCCATTGACCATGGTGGACCATACCCAGATGGTCACTATAATCTCGTCCTGATTGACAAAAGAACCAGATATCCAGTGGTAGAGTCAGTACCATCAACTGACTTCCAGACTAATAAGGAGAGATTGAAGCACATCTTCGCCACCTATGGAACTCCGAGGAGAATTGAGAGCGACAACGGACCCCCGTTCAATTCTAAAGAGTTCAATGAATTTGCAGAGCAGGAAGGATTTCAGCACCATAGGGTGACGCCCCTTCACCCAAGAGCGAACGGAGAAGTAGAGAGATTCATGCAAACCCTAAACAAGACCGAACAAATTGCAAGTCTGCAAGGCAAAAACCGTCTTGAGAGGAGAAATGCGATTCAAGACATGCTTACTGCTTACAGATCGACACCGCACCCAGCTACTGGAGTCGCACCTTATGAAGCCCTTAAGGGGACATCCGTGAGAACGAAGTTGGATTACATTGAACATGAACCACAAAGGAATGAGAAGGATGACTTAATTGACCGCAGAGATGCAGAGTACAAGCAGAAAATGAAGCAACAGAGAGAAGGGAGAAAGACCAGAGAGAATAATCTGCTACTAGGAGACTATGTGCTTGTCAAGCAGCCAAGGAAGAACAAGTGGAGTACACCCTATGAACCTGTGTTCTATGTTGTGTGCAATATTCATGGTTCCCAAATAACCGCCAGACGTGTCACAGATAGACGAACAGTCTGCCGAGATGCCAGCCAATTTAAGCAAGCAAATGCAGTTATCAACACCTCCGATGAACCAGAGAAGAGTGAGGAAGCACAAACACCACAGGCAGTTCCAGACCTCGAGATCCCAGAGAAGGTGAATCCACCAAGTGTACCACCTGATACAACAGCAAATGCAGAGAAACCACCCAGTACAGAGATATTGGTAATACCGGAACAGGAAACTGAACAGAAACAAGGAACAGAGCCTGACCAGCCAATGAATAAACCAGTAGCGACGAGACCCAGACAGGAAAGGCGCCAGCCCTCACATTTGAAAGACTATGTGCTAACTTAACAAAGACACTTATTGACAGTTGATTTTAGTTTCGTTATAAGATTGAACTTTCGCTTAGAGTTACAAGCTTTTGTTAGTTTGGGAGGGATGTAGTATCCTTTCCTCCACACGCAGTGCGAACCTACATTGTATCACGTGATATTGTAATAAATATGTTCTATCCAACATGGCGTGTGTTCACTGACGATCGTACAGATCATTTAGGGATCTCTGTGCTTCACAGTACAAGCAGAGACGCCAGCAGCTGTAAAGGAGTTATGGAACATCTACAAAGATGGAACACTGTAGAGACGTCTTCATGAATTTCTTTTACCGATGACATCAAACAGTTGACAGATGTGGAAGACATTGAGCTGGCTGTTTTCATCGATGAGCAAGAGTATGTGATGTCATTTAATTTTCTGCAAAATCAAGGTATGGTAACATATGTACAGATGCGTGTTGAATTTAAGTTTGGACATATGTAACGTTGAACGGGAAAAGCTACTACAGTAGGGTTAAAATTCCTTGGGAAAGTTGTTGAAAACACATCCTTTATCCAAAAATTTTAACAGACCAATTCTTGCGTGTACATAGAACCTGCCCTCCCCCCTCGAACAGTGCTGGTGAAATTAAACAGTCACCACGTCTTGGTCAAGTTTACAGAGCGCACAAATTCGACATTCTCTGGGGGAGATGGAGAAGGATTTGATTTTAGTAATTTTGCGTTAAGTGTCCCTCCTTTGTAGGTCAAGCAATGGAACATGTTTCATCCTGAGTCCGTATGCAGCGATGAATTATAAAAAAAAGGGATAAGGAAGAGTCACCCTTTCAGCATGGGGAGTTAATCCTCGACTGAAACAAGTGATCAGCCTGTTTTCAAAAGAATGGACGTACGTTTGCCCAAAAGTAATCTTGTTATCTTGCATTGAACAATGATTGCTATATCCAAATATTCAAAAAGAACAATTCTTGGGTGTACACAATACCTCCCCTTCCTCCTCGAACAGTGTTGTTAAAACTTAACAGTCACCACGTCTTGGTCAAGTTTACAGAGCGCACAAACTCGACATTCTTTGGTGGAGAGGGGGAAGGATTTGATTTTAGTAATTTTGCATTTAAGTGTTTTGTTTCATCAAGGTTATCCTAAGTCCGTATACAGCGATGAATTATAACCTTGTTCCTTACTGAAGTTGACAAGGATTTGATTTTAGTAATTTTGCGTTAAAGTGTTTTGTTTCATCAAGGTGATCCTGAGTTCGTATACAGCGATGAACCTCGCACCTTACTGAATTATAAACTTCCCTCGTTGAAAGGGAGTCACCCTTTCAACAAGGGAAGGTAATCCTTAACTGAAACAAGTAATCAGCCTGTTTTAAAAAGAATGAACATTCGGTTGCCCAAAAGTGATCTCGTTATCTCGCATTGGACAATGATTACTGTATCTGACAATTCAGCAAGATTAGTTGATTCAAACTTAATCCTTTTTCTTATTATATCCTCCCGGCAGTGCCTGATATGAAAGACGAGCGGTTTCGAGGGAAATCTGACTTCTTCTTTCACATCAATTCAATTCAGAGAGAGATTTCTATAATGAAGCTGACAAAGAAGAAGCTGAAAGACAAGCAAGTCATGGAGCCTGGCAATCAGCTGGGTTTTTTTGTAGAGTATAATTCAATTGAAAAAGTGAAGAATGTCTTAGAAGAATGGTACCTTGTAGATTTTCAGATCAATCTGGCATGCTTCGTATAGTTTATACCACGACCAAATGCCAAAGCACCAAGAATGCTTGCTGATGATTTCATTCCCTTCCTCATTCATCTCGCTGGTCTCGGTTCAAAGAAGTCAGTGGTGATTTTCCATTCGTTTTTGTTGCAACCTGAAAAATGTCATTTTTTTAAAAATTCTTTTGTTTATCTTTCCTACAGCGCCAAATATCAAACAGGAAGAACTGCCTGCCTGGACGAAGAACTCGAAGGCATTCGGATTCTTTACTTTACTGCAAACTAAGTGAGGTCGAGGTAGCTTCGATGAAGCAAATGGAGCAAGTAAAAGAATGGAGGAAAGAGAAACAAATTATTGAATTAAAGACGGCTGAACTTAAGGAAGCCCTAAACACGGAAGGGAAGAGTAATTTGAACCGTAAGTAGCTAAATACCTACTAACACTGAATTGAGTGTAATGAAATATCGTGCATGGAGGTAAAACTGTGGGTAGCGTAAATTTTGTGCGGAAATGAGAAACTATCACAGTTTTTCCACTCTAACGAGATAATGTGGTTAAATTAATGCTTCCTGGAGAAAAGGGGGTAGAAGATACCGTAAGTAATTCTTTTAGTAGAATTCACTCAGAAGTGGGAATAATCGAAAGCGAAGGAGAATGAAATCTGACTCAATCAAAGGTAGAGTGCATTTAGAGCCAACCCCATAAACAGACGGAAATTTAAAGTTGTTTGTATGTGGTTACCTGATAAGTGCTTTCGCTCTTCCTCAGGATTATGACTTTCTTAACAATTTGTTATTCTCCTGTCTTGGTGTTCATTTTTTTGAAGAAAACGAGAAACAGGACCATCAGAGAAAATATGATACATCGTTCGGGCAATAAGCACGGACCATAGTACTTTTATCATCACTTCAAAAGCGATGATGTGTTGTATGCTTTTCTCTTCCGCGATCTTGTCTTGTAACACTAAACAGATTATCGACCATACGTCTTGGGCGAAACGCGATCTGATCAACACGAGCATAACGAAGCATATTTCAATTTTTTTTAACTTCATCAAGGTATGCTTGTAATGATCAAAGGTAGTACATGCCAAGCAAATAGTGGCTTGTATAAGGAAAGTTTCCTCGTACAAGCCAAAATGTAAATGTAATTTACAAGCGCCTTCTAATTTGACAGGCTAATTCGGACAGCTCTGTTGCTGCATCAGCATACGGAATAATACGTAAGAACCGATCGGATTCCCTCATTTTCTTTTTGAAACAATTATATCCGTAATCAATTTCTGAATTAGTTCGCTGGCCCAAAGAAGCTCCCTAAATTATTGATCAGCTGATTAGTGACCGTCAACAAAATCTGAAATTTCGGAACGTAGCATGCGCTTTTTCTTTTTTTTTTTTTTTTTAATGACTTGTGTGATCGTAATGATCCAGGCCAGGTAGCTATATTTGACTCACAATTTAACAAAGTCAACCGTCATGAGCTTCGCGGCGTTTCCTGGTGATCGGTCATCGCCATATCATTGCAGGCTCATTTAAACGTCGCAATTACGTGACAGCTGATGTCTTTGAGTTCTCGAGCAGTTTGGTGGCGTCTGGTCCTCATTAAGCGGTTATTTTCAAGCGTTCCTCCCTTCCTCCCTTCCCACCCAATTCTAATTGTTCGTGTTGGTTAATTCTTCCTTTAGCGCCAAATGTTGAACAGGAGGGACGGCCTGGACGAAGAACTCGAAGGAATTCGGACTCTTTTTTTTGCGTCAAACCCAACGAGAATGAGATAGGCTTGATGAAGCTGATGGAAGAAACAGAAGACAAATGGAGGGAAGAGAAAAAAATGCTTGAATTAAGGATCATAGAGCTTGAGGAAACTCTGAAGGCGGAAAGGACGAGAGATATGGATCGTAAGCATTTAGGTATCTAGTTACACCTAATTTATTTTAGCAAAATGTATAGTTACACTTAATTTATTGTTGCAAAATGTATAGAGGATCGCTGGTAAAATAGAGGGCAGAGTAAATTTGCTGCAAACATACAACTGTCGCATTATTTTTACGCATTACTTTTTATGTCCTTCCCACGAATTGGTTCAACTGATTCTTCCTGGGACGGAAAACCGGTTGAAACATAACGGAAGCATCTATTTTAACCAAATTCAAATAAATGTTAACTTAATCTGGGCCAAGGCGATTGATACCGTAGTTACCGTAAGCAAGCATGGTTTAGAACCAACTGACCTTAAGAAAACTGGAACATTGTCTGTTGTGGTTAACCTGTAAGTGCTGTCGCTCTCTCTTAGGGTCCATGACTATCAAGTGATTTCAGCTTGCTGTCGTGGTGTTCATTGATCTTAGAAAATAAGGAATTTATCAATTTATGAAACATTTATCAAACTTTCGTTTGATAAAGGTTTATGAAAATAATTACGTCAAATGTCATGCACAGTAGGAATAGATTCTGGAACTTGAATCATTATTAGAAAAGCAAAATTATGTTTTCTACCTGTCTTACCTCAGTCAGCTTACTTACACTGCTTGTTTTGCGAAACGCCTTATGCTAATTCATTTGGGCAACAAGAACAACGGCATCGAAAATCACCAGTTTCTTTGTGTTTTGCAAAAGGAGAACAAGATGAGAATTTTTGAACACCTCTTATTTTGAACAGTTAATCTGTTGTTATTCCAATGAACTGAAATATATTATTATAGTTATGTCAAAATCCATTTAACGTAACTGAGCAAACACGTACCTTTGTTATTGTTTTTTGTCAAAGTGTAACTGAAATGTCACATATGCTCTCTGTGAACCGAACAATAGCAATGATGATAAATACATCTATCGATATGAAAAGCTTGGTTAGACTAAAGAGAAACTCTCTTCCTTTACAACCACCTGCCAGAAGCAAGTCACCAAAAAATTGTCGTTGGAAATAAGCAAAATTATAGATAAAAAGTAGGTCAACTACTAATTGTGATAAACTCTTAAATCCTTTCCTAAAAAGGTCTTTTCATTGTAATCATTACCGATTGTGCCCCTCAATTTAAGCTATTACACTTCATTGTTTTTTTTTTCTGTTTCAGAATGTGAGATTCTCGAACGTCCAAGAGAAAGACGTCGAAGAAATTCTGATTCCAATCTGTATTGCAAAGCAAGAAAAGAGGAGGATGAACAAACTGAAAACTAACTAGAGCGAGCTTCACAGGGTGGAGCACAATTGTATTTGGAAAAGCGTATATTGGTAGAAAACTATTTACATAATATCCATGAAACACACAGCATGACGACAGAGACAAGTGACAGCGGAATAAGAACACATGGTGCAACATCTGAGATAGAAATGCAAGACATATCTGGTAATTATTTCATCTTAGTTACGGCATGTCGTCTTCAAAGGGTTTGGTAGATAGCAGTGCGACATTTCAGCAGGATCTTAAAACACTGAGTTACTTCGCTAGTACATGTAACCTACAATGGAACTTTTCTGAGGTTAGAGGTGGGAAGAAGTTCAGTTTCTTGAAAAGATTTCTAGATTACAAGAGAATTGAACTAATTGAGCGCTTTAGGAATCAACGAGGTTCTGTTTCAAGATCGGGTGTTACTAAACTGTGTATCAACAGACCGCGTGGATCAGCAGACCGCGGAACCTCCGGAACCAGCTGCGGAACCCTATATTTTTTGTAAAAGAATAGTAATGAAACAGAATATAAAACTATAAGACCCTAACTCTGTTTGAAAGTTGGTTTTCGGGTATAAAGAAGATTAGTTTCAAATAAAAGTATGTTTTAAATGTCGTTGACTTCCAACTTTAACTGTGGCGACATTCACCGTATAAGGGTATGTATGTCATAAGGAGCAATCAGCAGTCACCTGCCCGGAGGGTGAGCTGGAATTAGCGGCCTTAAATTCGTTTCACTGTACATGACGATGGAATGAGTTATCGCCTGTGATGCATTGTTATGGCGAAACTTTTTGTTATATTGTTTTCTGTGTGTATTTCGTTTACGCGTTAATTACCTGCGGGTGTGTTTACGTTTCTTCAGTTGTATCGTGTACTTGTGGTTGATGTTTGTACCGTTGCGTGATGCCACGTAATTATGTCGAGTAATTTGTCAGGTTTGTGTATAAATTTAGTCCAGTGGATCAATTTTTATATATGTTCACTTTTCTGAAAACGAAATTTCGAACAGTGTTAAGGTATTTTTAGCTTTTATTTTATTTCATTATTACTTTTTTCTAACAAAAAAAAACTAATGGTTCCGCTGGTTCGGAAGTTCCGGAGGTTCCGCGGTCTACTGATCTACAATTTAATAACACCCATCGAGATCTTGCTTAATGATTTTATGGTAAAAAGCTGATATCAGTTGAGTACCAACACCTTTATTTTAACATATCAAGAACGTCAATAAATGTTCTTAAAGTGGAAGAGATTTACATCGATCAGTTTGTGTTGAGCTTTCCCTTAGTTATTCTTTGCCATTTTGATTTCGCGTAGGATTGAACAGTGCTATCCTTGATAGGAAAAAAATAATCATTATGATAATGAAAATAATAATGAGAGTCTCCCCCCTCCCCCCTTTTGTTTTGAATTCTTGAATGTTGGTATTATTTTTTATTTTTATTTTATTAGGCGGCGACCATAATCTTTGTTGGAAAGATCTCAGCGAGGAAGTAATCAGAAAACTGAAGGAAAGACTGGAAAACGATTGAGCTGCTTTGAAACAAATATATCAGTCATTTGGAATGGATATTTGCACTTCATGGTCCCACTCTCTGTTAAGAACATTTATTGACGTTCTTCATATGTTTCCAGACACACCTGTTAAGCTATTAAAAGAAGTCTTTGAAGCTTTACAGTTATGTGACGTGATTGATTTACTGGAAGAAGGAAAACCACGAGCCACAAGATCGCTGCGACCCGCTCTTCGTTTACAAGAAATGGAGAAATTAAGGAATCCAGATGATCGTCCCACATCTTATCACAGCAGTGCAGCTGTTCTGATTATCGAAAGTCAGGAGACTTGCGACACTGAGGGGATTGAGAAGTTTTTTAAAGTTCTTAACGCTAAGAGCGAGGTAACTATGATGAGCTGCAGAAACGTTCTTGAAGAAGCTAGGGAAGGGTCTTACGATCAGTTCATGTGGAATCATGACTTTGCAGTGCTTTGGATAGGGATAGAAACACAGAAAGAGAGATAAGGAAGGCGGATAGGAGCTTAGAGAGAGAGTTGGACAAATAGAGATCGACTTATTCAGAAGTCATACAGAGTTGGATATCCAATCAAGGTTGGTGAAAATGTAGAAACGGAAATTGACCTAACAAAGAACGCGGTTGTGGTGGTATGTGTACATACCACGAAACTGACACCAATTTGATAGTTAAGCTAAAGCTAGACCGGCGTGTTCTTCACTACAGGTTTATGGTAGGTGCATAATTTATTGTTGATTTATAACACTTGAGGGCATAAGCAACAATTTTGTTGGTGCCAAAAACGTAGTCTAGAACGGTATTATAGTTACATTTTGCACTATGAGATCCTCGCCTAAAGGTTAACAAGTTTCTTTGAGGATTTAAGACTTAACACTATGGTCTAAGAATCGATAAAAATCACCAGGAACTGGGGAACATTTACCATGCAGAACAGAAGTCCTTTTAGCGTATCCAGGCAAGGAGAGTTAAGCGCGAGACAAGCACAAAATGGAAGACACGCGCGAGAGGAGGCGCGAGTCACGTACTCCTCCTCTCGCGTGCGACTCACCCTACGCGCTCTCCTTGCTTTCACCTTGTATTTGTCTCCGCTCGCTGGAAAAACATTTAAGAATAACGCCTGCTCTTCAGGTGAGGGAACAAGTAGGCGGTCATGATAAATATTGAGATATACTTCCTATTAACATAGATTATCTTGTGGTCTTATGTTTGTTTGTAAATCTTTGATTGTTAACTGTAATTCTAAAATGCAATTTTACATTTTGCGTTCGTTTTAAATTTATCCTCAGACAACTTCTCATTATTTGCTGTATTTTTCATCCTCCCTCCGGGCATTAAACGGTATCCAGCAGTGATATCCCTATTTGACTCTGTAAAGGAGAGGTTGGTCACCTCATTTCCCACAAAATTGAAATTGATCATCCATCCTAAATTATGGATTCCAAGAACTTGGCCGCACGAAGAGCTTGTTGAGGTGTCTGCTTCTTTTGGAGGTGACGATTTCCTAACTTGGATGCTAGAGATTTTTACCAAACGCTGGCAAACGATGGACCTGATATCAATGATGAGAGAATTAAAGAGGTCTTTCGCAGAAAAGCGTTTGGTAGAGAGAGGTTCTCCTTTTTTTATAAGTGGAGAAGAAACGTTAATATCGACTATAAAGAGAATTTGTCGTGTCTTGTAAGGTTCATAATGCATGAAGAGCCGACTGATTAGCAATATTCGGTGGAAGGTGAGGTAAACCGTCAAGCTGGTCGAGTAAGATTATGCTCAGTTTTAACTGAATCAAACTTAATATAGAGGCCACGTTGCAGACATTTACGTTTTTTAAAACTCCATTCTGCTTCCTAATTGGACTATTTTATACGGGAAATAGACGATCACCTGAGACCCTGACCTGAGTTCGATCGTCTTTAATTATGACGTCATTTTGTCGAGCAGGCAGCTATGCTAAATACTGAGAAATAATTCCAATTAACGTATATCATCTCGGGATAGTACTATATTTAATATTGTGTTGGTTTGGCTGGTACTAACTTTTACCTGATAAGGAAGCTTACACTTTAAATTGTTTGTTAGTAAAATTTATTATCAGAGAACCTAACGTTATAAAATGCACCAGATCTGATATAATTCACTTTTCTTTTACCTATTTTAAATGACAGCTGCGAAAAAGAACCTCTTTTTGAAAATATTACAACTCTGATATATAAGCGGCTGAAAGCAGACGGAGAGAGATAAAAATTTTTGCCTTTTGACGCTTTCTGGAAATTTTTCGCTTAACTTCGCTAATAGCAAAAAAGTGTGATCTCCCTCTTAACTGTGTAGTATTTAAAACACCAGTGCTAGGGGCGGAGAAAGTTAATGAAAAACAACTCCACAGGGCACAATAGGATCTCTAACTTCAATAGTGTAAATAGTACTATTAGGATAACGGTTGTCATCCTCAGCTATGTTCTCTTTTAAGATTTTCAGTATTATTGGCTGTTATTGGCTCCCATAGTGTTTTTTACTTTGTTTCCGAGATGTTTTTTCTCCTTGAGAATAGCCCATGATGTCTAATGAGCATTATTTTGCAAACCATTAAACTAATTTTAATTCAGTTCTGTTTAGGTTTGGTTCGGTTCAGTTCAGCTCGAAAATAAGCCAGCATCATGACACGTGAACCATTGTGGACCACTGTGTATTGTTATTGTGGAACCTTTAGTCGTTTATCTTTCTATGACAAGAGCAATCACAAACAGGCACTTTGAAACAAAGTTTTATTTTTGAATTTTTCATTTTTTTCTTCAAAATGCTTGACAGAGTAATGATAGAGATGAGCTGTGAACATACTCGAGTCCATATGGGAACAAACTAGTAACTTACATTCAGTCGTTTATGCAAAATATGGTTTGTGAAATTTAATCATGCAACCTGTGTGTTTTTCTTTGGAATATTACAGCTTCTTGGATAAAATAAGTGTGTTCAGTTCACGGTATTCATGAATTACTTAAGTACACGCTTAACCCTTATTTAAGTTTCTACAACCCCTGAACATACATTTCAACTGTTAAAGTTCGTAGAACAATGAGTCAATGTTTCCGCTCAAAATCAGCTCGAGAACAACAGGTACTTGTGCTTAAAACCACTTTGGGCGATGTTTTACCAGGGTACGAAAACTTATGTACTCATTCAAAAGTGTGCAGCGCAAATGAAAAATGAAACGAGACTACCAAGGGCAATTTTAAATGTGGTAAACACTGCTTGAATTTTGTTGAAATGATAGTTAAAAGTCATTGGTACTTAATTTACTAGAAAGGTCATCCAAACGGGTCAATTCTAGTGAAAATCGTGGTTATCGTGGTTATAACATTCAAACTTGGAACTTCTATTCCTTCTATCCTATCCTTTCGCAGAAACCTCTTCCTCTGGAAAACGAATTCTAAGTGACGTTAAACTTCCTGCGCTTTAAGAGGCGAGACGAGATCAACTTCGCTTTTAGTAAAAAGCATCATCTCCCTCTTAACCGTATAGTATCTAAAACAACAGTGCCAGGGGCGGAGAAAGTTAATGAAACACAACTCCATAACGCACAATATGATCTCTAATTTCAAAAGTGTGAATAGTGCTATAAGGATAACGGCTGTCATCCTTAGCTATGTTCTCTTTTTTAGATTCCGGTATTATTGGCTGTTATTGGCTCCCATGGTGTTTTTGACTTTGTCCATGATGTCTAATAAGTATCTTAGCCAATGACGATTAAACTTCTTATGCTATCACGTTCGTTCGCAAACGGGTCAATTCCGTTGAAAATCGTGGTTTTAATGTTTAAACTTAGAACTTCTATCCTTTCGCAGAAACCTCTTCTCCTGGACAACGAATTCTAAGTGGCTAAGGTCTCCAAAATCTTTCCTCCCCACCCTTGTTACCAATCCAGTCCCCGGGCTATGTTGGAGTGTTAGCCTTGACGTTAAGCTTCCTGCGCTTTAAGAGGCGAGGAAAGATCAAAGGCGAGTTAAGCCCAATCTCAAGCAAAAACCCAGAAATTAAGTGTTTGTTGTGTTAATACACCAATGCCTAAAAACGCGTGACAAAATTGAGCAAACCAAAGAAGTCCCGTGTGACTAAACAACACACTCCGATTGACCGGCATGTCAGAAACTAACCTCCCATCCCCTGAACTTTGGACAGTCATTGCAACCTGAAAACCTCAGAAGGGAACCTATGTAGGTATGTGAAGAACCGTTTGACATGTTCAGATTCGGTAACGATGATTCATTAAGTTTAATCAATTGGTAGCACACATTAGATCTGACCAATTATCATTTCTCATGAATTTGCCAGTTTGAATTGAATAAACGGGACACTGATTTAAACGAGACAGAACCCTGAATTCAATGATCAATCGTAAATTGCGTTCTGGCTGGATGGCTATCATTCCAGTGGATGATAATTCTGCGAGTTCGGGCATTGGATACAAATCACAGCAAAGAACGAATATCTGAACGATTGACTCAAATTCCTCTTTCAAGAGCTAAAATGAAAGAAATGTCGAGAATTTTTCTGTATCACAGTTATCTTGATGAATGTCTCTTCAGTTACTTAGACCCTACCCACCTTAAACAAACAGGGTTAGGCGTGACGTTCGCACACCGTCGGTTTTCGAACGTCACGCGAGCTAGTGGTTAGTCATGCATCACTTTAAGTCACAATTCTTCCCCCTGTGTCCGCCATGTTAGTCGGCTTATAAGCATTAGGGAAACTCTGCATTATCTCCGCGCTACAGAAGACCCATATATTCAGAAAATATGTCTGAAATCGAGTATTATGACCTCATATTTGAGATAAGTACGAAAATTGATGTAGACCAATTAGAAAGATTGGTTTTTATGTGTACGAAGAAGATCTCAAAAGCCAGTAAAGGAATGATTCAAAATGCACTCGGATTATTTGAAGAACTTGAGAAACAGGGTTACCTCGGAATCGATAAATTAGAAACTTTGAAAGAGATTTTGAAACAGTTGAAGAAGCGATCCATGCTCAAGAAGGTGGAGGAGTTTGAGATCAAGAGAAAAGGTGCCCAATTAATGCTAATCATATTAATATGTTTTAAAATCCAGCGGGGAAGGAAATTTAAAAAGCCGGAAGTGCCTTTTTGCTCGAGAAGTTCAATTTAAGGCCTAGAACTTCTTCATTGATTGCAAAGGAAATGATATTTTGTTAAGAGGGATTAATCGATAATTTAGTTTAGCAGTTATTACATTGGAATTTTATGTTCCCAAGTTGCCAGCATTAATAATCTTTCGTCATCATGGCTTTAGATAACCTCACGAATCCTTTAAATTTCAGCTCAATCAGTCGGCATCATTGCTTTATTTAAGCAGGCCACTGTCAATTTGAAAGGAGGTAAGGTGTAAAATGGCAAGGTTCTTGTGCATGTAAAATATTTAGGGCAAACAGGCATAGGCCTGCTGCTGAATATGAGTAACAGAAATGTAAGATAAAGTTAGATAGTATCTATAATGGTTTAAGAATCAAATCTCGGCCAGTTATGCATTATAACAAAGTTTTATTAGAGTATTTTTGTGTGCTAAACAATTAAGTCGACTCTTGTAAGACTCAGTTCATGTAATATAAGTTCCAAATATGCCAAAAACAATGATAATCAAGGATACAGGCAAAAATACATGACTTGATTCCAACGTCTCTTCTAAACTTTCCATTTTGAAGGAGTATCAAATGCTTTTAAATTCTTTCAATGCTCACAAACCTTCAAGATTTGGCTTCTGCTTGATGTACTAGCAAAATTTAAAAATACATTCATTTGCCCATGCTTGCAATTAAACCTTGCTACTGCCTGCATGCATGCATGGATGCATACCTAGATTAAGGGTCTATGAATTGTAACTTCTTCAACCAGAGTAGCATCAACCATGTCTGATGGTCCACCTGGTTGCCAAGTGAACTTTAATATATCTCAAATTATGCAGTTTTACATAAATTATTTTAAGCTGACAAGACACTTATCTGGAAGCTTTAGAGAGAGAATTATATATAAAATGCTGTAATATTGTCTCTAGCTTTCAATCACAATCATATTTAATCCTTTAACTCCCAGAAGTGATTCACATGCAACTTCTCTCTACAATGTCCATCCACTATCCAACAAACAGTTAATGAGAATACTCAAATGTATCAGGTAGAAGTTGTTATCTTGATCTAGCACCAAATTCTTGCACCAAATTTTGTCAAGGAAATATGTAACAGCTAGAGGGGAGAATTAATAATCAGATCCTGGGAGTTAAAAGGTTAAGAACAGCAGACTTTGGTCCATATTTCCAGAGGTTCCCTTCCTCCTTTTTCCCATACACTCTTGTGGTGTTAGTCAAATGAAATGATTTTTGTTTTCAGGTAGCCGGTTTAGGGTTGAGTGTGTTTGTTAGTGTGGAGGGTAGGGGTGGTGGGCAACTTTTCAGCTAAACTGAGGTTGACAATTATGGCCATAGCATTGTATAACATGTTGGAGTTGGCTTAATTGATGTCAGATAGTTATAGTTACCAGTTTGGACACCAGGCCTTGTTTGAAATACATATACAAATGGACTTCAGACTGTAGCTGTGTTTTGTTATTGTGGTGCTGTGACTTTAAAATCTGCCAGATAAATTATTTTCAACAGGTTTTTTTAATTAAGATCTTCATACCTGGCATTACACAATGTTTAAAAGCATCCCAGTGAAGTCAAATCAATTCATTTGCATTTTGAGAACAAAACCAAAAGATTTTGTACAGGCTGGAACTCTAATATCACCACTGTTAATTATTTTATCTGTGAGTTTTTCCCAGCTTCGAATTAACCAATTATTATTCTCCTTCACTAAATAAACACTGTTGGTTGCTGACTAAGTTTTTAGCACCAGTATTTGCAAACAGACATTGATTCTTGGCCTTAATAGTTTGTATTGTACAACTACAATACAAACTAAGTTAAGCTCTATGTCACTGAATGATATTTTAGTGATCAGCTAATTAGAGTTTGTGTAATGTGTTCATTACAACTCATTTTTTCCATGCAGTTACAAAAACCTCAACACATCATTTACAGAAGTAAAGCCATACAGAATTAATTTTTTTTTTTACTTTCTCTTGTAAACTACTGAAAACATAATTTTCAAAACTTAAGTTTAGTGTTGTTCTTGTAGGTTCAATATTGCATCTTAGTTTATTTTTGTCCTCTTGCAAGAAAGCATATCAATACTGTATATTGAAAAATTTAGTTTCTACTGTTAGAAACTGTAACTGTCTCAAAAACAACATTCTTAAACCCTTAAGTGTTCTTAAAAGAGAAGTAATTGACTGTCCAATCAAGAGAGCTTTCCAAAATATCCTCATATCTAAAATGACTTAGATTAATTTGATGCTTAAATAACTTTGAATATTATTAATTCAGAGAGTATATACATAATTAGGTGTAATGATTGTATTTTTGATGTCTTAATATAACTCAAACAGGGTTGTAATTCTTGTGTAACTGATGTTGTAAAAATTTCTGAAGTAGTGTGTGTGTGGGTGCATGTGGTATGTATGTGTGGGTGGGTGGGTGTGTGTGTGTGTGTGTGTGTGTGTGTGTGTGGGGGGGGGGGGGGGGGTGAGGGTGGTTGGCAACTTTTCAGCTAAACTGAGCTTAACAATAATTATAGTCATAGCATTGTATAAAATTTTGGAATTGGCTTAAATGATGTTAGGTAGTTAGTTACCTGTTTGGACACCAGGCCTTGTTTGAAAGACATATACAAATGGCCTGCAGCTTGTAGTTGTATATTGTTAATGTGGTGCAGTGACTTTAAAATCTGCCACATTTATTATTTTCGGTGGGTTTTTGTTAAGAATTTCATACCTGGCATTACACAATGTTCAAAAGTATTCCAGTCCAGTCATGTCAATTGAATTAATTTGCATTGTGAGAACAAACCAAAAGATTTTGTACAGGCTGAACACTTATCACCACTGTGAGTTATTTTATCTGTGAGTAATTTGCCCAGCTTCAAATTAACTTATCATTATTCTCCTCCACAAAACAAACACTGTTGGCAGCTAACTATGTTTTTAGTAGTGAAGACTAATGTGAACAAAATATTTTACAGAATTTACCAAACTAAGTTAAGCTCTATGTTACTGACTCCTTAGTGATCAGGTGATTAGGGTTTAATTGTGTAATATGTTATAACTTCTTTTTTGTATGCAGTTACAATAACCTCAACACATCATTTACAGAGGAAAAGCCATAGAAAATTAAATTTGTATGGCTTTCACTGGTAAACTACTGAAAACATAATTTTCAAAACTAAAGTTTAGTGTTGTTCTTGTGGGTTCAATATTGCATCCTAGTTTATTTTTGCCCTCTCTCAAGAAAGCATATCAATACTGTATTTTGATAAATTTTGTTTCTAGACACACATTGAAAAACTGTTAGAAGCTGTAACTGTCTCAAAAACAATATTCTTTCCTTTAAGTGTTCTTAGAAGAGAAGTTTGACTGTCCAATCAAGAGAACTTTCCAAAAAATATCCTCATATTTAAAATGTGATATTAACTTGATGCTTAAATAATTTTGAATATTATTAACTCAGACTAATTAATTTCTTACTATTAAAAAAATCTGCAGTTGTAAAGAAGCTATTTGCATACCACAAATAATTTTTGATTGTATTCAAAATTAGTCAATGTAATTGTATTTTTAATGTCTTAAAATAACTCAAACAAGGCTGTAATTCTTGTGTAACTGATATTGTGAAAATTTCTGGAGTAGTGTGTGTGTGGGTGTATGTGGTGTGTGTATGTGTGGAGAGGGGAGGGGGCAGCATTGTAGCACAATTCTATCTCAGAGAAATTGTTTTTGAAAAAAATTGGTATACGTCTGTTGCACATGTTTCTTTCGATGAGATACACCGTACTGTGATTACTTAAGATAAAAAATGACTTGTTTCAATAGCGATCAAGATGGTTTGTAATTTTCGCACAATTGGTGGTGCTCTCTTGGTAGTTAGTAGTGGCATGGCTCTCCGTAGCTGCTCAACTCTTGATGAGTTTGTGGAGACCTTCAACAAAGTTGTGCTGGTTGCATACACCAAACTGGTTGAGATCAGTGAGGGATCTCTGTGCTTCACAGTACAAGCAGAGACGCCAGCAGCTCTAAAGGAATTATGGAACATGTACAAAGATGGAACATTGCAGAAACGTCTTCAAGAATTCCTAGTCACCGATGATATCAAACAGCTGACAGATGTGGAAGACATTGAGGTGGCTGTTTTCATCGATGAGCAAGAGTATGTGATGTCATATAATTTTCTGCAAAATCAAGGTATGGTAACATATGAACAGATACGTGTTGACTTTAAGTTTGGACAAATGTAATGTTGAACGGGAAAAGCTACCACAATAGGGTTAAAATTCCTTGGGAAAGTTGTTGAAAACACATCCTCTATCCAGATATTTTAACAGACCAATTCTTGCGCGTACATAGAACCTGCCCTCCCCCCTCGAATAGTATTGGTGAAATTAATCAGTTTGGGGGAGAGGGGGGAAGGGTTTGATTTTAGTAATTGTGCGTTAAGTGTCCCAAGACTTTTAACCTCTTTTGTAGGTCAAACAGTGAGGAACATGTTTCATCAAGGTGATCCTGAGTCCGTTTGCAACTATGAATTATAAAAAAAGGGAAAAAGAAGAGTCACCTTTTCAGCATGGGAAGCTAATCCTCAACTGAAACAAGCAATCAGCCTGTTTTAAAAAGAAAGAACATACCCCAGATGTGATCTCGATATCTTGCATTGAACAATGATTGCTGTATCTGACAATCCAGCAAGATTAGTTGATCCAAACTTAATTCTCTTGCTTATTGTATCATTTCAGCAGTGCCTGATATGATTGTAGAGCGGTTTCGAAGGAAATCTGACTCCTTCTTTCACATCAATTCAAATCAGAAAGAGATTGCTATGATGAAGCTGACACAAGCAGAAAACCAGTTGAGCTTTGAAAGACAAGTTCACGGAGAGGAAATAAAGAAACTCAAGGAGAAGATTATCCTGGCAGGAGAGCCGAGGGGTAGGATTGATTAAACTCTACCTTTTGTACGTATCCTATGCTCTGGCTGGGATCAGTTATGGGAAAATGTGAAGGTTATATTTTAAAACACATTTGTATGGGATAGAGCCCGGGAATCAGCCGGGTTTTGTGTAGAGTAGAGTATAATTCAATTGAAAAAGTAAAGAATGTCTTAGAAGAATGGTATCTTTTATATTTTCAGATCAATCTGGCATGCTTTGTGTAGTTTATACTACGACCAAATACCAAAGCACCAAGAATGCATGCTGATAATTTCATTCCCTTCGTTCATCGCCGGTCTCGGTTCAAAGAAGTCAGGGATGTTTTTTTGCTCATTTTCGTTGCAACCTGACAAATTTTTTTTATTTTTAAAAATTCTTTTGTTTATCTTTTATACAGCATAATTTTGAGCAAACATGAGAAGCCATCCTCAATTTTTCCACTGTAACGAGTTAATATTGTTAAATAAATGCTTCCTGGAGAAAAAGGGGTAGAAGATACCGCAAGCAATTATTTTAGTAGAATTCAATCAGAAGTTAGATTAATCGAAAGCGAAGGAGAATGAAATGTGACGCAGAGTAGAGTACATATAGAACCAACCTTATAAGCAAACTGGAAAGTTGTTTGCACGTGGTTAGCTGATCAATGCTGTCGCTCTTTCTCAGGACCATGACTTTCTAAACAATTTGTTATCCTGCTGTCTTGGTGTTCGATTTTTCGAAGAAAACAAGAAACAGGACCATCATAGAAAATATGTTAAATGGTTCGGGAAATAAGTACGGACTATAGTACTTTTATCGTATTTGAAAAGCGATGATGTGTTGTATTCTTTTCTCTTTCGCGATCTTATCTTGTAACACTAAACAGATTATTGACCATACTTCTTCGGCGTAACGCGTTCTGATGAACACGAGTATAACGAAGCCTGTTTAAATTTATTTTTACCTCGTCAAGGTATGATTGCAATGATAAAAGGTAGTTATATGACATGCAAATAGTGGCTTGTACAGGGAAAGTTTCCTTGTACAAGCCAAAATGTAAATGTAATTTACAAGTGCCTTCTAATTGGCCAGGCTAATTCGGGCAGTTCTAGTGCTGCATCGGCAAACTGAATAATACGTAAGAGCCGATTGGATTCACTCATTTTCTGTTTGAAACAATTTTATCCATAATCAAATTTCTGAGTTAGTTTGCTAGCCCAAAGAAGCTCCTGAATTATTAAGTTGCGATTATTTTCAAGCGTTCCTCCATCCCTTCCCTCCTTTTTAGAGTTTACAGAAGCCTGGATTGAGTGCTCATTGCTCAATTAATCGTAATTTTATACACCCGGAAAACCGGGTGAAACCTAGCGGAAGCATCATTTTTAACTAAATTCAAATAAAAGTTAACTTAATCGGGGCTACAGGTGAGTGATACCGTATTTACCGTAAGCAAGCGTGGTGTAGAACCAACCTTAAGCAAATTGGAACATTGTTTGCTTGTGGTTAACTTGTAAGTGTTGTCGCTCTTTCTTAGGTCCATGAATAGCTAGTGATATTAGCCCGCTGTTGTGGTGTTCAGTTTATATTAGAAAATAAGGAAGTCATTATGCATCACAAAACTTTCGTTTGGTTAAGGTTTATGAAAATAATTACGAAGAAAAAAACGTAAAATGACATGCACAGTAGTAATAGATTCTGGAACTTGAACCATTATTAGAAAAGCGAAATAATGTTTTCTACCTGTCTTACCTTAGACAGCTTACTTTCACTGCTTGTTTTGGCAAATCGCCTAATGCTAATTCATTCAGGCAACAAAAACAATAGCAATAAAAATCACCAGTTACTTCGTGTTTAGCAAAGGGGGGAACAACGTGAGAATTTTTGAACGCCTCTTATGTTGAACATTTAGTCTGTTGTTCTTTCGATGAACTGAAATATATTATTATAATTATGTCAAAATTCATCTAACGTAACTGAGTACACACGTACCTTTGTTATAGTTCGTTGTCAAAGTTCAACTGAAATGTCACATATTCTCCATACGAACAAAACGATAGTAATTATGCTAAATAAAAATATATGAAAGCTTGGTTAAACCAAAGAGAAACCCTCTTCCTTCACAAACACTTGCCATAAGTAAGTCACCAAAAAAATTGTCGTTGGAAATAAGCAAAATTATAGATAAAAAGTAGGTCAACTACTTATTTTGATAAACTCTTAAATCCTTTCTCAAAGAGGTCTTTTAAGTGTAATCACTACCAATCGTACTCCTCAATTTAAGCTATTTCGCTTCATTGTTTTTTTTTTTCTGTTTCAGACTATGAGATTCTCGAACGTCCAAGAGAAAGACGTCGAAGAAATTCTGATTCCAATCTGTATTACAAAGCAAGAGAAGTGGAGGTTGAACAAACTAATAACCAACCAGAACGAGCTTCAGAGGGTGGAGCACTACTGGATTTCGAGAAGCGTATGTTTGTAGAGAATTATTTACAGAATATCCATGAAACACACAGCATGACGACAGAGACAAGTGACAGCGGAATAAGAACACATGGTGCAACATCTGAGATAGAAATGCAAGACATATCTGGTAATTATTTCATTTTAGTCATGGCATGTCAGTCCCCAAAGTGTTTGGTAGATAGCAGAGTGACATTTCAGCAGGATCGTTAAACACTGAGTTACTCCGCCAGTACATGTAACCTACAAGGGAACTTTTCTAAGGTTAGAGGTGGGAAGAACTTCAGGTCTCTCGAAAAGACATCTAGTTTACAAAAGAATTGAACTAAATGAGCGCTTTAGGAGTTAACGAGATTCTGGATCGAGATTGGGTGTTACTAAACTGTGAATTAGCCGACTGCAGAACCTCTGAACTCTATATTTTTAGCTAAAGAATAGTAATAAAACAAAATATAAAAATATAAAACGTTTTCGGGTATAAAGAAGATTATGTATGTAGTATGTTTTAAATGTCGTTAACGTCCAACTTTAACTGTGGCGACATTCACCGTAAAATGGTATGTAATGTCATAAGGAGCAATCAGCAGTCACCTACCCCGAGTGAGAGCTGGAATCACCGGCGTTAAATTCCTTTTCATTGTACATGTTGCTGTAATGAGGAACATGAGCGTAAAGTAACATCATCGCATTTTTATGGCGAAACTTATTGTTTTCTGTGTGTATTTCGTTTACGCGTTAGTTACCTGTGTGTGTTTTTACGTTTCATTAGTTATGTATTTGTGGTTGATGTTTTTACCGTTCCGTAATGTTACGTAATTTGTTGGGTAATTTGTCAGGTTTTTTGAATATATTTAGTCCAGTGGATCAATTTTTACGTCCACTTTTTAAGAAGCAGCGTTGTCTTTCATTTCCATGCAAATCCTTATATTTCACCCATTGCGCAACGTGAATATGTTTGCATATTCACAGAGGCTCACTGTGTGAGCTTGGGTTTCCTGTGGTTGGAAGTCAAGGATTGAAGGTAACAAAAAACCTCATTTCCCTTTTAGCGTTATCTCCTTTATACCCGAAAACGAAATTTTGAACAGTGTTAAGGTATTTTTAGCTTTCGTTTTATTCTATTATTACTTTTTTTCTTACAAAATAATCTAATGGTTCCGCTGGTTCCGCTGGTTTTGCGGGTTTCAGAGGCTCCACGGTCTGCTGATCTATAATTTAATAACACCCATCGAGATCTTGCTTAATAATTTTAATGTAAAAAGCTGATATCAGTTGAGCACCAACACCTCTATTTTAACAACAACCTAAAGAGGAGGAGAATTACATCAATCAGTTTGTGTTGAGCTTTCCCTTAGCTAATCTTTGCTATGTTCGATTTCGCGTAGGACTGAACAGCACCATCCTCGATAAAAAAGTAATGATTATGATGATAATAATAACGAGAGCCCTCTCCCCTTTTTGTTTTGAATTCTTTGTATGTTGGTATACATCTTTTGTCAGGCGACGACCACAAACTTTGCTGGAGAGATCTCAGCAGGGAAGTAATCGGAAAACTGGATGTAAGACTGAAAAACGATCAAACTGCTTTTGAACAAGTACGTCAGTCGTTTGGATTTGATAGAGCACTGCCATTGTACTTCTTTCGGACAAGTGCATTTAATGAAATTCTCAGTATGTTTCCAGACACACCTGTTAAGCTATTAAAAGAAGTCTTTGAAGCTTTACAGTTGTATGACCTGATTGATTTGCTTGAAGAAGGAGAACCACGAGCCACAAGATCGCTGCGACTTGCTCTTCGTTTACAGGAAATAGAGAAATTAAGGAATCCTGATGATCGTCCCATATCTTATCACAGCAGTGTTGCTGTTCTGATTATTGACTTTGAGGAGACTTTCGACACTGAGGGGATTGAAAAGTTTTTTAAGGTCTTAACGCTAAGAGCGAGGTAACTGTGATGCGCTGCAGTTACGTTTTTGAAGCAGCTAAGAGTTTCCCAGAGTCCCTGGAGAAGAAGGAGGAGAAGATCAAAAGAGAGATGATTAAATTGAGTCTGACCTCTTCAGAAGTCATACAGAGTTGGATATCCAATCAAGGTTGGTTAAAATATGTAAACGGAAATTAACAAAAAAAGAACGCTGTCGTGGTGGTATGTCTGCATACCACGAAACAAGCATAACTTTAATAGTTAAGCCAAAGCTAGACCATCATGGTGTACATCGCGGGTTTATGGTAGGTACATAATTTATTGGTAATTTATAACAGTTGAGAACCTTTAGTGCCATTACCTTGGACGAGAACGGTATTATAGTTGCACTTTGCACCATGAGATCCTCGCCCAAAAGTTAAAAAGTTTCTTTGAGGATTTAAGACTTAACACTATGGTCTAAGAATCAATAAATCGATATATCACCAGAAACAAGGGAACATTTACCGTGCAGAACAGAAGTTCTTTCAGCATATCCAGGCAAGGAGAGGTAAGCGCGAGACGAACACGAAATGGAAGACACGCGCGAGAGGAGGCGCGAGTCACGTACTCCTCCTCTTGCGTGCGACTCGCTCTACGCGCTCTCCTCACTTAGTGTTTGTCTCCGCCCGCTAAAAAAATAGTTAAGAATAGCGCCTGCTCTTTAGGCGAGGGAACAACTAATTTCCTAATTCATGTTGCTCGTGGTTGGAAACAAATCTGTACTTGATTCAGTTTAATTTAATGGCATCGACCGTAGTTAAAATGAGTCAAGGCGCTTTTTTTCGAGCAAGCGATCATGATAAATACAGAGAAATAATTCCCATTAACACAAATCAACTTGTGGTCTTACATCTGTTACTGAATATTTAATCGTCAACTGTAATTCGTAGTTGTAGTTTTGTAACGAGGAGACTTACATTTTGCGTTCGTTTTAAAATTTATCCTCAGATAAATATTCGATAGTTGCTGTATTTTTCATCTTCGATGGTCCCTATGGTTTGTTCTCCATGGCAGGAATGTCATTTTTTGAATCTGTAAAGGAGAGGTTGGTTACCGCATTCCCCACAAAAGTGAAATTGATCATCCATTCTTTGTCCCGTCAGCCACATTCATGGCCGCAGAAAGAGCTTGTTGAGGTGTCTGTTTCTTTTCCTAGTGATATTTTTCTACCTTTGATGCTGGAGATTTTTATCAAACGCTGGAAAACGATGGACCTGATATCAATGATGAGAGAGTTAGAGAGGTCTTTGGGAGAAACGTTTACTAGGAGAGGCTTTGAGGAGTCAATTATAAAGGAGTCAATTATAAAGGAGAATTTGTCGTGTCTTGTAAGGTTCATAAAGCATGAAGAGCCGACTAATTAGTAATATTGCGGCAGGAAGCGAGGTAAACCATTAAGGCTAACCGAATTAGATTATACTCAGTTTTAACTGAATTAAGCTAAATACAGAGGCCACTTTTCGGACATTTACGTTGTAAAGTTAGTCTTTTTTGAAAACGCTGTCCAGCCTCCTACTTGGACTATTTTATGCGGGAAATATACGATCGTCTGAGACCCAAGTGACCTAAACTCAGATTTAAAGCAGCTTCGTTTTAGTTTGATCGTCTCTAATTATGACGGCATTTTGTCGAGCAGGCAGCTATGCTAAATACTGATGACTAATTCCAATTCACTTAGATCATCGTGGGATACTACTTTTATATCATTGTGTTTTCGTTTGGCGGGTACTAACTTTTACCTGAAAAGGAAGCTTACACTTTGCATTGTTTGTAAAACTCCTCAGAGAACTATTCGTTATTTGTTGTATCTTTTATCTACGATTGGCCCTTTTCTCCAACGACCGATCGAAATCAGTTTTTGACGATCTCCTTCCTAGTCGTATAGTATCCAAAACATCAGTGCTAGGGGCGGAGATAGTTAATGAAAAAAACCTTCATAAGGCACAATAGGATCTCCAAATTGAATAGTGTAAATGGTGCTATAAGGATAACGGCTGTCATCCTTAGCTTTGTTCTCTTTTAAGATTCCGGTATTATTTGCTGTTATTGGCTCCCATAGTTTTTTCCCCTTTGTTTCACAGAAGTGTTTTCTCATTGAGAATAGCCCATGATGTATAATAAGTATGTTAACCAATGCAAATTAAACTTTTTACCACTCCAATTTTTTTACGAATTGTATGGTTAACTTTTAGCGGAGAAGTATTATCCACTATTCATAAGATTTTAGTATAAGTATAGCAAATCGCACGTACGCGAGTGCATATCGTGACAAATAGGCGCGAGAGATTATGTAGAAGTTTTCGTTATCTCTCGAATTTTTTCGAGAGTGTAATTTGAAAACCCCTCACAGCATCACGAGGGACCATAAATCATGAAATGCACGAACAGAAACAAATAAGATCTGACAAATGCATGAAATGCACTAGATCTAATTTAATTCACTTTTCTTTACCCCCTAAATGACAGCTGCGGGGAAAAAAACCTCTTTTTGAAAGTATTACAACTCTGATGTATGAACGGTTGAAAGCAAACGGAGAGAAATAAAAATGATTGCCTTTTGACGTTTTCTGCAAAATTTACGCTTAACTTCGCTAACAGCAGAAAGCGTGATCTCCTTCTTAACCGTATAGTATCGAAAAGATCGGTGTTAGGGGCGGAGAAAGTTAATGAAACACAATTCCATAAGCGACAATAGAATCTCTAATTTCAATAGCGTAAATAGTACAGTGCTATAAGGGTAACGGCTGTCATCCTTAGCTATAGCTTAGCTGTTATTGGTTCCCATAGTATTTTTAACTTTTGTCTCAGAGAAGTGTTTCCTTGATATGGAAATAAACGAGTAACTTACATTCACTTGTTTATGCAATTATGGTTTGTAAATTTAATGCAACCTGTGTTCTTTTCTTTGGAATATTACAGGCTCTTGGATGAAATAAGTGTGTTTAGTTCACGTTTTTCATGGATTACTTAAGTACACGCTTAACTCTTATTTAATTTTCTACAATTCCTTAATGGCAGCATACATTCCAACTGTAAAAGGACGTAAAACGATGGGTTTGTGTTTTCGCCCAAAACCAGCTCGAGAACAACAGGTGCTTGTGCTTAAAACCACTTTAAGCGATGTTTTACTTGGGTGTGAAAACTTGTGTACTCATTCAAAAGTGTGCAGCTCAAATGAAAAAGCAAACGAGACTACGAAAGGTAATTTTAAATGTGGTGAACACAGCCTGAGTTTGTTGAAATGATGGTTTGAAGTCATGGATACTTAATTTCCAAGGAAGGTCGACCAAACTGGTCAATTCCAGTGAAAAATATTTGATGATTGCACAAACAAACATTGTCTTCTAGAGAAGTGATCATAATACTTTTTTCTTGCGCGAAAACGAATGAAAAAACATTCAGTATTATGTTTACTTGTACGAAAATAAAGAAAACATTATTCATTAGAAAGAGGTTACTCGTGGTTATCATGTTCAAACTTACAACTTCTATCCTTTCGCAGAATCCTCTCCCCCTGAACAACGAATTCTAAGAGACTGAAGTCCCCGGGCTTTGTTCGAGTGTGTTCGAGTGCTAGCCTTGACGTTAAGCTAACTGCGCCAGTCTAGATCAAAGGTGGGGGAAGCCCACTCTCAAGCAAAAACCTAGCGATAAAGTGTTTGTGTTAATACGCCCAATGCAAAACAGCGCGTGACAAAATTGAGTTGACCTAAGAAGTCCCGTTTGACTCAGCAACACACTCCGATTGACCTGCGTGTCAGAAACTACCCTCCCATCCCCTGAACTTTAATTTGGACAGTCATTTCAACCTCACAAGCTTACAAGGGAACCTATGTAGGTATGTCAAGAACTGTTTTAACATGTTCAGATTAGGTAACCGATTGATTAAACGTAAACGATCATCTTTAATTTGCACACATTAGTTCTGAAGAACTATCATTTCTCCTGAAATTGCCAGCTTGAATTGAATAAACGGGACACTGATTTAAGTGAGACAGAACCGTGAATTCAATAATCTACCATGAATTGCGTTCTGGCTGGATCTTGATTCATCAAGGTGGACAAGTTTGATGTAGATAAGCAATGCCTGATGTGTCGAGAAGGCCTCTAATCCCATGATTTGCTGCAAGCCACAACTGGACAGTCTATATTAATAGTATGGCATCATTATGAAATCAGCATTTATATACTAAATGCATATAATTAGCCTCGTTTTATCCCTACTAAAATTCCTTGCGCCGGCTTGTATAGGGCCCGTATAGCCTAACATTTAAAATTATGTTCCTAACAAAGCGTCCACCTCTGTTGGATTGTCTGGGCTCTGTTTCCAACAGTAACTTCTCATTTATTGGTTGACCCTTAATAGTACAACTGAAAACTTTCAGCGAGTGGGAGGATTTCCTTTCTACTACTCGTTATGCAAGTAAACAATGCTGTTTATTAGCCTCTGATCTCTTTTCTCTACTTGCTGCATAAGTGCACGATACCAAGAAGCATGGGTAATTCCTAGCAGATCGATGATCGTTACGAACAATACTTTTATTTTTGCGTCAAGCCAGTAATTCTTATCGCATCGACGAAAGGAACGTCTGTGATATCAGGGCATCTGTATACTACCACGTGATAGACTGAGTGTATCGCCCTCAATCTCGATTCCAAGCAAACTGAACTTGACTCTTATTCTGTATGATTACGTCCCTAAGACATTGCTGATGCCTTTTTGCTGATAGTGAGTCAGTCCAGCGACGCCTCCCAGAGGATGATAACTCTTCGAGTTCGGGGATTGGGCACAAATCACATCAAAGAACGAACATCGGAACGATTGACTGAAATTCCTCTTTTAAGAGCTAAAATTAAAGAAATGTCGAGAGTTTTTATCACGAATATCTTGATGAATTTTTCTCCCGGTACTTAGACCCTACCCACCCTAAACAAACAGGGTTTGGGTCTGGTAGCTCGCGTGACGTTCGTACACGGTCGGTTTTCGAACGTCACGCGAACTGGTAGTTAGTCATGCAACACTTGAAGTCACAATTCTTCCGCCTGTGTCCGCCATGTTGGTCGGCTTAGTTAACAAGCCTTAGTTAAACTCTGCATTATCTTCGCGCTACAGAAGACCCATATATTCAGAAAATATGTCTGAAATCGAGTATTATGACCTTATATTTGAGATAAGTACGAAAATTGACGTAAACCAATTAGAAAGATTGATTTTTATGTGCACAAAGAAGATCTCAGAAGGCAGTGAAGGAACTATAACAAGTGCACGCGGATTATTTAAAGAACTTGAGAAACAAGGTTACCTCGGAATCGACCGGTTAGAAAATTTAAAAGAGATTTTGAAACAGTTGAAGAAGCGAGCCATGCTCAAGAAGGTGGAAGAGTTTGAGATCAAGAGAAGAGGTACCCAATTAAATATAATGCTAGTCATATTGATTTGTTTTGAGGTCAGTTCAGCGAAGGAAATTTTAAAAGCCGGAAGTGCCTTGGTGCTCGAGAAGTTCAATTTAAGGCTTAGAGTTTCTTCATTTGTTGCATAGGAAATGATTTCTTGTTAAGAAGGACTATGTATCATATTAATTTGATAATTTCGTCTAGCAGTTATTGCTTTGGAATGTTAAGTTTCCATGTTGCCACTATTAAGAATCTTTTGTTATCATGACTTTAGAAAACCTCACGATTCCTTAAAATTTCAGCTCAGTCAGTTGGCATCATTGCTTCATTTAAGCAGGCTGCTGTCAATTTGAAAGGAGGTAAGGTGTAAAAAGGCGAGGTTCTTGTGCATTTAAAATATTTAGGGCAAACAGACATAGGCCGGATGCTGAACACCAGTAACAGAAATGTTAGATAAAATTAGATAGTATTTGTAATGGTGTAAGAATCAGTGCGTAGCCTGTCATGCATTATGACATAATTTTATTAGAGTATTTTTGTGTGCTAAGCAATTAAGTCAACTCTCATAAGCCCCAGTTCATCTAATGTAAGTTCCAAATAGCCAGAAACAAGGATAACCAGGGATACAGGCAAAAATACATGACTAATCTTTCCAACCTCTCTTCTAAACTTTCCATTTTGGATGAGTACCAAATAGTATAATTCTTTCAATGCTCACAAGCTTTCAAAATTTGGCTTCTGCTTGATGTACTGACAAAATTTGAAATTATTTTTATATGCCCAAGATTACAATATTCTAGCTACTATGCATGGATGCATACCCAGATCAATTGCTCAAAATGCATTTTTACATATTAAATTAGTTTAACCTGACAAGGCACTAATCTGGAAGCTTTAGAGAGAGAATTAATTAGGATTTGTGCTTGTGGAAAATTTGCCATCTATGTAATGCTGTGATATTATCTCTAGCTTTCAATCACAACTGGAAAATTATATTTAAGAAATGCAGATTTTTGTCAATATTTCCAGAGGTTCCCTTCCTTCCTTCCTCCATTCATTCTCATGGTGCTAGTCAAGTGAAATGACTCTTTTTTTTTCTGGTAGGTTAGGGTTGGGTGTGTGTGTGCCTGTGGGTGTGGGCGCGCGCACGTGTGTGTGTGTGTGTGTGTGTGTGTCTGAGGGGGTGGGGGTGGTAGGCAGCTTTTCAGCTAAACTGAGCTTGAAAATAATTATAGCCATAGAATTGTATAAAATTCATAGCATTGTATAAAATTTTAGAATTGGCTTAAATGATGTTGGATATATAGTTTGTTACCAGTTTGGACACCAGGCCTTGTTTGAAAGACATACACAAATGGCCTTCAGCCTGTAGTTGTCTATTGTTAATGTGGTGCAGTGACTTTAAAATCTGCCACATTTATTATTTTCAGTGGGTTTTTGTTAAGATTTTCATACCTGGCATTACACAGTGTTCAAAAGTATTCCAGTCCAGTCATGTCAATTGAATTAATTTGCATTCTGAGAACAAACCAAAAGATTGTGTACAGGCTGAAACTCCTATCACCACTGTGAATTATTTTATCTTTGAGTTTTAGCCAGCTTCAAATTAACTTATCATTATTCTCCTCCACAAAACAAACACTGTTGGCAGCTAACTAAGATTTTAGCAATGAAGACTAATGCATATTATATAGAATTTACCTTTGGACACTGATTCTTGGCCCTTAGTTGGTATTTTACAACCACAATACAAATTAAGTTAAGCTCTATGTTACTGACTTCTTAGTGATCAGGTGATTATGGTTTGTGTAATCAGGGACCGTGCAGCAAGTTTTTGACTGGGGGGGGCTAACGAAGAACGAGTGAAGGAAAATTTTTTTGTTAAATTATTTTTTGTTTAATTTATTTTTATTCTTGCAAAAAAGTGGGGGTGGGCTAAATAAAAATTGATAAATTTTGTTTCTATACACACACTGAAAAACTGTTAGAAACTCTAACTGTCTCAAAAACAATATTCTTACCTTTAAGTGTTTGTAGAAGAGAAGTTTATTATTGATTCAGACTAATTAATTTCTTACTATTAAAAAAATCTGCAGTTGTAAAGAAGCTATTTGCAATTTTGAGTGTATTCAAAATTAGTCAATGTAATTGTATTTTTAATGTCTTAAAATAACTCAAACAAGGCTGTAATTCTTCTGTAACTGATATTGTGAAAATTTCTGGAGTAGTGTGTGGTTGCATTTGGTGTGTGTATGTGTGGAGTGGGTGAGTGTGTGGAGGGGGGAGGGGGCAGCATTGTGGCACAATTTTATCTCAGAGAAATTGTTTTTTTAGAAAAATTGGTATGCGTTTGTTGCATGTTTCTTTTGATGAGATATACTGTAATGTGATTACTTAAGATCAAAAATGACTTGTTTCAATAGTGATCAAGATGGTTTGTAATTTTTGCACAATTGGTGGTGCTCTCTTGGTAGTTAGTAGTGGCATGGCTCTCCGTGGCTGCACAACTCTTGATGAGTTTGTGGAGACCTCCAACAAAGTTGTGCTGGTTGCATACACCAAACTGGTTGAGATCAGTGAGGGATCTCTGTGCTTCACAGTACAAGCAGAGACGCCAGCAGCTCTAAAGGAATTATGGAACACCTACAAAGATGGAACATTACAGAGACGTCTTCAAGAATTTCTAGTTACTGATGACATCAAACAGTTGACAGATGCGAAAGACATTGAGCTGGCTGTTTTTATCGATGAGCAAGAGTATGTGATTTCATTTAATTTTCTGCAAAATCAAGGTATGGTAACATATGTACAGATGCTTGTTTAATAGAAGTTTGGACAAATGTAACGTTGAACGGGAAAAGCTTCTACAATAGGGTTAAAATTCCTTGGGGAAAGTTGTTGAAAACACATCCTATACCCATATATTTTAACAGATTAATTCTTGCGTGTACATAGAACCTGCCCTCCCCCCTCGAACAATGTTGGTAAAATTAAACAATCACCACGTCTTGGTCAAGTTTACAGAGCGCAATTCGACATTCTTTGGGTGAGAGGGGGAAGGATTTGATTTTAGTAATTTTGTGTTAAGTGTCCCAAGACTTTTAACCTCCTTTTTAGGTCAAACACTGAGGAACATGTTTCATCAAGGTGATTCTGAGTCCGTTTGCAACTATGAGTTATAAAAATGATGATGGGAAGCTAATTCTCAACTGAAACAAGCAATCAGCCTGTTTTAAAAAGAAAGAACATACGGTTACCCAGAAGTGATCTCGATATCTTGCATTAAACAATGATTGCTGCGTCTGACAATCCAGCAAGATAGGTTGATCTTAGCTTAATCCTCTTGCTTATTGTATCCTTCCGGCAGTGCCTGATATGAAAGTAGAGCAGTTTCGAAGGAAATCTGACTCCTTCGTTCACATCAGTTCAAATCAGAGAGAGATTGCTATGATGAAGCTGACACAAGCAGAAAACCAGTTGAGCTTTGAAAGACAAGTTCATGGAGAGGAAATAAAGAAACTCAAGGAGAAGATTATCCTGGCAAGGGGAGAGCCGAGGGGTAGGATTGATTAAGCTCTACATTTTGTACGTATCCTATGCTCTGGCTGGGATTAGTTATGGGACAATGTGAAGGTTATATTTTACAACACATTTATATGGGATAGAGCCTGGCAATCAGCTGGGTTTTGTCTGGAGTAGAGTATAACTCAATTGAAAAAGTAAAGAATGTCTCAGAAGAAAGGTATCTTTTATATTTTCAGATCAATCTGGCATGCTTCGTATAGTTTATACTACAACCAAATACTAAAGCACCAAGAATGCATGCTGATAATTTTATTCCCTTCGTTCATCGCCTGTCTCGGTTCAAAGAAGTCAGGGATATTTTTCCGCTCGTTTTCGATGCAACCTAACAAATTGGTTTTACTTTTAAAAATTCTCTTGTTTATCTTTTATACAGCATAAATTTTTCCACTGTAGTGAGTTAATGTTGTTAAATAAATGCTTCCTGGAGAAAAAGGGGTAGAAGATACCGCAAGCAGTTCTTTAAGTAGAATTCAGTCAGAAGTTAGATTAATCGAAAACGAAAGAGGATGAAATGTGACGCAGAGTAGAGTACATATAGAACCAACCTTGTAAGCAAACTGGAAAGTTGTTTGCACGTGAATAGCTGATCAGTGCTGTTGCTCTTTCTCAGGACCATGACTTTCTAAACAATTTGTTATCCTGCTGTCTTGGTGTTCAATTTTTCGAAGAAAACAAGAAACAGGACCATCGTAGCAAATATGTTAAATGGTTTGGGAAATAAGTACGGACTATAGTACTTTTATCGTATTTGAAAAGCGATGATGTGTTGTATTCTTTTCTCTTTCGCGATCTTGTCTTGTAACACTAAACAGATTATTGACCATACTTCTTCGGCGTAACGCGTTCTGATGAACACGAGTATAACGAAGCCTATTTAAATTTATTTTTACCTCGTCAAGGTATGATTGCAATGATAAAAGGTAGTTATATGCCATGCAAATAGTGGCTTGTATAGGGAAAGTTTCCTTGTACAAGCCAAAATGTAAATGTAATTTACAAGTGCCTTCTAATTGGCCAGGCTAATTCGGGCAGTTCTAGTACTGTATCGGCAAACTGAACAATACGTAAGAGCCGATTGGATCCACTCATTTTCTGTTTGAAACAATTTTATCCATAATCAAATTTCTGAGTTAGTTTGCTAGCCCAAAGAAGCTCCTGAATTATTAAGTTGCGATTATTTTCAAGCATTCCTCCATCCCTCCCCTCCTTTTTAGAGTTTACAGAAGCCTGGATTGAGTGCTCATTGCTCAATTAATCGTAATTTTATACACCCGGAAAACCGGGTGAAACCTAGCGGAAGCATCTTTTTTAACCAAATTCAAATAAAAGTTAACTTAATCGGGGCTATAGGTGAGTGATACCGTATTTACCGTAAGCAAGCGTGGTGTAGAACCAACCTTAAGCAAATTGGAACATTGTTTGCTTGTGGTTAACTTGTAAGTGTTGTCGCTCTTTCTTAGGTCCATGAATAGCTAGTGATATTAGCCTGCTATCGTGGTGTTCAGTTTATATCAGAAAATAAGGAAGTCGTTATGCATCACAAAACTTTCGTTTGGTTAAGGTTTATGAAAATAATTACGAAGAAAAAAACGTCAAATGACTTGCACAGTAGTAATAGATTCTGGAACTTGAACCATTATTAGAAAAGCGAAATAAAGTTTTATACCTGTCTTACCTTAGACAGCGTACTTTCACTGCTTGTTTTGAAAATCGCCTAATGCTAATTCATTGAGGCAACAAGAAAAGTAGCAATAAAAATCACCAGTTTCTTCGTGTTTAGCAAAGGGGGGAACTACGTGAGAATTTTTGAACGCCTCTTTTTTTGAACAGTTAGCCTATTGTTATTTCGATGAACTGAAATATATTATTATAATTTTGTCAAAATTTATGTAACGTAATTGAGTACACACGTACCTTTGTTATGGTTCGTTGTCAAAGTTAAACTGAAATGTCACATATTCTCCATACGAACAAAACGATAGTAATTATGCTAAATAAAAATATATGAAAGCTTGGTTAAACCAAAGAGAAACCCTCTTCCTTCAAAACCACTTGCCATAAGCAAGAAACCAAAAAAATTGTCGTTGGAAATAAGCAAAATTATAGATAAAAAGTAGGTCAACTACTTATTTTGATAAACTCTTAAATCCTTTCTCAAAGAGGTCTTTTAAATGTAATCATTACCAATCGTACTCCTCAATTTAAGCTATTTCACTTCATTGTTTTTTTTTCTGTTTCAGACTATGAGATTCTCGAACGTCCAAGAGAAAGACTTCGAAGAAATTCTGATTCCAATCTGTATTACAAAGCAAGAGAAGTGGAGGTTGAACAAACTAATAACCAACCAGAACGAGCTTCAGAGGGTGGAGCACCACTGGATTTCGAGAAGCGTTTGTTCGTAGAGAATTATTTACAGAATATCCATGAAACACACAGCATGACGACAGAGACAAGTGACAGCGGAATAAGAACACTTGGTACAACATCTGAAATAGAAATGGAAGACATATCTGGTAATTATTTCATTTTAGTCATGGCATGTCAGTCCCCAAAGTGTTTGGTAGATAGCAGAGTGACATTTCAGCAGGATCGTAAAACACTGAGTTACTCCGCCAGTATATGTAACCTACAAGGGAACTTTTCTGAGGTTAGAGGTGGGAAGAACTTCAGGTCTCTTGAAAAGATATCTAGTTTACCAGAGAATTGAACTGAATGAGCGCTTTAGGAATTAACGATATTCTGGATCGAGATTGGGTGTTACTAAACTGTGGATCAGCAGACCGCGGAACCTCTGAACTCTATATTTTTAGTAAAAGAATAGTAATGAAACAAAATATGAAACTATAAAACTTTTTCGGGTATAAAGAAGATTAGTTTCAAAGGAAAGTATGTTTTAAATGTCGTTGACGTCCAACTTTAACTGTGGCGACATTCACCGTAAAAGGGTATGTAATGTCATAATGAGCAATCAGCAGTCACCTACCCCGAGTGAGAGCTGGAATTAGCGGCGTTAAATTCCATTCCTTGGACATTGTACCTGGAATGAGGAACATGAGCGTAAAGAAACATCATCGCGTGTTTATCGCGAAACTTATTGTTTTCTGTGTGTATTTCGTTTACGCGTGAATTACCTGCGGGTGTTTTTTCGTTTCATTAGTTGTATCGTGTATTTGTGGTTGATGTTTGTACCGTTTGCGCGATGTTATGTAATTATGTTGAGTAATTTGTCAGGTTTTGTTAATAAATTTAGTCCAGTGGATCAATTTTTATGTCCACTTTTTAAGAAGCAGCGTCATCGTTCGTTTCCTTGCAAATCCTTATATTTCACCCATTGCGCAACGTGAACATGTTTGTATATTCACAGAGGCTCACTGTGTGAGCTTGGGTTTCCTGTGGTTGGACGTCAAGGATTGAAAGTAACAAAAAAAGCCACATTTCCCTTTTAACGCTATGTTCTTTTTACCCGAAAACGAAATTTCGAACAGTGTTTAGGTATTTTTAGCTTTTATTTTACTTTATAAAATAATTCAAATAGTACGCGCGCTTTGATTGGCCATGAAACCATTTTACATGAGCGTATGTAAACACGGTTTTCGTTCCTCTTTCATTAGTTATTTTATAAAAGAAATGTAAAATGGTTTCCGTGTTTACATAGCCTGATGTAAACACTTGGGAGAACGGGAAAACACGAGATAAGCGTAGGAAACCACGACGCGAAGTGGAGTGGTTTCCAGCTTATCCCGCGTGTTTACATCAGGCTATGTAAACACGGAAACCATTTTACATTTCTTCCATATTATTACTTTTTTTCTTACAAAAAATCTAATGGTTCTGCTGGTTCCGCTGGTTCCGCTAGTTTTGCGGGTTCCGGAGGCTCCACGGTCTGCTGATTTACAATTTAATAACACCCATCGAGATCTTGCTTAATGATTTTAAAGTAAAAAGCTGATATCAATTGAGCACCAACACCTTTATTTTAACAACAACCTAAAGTGGAGGAGAATTACATCAATCATTTTGTGTTGAGCTTTCACTTAGTTACTCTTTGCTATGTTCGATTTCGCGTAAGACTGAACAGTACTATCCTCGATAAAAAATAATGATTATGATTATAATAATAATGAGAACCTTCCCCCTTTATGTTTTGAATTCTTTGTATGTTGGTATTCATCTTTTTTCAGGCGACGACCACAAACTTTGTTGGAAAGATCTCAGCAGCAAAGTAATCAGAAAACTGGAGGGAAGACTGAAAAACGATCAAACTGCTTTTAAACAAATATGTGAGTCATTTGGAATTAAGAGATCACCGTTCTTCCCTCGGGCAAGAATATTTAGTGAACTTCTCAGTATGTTTCCGGACACACCTGTTAAGCTATTAAAAGAAGTCTTTGAAGCTCTACAGTTATATGACCTGATTGACTTGCTTGAAAAAGGAAAACCACGAGCCACAGGATCGCTGCGACGTGCTCTTCGTTTACAGGAAATAGAGAAACTAAGGAATCCTGATGATCGTCCCATTTCTTATCACAGCAGTGTTGCTGTTCTGATTATTGACTTTGAGGAGACTTTCGACACTGAGGGGATTGAAAAGTTTTTTAAAGGTCTTAACACTAAGAGCAAGGTAACTGTGATGCGCTGCAGAAACGTTTTTGAGGCAGTTTCGATTTTCCCATTGTCGCTGGAGATGATGGAGGAGAAAATAACGATAGAGATGAACAAATTGAGTCCGACCTATTCAGAAGTCATACAGAGTTGGATATCCAATCAAGGTTGGTGAAAATATGTAAACGGAAATTAACAAAAAAAGAACGCGGTCGTGGTGGTATGTCTGCATACCACGAAACAAACATAACTTTAATAGTTAAGCCAAAGCTAGATCATCGTGGTGAATAATTTATTGGTGATTTATAACACTTGAGGGCGTGAGTAGAACATTGTTAGTGCCATAACCTTAGACGAGAACGGTATTATGGTTGCACTTTGCACCATGAGATCCTCGCCCAAAAGTTAAAAAGTTTCTTTGAGGATTTAAGACCTAATACTATGGTCTAAGAATCAATAAATCAATATATCACCAGAAACAAGGGAACATTTACCATGCAGAACAGAAGTTCTTTCAGCACGCGAGAGAGGCGCGAGTCACGTACTCCTCCTCTTGCATGCGGCTCACCATACGTGCTCTCCTCGCTTTCACCTTGTGTTTGTCTCCGCCCGCAAAAAAAAAAATTAAGAATAACGCCTGCTCTTCAGGCGAGGGAACAACTAATTTCCTAATTCATGTCGCACGTGGTTGGAAACAAATCTGTGCTTGATTCACTTTAATTTAATGGCATCGACCGTAGTTAAAATGAGTCAAGGCGCTTTTTTTCGAGCAAGCGATCATGATAAATACAGAGAGATAATTCCCATTAATATAAATCAACTTGTGGTCTTACATCTGTTACTGAATATTTAATCGTCAACTTTAATTCGTAGTTGTAGTTTTATAACGAGGAGACTTACATTTTGCGTTCGTTTTAAAATTTATCCTCAGATAAATATTCGTTAGTTGCTGTATTTTTCATCTTCAATCGTCCCTATAGTTGGTTCTCCCGAGCAATAAATTCATATATTGAATCTGTACAGAAGAGGTTGGTCACCGCATTCCCCACAAAAGTGAAATTGATCATCAATTCGTCGTCCCATCGGCTACAACCATGGCGGCACAGAGAGCTTGTTGAGGTGTGTGTCTCTTTTCGTGGTGATGTTTTTCTACCTTTGATGCTGGAGATTTTTATCAAACGCTGGCAAACGATGGACCTGATATCAATGATGAGAGAGATGAAGAGGTCTTTGGCAGAAAAGTCTATGGGGAGAGACATTCTTTTTTCAAGAGAATTTGAGGAGTTAAATATAAATGAGAATTTGTCGTGTCTTGTAAGGTTCATAATGCATGAAGAGCCGACTAATTAGTAATATTGCAGCAGGAAGCGAGGTGAACCGTTAAGGCTAACCGAATTAGATTATACTCAGTTTTAACTGAATTAAGCTAAATACAGAGGCCACTTTTCAGACATTTACGTTGTAAAATTAGTCGTCTTTGAAAACGCTGTCCTGCCTCCTACTTGGACTATTTTATACGGGAAATATACGATCGTCTGTGACCTAAGTGACCTAAACTCAAATTTGAAGCGGCTCCGTTTTAGTTTGATCGTCTCTAATAATGACGGCATTTTGTCGAGCAGGCAGCTATGCCAAATTCTGAGAACTAATTCCAATTAACGTAGATCATCTTGGGATACTACTTTTGTATCATTGTGTTTTCGTTTGGCTGGTACTAACTTTTACCTGATAAGGAAGCTTACACTTTGCATTGTTTGTAAAATTCCTCAGAGAACTATTCGACCCTTTGTTTTACAGAAGTGTTTTCTCATTGAGAATAGCGCATGATGTATAATAAGTATGTTAACCAATGCAAATTAAACTTTTTATGCTATCACGTTCTCCGAAACTTTGAAGTTCATTGTATATGTTTACCACTCCAATTTTTTTTACGAATTGTATGGTTAACTTTTAGTGGAGAAGCATTATCCACTATTAATAAGATTTTGGTATAAGTATAGCAAATCGCACGTACGCGAGTGCATATCGTGACAAATAGGCGCGAGTGATTATTTAGAAGTTTTCGTTATCTCTCGAATTTTTCGAGAGTGTAATTTGAAAACCTCTCACAGCATCACGAGGGACCATAAATCATGAAATGCACGAACAGAAACAAATAAGATCTGACAAATACATGAAATGCACCAGATCTGATTTAATTCACTTTTCTTTACTCCTTAAATGACAGCTGCGGGAAAAAAAACCTCTTTTTGAAATTATTACAACTCTGGTGTATGAACGGCTGAAAGCAAACGGAGAGAAATATAATTTCTTGCCTTTTGACATTTTCTGCAAAATTTACGCTTAACTTCGCTAACAGCAAAAAGCGTGATCTCCCTCTTAACCATATAGTATCTAAAAGATCGGTGTTAGGGGCGGAGAAAGTTAATGAAACACAATACCATAAGCGACAATAGAATCTCTAATTTCAATAGTGTAAATAGTACAGTGTTTTAAGGATAACGGCAGTCATCCTTAGCTATAGCTTAGCTGTTATTGGTTCCCATAGTATTTTTAACTTTTGTCACAGAAGTGTTTTCTCCTCAGTTGAGAATAGCCCGTGATATCTAATAATATGGGAATAAACGAGTAACTTACATTCACTCGTTTATGCAATTATGGTTTGTGAATTTAATGCAACCTGTGTTCTATTCTTTGGAATATTACAGGCTCTTGGATGAAATAAGTGTGTTTAGTTCAAGTTTTTCATGGATTACTTAAGTACACGCTTAACTCTTATTTAATTTTTACAATTCCTTAATGGCAGCATACATTCCAACTGTAAAAGGACGTAAGACAATGGGTTTGTGTTTTCGCCCAAAACCAGCTCGAGAACAACAGGTGCTTGTGCTTAAAACCACTTTAAGTGATGTTTTACCAGGGTGTGAAAACTTGTGTACTCATTCAAAAGTGTGCAGCTCAAATGAAAAAAGCAAACGAGACTACGAAAGGTAATTTTAAATGTGGTGAACACAGCCTGAATTTGTTGAAATGATAGTTGGAAGTCATGGGTACTTAATGTACTAGGTAGGTCCACCAAACTGGTCAATTCTAGTGAAAAATATTTGATGATTACACAAACAAACATTGTCTTCTAGAGAAGGGATCATAATACTTTTTTCTTGCGCGAAAACTAATGAAAAAACATTCAGTATTATGTTTACTTGTACGAAAAATAAAGGAAACATTATTCATTAGAAAGAGGTTACTCGTGGTTATCGTGTTCATACTTACAACTTGTATCCTTTCGCAGAATCCTCTCCCCCTGGAAAACGAATTCTAAGTGACTGAGGTCCCCGGGCTTTGTTCGAGTGTGTTCGAGTGCTAGCCTTCACGTTAAGCTAACTGCGCCAGTCTAGATCAAAGGCGAGTGAAGCCCACTCTCAAGCAAAAACCTAGCAATCAAGTGTTTGTGTTAATGCATTCAAAGCAAAACAGCGCGTGACAAAATTAAGTTAGTCTAAGAAGTCCCATTTGACTCAACAACACACTCCGATTGACGGGCATGTCAGAAACTACCCTCCCGTCCCCTGAACTTTGGACAGTCATTTCAACCTCAAAACCTTACAAGGGAACCTATGTAGGTATGTCAAGAACTGTTTGACATGTTCAGATTAGGTAACCAATTGATTAAACTTAATGGATCATCGTTGCACACATTAGATCTGACGAATCATAATTTCTCATGAAATTGTCAGCTTGAATTGAATAAACGGGACACTGATTTAAATGAGAAAAAACCGTGAATTCAATTATCTACCATGAATTGTATTCAGGCTGGATCTTGGTTCATCAAAGTGGACAAGTTTGATGTAGATAAGCAATGCCTGATGTTTCGAGGAGGCTTCTTATCCCATGATTTGCTGCAATCTATACCTGGACGGTTAATATTAATAGTATAGCATCATTATGAAATCAGCATTAACATCCTAATTGCATATAATTAGCCTCGTTTTGTCTCTACTAAAATTCCTTGCGCCGGCTTGTATAGGGCCTGTATAGCCTAACATTTAAGAATTATATTTCTAACAAAGCGTCCACCTCTGTCGGATTGTCTGGGCTCTGTTTCCCAACAATAACCTCCCAATTACTGGTTGACCCTTAAAAGTACAGCTGAAAACTTACGGCAAGTGGAAGGCTTTCCTCTCTACTAAGCGTTAGGAGAGTAAACAATGCTGTTTATTAGCCTCTGATCTCTTTTCTCTACTTGCTACACAAGTGCACGATACCAAGAAGTATGAGTAGTTCCTAGCGGATCGATGATCGTCGCGAACAATATTTTTATTTTTGCGTCAAGCCAATAATTCTTGTCGCATCGATGAAAGGAACGTTTGTGATATCAGGGCATCTATATACTACCACGTGATAGACTGGGTGTATAGCCCTCAATTCCGATTCCAAGCGAACTAATCTTGATCCTGATTCTGTATGATTACTTTCTAAAGATGTTGCTTATGCCTCTCGGCTGATGGTGTGTCAGTCCAGCGATGTCTTCCAGAGGATGATAATTCTGTGAGTTCGGGCATTGGATACAAATCACAGCAAAGAACGAACTACTGAACGATTGACTCAGGTACTTAGACCCTATCCACTTTTATCAAATAGAGTTAGGCCTGTTCCAAACGTCGTGCTACTGCCGTGCCGAACTCAGATGAAACAGTAATTTCGATTTAAGCAAGGCAGTAGCACGCCCTTTGAAACCATTAGGCGCGGCACGGCTGAATTAGGTTCGGCACGACTACTTAGCGCGGCAGGCCTTGCCGTGCCGCACGGCAGTAGCACGACTTGGTTTCAAACGTTGTGCGACTGTCGCGCCGAACTCAATTCATAAATTAATTTAACGTATTTTGCATTATTTGCATACTATTACCCATGCGCACTAATAAAAAAAGACAAATGGCGTCGTGGCGCAAAAATCTACCCGTTTTGCCCGAAAGCTTGAGAGAAGAGGAATCCGACGGTGACAATAGCTCCGCCGACGTTTCCCGAACTTTTTTAAAAAGATATTCACCTGCATCATTCGACAGCTATTCTCCAGATAACGACAAAGAGACTGATTCAAACGAATCCGACACAGGAGTCAGTGAACAGAGTGAGGTGTGCAGCTCGAGGAAAAAGAAGCGAAAGGGACGGAGAAGCGTACGGGAAGAGCGACATGTCAATGATTTAGTAGATGTGATATGTAGTAGCGAGTACTATAAGAAGAAGTTGATTTTCACGAACACGAAAAATTCGAAGAACGCAGAAATATATGCTAATGTGCTCAAAGATTAGGGCCAGAGATATGAAGATGGTAGCTTCCCGTTTAGCGTAGATCAGCTCAGGAACAAGTTTAAGAAATGCATATCTGAGTGCAAAAAAATTGCATTGACTGTCAATACCTCGACGGGCGTAAAAAGGGTTCAAGATGAAAAGCAGCTGGGAGCCTGGTTTAATCAACTATTTCCACTGGTCCAAACAAGGGATTCATGTAACCCTTACATGGCAGTAGAGTCTTCTTCATCACTGCAGTTGTCGGACGGGGAGCCAGTGAAAAGAGCATCAGATAACAGAACCCCCACTGATGAGCAATCAGGTGACGGTCTTGACCAAGGTGACGACTCTGACAAGAAACAATTTGTGCCTATAAGGAAGGGTAGAAGAAAGAAAGTCAAATCTCAGAACTCTTCTAGCGCTTTGTCCACTGCTGTGGAGCTTTTTGAAAAAGTGGTTAATAATGACCCAACAACACAGCTGATGCATTTTTTCAAAGAGGAAAATCAGCGAGCTCGTGAACATGAATTAATGTTAATGGAACTCTTCATGTCACAAAGACAGCCTGCAGTTAGTTATTCTGCAGGTTCATCCTCTATCATTTTCCCAGGAAGAAGCCCCAGCCCATTTGCAGGATCTAGTCATTGTGCAGGTTCATCCTCTATGATTTCCCCAGAAAGAAGCCCCAGTTCATTTGCATACACAGCTCAAGATTTACTCTACAAGGAACCTCGACAGTGCCACTTCTCAGTGAGTGAAGGGAAAAGGTATCACCAGTTGTAGATTAATGTGGAACAGAGTGGACATTAATGTTGATATTTCTTGTATATTTCCTGACTTTATCCATGATCATCAATGTGAGGGATGATTAATGTTTGTACTCCATTTAACTAGTACCACAGTTCAAGTTTATAACTTTTTTAATTTTTAACACTTGCTGCTTCTCTTGGTTAGAATTTTCACACTTTAAATTTTAAAGTACAGTCAATCTCATGATTGAACCGTTGCGTTTCTTTGTGACAAAATGGTGCATTATGAAGGAATAAACAGACAATTTAGATCCAGTTCATTTCAAAGGGAAAATGGTTTTTATTTTTTCATCAACAACATAACAAACATCAAATACATTCAGTGGTAAAGAAAACAAAACATTACCTTTTTTAACAAGCAACTCAGCCTTTGTTATAGCCAGTTGAAAATTTAATGAGGTATGTGACAATAGACTCTATAGCAAAAGGAAACATTATTATAACATAGCGCGCGTGCTTGCCCTGTATAAGTCCTATTGAGCCGCTATGAACAAAATTTTTATTTACGCACGCCGGTGCGTAAATAAAAATTATGCATTTAGCTGTGCGTATATCAAGTTATGGATGCACTTAAGAAGTTTGGAGTGCACTCAAAAAGCTAGAGTTGCTCTCGGCTGCGCCTTGAGCTACTCTTCATTTTCCGTGCTCTCCAAACTTCCCGCGTGCATTCATAACCCGATATACGCACGCTATGCATGAACAAATTCTTAAAGAATAAGGAAAGTGACTCTACGCTAATCTACAATTTTTAGACACTTGAGCCAACACCATAACATGAAAAAAAATGAAACCAGCTAGCATGAGTAATTATGAACTGGTATCATAACAAGTGAAATATCAAGACAAATCATGAAGTGAATTTGACAAAGAGGGGACTATTCAACAGACCCCATGCCCTTCTTTCTCTCTCAAAAACTTATCAGATAGACAGTTACGAATTAAAGTGGCTTGGTGACATGAATCTCGAACTGGTGGACTTCGAACCATTTGCAACAGGTTTCTTATGACTTCCCTGTCTCTTCTCTCTCCAGTCGCAGGATCAATTGTTAAATCCATTTTTCTTGACATTGAGTCCCCATGATTTATGCATATGTTGTGTAGTACGATACAAGCCATTGTTACAGTTCGCACATTCTTCTGACTACATTCATTCCTTCGAAATAGAACTCGCCATCGCCCCTTGAGCTGACCGTACGCCCCCTCACTCACCATCCTTGCTCTACTTAGGCGGTAGTTAAAGTATTTCTGTTTTTCAGTAAGGACTGACTAATGGATGAAACCATCCCCATTAGCACAATAGAATAAAAGTTTTTAAAATTGTGGTACTCTTTAGATAACTCTAAACCTCCCGGGGGACATTTGATAGAGATGTGACATCGCTGACCAACAGCAAGGGAACTGCCACATCTGTTCCATATCACGCATCTTTTCTCTAAAAGCTTGTTCATTCTTGGGAAAATGGTTAACGACACTGTCATTCCAAAGATTGTTTATAATGACCTCACACACATCTTCAGTAATGGCTGCAACAGTTGACACACCTACTCCAAACATTTCTGCTATTGTAAAATAATAGTCCCCGCGTCCAAGACGATAGAGACAAATGGGATCTTCACAAACTACATCACGCTCTAAGTCATGTCTAATTTGGTTAAGAATGAACTGAAACGTTCCCTTGAAACACGTAAAGTTTGTTTAAATCGTTTTTCACTATAGGTGTTCCAAACTGTGTTCCACCAGCCAAGGTTCCTTTGGAAACGCCGGCACGATCGTAATACAGTAACTTGCTGGCTCTCGTCAAGGGAAACCAGAAGAAGAATAAATGAAAAAACTTTCAAAAGTAATCCTCTCCTTGCAATAACAGTATTCAATATGGACTGTTGCATTCGCCTACGTTGCCTTCTGGCATTTAAAATTGTCTTAAACAAACCAAACTTCTCGCGCTCTTCGTTAAGGTTTCCCTCCGCCATTTTGGATGGGGCGATACCGCTGGAAGGATGGTTTGTTTTGTCTTTTGAATTTGGCGCGACTGCATTAGGTTCGACGTTTGAAACCGCTGCCGTGCTATCGTCGTGCCACTGCCAAGCCAAATTCATTTGAGTTCGGCACGGCAGTAGCACGACGTTTGGAACAGGCCTTAGGGTCTGGTAGCTCGCGTGACGGTCGCACACAGTCGGTTTTTGAATGTCACGCAAGCTGGTAGTTAGTCATGCAACACTTTGTCACAATTCTCCCGCCTGTGTCCGCCATGTTGGTCGGCCAACACGCATCAGTGAAACTCTGCATCATCTACGCGCTACAGAAGACCCATATATACAGAAAATATGTCTGAAATCGAGTATAGTGACCTTCTATTTCAGATAAGTACGAAAATTGATGTAAACCAATTAGATAGATTGGTTTTTATGTGCAGAAAGCTGATCTCAGAAGGCAGTGAAGGAACGATTGAAAATGCACTCGGATTATTTAAAGAACTCGAGAAACAGGATAACCTCGGAATGGACCGGTTAGAAAATTTGAAGCAGATTTTGAAACAGTTGAAGAACCGACCCATGCTCAAGAAGGTGGAAGAGTTTGAGATCAAGAGAAAAGGTGCTCATTTACTGCTAGTCATATTTGTTTTGAAATTCAGCGAAGGAAATTTGAAAAGCCGGAAGTGCCTTTTTGCTCGAGAAGTTCAATTTAAGGCTTAGAACTTCTTCACTGATTGCAAAGGAAATGATTTCTTGTTAAGGGGACTATGTATTAATTGATAATTTCGCTTAGTACTTATTGCTTTGGAAGTTCCCAGTATCACGAATCTTATTTCATTATGGCTTTAGATAACTTTACGAATCCTTGAAATTTCAGCTCAGTCACTTGGCATCATTACTTCATTTAAGCAAGCCGCCGTCAATTTGAAAGGAGGTAAGGTGTAAAAAGGCAAGGTTCTTAACTGTGCATGTAAAATATTTAGGGCAAACAGGCATAGGCCGGATGCTGAATATGAGTAACAAAAATGTAAGATAAAATTAGACAATATTTATAATGATGTAAGAATCAGTGCTTTGCCATTTATGCATCACGACATAGGTTTATTAGAGTGTTGTTGTGTGCTAAACAATTAAGTCGACTCTTATAAGGCCCCAGTTCATCTAATGTAAGTTCCAAATAGCCAGAAACAATGATAATCAGGGATACAGGCAAAAATACATGACTTAGTTCCAACCTCTCTTCTAAACTTCCCGTTTTGAAGGAGTAGCAAGTGATTAAATTTTTTCAATACTCACAAACTTTCAAAATTTGGCTTCTGCTCGATGTACTGGCAAAATTTGAAAATATATTTATTTGCCCACTTGCTTGCAACATTCTTGCTACTGTCTGAATGCATGAATGGATGCATACCCAGATCAATTTCTCAAAATGCATTTTTACACAAAAATTATTTTAAGCCAACAATGCAATGCTCTGGAAGCTTTAGAGAGAGAATTAATAAGGATTTGTGCTTGTGGAAAATTTGCCATCCATATAATGCTGTAATATTGTCTCTAGCTTTCAATCACAACTGGAAAATTATTTTTAACCCTATAACTCCCAGAAGTGATTCACATGTAACTTCTTTCTACAACATCCATGCACTATCCAACAAACAGGTAATGAGATTACTCAAATGTACCAGGTAGAAGTCGTGGTCTTGATCTAACACTAAATTCTTGTAACTAATTTATAGGGAAATGTGTAGCAGGTAGAGGGGAGAATCAACAATCAGATTCTGGGAGCTGTTAAAGGGTTGAGAACAGCAGACTTTGGTCCATATTTCCAGAGGTTCCCTTCCCTCTTTCTTCCATGCACTCTTTTGGTGCTAGTCAAATGAAATGATTTTTGTTTTCTGGTAGGTTAGGGTTGTGTGTGTTTGTGTGTTTGGGGGTAGGGGTAGTTGGCAACTTTTCAGCTAAACTGAAGTTGTGAATCATAGCCATAGCATTGTATAACATGTCGGAATTGGCTTAAATGATGCCAGATAGTTAGTTACCAGTTTGGACACCAAGCCTTGTTTGAAATACATATACAAATGGCCTTCAGACTGTAGTTGTCTATATTGTTAATGTGGTACAGTGACTTTAAAATCTACCCGATTATTTATTTACAGCAGTTTTTTTAATAAGATTTTCATAACTGGCATTGTACAATGTTCAGAAGCATTCCAGTCATGTCCAATGAATTCATTTTCATTGTGAGAACAAAACCAGAAGATTGTGTACAGGCTGAAAACTTATCACCACTGTTAATTATTTTATTTGTGAGTTTTGCTCAGCCTTAAATTAACCAATTATTATTGTCCTCCACAAAACACCACTGGTTGCTGAATAAGTTTTTAGCACCAGTATTTGCAAATAGATCTAATAGTAAGACATAGAGGTGAAAACTAATATGAACAAAATACTATACAAAATTGGACATTGATTCTTGGCCCTAATAGTTTGTATTGTACAACTACAATAAGTTAATAAAGTTAAGTTTTATTTTACTGACACTTTTATTAGTGATCAGGTGATTAGAGTTTGTGTAATGTGTTACTACAATCCTAGCAGTATGCAGGACACATGATGTCATATGAACTTCATAATTGACCTTGCTCACCGTAGAATCTTTGTGGCTTAGTGGTAGAGCATTAGAGTGCGGAATCAGTAGGTCTGAGGTTCAATTCCTCATGGGGACTCAGAATGTTTTCTTTGTCCCACACTTGTGCCAAGATTAAAAATATATTTCTCTATTTCTTTACAAAACTCAAAACTGACCATCTTTCTTATTCTATTTTCAAACTCCCCTTTTGCATGCAGTTACAAAAACCTGAACACATCATTTACAGAGGCAAAGCCATGCAAAACTAAATTTGTATGGCTTTCTCTTGTAAACTACTGAAAACATAATTTCAAAACTGAAGTTTTGTGTTGTTCTTGTGGGTTCAATATTGCATTCTAATTTATTCCTGCCCTCTCACAAGAAAGCATATCAATACTGTATATTGATTAATTTTGTTTTTAGAAACACTTTTAAAAACTGTTAGAAACTGTAACTATCTCAAAAACAACATTCTTTCCCTTAAATGTTCTTAAAAGAGAAGTTTGACTGTCCAATCATATAGCCTCATATTTAAAATGTCTTAACTTGATACTTGAATAATTTTGAATATGATTAATTCAGACTACAGTAATTAATTTCTTACCCTTATTAAAAAAATCTGCAGTTATAAAGAAGCTACTCGTATACCGCAAATAATTTTGAGTATATATAATTAGTCAATAAAATTGTATTTTTAATGTCTTAAAATCACCCAAACAGGGCTTTCATCCTTGAGTGACTGATATTGTAAAAATTACTGGATTAGTGTGTGTGTGTGTGGGGGTGGGTGGGTGTGGCTGCATGTGACATGCTGTGTGTGTGGGTGGGTGGGGGGTGAGTATGTGGAGTGGGGAGGGGGCAGACTGTGGCACAATTCTATCTTGGAGGAAATATTTTGAAAAAATTTGCCGTACGTCTGTTGCAAATGTTTCTTTTGATGAGATATTATGATTACTTAAGATCAAAAATGACTTGTTTCAATAGCGATCAAGATGGTTTGTAATTTTCGCACAATTGGTGGTGCTCTCCTGGTAGTTAGTAGTGGCATGGCTCTCCGTAGCTGTTCAACTCTTGACGAGTTTGTGGAGACCTTCAACAAAGTTGTGCTGGTTGCATACACCAAACTGGTTGAGATCAGTGAGGGATCTCTGTGCTTCACAGTACAAGCAGAGACGCCAGCAGCTCTAAAGGAGTTATGGGACATCTACAAAGATGGAACATTGCAGAGACGTCTTAAAAAATTTCTAGTTACCGATGACATCAAACAGTTGACAGATGCGAAAGACATTGAGGTGGCTGTTTTCATCGATGAAAAAGAGTATGTGATGTCATTTAATTTTCTGCAAAATCAAGGTATGGTAACATATGTGCAGTTTGAATTTAAGTTTGGACAAATGTAACGTTGAACGGGAAAAGCTACTACGATAGGGTTAAAATTCCTTAGTAAAGTTGTTGAAAACATATCCTATATCCAGATATTGAAAAGACCAATTCTTGCGAGTATACAGAACCTCCCCTTCCCCCTCGAACGATGTTGTTAAAACTTAAAGGTCACCACTTCTTGGTCAAGTTTACAGAGTGCACAAATTCGACATCCTTTGGGGGAGAGAGGAAATAATTTGTTTTTAAGTAATTTTGCGTTAAGTGTCCCTTCTGAGTCCGTTTGCAGCTATGAATTATAAAAAAAAGGGAAAAGTAAGAGTTACCCTTTCAACATGGGAAGCTAATCCTCGACTTAAACAAGTAATCAGCCTGTTTAAAAAAAAAAGAACATACTGTTACCCAGAAACGATGTCGTTATCTTGCATTGAACAATGATTGCTGCATCTGACAATCCAGCAACATTAGTTGATCCTAACTTAATCCTCTTTCTTATTGTATCCTTCCAGCAGTGCCTGATTTGAAAGTAGAGCGGTTTCGAAGGAAATCTGACTCCTTCTTTCACATCAATTCAAATCAGAGAGAGATTGCTATGATGAGGCTGACACAAGTAGAAAACCAGTTGAGCTTTGAAAGACAAGTTCATGGAGAGGAAATAAAAAAACTCAAGGAGAAGATTATCCTGGCAAGAGAGCCAAGGGGTAGGATTGATTAAACTCTACCTTTTGTACGTATCCTATGCTCTGGTTGGGATCAGTTACGGGACAATGTGAAGGTTATATTTTAAAACACATTTATATGGGATAGAGCTCGGGAATCAGCTAGGTTTTGTGTAGAGTATAATTAAATTGAAAAAGTAAAGAATGTCGTAGTAGAATGGTACCTTGTTGATTTTCAGGCCAATCTGGTATTCTTCGTATAGTATATACCACGACCAAATGCAAAAGCACCAAGAATGCATGCTGATGATTTCATTCCCATCCTTATTCTTCTCGCTGGTCTCGGTTCAAAGAAGTCAGGGATGATTTTTTGCTCATTTTCGTTGAAACCTGACAAATTTTTAATATTTTTAAATTATTTTTTTGATCTTTCATACAGCGCCAAATATCAAACAGGAAGAACTGCCTGGACGAAGAACTCGAAGGCATTCGGAGTCTTTTCTTTATTACAAACGAAATGAGGTCGAGGTAGCTTCGATGAGGCAATTGGAGCAAGCAGAAGAATGGAGGAAAGAGAAAGAGATTTTTGAATTAAAGATCGCAGAGCTTGAAGAAACTCTGAAAGCAGAAAGGATGAGCAATATGGACCGTAAGCATTCAGGTACCCACTAAATATTTTTGAGCTTAACGAAATATCGGCGATGGGTGGTAAAATTGTGGGTAGGGTAATATTTGTTCGAACACATAAATGGCTTTCGTAATACTTTAGAAGTTATTCTGAATTTTTCCACTCTAACAAGTTAGCGTGGTAAAATAAATGCTTCTTGAAGAAAAGGGTGTAGAAGATACTCCACGGTGAGCGAGGTCTATTTCGAATTTCATATGACACGCGTCCTACATACTGCTAGGATCAGCAGTTTCGATAGCGTCAGGTTCGATTCCTCATGGGGACTCTTTTATTTTCTTTGTCCCATGCTCGTGACAAGACGAAAAACAGCTTTCTCTATAATAAGAATCTCCATCGATCGATAAAAGAGTCTGGTCAGAATAAGGACAAACCTTCTATCACAACCAGTTGCGATAAGGACGTTTCAAGAGGGCCGTTACAAACAAGCATAAGAACATAAAACGTTTTAGAAATTATATCTTCTTTAGGCCATCACAACTTCCATTTTGCTTGAGGATAAGCTTTTTAGTTATCATTTTTTGTCTTTAATAATTCCAGAAGCTACGACTCTCGGGAGACCATGGAAGAGGCGACGCAGAAATTCTGATTCTAACTTGTACCACATGGCAAGAAAAGAGGGGGTTGAACAAACTGGAAAACAACCAGAGCGAGCTTTAGAAGGAGGAGCACAAATGGATTTAGAGAGGCGTATGTTCGTACATAATTATTTGCAGAATAGGAGACTTAAATTTAGCGTTCGTTTTAAAATTTATCCCCAGATAAATTTTCGTTATTTGCTGTATTTTTCATCCTCGTCCGTTGTGACATTGAACCGTACTCCCCAGCCGTGTTATCAATATTTGACTCTGTAAATTAAAGGAGAGGTTGGTCACCTCATTTCCCATAAAAGTGAAATTGATTATCTGTCCTTTGTTATCGAAGCGAAGAATAGGGCTGCACGAAAACCTTGTTGACGTGTCTGCTTCTTCTGGAGGTGATAATTTTCTAACCTCGAGGCTGGATTGTGGCAAACAGTGGACCTGATATCAATGATGAGAGAATTAGAGGTCTTTAGCAGAAAAGGATATGGAAAGAAGCCACGTTCATATGTACAACAGAGGAGAATTTGTCGTGTCTTATAAGGTTCATAACGCATGAAGAGCCCACTAATTAGTAATTTTGCGGCGGAAATGTGAGGTAAACCATCAAGGCTAACCGAGTTAGATTATACTCAGTTTCAGCTGAATTATGCAAAATACAGAGGCCACTTTTCATACATTTACGTTTTATAATCAATTGGACTATTTAATTCAGGAAATGGACGATTGTCTGAGACCCAAGTGACCCAAACTCAGATTTAAAGCGGCTTCGTTTTAGTTTGATCGGATTTTTAGTTCGATCCTCACTAATTATGACGGTATTTTGTCGAACAGGCGGCTATGCTAAATACTAAGAAACAAAAAACGTTGGGTCTATGAATTGTAACTTCTTCGGTTACATTCATTAAATCTGTAAAGGTGTTGAGGTGTTTACTGATTTAAGTAGTCAGGCTTTGGTGACTTCGATGCTGGTTCAAAGTGTAGAAAGAGCCCACTTTTTAAGCCGTAAGTATGAACCAGGAGGGTGATGGGGGTATTTTATCTTTTTCGTGGAAAAGAGGTTGTAGCTTGGTTGTCTGGAACAAACGAACGAACAAACGAAAGAACACACGAACGAACGAACAACCGAACGAACGAACGCACGAACGAACGAACAAGCGAACGAACGAACACACGCACGAACGAGCAACCGAACGAACGAACTCACGAACGAAGAATGAAAGAACAAATGTACTAAGGAAAAAAAAAGAAACGAACGAGCGAACCAATGAACAAGCGAAAGAACGAATGAACGAGCCAACCAATGGGCAAATGTACGAACGAACGAATAAATGGAAGAATGAAAAAATGAACGACAGAACGAATGCATGAACTAACGAACGAAAAACAAACGAACAAACGAATGCGCGCACGGAAAAACCAAAGAACAATCGAAGAAACGAACGAATGATGGAAGGAAAGTTGACTTCTCTTACGCTATTGGATAAATTTGGTCGGGAGATGCTGTAAGCAAATAAAAAACAAAACATATTTTCTCAGTCATTCGAGACAAAAAAATGTAAGAAAAGGTAGAGATATTGCAGGTTGAACTACGTTCTTAGCGTATTGAAGTTTTAAATTTTATGGCATTGCACTGATTGAAAACAACGATAGACAGGAATTAATGGTAGTTTTACCAATTCTTTTGATGTAAATTTCTTTGTAAAAAAACTGTGAATAAGAAGACGCCTTAAAAGGTCAGAAAACTTACACTTTTCTCCGGTCATGTTTCGTTTGCTAATTGCTGCCTTTCACCTGCTCCAAGAGGAAACAAAGAAACGGAACTATGACAATGTCACTTCAGTTCACTTTTAACTAAATGGAAACATTCAGAATTTTTTTGCTATTTTAAATTTACTTTTCATCTTTAGACGTTATTTCTTCGCAATTTTGCCTGGTAAGAAGCGAGTTTGAATAACGTTAGAAATTAAGATTGTTTCCTTTTTTCCGGCTTTTCGAAAATACATCAAAGTGGTTAACAACGGCGTGTGATTGTGTCAAACGATAAAAATTATTTTCAGTACTCGACTGAATGCTAATCAGGTCACATGTTAAGTGGTCTTATTCTGATCTTCTCTTTTCCCATAAAGTCTGACAAGGACGCGTTCGAGTGTTTCCTCTACGTTTATAGTCAAACACAGAATGAACTTTTCAAGTGCGTCATTAGCCGTTTGTATGGCGGCAGCTGAAAAACGTGCAGTGGAATCATTTCCTGTCAGTTTTTTTTAACTGTAAATTCAACTCAGGACTTTCCTCCAAAGCTTAACAAATTTGTTTCATAGCATCCAAGTGTTCATGACGTCTTGAAGGCTTAAATGTTCCCTGAAACAAGATAGGGCCAAATCGTTTACAACAATAGTTCGTTCAATTTCTTCACAAATCGCCATTCTTCTCTCAGGATGAGTCTTTCGATAGTAGTGGAAAAAATGATGATCTAGAGCCTCGTAAAAACGCCCACGGACACGTTCATTTGTTTCTTCCTCTGAGCTTGTCTGCTCTTTCGCGGTGCAATTTAAAAGCTTCTTGTTGTCGTCCGTGAACGACTCCGTTGTTCTCCTTTCAACTTCAAACATCGCTATGTAAGATGTTATATCGCTGTCTCCGGTTTTATTGACATCAATCCTTTTCCCACTGAAATCCCTGACTTCGACGATATTGTCCCTTTCTGTACATGTGCGCAGCAAATCCATATTTTGATCGAATGTCAGAAGTTCGTCGTGTAATATCTGGCTACAACTACCTTGATAGGCTCGCCCTGGTCTTAGCCGCCTTCGGAGCAAATGTATGGGTTTTTTTAATGAGTTCTCGCCACCAAGGGTGCCTTTAACCATCTCACCCCTTACCGAATGGTTATCGAATCGATTTCCTTCAACAGTAAATGCTTTCGAGCGAGCGTATGTCTCTTCGTACCTGGTCACCTCTTCCGAATCCTTCTTTCTTTCAATCGAAGACGTTATGTGGTGTCTGGTGGCTCGGCCCACAGTTCGATATTTCATGTTCACATTTGTGATCTCGTAAGATTTGAATGTTTGTTCCCCATGGATACAAGACTCCGCATTGCTTTGCCCGGTAAAGCGCTTTCCAATTTGCGGAAGCCGCAAAAAGCTCAAAGGAGAGTTGTCTTCTGCACTTTCGCTGGAAACCGGGTTTTTAGTGTTCCCGATTTTTTTCGTAATCCTTGGTAATCGCGTTTGATTCGTTGGTTCCTTGCCTGTTGGATATCTGTACGCCATTCTCAAATGTTGCTTGTCAACTGATGAGCTTTCAGAGAGCTGCACGATTCCCACTACATTATTCTAAATTAGAGCGCGCCAACTTTCAAAACTATCTGAAAAAAGCGAAAAAGCAATAAAAATGAAAAGACGTGCAACGAAACGTACAAACACGAGAGAACAGAGGTAATCTAATGACACGTATGGAAATTAATCGCTTTTAAGACAAAAACAAAAACACATGCGCTGTCGAAAACAAGAGGCGTCGGCACAAATTCCCAGTTGTCATTAGCACTCTATTCTCCACTTCTTCCGATGGCGGTGACATCCCTCCATCTGGAAATCTGCCTGAGGCGAAACTGATAGCAACTTGCTGGTTCAAGTAAACCGATCGACAGAATTCATGAATAAGATAAATAAACTCAGCAGAACCTCACGCTTTTGCGAGAAAGAGTTGGGGAAAAAGAGTGCAACCCATATATGCTAAGCGGTAATTTCAAATAATTATTTTTTTTCTAAAGGATGGGTTATTTATGCTCCTAACATTTTCACTGAGCGGTCAACATTGTTTAAGAGGTTTAATGCTACGCCTATTCTAATTTTCAGCTTTTCGTAAAATGTATCTCTTAAGACTACATAAAGACGACTCTGAAACCGACTTTGATCGATCTAAAATTTGTTCTCAACTTGAAACCTATTTCGAAGAAACACAAAAACAATAGAGGGGCTCCTAGCTTTTTATCACTGATTTTAACATCTGCCTACCTCAAAAATTGGTCTCAGCCGTAAATTCAGAAAAGAAAATTGGTTTGAATATACATATTTAGATAACACTTATTAGGACCAGTTATTCGTCATTTATTTGTTCAAGTCAACTGTTCGAACATTTGCCAAGGCAAGAATTGACCGCTATGGCAGATGATTTCGCAATCTACTATAACTGTCCGTTTTAAGTAACAAACCAATATCCTTTTTGCTTCAGGCAACCGCTTATCTCTGGATTTCCGTCGCTTCAGCTCCTGTCATGCCAGAGTGTTTTGATTGGCTGATCGCTGTCAATTTTTCCATTAACTTTGAAATGTATTTTTCGTCGTTATGTGTATCCAAGCTTTATGCAATTTGTTGCAACACGTTTTTGACACTTCAATTCCTTCCTTAACCCATTCATTTATTATCGGTAGAACAAATATTTTGTTTCAAAGGGCTATTTTTAACACGTAGATAGGCTCGTTCTCTCTCGTCCCCGTATTTCGGCCACACCGTCGTGGCGAAAGGTTGAAAGCTAAAAACTTTTCTTTTTGTGCTGTTGTTATCGATAATAATTGGTTTTCAAATCAGCCACTCGCGTATCTTATTTAATATCAGAGGCTAAAATGATCATTAAAGGTTGACTTCGGTATAATAATTAAATATATTTCATGCTGATCTTACCAGTCGATGATATGATTTTCGAAAAATCTGTCTCGGCAGGTGAAGCGTGTTTGTTCCGGGGAGTTGTCTTAAATGATCGAGGAGTGTTGATAGAACTCTGCTGAAAGCGCTTTCTATTTACCACTCTGGATTGGACTGATTTTAGGAACACGTGTAGGCTTAGGCTTTTTTGTTGCCCCCAACCTTTTTCCGAACTTTGTTTTGCAGACTCACCTTAGCCGGCTCGGCCCTAATACGAGAAATCGAAGCAGTCCTTCATTTTCTTGTGCCAAAGCCTTGCTAGCTTAGAGCATCGATGGTATCCAGGAAAAAGAAATCCCCACATAGGCGTACATGCTGGGGGGGCCGGGGGGGAGGGCTGCAGCCCCCCACATTTTGGGCAAGTCAGAGTTTTTTGGCAGTAAGAGGGAAGTGGGCGAAGTCAGCTTTTACAAAAGTTTCCACGTGTGCGTGGGTGTGTGCATGTTTTTTTTGTTTTGTTTGTTTCTTTTTTATCTATTTTAACCTAGGTCGGCGTGGTAAAACCATCTTTTTTCAGACGGTGTGTGCTGATAATAATCCTGAGCAACACTAATAGTCTGTGCCGAAATATTCAGGGGAAGACGACCAACGTTATCTCTGTCATCACGTAGAAATATCGACATGACCATTCAGACCTTACGCCAGTGTCAGTGTGAAGAAAGTTTCAACAGCGTATGGTAGATAAGAACAGTAATGGATCTGATAATGGAGAAGTGGCTAACAAACTCTCAGTTTGAATGGCAAGAAGCCAGGACACCAGGACAAACACTGACGAGCTGCCTTCGAGCCCTTTAAGGTGAACATGCGCAGAAACAAACACAGCTAACAACGGAATCGCACTATCGTATTCACACTTACTAGGCGTCCATCGACAAGGTACTGTCCGACCTTGAGCTCACTGAGGTTTCGTAGAAATGATCATGAAACACTCTGTGCTTTGTGAAATATCTGTCACAATGAAACTCCTCATAAAGAAAGCTTATCCCGCGTTGCTAAAATTTACAAAATCGACAGCGAGAAGCCGAGCCGCAGAAAATGTGCGTGAGTTTTCGTCTTGTGCGCGGATAGATTTGACTGTTTTAGAAATGGTGGAGGCAGTGTGCGAGGGTGATCTATTTGATATGTTTTGAGAGTTTTCTAAAGTGATATATATCTCTGTGTTCTGCAGAACGATCATTCAGTGCGTTGCGTAGATTGAAAACTTGCCTTCGCAGCACCATAGCAACAAGGACAACAACGTGTCAGTAACATCACACTGATTAACATTGAAGGGCCAACTCAGTAGTCAACAATGACATGGATCGTGTCATTGTTGTCTTTGGCCGTCGAAATGGGAGAGACTGTTTTTTCTTTTAATGTGCTCTGTGAGCTCATATGATAGATTCATATGTACAATATTTTCACTTCATATGTAGGTGTAAGTTAGTGTATCGTATGACCCTCTCTTTTTTTCGACTATTTCGTAAAAAAATTGGGTAACTTGCAGGAATCTTTTGGGCAAAAAATTATCAGTTTTAAAATACTTCCTAGACTTGATAGCTCCCTGCTTACTAAAAAGCCAACAACAACAAAAACAACAAAAACAGAAAAAACAGCAAAAACAATAAAACAGCAAAATAAATACAGTACAGAAAATATAAGAAAAAAAAACTATGCCAACTTCAAAGAACTGCGCTAGTATATACGCTCATATGAGCAGAATTAACGATACAAATGTTGACAGTGAATAAATGGTTCAATAACGATATATATCTCTAATGAATATCAGTAAACCAAAATCCTTCCCACGCCGCAAGTGTCATCGACACTTATTCATTTCTTATCTAGTTGTTTCAGTTTTTTTTGTTTTTTTTTTTCACTCTCACCAGTGTGTTTTTTGTCATGTTACTGAGCACAACTTGAGAATAATGGCCCCGTCATTGTAAAGTATGCAAAGTATAAATAGAGCAGCGTTTGAAAATTGTCTTAAGCATTTATATTTAGTGAATAGCTTGCGCAGGCGAAAATAAGGAGTTTATGCAATTAACTCGCCCAGTTTTTTCAGCTGTTCTGATTTTTGACAGCGATAATATAATTTAAAGTATTCCTTTGAGATTTCATGTCGAGATTTCTCTTTATATGAATAAAAATTCAAGAGTTTGACAAGGGTTCGCGCTAACTTGCTAACGAGAAGAAAAAAGTTTAGTGAAGATATACGATGCTAACGACACTTTAAAGTGAAGTCGGTGGCACTTAAATGAGTTACGACAACCACGTTTTTGGGCAGGAATAGCGGTGAATTTCCATACCTAATGGAGCTGATTCTCTGACAAAAATAGATGTCTGTTTTTAAGAGAATCATTATTCCTGTAAAGCACGGCAGTATTAGTACAATTGTTTCATAGTTCGATTGTACACCAGATAGCGCAGAAGCGGGGAAATGGCGCAGAAATACGCGTCGGGTTTGGGCCAAACGAGATTACCGCCAATTCGAAGAAAGTTCCACTCTGCCAACAATTGCGAAGTAAAAGAGTTGGGTTTTGATCCCTCAGCCTCGCCATTCTCCCTTCCAAGACTGCCTCGAATTGGAAACCAACAGATTCCAGCTTCAAAGAGGACTTGTCCTGACAAACTAGAAAGACGAGGAAATCGGACATCGCTGAGTTTCACGACTGATAAAAAAGTTCCATGTCTACTAACAACTGCCCCGGAGCTCGACAAGCCGTTTGAAAGATCAGCGAAGAAGCAATGGCGAATCAGTATTGAAGAAAAGCTGATGGGGCCGGCTGCACACGGCGTCGATGGAGTTTACTCCAAGGAAATCGTGAAGGAAGGGTCATTGGAGTCCAATGAAAACAGAAGATCATTTCTGAGACGCGATCACATATTTCGAAGACGTCTCAGACCGAGTAAAGCGTATCAACAGCAAGACAGCCACATGTCCCATCGAGAACTGCTTGCTTTTGATCAAAATATGGAACATCTGCTGACGTTTACAGAGAGAGACAAAGTGCTGGAATTGAGAGATTTCAATGGGAAAAAGATGAACCCAAACAAAACTGGTAACTATGACATAATGTCGTGCGTTTCGATGTTTGAGGTCGAAAAGGGGGTAGACAACAATACCAGTGAGGAATGTGAAAATTGCGCTTCTATGACAAAAGGTGTTTTCGAAGACAGCGAGCTTTCTTCGAGGAGAGAGGAAACGAAAAATCGTGTGCGTGGTCGGTTTTATGAAGCCTTAGATCTTCACTTTTATCACTACTACCGTAACGCTCATCCTCAGCGAAGAATGGCGATCTGTGAAGAAATTGAGCGAGGTATTGTGGTTGACAGTATTACACTGTCGTGGTATAGAGAAAACTTGCGTCTCCAAGACGTTTTGAATACGTGGGTCTTATAACGTTTGAGGGAAGTTATATCGACCTTCCCCCGCAAAAGCTGTGAATCTTGAAATGAAACCGTGCATGAGCAGCTTGAAATTGGCCATAGATTCAAGGATTAGAATTTGTGTTCGCTTTGTTTCCCGGGCGAGGCAAGAAGTATGACAGTGTTGAGAATTTCATTATAAGATGAAAAAATTAACTGAAATATTATTTAATGTAGAATACCTTCTCTATATTTTTGCTTTGCGTCGACATTGGAAGAAAATGTTGAGCCGATCGCATCTGCTCTGTCATGACAAACACAGAAAAATCTCAGGAACGGAAATTTAATTACACTCGTGTTTTTATTTAAAAAAAAGACAAAAACGTGACGTTCTACAAGCCACGAGTAGACTAACCGTGTAGCCAAAAGTCACGTTGTCGTTGATATGAATTTAGGAGTCATATGTCATCCCAGTTAGTCTGTTTCCGAAATAAGGCTCATCAACAGTGCGTAAGGTTCAATTTCAGTTTCCGCTGCATATATTAACGTGAACAGTTAACTTTACCCCGCAATTCGCCGATCGGGAAAGATAATTCGTTTTATTTTCAGTATAACGAGAGTGTGAAGAAAGAAATGAAAGGAAAAAATCTAAAACGAAACCTACTCCCAAACCAGTCCCCCCAGTCCCCGCTCCTTACTTCTTCTCTCTACGCACTCCTCTTTGCCTCGATTGCTTCTATGGAAATACACTCTCCTCTCCTTAACACCTTTAACTCAGTTGAGTGGCCAAAACAAAATTTCTCCTTATAATACCGATACAATTTTGAACAAAAAAAGGTTAGAGAGGAGAAAAACATCTGTTTGGGTATTCATTATTAGTTGGTCCGATACAATTCGAACTAAGATCAAGGAGGAGAAATACGAATGAGATTTATAAGTGAAAGGGTTAAGTACCCCTTTTTTTTATTCCTGCCCCACTCACCTTTGTGGTTAACTCAACTATGACCTCCCCTCCCCCCCCCCCCGTACCTCTTAAAAATATTTTGCAATCGTTTGGCATATTGAATTATTCACTTCTACCTCGGTGGCTGATATGTCTCGTAGATTCGCCATCATACACCAATCAATTTGAATTCTGTCCCAGGTTTTTCAAACAACTCATGAGTATGTTTTCACCAGCTTATGATAACAAAATTTTTGCAAGCCACGAACTAATGGCTAGTTACTATTTGTTCTGAAGGGTTTTTTTTTTGGGGGGGGGGGAACGGGGGAGGGGGTGTTAGAGAAAAGACAATAAATAATCGCTAAATATAACCTCCCGCTGTAATTTAAAGAGGTTTAGTCTCAGCGAGCCTTGGTTGGTATCTGTCTTACGATCCGCATACCAGTTGGTATTATTGTTTTGTGATTAAATATTCTCGAAACAGTTCAGCCCAAATGAATGAAAACGAAGCCGTAAATTGATGCTAGCTATAAATGCTTTTGCTATTTGCTGGTCTTTTGCGCCGGCGTAATTGTAGGTTATTCTGAAATTGATTCACTTGTGTCCCTCTCTAAGTTTTCATATTTTTTCTAGTTTATGCGTTTGTGTTCAAGTGCACCTATAATTTGAAGTTCGTATGTGTTTAAAATTATTATTACACCTTAATTTCGTTACATTTATCCTACAAATTAAACAGAGCCTTAAAAGCAGATTTAAAGAAAAATAATTTTAAAAATTGACACTTTGATCGAATTAGAATTAACGTTCAATTTTCACGTGTTTGCCACCTACATAGACCATGTGAAGTACTACCTTCAGTGCAGAAGCAAAATTGATAGCTTCGTTATTATATATTTCCGTCTGTTTTGCGACATGTTACAGTTTATTTGATAGTGTAAAAAATCATATTGAAACGTGTCATAAATATTTTAGTGGATACTATCAGCATTTTCTGACCGGCGGATGTAATTAAGAGTATCTGAAGTTTATCATCACAGAGAGAAAGTAACTTTGAAAAAATTAGTTCGCATCCTCTAAAATATTCAGATCTCGTGTCACGTTTATCAACTGAAAAGGACTTCACTTTGACTGAGTATTTCGAATAAGAAAAGCTCGTATGTGAACAATTGAACTGAATCATTTTCGCCGTTATCCTGACTTCTAATTGCTTTTATCCCATTCTATTTGACTGATTCATAAACAAAACATTACCTCCCATGGAGCTGAGAGACAACTTTTGTTCGATAAGGTTGAAGATTTTTTTCCAGATGATATTTTATCGTATCACAAGTCATGGAGAGACTTCAGTGAATTCAATTTACTTGTCAAACAAGTGTTAGATGTAAATTTTGATTATTTTTGAGGCTGTTTCATATGCATCGCAGCTTAGAATTTTCGAAAATTTACCGCGCCCATCTTTCCAGGACTTGGCACGGAAATCGAGGCCAGATGGAGCACTGAGACACAGTGACCACTATCTCACTAGCAATGCTTGATTTTCTCTATATATAGCCACTCTTAAAGAATTGTCTACCCTTCTATTCGTTTTCTTGCATAAACGTAACGCACATATTCGTGGGAGAAAGCTTAGCTATTAGTTTTACTTACTTTTAATTTCATTTTTCAAGCATTTGTAAACAAGCAGCGTTCATTATTTGCTTTCAAGTATTCAAAATGTTTGAGCAAGGCATTAGCAAAGCGAACAAAGTGAACAATACTTTTTTCATTGTAGCTATTCAAAAGTGACAAGCACATGTGAAATGGCAAGCGTTTGAAGATGCCGATGAAGTTTCTCCGTAAAGATCTTAATAACATTTCGAATGGTTGTCAGAGTAATTGTTGTCTTGGTTCTTTTCATTTTCTATCAATGATGGAGACCCACAATTCAACAAATATGGTAGTTTGGTTATCGACAGGCCAGCAAAGTTCAAAAGAAAAAAGGCAATCTTTGTGTATTAAAGGCACCTTTTTGTAAACAATGAAAGCAATAACTTTTCCATACGAACGAAGTACTTTTGCTAATCCTACCACCACAATAAGTCTAATTCCCAGCGGAAGCAGAAACCAAAGTTCGATTTCCATTTTTTAAAGTTGACATTTGATGAATCACTTTTTCTTCTAATTGCACGCAATTAACGCATCGAGAAGCGAAACATCTTTTGCAAACAACACCTTGATTGATGTGGTTGTTATGGAGTGGAAGAACAAGTCAAAACAATCCATAAGTAAATTGATATTGGATGAAGAAGACGGCGCCATGAAGCCAACATTCAGGTACCATGGTTTTGCTTGAATTGCTTGAGTTGAGAACATTACTCGGTTCTTGTATTTCACCGAAAATATCATCCTTCCTTTTTTCCTCAAGTAAATTCTCGAATTCGTTTTCAAAAAAAAATTCGGCACAACGGAACTTGTGTGTTTATTTTGGTCATCATAGATTTACGGCTGTGAACAACTGAATTCGTTATCAAGGCGTGAAGTTTTGTAAATACTTTGATGATTATTTTTACCTTTCCATATAGTGAAAGTTATTGCGTATAAATCAGGACTTTTTTTCGAATCATTTGAAGACCCATTCAGTCGTTATTAAAAATCATCACCAAGCTTTTCGTGGAAGTCGGTCCGCAACCTGTTTTGCGAGGACTTAATTCCATACGTTTTCCTAGCTATCAGGACTAAATATGCTGCATACATTTCGAATGAAGACAACATTAAGTTGTCTTTTGTCCAGCCACAAAATTTACACCATTCTCAAATCTAACTTACATCGGCAAGATTCATATACGAAGTGTACTTTATTTTTCAGCAAGTGAAACTGATCGATCTCGTGAAAAGCGAAATGTCAGTTGCCCATGAGTTTCCTTTATCATTCCACACTATTTCCGATAAAATACGTTAGCTTTCGATTTCAGAACTGATTCAACTTAAGTAACATGTATGTAACTAAAACTTCTCCCCCTTCATCATACAGAAGACTTTAATTTTACGTATGAAAACTGATATCAATGCAGCAATATGGAAAAGGAGGTTCAAATACTAGTTCCGGTAAACGAAGTGAGGCACCGTCTTCGTTTCACTGGCGACGAAAAGTTTAATTAGTACGAATTTGGAAATAATTTTTCACCAATGCGTTATAAATGATCCAGTTTTGTGTCAGTGCATTTATTTTTGGTGTTCGATTTTATAGAGGAAAACATCCTAAAATAAAGAGATATTCAGGGAGACTTAGCAGGTGCAAAATGCAATAAACAGAAATTTGAATAAATATAAATCGTGCTTCTGGCGACATTACTAGACTTCTTATTATCATATGAGTTTTTGTTCGAAAAAGTTGATCACGTCCAACGAAAAATTGTTACGACTAAATAATGAATATATTAAAGAAAATGAGAAATGTTTATGGGCAGAACTAAGGGTTGCTGCTCTTCATTCAAAAGCTCATAGAAATTCAAACAGGAACAACTTTTTTTAAATTACAAGCCGCATCAACGAGAATGTTTTTATCATGTATTTCCTCACACTCTCGTTAGAATAACGATTTTTCACTATGTGGGTAACTTTTCTTGCACTGTTATAATTGAGTGAAATACATCGCTTTGTCTCAGTGAAGGGGAAGGCAGCGTGATGAACAAAGTCTCTCGTTCGTGATACTGTATTGATAATGATTTAGTTATTGACACTTTCATTTTCAGCACCGTTTCTAGTGACTGGATCCGAGTAGCAATTGGAAACAATGGATTTGTAGAAGCATCACACGAATTACTTGGTGTAAAACTCAAGACTTCTATCATTTCAGTAGATAGTTCAAAGTCAACAAGTGTTAAGTTTAGAATTATCAACAAACTTCAATATGAGCCATTTTTGGAGGAAAACGAACGGAGAGTATCGGACATAATTCAAATTTATCCAAAGGAGTTTGTGTTCGAACCTTCTGCTGAGCTTGTATTAAGACTGCCGAACTGTGTGGCTCCAAAATCTTGTGGTCAACTGGTTTGCCTTTATTGCGGTAATGTTTGGGTGAGACATGGTATAAAGCATCTCAAATGGAAACCTCTTGACTCGTTCTGCTTTCGTGTAAATGCAGAGAGAACTGAAGCAAGAATCATATGCAGGAAAAGCGGACTGTATACGATCAAAATGACTCAGCATCCCCAGACAACGAAAAATCTGGATCCATACACTGACTGCGAGGTAGAACTAAAGGAATACCCAGGAATTCAAATCAAGTTCCCCGCTGGTTGTGTGTCCCGAAAGACACCTGTCACATTAGAAACAATTTGCACAGAGGAGTTGTACAATCTACCAAAACCTGTCCCAACTTCATCTAAGTCACACAGCACGTGGATTATACCTCAGAAGTGTGATCCAGGGGACCACGACGAAAGTAACTTAGTGGATATTACTTCCAGCCCAGTTGTTCTCGTTCGTCCGTCAAAGTTTCGTTTCACAAAGCCTATTCAACTTACCCTACCCTTGTTGGGAGATGGTTTTGAAGATTTCTTTTCCAGGGAGAACGCGAGGATAGCTGTTTTGCAGAGCAAAGTTTTGGATGAGGATAGGGTTTTATGGAAACATCATTACAGCACACCCGAGGTTAGATTCCCCTCTTTTAAACTCTCTTGTAGTTCAAGAAATCAAATAAGTGTTTTTTTGGTCTGAGTGCATCGTATTACTTTTGGTCATTGCAACGTAAAACAGCTCTGCTATGATAGTCTTAGTTTTTGTGGAACTAATCAGTTTTATTGCTAGTTACATTAAGTGACAGTTTATGTAAGCCCCCTGGATGTTTGCAAACTGGCATATCTGATACAGAGCTTCAGAAGAGAAGTATATCTTCAAACTCGATTTTCGTGAGGCATATCTCTGACGTAACTGATATAAGAGCTGAGGAGATGATTCACGAGACCCAAAAGCTTTCATTATCATTTGAGGTATTTCACAAATTCAAGCTCAGCGTTGCCAGAGGTTTTGTTTGAAGAGACAATATCGAAGTGCACGCCTATCCTTACCTGCATTTAACTAGAGAGATAAATAGGGAATTCATAGAGTGATTCGTACAAAATTCAGTTTCATCTACATTTATGTTAATTGTATCTCGCCCTTAGAAAGGTTAGAGGACCATATCGTGCTTCATTATATTTAAGACTTGTAACGACATAATAGCGGTTTCTTTTTCTCATCATTATTGTTGATGCTTTTACGCGTAGAGGTAGTTTTATTCATTTCAAATTTTACTCTTAAGATTGAAACTGCTGCAAACGGTTTCAAGATTGCTTCATTTCTAATCACAAGAGGGGGACTTTATAAGCTTGTTCGACGAATATCCAACAACAACCCACGCTACGTTGAACAAATAGCAGGCTGCATTTCAAGAGAACTCCATTATTCCGACAATGACAACAACAACTTCGTCACCACTTCTCTTCGAGGCCTTATGACCGAGATTGCAGAGCCTGGGAAACAGTTTGTCTTGAGAGTGGCTCTCTTTGACAATTCTCAACCGAGAAATCCCGACAAATGCTTCATTTCTGAGGTCTGCTCGCAGCCGCTGACCCTACCCCTTGGTAAGATTCGATTCCTTGTGCGAGGGAGCTTTGCACCTGACAGGGATGCCACCGACCATACCGAAGAGCGAATTGTCATGTTCACGGGAAAAACGACGTTTGTCGATTTCTATTTGAAATTTAGGCTCAGTGATCCCACAAAGCTTCCTGATTCTATCGGAAAGGTGTCAGTTCACGGAGCTGGAGATGTGCAGTTCTTCATCAACCTGCACAAACCAACACAGGTATTCATGACCATCACGACCTCTTGAATGTTAAGTAAATAAATGTTTGTAACACATCTTGGTGAATGAATGGATAACCTGCTTAGCCTGATTTAAAAAAAATTTTAGTCCAAATTTATATTATCATGTTTATTAGCATTAACCTTAAAATAGGGACACAAACTGTATGAGTTATTTTCAGTAGTAAATTTAGCTGTCGAAGAGATTATGTGTATAATCTCTTGAGTAGTTATGATTTTCAGCTCGATCGCTCTCCTGCTTTCAGATAGAGGAACTAGATCCTAATGGAAATCCGGCGAGAATACAAGAAAAAAGAAAACAACATAAGCAATTACGAAAACGTCAAACTGTGGCAGAATTCAGATCTTTAAGAGAGACAACCATTCAAGGCAAGTCAACTTTTATTTGCTGAAAGTGAACAAACCATTATTCATAGTATGCTATGATTTTAAAAATCATTCTTATCCATTTCTTTATTATTCATTTCCTTTACAGAAGATGACGAGGTTTCTTCTTCTCCTGATACCAGTTTGAAAGCTCGCCATTCTTTTCCAACTTTCTCCCAACCAGTTCTCAACTCTGCGATATGCACGAATTCTGCACAGAGTACAGAAACTCTCCCGGAAATTTCATGTGATCCATTGACACCATCCCGCGCCACTATATTTCAAACGGATGAGTTGGAGCAGGACTGGGGAGAGCTTAGATAACTCTTGTTAGAACATAATACTCCTTTACACGCACAGATGGTTAGAAGTGGAATTATAATTCAACTTTGAGAACCTCAAAATCTCTCCGACAAACACCGTGCTTTTCGAATATGATAAACATAAACTTTTTCTGGTATGGTATGTACCATTTGAAACAGTTGATTTCTATAGATTTAAGTTTCAGAACGTGATCAGCTTCAGTGATTTAATTCGAGCCTGAGATGTTCTATCTTCTGCCAAAGAGAATTTTTTTTGGTTACCAATCGACCGTTCATCGTGCATATACATCAATTTCAGACAGAAGCACGATTTACTGTTGGAGTTTTGTCATCTTATTACATTTCATGAGAAAACTCACCAATACCTTTGCGCGCGCATAAACCTCACCAAGTCCACGCGCTTATTCGAACTTTGTGACGTTTTCTCGCCTCGTGCGGCTCCAGAAAAACGATTTTCAGTAGAAATGGAGGACGAGATATAAACATTTTAACAATGTTTTGCTGCTCATCGGACTCAGTTCGTGATAAACTCCAGCCTTACCAGTTGCGCGCTCTCTACGTAAGACAGATTGCTCGACTCTCTCAAAAAGGAATATTTGGAGAAGCAATAAATGTATTTAAAGAGGTAAGCTTAGATTTTGTTAATCGCGAATAAACAGTAACCGCATGTTGCTTAGCTGTCGCGTAAACACAAGTTAAAACACTCAGTTATGACCTGTTGAATGGTTACTTTTTATCATATCAACCAGTTCTTTTCCTTCGCCACCTCTGAGAGCAAATAAATTTGACATTGTAGGGCAATAATTATTCCTTTAATAGTTAACATGAACAGCAGTGCGCTTCAAAATTACAATTACGTTGTCTGGCATCGGTGATTGCGATGGTGTAAACAACATATTTTGTCGATAATGTAAAAGCGTAGCCAAGAGACCTAGGTAAGATGGCATCTGTGACTTCTGCAGAAGGCCAAATTAATTCGTTTAGGAAAAGCCTTGATCTTTTTTAAAAGCAAAACAATTGACAAAATCCTGCTGGCTAATGTCTTTGCTAAGTAGAGAATTAAGCTAAACGACTGGATCTCACTACTCTTTACAACATCGCGCCACTTTCTCGGCCAATCGGATTAAAGAAATAAACCAATCACGACTTGGTCACTCGCATTTTACTCTTACTTTGAGTCAGTGATAGGCTGCTAATGATTCCCTCCTCCGTTGCCAATAGCAGTTGTGATTACTTCAGTTTTGCTTTTACGATAGTCAAGCGAAAAGAGTTCTAACGGGAGATCCAGTCTCTCCACCTGTTACTCTCTTGCTTTATTATCCACATGGTAAGTGCTTCCTTGGCAAAAAGTTTGAATTTTCATTTGCGTCTAGATTTCAAAGAATCTCGGGGTAAATTCAAGGACTAAAAAGCTCAGTAATCTGGCTATGCCGGATCTCCTTAGCGCTAATGAATTCCTTGTTGATCGGAATGCACATCGATATTTACAAAGGTAAGCTTAAAGTTTCAAACTCCCGTTAGCACGCGAGGTGTCATTCTTATTTGAAATCCTCTTGATATATCTCTGTCAAAGTTCTGCTGTGTTTGCATGGGCAGCTTAAGACCGTTAACAATATCGCTATCATCCGTCACCAAATGACCAGCATTTTATCATTCACTGTCAGCCTTCACTATCACCTGTGCCCGATAACTTCGTTCATCACAAATGTCTCTTGCATTGCCTTACCTCACTGAATTTAATGTCTGAAGGTTTTTAATTTTTGAAAGGAGCATTCTGGATGAGCTAAACTTTGCACTGGAAGCAAACTCCACCAAAAATCTGTCGAAAACAAATAGAAAAAACATTGCCACCTTTACGTAAGGTTTTGACTCATCTCCATTTGACAATTAGTTCAGTTCCACTGAAAATACTAACTTTCACACTTCATAACTATAAAGAAAGGTCTCGAGCCCCTTCCAAGAAATGGGTTAGGGGAAATTTTACATCGGAAACAATGAATTACTGTCTTAGAGTCAGGTATTCAATAACGTGTGAGTTTCCACGTCAATTGGTCCCCATCCACAAGTTTTTTTGTTTGCGCGGAAGGGTCGTTTTCAGAATTTTAGGCTCGTTTTATTCATAAAATTTATTTTTTTGTGAAATGATGCGTTCTACCCAATCAAGAATAACTTAAAAAAAAAACGCTTAGCCTCTAAACCTTTCTTAGACTTCAGGAGGCACTTCTCGATAGAAATGGGCGCCAAATCTGCCACATATGCAAACTGCTTCTTAAACACTTTGACTTCGACCCAGCGAGTGACATCATGGATGACCTTGAAAAATCCAACAAAGTGACATTGTCGAAATCCAATCTGTCAGTCATCAGCATATATGGCCTGGACTTGTCAAAGACGAAAAACATGAAGAAGCTCACGGCACTTTTGTTCAGATGTCCCAATGTTAAGAAGATAGAGCTGGTGTTTTGCTCGTTAAACAATGTTTATGCTTTGAAGCTGCTTGATGTCGCTATGACACTGAAATCTCTTTATTTTATGGGTAAGTAAACGAATTCCTTGGCAAACATCGACAGTAAGAAACACGACACACACAAGTACAATCAAATCTAAACCAAAAAATGTTCAGGGGGCTTAGACTTTGACGGAAATTATTGACCGAAAATAAGACTGCAGGTAGAGACGATACTAATTAAAACAGTCGTAACCTTTGAGCTCAGACTGCTAAAATTCACAAAGATGAAAACTGAATAAATACACAAGGGTCATTGCGTAACTCCAACCCCCCCTTCCCCCTCCCCTCAAATCCCTTTCCTGCCTTCCACCCTATTAAAAGCCCGCCTCTGAGGTTAAACCCGTATTACGATATTTGGACATTTGGAGAACTTGACATTCTAAAAAGAGACTGACTACAACTAAGAGAGAGGAAAGCTTTATCGAGCTTTAAAAAAAAAAGGTGATATCGCTCTTTCCTTATCAAAAAATATATATATATATATAAAAAAAGAAAACAGTCATCCAGAGCGCTGCGATAACGCAGTGGCGAAGACAGTCGCCTCCCACCTCTTAGACCAGAAATCGATTCTCGATCCTGGCTTCACTTGTGGGTTGTTTGTTCTCATATTTTTTCTGAAAAGTTTTCTTGAATTCTGTTTCTGCCAGCTCTGCCATCACGCTGCTTTTCTGGAAAGACCCGTGCTTAATCGACGGCAGCTATTGTGTTTTTTCTACATAGTGAAGCCAATATTCAACTGCCCAACTGTTTCAATTTTGGACAATTTAGTAGTCATCTTGGAATCTTAAGTTCTCTATTAATTATTTTTTATTTTTACTTCTTTTTAGGCTTACGCGGCAATCAAATTGATATGAAACTTGTGCTTAAGCTTCTCACCTTGTTAAAAGACCCAAAATACTTTCCCAATCTGTTGTGGGTAGACCTACGAAACAATAACGGAATTATTACCATTCCCAGCCAGTTTGTTCAGCTCCTAATGGAGCGAAGAACACAACTCATTGCTTTAAAAGACACTGATGAGAAAAAAAAATCTATAAGTGTTCAAGACGCCATAAATGGAAAGGTAGTTTAAATTATCTTTAGGAACTTTTATCCTTATATATAGATGTTGTATTCCTGTGTTAAAAGTATTCATATAAAGACTACGTGTAACAGGCGTTTGCACTTATCAAGATTAACACGTTTTATTGTTGCTATACACGGTTTATTACAAAATGTGTCTATACACATCACTAAGAGTTTAAATGATTAAATCATTACTAATTGGAAACTTAGGAATTTGCGATGCAAGCGTTTAGGTGGGAAGTGAAAGACATTACATTATACACTTAAGGACCTGCCTAGCCTAGCGACTTGATATAGTTCTCACCATGAATAGCACAAATTAAGACATTTTTACAAATTCACTATAATCGATCTCCCCATCTCCATCCTCGTCAAGAATTTCCACAAGTTTATCAAGGTAGAAGTCGCTCATTACCCTTAAACGCTTCATTCCATCGATGAACTCCACTCGAGACAGGCTGTCACGAAATTGACAGTCGGGATCCAAGCGTTTAAACAAATCTGACGCATGAATCTTGTTTTTGTCCAAATATATCTTCAGGAAGTCAAATGGATTAGTCTCTTTCTTCTTGGACACGAAACAGTCAGATTTTTTACAGCCATGATGTACAGTCAGCTCTGATCTATTTTCTAAAACTTTTGCAAGCAGAGTTTCACAATCTTGATCGAGCTTTATGTCTAAAATCGCCAGGATTTTCATCGCAGGGGCCCCATTCTTATGCAGCATTTCTAATAGCTTATTAACGCCCTGGCAAGCATTGAAGATCAAATTATGATTGAATATTAGCACTTCCAGCTTCTCACTTCCCTCGAGACCTTTCGCAATGTTTTTGATTCCTTCGTCCGAGATTCGATTGTTGCTTAGGTTGAGTTCTCTGAGTGCCGAGTTTCGTTTTAGAGACTCCCCAAGCTCTGCAGTGCCAGTGTCATCAAATCCATTCCAAGAGAGATCAAGGTTTTCCAGTGAATCATTATACCTCAGGCTCTTCGAAATAGCCTCAGCACCTCTTCTTCGAATATGGTTCCAGCTTAAGTTTAGCTCGAGGAGAGCATTGTTGTAAGTAAGTGCAGTTCCAAAAGAAACACCCGATTCTTCAGAAAACTTGTTGTAGCTCAGGTTCAAACAATGTAAAGAGCTATTGTTTTCTATTCCCTCAGCCAATAATGCAGCGTCTTTTTCCCCAAGACCGTTTCCAGACAAATCTAATTTTCTAATAACCGTGTTACTCGGCAGAGCTTCTGCTATGGCGACAATTCCTTCTCGCTTGATATTGTTGTTGGCCAAGTTCAACTCAGTAAGGGCTCTGTTTTTTGACAGAAGTTTTCCCATGTAAATTCCTCCTTTGATATTTAGCTCGTTAAACGCAACGTGTAGCTTGGAGGTTGTTTTGTTCCCCAAGAGGACGGAGGCTATGGCTTTTGTCCCCATTTCTTTCAAAAAGCGATGGTTAATCTTGATCTCCTCATGACCAATCTCGTTCCCAAATCGAGACACGGGGATGATTCCCAACGAGTCACACAATTTAAGGTACGTTTCCTTATCGGAAGTAGCTTCATCACCCTCGCTATCAGAGATATCATCGTCCTCGAGGTCTGTATCCCAGTGAGAGCTAGTGAAAGACTGCGTTTCATCTTCCTCGTCGACCCTTTCATCTGACCGCAAAAGGGCAAGGGTAGAATCTACTTGCTTTATTGTACTCGAGGCACTAGAACAGGCCGATCGTAAACTCGGCGCTTGGTTGTTGGAGCGACTATCCACTATTGAGTGTGCTCGTGGCATGTCGGCCTCCTTTTATCACCTGTCAGTGAATTGTATTTTAACATCACTTGGCGATGAAATGGAACGGTCAAACAAAATAATAAGTAAACTGTTAATCAGGGAGAGTATGATGATTGCAAGATGTTCACAGGTTTATTTTTAACCCGTTCCGGACAAGTTTGATCAAGTTTGTTATTAATTTTAACGAAACACGCCGAGGAACTTTACCTTTGTTTGTTAAACACATTTCTCGAACCACATGTGTAAACAAAATGCTTATTCCAGGTGTGCAAAATCATTTGCACGCACGCAAAATAATAATGTCAAGAAAACGTTGACTATTGGAGACTTGCAACACCAATTTAATTCTCTTGTATCTTAGGGTTTCATGTATGACGGAAGTGTAGTTAAAATGAACTTAGGTTCTTGTAGGTAAACGGTTTTAATTGTTTTTCTAAGCTGTTGGCCAAAACTCATCCAAAAACAATATAGTGAACTTACTCTCAGTCAGAGATTCATCCTGCCCGGTTTTAGTGCCAGATCTCAGCGTAGAATATCCTAGCGTATTAGATATGTGAGATTCTCGGGCGGTTGGTTTAAATGTTAGAATAGTAAACGAAGTGCAAGAGGCTAGTTGCTAGGCTAACTTTGAACTCTTTTAATTAAACAATTTATAACCAATTCATTGTCATTGATAGCTTTGGGATTAGCACCTTTTATGTGGGCTTCTCTAGAGACCGCCGCATTTGATTAATTGTGTAATCGCAATAATAGTAAGATCTTTTGAAACGGATTAAAACGGGAGGTTTTGTTTGGAGGTAAAAAGCATGCAAATATGTCACTCCAGATATAATAGACAAATTTTTTACCCTAAACACGAAAGCCATTAGAATAGATCTATATGTCTCACTCATGCATGTTGGATCTTCATGTAGCGAGAGATGCATTTCTCAGTCCTATATGTACCACGTATCATTCAGTAAAACCTACAGTGATTGCGCTGTAGTAAGACAGAGGTGGTTTCAAATCAACTGAAGGATACGTTACAAGCGAATAAATTAAATTCAAAAGAGATATTACCGATATTTGCTGTGCTAGCTATTTCAGTCTGTAATAGACAGGGCAGTTTGTTAACTTTCAGCATAGAAATTTTCTTACCAAGTAGCCATAACCAAAAACTTCACTCCTCGAAGAGATATACTCCCAAATCTATTCCTTCTACATGTTGAATGATTTGTGCCATTTCAGTTGAGTAAGGCATAGGTAATCATTGAAGTCTTTCTTTGTGATGAGTAATAACTTAGTAACAGATCTAAGTGGGATTAAATTAATATCACGTTCACGGATAAGAAGACAACTCTTACATGTGTAACCACACAGACACACAACCAGTCATCCATTATTCAATCTACGTTTATGGCCGATGCAAATTACGAGTTAGTTTACACTACTGTACAAACAATAAAACGATACAGCTCGTCAAGTATAACATTTCATGACAATATTTGCATCGTTTTTCGATCTCATTGACTTCTGCGGTAAATTATTCCCACTTTAATAACAAGCTGAAGCCTATATGAAGTGCGCCTAGCAGGCAAAATCGTAATACTGATTAATTTGGGTGAAAAAACTGGGAACAGACGGGTAACAACGTCCAAGACAGCAAGAAAACGAAAAAATAAACAAACAGAAGTGTTTTATGAATTTAGGTATAGCATTAGTAAGGTCAAGATAAACATGAGACCCCTCTTATTACATTAAATTTGTAAAGGTTCGTTGGGGGTTGGGTGAGTAACGCTTTTCCTCCGGAAAAAAAATCGCCATTTAGCTGTTTAATGTTCACAGAGCAAAAAGAAGATGTCGGGTGTCTGGCGTGTTATCAGATGGTTGGCATCATCTACCTTTTAACCAGGCGGACCAAGATGATTGGAATTTGTTCTAAATGCACTCATGCATTCTACACCTGTTAAGGATCAGTAGCTGTAACTGCATCCTAACAGCACGGTTTTACCACGCGTTCTCACAAATTACTCTGCGCTATGCGAAACAGTTCTTATTTAGTTAAAAATGAATGAATTTCCCTTGTTTAATTACCCCACTGATTGGAAATGATTTTGAGACGTTTTCCATTGTCGCAATTTTGATTTGATTGTGTCGACTTCTATTCTGACTTTTAACAGGCACAACTGAAGAAAAACCCTGGCGCGCTTTCTTTAAAAAGTCTTACTGATCGTCCTGCTTGTCCTTCGCCTTTTTTTTAACTGGTCTGTTGATGCGATGTCTCTTATCTTCTCCAGCCATCGCCGCTCTACGTGCACCTTCTGCTGTTTTAGCCTCCACCGTGATTGGTCCGAACCCCACGGGCGAGTTTATGAGCGTCTCTCCTTGAGAACTAGGGACTTCTTCAGTGGAATAAGATCCTTCTTGCGAGATTCTCTCGTGGCCTAACACTTCTGGTTGTATTCCATCCAGGGCGTCTTCTTCTCTAAAGTTGTGTAGTCTCCTTCGGTATTGAGGTCTGTGGAAAAAACGTCGCGGATAGCTTGGGAAACCAAGTCTCAAGGGACGGCGAAATTCTGATCGGTCTTGAAGGAGATCACTTGATGTAAGACCTTGCAAAGAGCCGTAATCAGTTCGAGGACGGGTGAACGCACCCGTAAATAACGGTGACATTAAACTTTGAGAGGCTAAAGGTTGCGATAAAGCTGCTAAAGCTGATGGCGATCTTCCAACAATGCTGGAGGAACCAATTGATTCAAGTGGTGTCACCAAAGATGGCGTCATGTAGCGCAGTGGTGTTGAGGTCAGGGGAAGGAGACCAAGCTGTTGAGCCCCTGGTATTCCAACCGGCTGCTGCATACCCGTTGGTTGCATGCTAGTATCCTGCAAAGCAAGCGACTGACGGGTTAACGGTTGCTCAGGTAGCATCTGCGGCTGAAGCTGTAGTTGAGGTAGTTGTAATGATTGTGGTTGCAAGGTCTGCTGAGTATATGATGATTGCAGTGGCTGTAGTTGCTGTAGAGTCTGCAGAGCAGGCGTTAATATCATCTGCCGCTTGTAGTCTTGGTCATAGTCACCTTGGAATAAATTGTCCATGCCGTCGGGATCGTCAGTAGTTAGAATCGGTTCAACTAACGCTTGTCGCTTCACTTTTGCTTTTTTATTTGTGTCATCCTGATGATCATGCTTCTTGTCTTCCTTACCCGGGGCTTTAGGAACCTTGGATCTGCTCACCACTGCAGGCGAGCCCTGTACTAGAGAAGAAAGGTCGAAATATCGTGCCATAGGTTGTTGCCCAACTAACGACGCCCCTGAAGAAAAGTAAAGGAGCAAAATGTTATTCATGCAAATTTACATGCCGAGGAATTAAATTTGGGCCTGATTTTAGAAACGGGTCCTAAACAAGCCCCTGTGTTTGATTACTAAACGATGGCTTTCACACACCTAGCCCTGATCATAATGACTATTTAAAATAGACTAAATTAAAACAAAAACGACTGAAACAGACGACAAAAGCAAAAAAACAGAAAAAAAAACATCAAAACGGTTGAAATTATAGTATGGCTCTCAAAAACAATATTCCACATTTCTTTAACGCATCAGTGATAACAATGAAGTATAAACATTTACGTGCAGGATTATTATTTTGGAAAGAAATAAAAAGAGGCAGAAGTACTCTTCACCCTATTCACATCTCTGTTTGTTATCTTTAAACCATTTTTTCCATTGCAAATATTGACTTAGCTACATCATAGTTATTATTTACATCCACAAATCAAATACGATGCTTCAAGCAGCAACAATAATTCGGTAACGGCTTATATCTTAGCAAACATACCAGGTACACCGAGAAATCTATTGGTTTGGGGAAGTGACGCCTGAGTGCCATACAGCTTAGCCAATGGGGAGGGTATGTAAGTTCTTGTGTAACCCATCACTGCGCCGCCAAACGGCGGAGCTCCCAAACCTAATTGTCCGAGTCGAGGGTCAGTGCCATCAGTATTCATGCGGAGGGCGCCGCCAGCGCTCATTACCCCACCATATCCAATGTCTTGTAGGGAATGCAAACTTCTTTGCCTTACAAGCGAGTTATACATGTTGGCGAGGGCATTCAGTTCGCCGTAAAGCCTCTGATATCTCTGCAGTATATCAGTTGCATCTGTGCCTCTTGAAGTACCTGCCGAGGGCAAAAGACTTCTAGACATCCCCGACTCTTGTAGACCTTGCTGAGGAGTGAGCTGTGGTGATGATGCAAATAATCCTGTTTGAGGATTTTGACGTAAACCGTAAACTCCGAGTGGTGCACTGACAAGAGAACCGTACTGAGGTAAGGCTCCATAGCCGTAAGCTCTGGGCGCGCCGAGGCCTCCTACGGGAGCAAGGGATGATGGTTGCGCAAACTGCGGAACTGCTGAGATAAACTGTCTCTTATGAGATTCGGATGCCTTCTTGTGATGTTTTGAGCGAGGAATATCAGACTTGTGCGTTCGAAGTTGAATTTGATCTTTCCGTGGTCTAGGAAACTTGTGTCGTTTTATCCCATTATAGAACCAGTCGTGACCGAAGGGAAAGTGAAATCCGTCATGATAAAACATGGCCGCATGGTGATGAATAACTGGTGGAGGTGCATAGTGTTGGGCAAGATGTATCGCTGGATGAAATATTGGTACAGCTGGGGCACCCGGCTTTGCTACCACTTGAAGAGAGGCCGGCTTAGCGTTGACTTTTACTCCAGCTGGGTTGGCATTGACTTCAATTTCAGCGGCTTTGTCATCAACTTGAAAATGTGACGGTTCACCAGTTTGAGTCACTGTTCCACCACCTTCAGGTAATGGTCTTGGTTTAACGCTCCCATTATAAGCCAACAAAAATATGAGACATAATGTCGCACGAAACCCGTCGGCAGAACAAAACCATTTCATGCTTGTACACCAGCAAGACAATTTCTGTTAATTCTCTTGCTTCAAGAAAGATAACATATCTATTATTCTCGGTAATATCAACTGTTAAACCAAGAAAGTTCTAATTCCAAAATTTCGTCGAATATCTTAAGGTGAGATCATGTCAGTGGTAAATAATAAATGGCCTTTAGCCCAAATGGCAACAAGTGGCTTAATTCTTAAAAGATCACTTTTTCAGTCATCATTGTTGTAAACGCCAATTTATTTAGACGGCGATCGTTATTCTCATAAGCTTATAAAATCGAAACGCGGGTCGCTTATGAAGGTAGGAGTGAACTTGAGACAAATAGTGTCAATCAGGAAAGAAAACGAACTAAAACGGAAATAAAATTTTGGCTACAAAAAACGTCAGAGTTAGTACGGAGAATCGAAAACAGCCTAAATTGGGGAATCGAACTCTTTGTTTCTTTGTTAACCTGTTTTAATCAGGTAATTTTAAGCTTTATTTCTATGTAAGTTTACAATTGAGTGGGAGCGGAAAGACGGCGAGGCATCCACACTGCACAAAGTGCAAGACTTTTAAATCGGTTTAGTAACACAAGAGAAACAAGAGGCTTGAAAAGTGAGGTTACGTAGTAAATGCTGCCTAGAAACTTTGGTAATCATTTTGATAATGTCCTCTACTTTAATTTCTCACTCTCAAACACGTTATCGTTGGTTTCCTGTGTTTTTCAGCCAGCAGCACCTCAAATGTAAACATGCTTCAGTTTGTTTGTTTTGGCTGGCTGTACAGTCTTTTACCAGCCATGCTACAAAATGCCCAAGTGTTTAACATGAAAGAAAACGCAAACAAACATGATATACGGAAAAAAATGACAATTAAATGAAGATGGGCCAAACTATAATTAAAATGTACAGAAACATGCTAACGCTGCCTCAATCTATCTTTTCCCGAGATGTTGGTATCATAAAAAACAAAATTTAACAAAATAAAAGAAGGAATCATCAAACAAATGACAGACTGTCAACCGAAAAATAGTAATGATGGTAAGAAAAAAAAAAAAAGTGCAGGGTGTATTACGACATCCACCCTTGTTTTTTTCAAATTCGCCCATGCCCAGTTGATAACAGCCGTAAGCATGGATAGACGTTGCACAGGATGAACACCGCACATCTAACTAGGGGAAGGTAGCTCTTTAAAGAAAAGACTATTAAAGATGTAACAACCTAAAGAGAAGGAAACCAAAATAACGCGAAAAGCGTAAATGAAGCCCCAAAGTAGTCTTGCACAATTGATTTATTATCTCGCTCTCCATAACCGGCAGCTGCCTTACTAAAAATTTGCAAGAACGAGAACACTGCACAGTTAGTCGGTGTAATCACAGAAATACAACGTAGAAAGAAAATGGTAGGCAGCAGCGTAAGTGAACAAAAATGAAAGACTAATTCAAGGCAGGTCTATTATCAATTGAGGGGTTAAGTTTCTAAATTCGCTCTGACGAAGAGCTACGTTAAACATTTTGTCGAAATGTCAGCTGTATAATCTTTCTGCGGGGGTAAATTCTCATAATCAAGCCAGTTGATCAAACCAAATTATATTATCATTAATTAACACTAGAACCAAAATACTTTCTCTAATTCATTCTCCTTATTTATATACATTTTTTATTTTTCTAAAACCACCATATCAACAACCTTACTATTCCCAAGATCTGACCGCCAATTTCTCATGGACACAATTTCCTTGTATTTTAAATCCAGGAATTTGAAATTTGTTTCATAGCGGTTTGCCGCCGCGCATCCAGTCCCTGCTTTTTCGTTTTATACACTTCTTGTCATCTTGATACTGTTTTTAACCACATTATAGGGGAGAGTCGATCACCTTTGGAACTCAAAGTATAAATTCGAGTTTGTGAGAAAGGCAGATAGAGGCAATTATCTCAACAAATCTTAAATTTTATTTTCACAATTGCTTAAAACAAAATGAATAACTTCTTTCGAGGATAGAAATCATTGGAAAAGTAACCAACATATGTAGTCCGCCCATACTTATGGACATAACCTGGCATGCTACCTACATACGGAACATATCAAACAAGGACGCTTTTTTGTATTCAAGTTGTCAGCATGTCAATTCCACTAGGATTTGGAAGGAAATTCCTTATCGAGTCTTTTGGAATCGCTTAAAATCATTCCTTTGATCGTAGAGCATCTTAAAGTATGGTCACCAGTGCTTGCACTTCCGGGGTGCCATTTCTGTAAACACAAACAGAATTACGTTATGGGTCGCTAATTTAAACCACAACTGGGAAGTAGTAAAAATAGTTCTCAGAAAAAATATTTTCCTTAAAAATATTTTTTTACCTATAATTAAAGAGGTCGTGCAACCTGATTAAATAACTTAAATCTTGTTATGGCTTCCTGGCAAAATGAACGAATCCTGCTCAAAGAAGCTGGCGAATTAGAGATGAACAGAAAATGAACACAAAATCAATTGATCATGGAGCTATTGTACTCGAAACACTATCGAGCACCAACTCTTATGGTGGCCCATCATTTCTTTTATATTGCGAACAATACTCTTAATGGATAACTAAGGAGCTCAAAATACCCAAGTTCGTTTGAAGTGAAATAATCTCCTCGCGTGGCTTTGCAGATCATATTCATATCGACGGAATCCTCGCCACCTTCAAAAAAATTGTCTTTCTCTCTTCACCACACTTCAATTCCTTTAATAAAATTTACTAAATGCTTGCGTGTACAGCAAAGCGTTTGATAATTTGTTGAACTTGAAGAGGAAAAGGGCTGCCATTGGAGTACATGAGCGGTATTTGTGCAACAGGTCTTAATGCATGCGTCAATGGGTTTGGTTTTGTCTTTAGAATTAAGTTGCGCGAAATTTTTTCTTTTTAATTTAATTTTTATTTTACTCTTCAACTATAAGGAAGCAAATTCTAACAATCTTTAAATTGTTTCCGCTGACACCAGCAGTACTAGTAAGGAAGTATTTTAGATACAAATGCAGTAAAATTCCAACAGAAAATAGAATACACGAGAATGTTTTACTATCCATTCACCTAATATCATAAATGAAGTGAAAGCTGAATAGTTTCCATGGTGCATTAAAAAAAGATCGTAGCCTTTATTGCCACATTAGCCACCTTCCTCATTGCTGACACCTCTACGTTAACACTACATACCGTTTTTTAACATCTATGCTATATAAGACTTTGTTTGAAGTTAACATTTTTCACCTACCTGTTTAGTTCAGTGTCGAATTATTATTGTCCTGGTCGTGGAATATACGTTTTCTTGACAATGGCAGCATTTGCTCCATTGTCGAGAGGGTTTCGTGTGAGGTACCCTCTAGTTATCTTTCTTAGTCTTCCCGGGATACTAGAGCGAGGAACCGCCGACCTAGCTTCTTCTCCGCCAAGACCCCCACCCATTGGCGATCCCATGGCCCCACCTAGACCTGCAAGACCACCAGGAAGCCCTTCTGGAGCACCCTGTCCTCCAAGACCTTCCTGTCCGCCAAGACCTCCCTGTGCACCTAGACCTCCCAGCCCTCCAGCGTCAGAAAAGCTATTAGCCCCAAGTGGAGGACCTTCATTTCCACCCAGGCCTGCCGCTCCACCAAGGCTTGCTCCCGCGAGTCCAGCAAGGCTATCACCACCAGCACCTAATTCTCCTCCTTGTCCACCTTCTGCTAACGAACTAGGATTGAATCCATCTCCAAAGGCCTTTGGAGAAAGATCCCCAAACCCTTCTGCAGGGTTACCGCCTTCCAAAGGGTTGCCATGACCACCAGCCAAGTCACCCAATCCTGCAGGACTTGCTGCATTATGTTCATTTGGATGAACAAATATCACCGAGTCGCCATTAGGTCCGGAGTTGGCATTAGAGAACATCTGTCGCCTTGTTCTGTCATGAGTAGACCTTGCGTTGACTTTCTTATCCTCGTCTTCATGTGTTGGTTGTCCACTATTTTCTTCTGGTTCAACACCGTATTTCTCAGTGGCGGGGGTTTCCTGTGGCTTTTCTTCTTTCTCTTTTTCGTCTTCATCACCGCTTCTTTGCCCTTTTACTTTAACATTCTCTAGAGATTTCCCATTTTTAGATTTAACAACTTGGGCAATCTTTGAGCGTTTCTTCCATCCACCATAAGGATGGACAATATGAGGTTGGTGAATGACAATCGGAGGACGGTGGTAGATGGTGGGTGGAGAAGTGACATGCACAGCTGGGAAGTGGTTTCCAGCGTTGATGATAGGAACAGGCGGTCCTAGATGCACTGCAGGAACATGAGGACGTACATGAATCGCTGGGACATGGGATGGGACGTTTATGACTGGAACATGTGGTCCTATATGAACTGCAGGTACGTGAGGCCCGATATGAACTGGGGGATAATGAGGTCCAACGTGAATGGGTGGAGTGTGGGGTCCTACATTAACTGTATGTGGGAATGGATGCCACCCGAACCACTGGCGCTTGACTTTCTGTGAAACAACTTCACGTTTCGACTTTCCCTTATGCTTGTGATGTTCATGAGCTTCGGCATCGTCATTCTTAGAGTCTTTGTCATCGTTATCGTTATCAACATCGTTATTATCGTCGTCGTCCTCGTCATCATTTTCAGGTATAGTGGAGCGTCCATAGAAACCAGGCCCACCACCAAAACCGCCATACCCAAAGCCTCCATAGCCTGAAAATCCACCAAAACCACCGTATCCAGGATATTGAAAGTGTGGCTGATGGAAAACAATCGGTGGTTGATGATATACTGTAGATGGCGACATAACGTGCACTGGAGGACCGGTAAGAGCGTTTATTCCGCGAACTGGGGGTGTCATATGAACAAAAGGGACATGTGGCCTGACGTGAAGGAGAGGAGCGTTTGTTCCGTAGTGAAGACTTGGAACCCTGGGACTGAGATGAACAGCGGGTACATGAGGTCCAATGTGAACCGGAGGTGCATTTGGTCCAATATTCACTGGTGGACTATGTGGGCCTAATACTGCCGTATGCTCGTATGGATGAAATCCTTGTAGATGAGGGTAAGCAATAACTTGAAGTTTAGAAGGCTTGGCTTGAACTTTTACTCCTTCCGGGTCAGCATTTACAACCAGCTCTGGCGGCCTTTCGTGGACAGTGTAACGAACGGAATTCTTTCGCGGGCTTCGTTTACTTTTGACTCCTTTTGAAGAAACGCCAGAGGAAAAACTATATAATAACACCCCTAGTAGACAAAGCCATAATCCCCGAGAGGCCGCCATATCGGGGAAAAGTAAACTTGTAAACAAATAAGGCCCCTCTAGATTCTGTTTAAGAATAATAAGTCAAAACACAAGAGATCTGTCGACGGTCTTAGTGGTTAAACCGAGATTACTTCACTAAGAGGGAATTCTTGCCATGATTTAATCTTTTATCATCTCATCGCACGTGGCAATTAGTTTTTCACGGAAGAATAGTAGTTTATGACAGCGTCACAAAATACAATACAACCACCAGCGTTTGTTTCTCAAACGGCGGGTATACTTACGAAAGTCTTCTTCTAACTGGAAGGATGGTGGTCACGCTAATAAGTGAACAAATAAAACTCCAATAAATTTTTCACGCGCAGTTTTCCTCATTGTGACTACCGTGTAATTGCGAGTGTTCAATCAATTTTTTTTGGCATCCAGTACACTGAATACATAAATCCGTTTTTGCTTCTATCATTTTAACGTCTTGGACATCTTTTCCTTGTTTGATGCTTGATATAATTTTACCAAAGTTATAGCAACAGGTCCCCGGACAGCAGCTTTACTGCTATGAGCTTAAAATTATTGAAATGCTACCTTAAACCTTTCCGTTTAGGTTCGTTTAACTACATTAAAAAAATGCTGGAAAGAAATTTAGTTAGAGATGTAACTGTTTGTTCAACTTTAGCCAGACAAAGTCGCTTTAGGAACATTAATAGATTCTTCACATGGCTCATTACGTGCAAACAATTGCAGACTAAACAACCAATTTTCATGTTTTGACGATTCTTTCTACCATAGTTGTGACCACTGAAGCGAAATTTGTCACAGTGTTTACAGGTAACCTCAGGTGGGTTTCACTATTTTTGACAGAAAAAGCTAGAATAATGTACCAGAGATCACAACACTAGAACACAATAAAGATTGCAAGCGCATTGTAGTGACAACCGCATACAACACGAAAAGAAGTAGGTAATCTAGATTTTTTTTTTAACCAAACCCTTTCCTTCTTATCAGGAGACCGTTAAGTAAGCTTCATAGGATTACGAGGAGACCTGTATACTGATATGATTCTTCACATATCGGAAGGAAAAAGGTATAAAACAAATTATCGTCAAATTGGTTTTTAATTGGATTCATTACGATAGTGAAAGTAAAGTTGAGGCGCGATATATGCAAAACAAAAGATATTAGCATCTGTCACAGACTGAGTAACAGGTACCAAACCTATAAATTTTATATCTAGTATGGAAAAAACCAAACTCCTTCCCGGCTGACTCTCAAAGTCAAAAAATAATTGACGACAAGAACTCACTCCTTAGGATTTTTTCATGCTTTAGAAGAGCAGCACCCTTGGGCGGCTTTTTTAGAGTCCACAAGATGATCCATACAACTGCGATTGCATTGAAATATATCCTAGAGGTGAACTTTCGATAACTACTCGTTTGATTCAGGAAAGGCAAAGCTTTTTGATTTACTTAAGTGTGGACATAAACAAGTACTCAACAACAGAGTTCTTTTTCGGTTAAAGTAGAATATCGCCTTCTCAAAAATTCTCCAGTTCAAATTTGCAACAAGTCGAGTTACATTTTACCGCTCTAAGTTGTGGAGAGAACATTTTGTCGGTGGACAATGGTAAACTGTCGCATTATACCGACTACTGAGGAGAGATTGCTTCAGATAGGAAAATCGTCTGTCAGTCAATGGTGAAGCTTTTAATAGCAGCAAGCTTGGAAAGCTCAGAAAAACACAGTTGATGAGGATATCTGGTAAGCTTAAACTAAAGTGAAGTGACGCTTGGAAGTGGAAACACTCAGTTGTAATGTCCGGGTACGCTTCTGGTCTTTTGATCCGATACTTCGTGTTCTTTTTAGTAGCACACTTAGAGTCGCGAAGACAACCGTTTGGAGACTTTTTTTCGACTTGATTTGTGCCAGCTAAGGTTTGGTAAAAGTTTTAGGTTTTGGTCATATGGTTTTGTTTGTGTTGATTTTCACTACACCGAGGGTGGTACAAGTTATGTCTTAAACTTTTCTCGTGTCCATTAAGTTATCGTTTAAGACATTATCAAATAGCTTTTTTATACTATGTTTATTTTTTCTTATCGCTAAATAGACATGGGACCGTGCATGCAATTATCGTTGAGTTGTCCTTCTACAGATAAGCTGACCCTCGGAGGTCCGATTTCTACTGAGGAAACTCAAGCTACAATGTTAGGTTATGATGAAAAATTCGTTGGACACCCTCCAGCGAAAAGGTTGGCAGAACAATTAATTTACCTTCCATCGCTATTAACAAGCTGCCTTCCCAATAGGCGTGGGTTTTAAAATCGGAATCTGACTTCCATCAAGGAATTTGCTTTCCTTGCAATATTCAGGCAGTAACACGTATGTATTGTTTGTTCTTTGAATTGTTTGTCCTTGTGAACAACTACCGCCACAATTGCCTCTTTCAAGATCCCCTTGAGCTACTCGAAAACGAGAGTGATCTAAGAATAGCTTATAAGGGATTGCCTCATGAAAATGGCCCACCTGGAAAACTCGGCATAGCGGTCAAACGTTAAGCACGCGCAAATGGATCAGTTCGAGCCCGCTGTGCGCCAATTTCCCGCGCAAAATATCAAAGGAAAATAATAATAAAAAAACTGCTGTCTTATCAATTTTACAACAAAAAATTCAAGAAAGAAGTAAAAGGAATTTAAATAGAGCTTGAGGAAAACTTAAGATCAGTTTAACCTAAGATCAACTTAAGAAAACTTAAGATCACAAAGATCAGTTAATTACGGGTAGTCTGTTTAGTTACCGTTAGGTTTTTAGCTTTAATAAGGAATTTATACTCTTTTAATTTTCAAACGCCGTAGTTTGCTAGTTTGTGTGTGTATCTTTTGCAACTCACGTAGGACAACTTGGCTCTGGCGGTCCAGAAGGACGTTGTCGGCCCGCCTCAACACTTGCGCAAGCGCAAACGTTTTACCGCTATGATATGTGGAGAACTCAGTCCACCATTGCTAGGCTTTACGGGATATTTACGTCTTATTCCATATTATAGTTTCCTTCAAACGGTTTTACATAGTTTTTTGCGTCTCAGTGCAAGAGATTCTACCATTTTAATTTCTTTTTTGGGTTAAAAAGGGTTTAAAAGAGGTTTATTGTATTGTAAAATTTACCTAGCGTTAGAAACAGTCAGAAAAGGGAAATCTTGCTGCGGTTTGCTTGCAAAAAAATAGCCTCCGTCACTTGCAGATTAATTAGCCACTCTTCGAGGGGTGTTTCTTTGGCATAACTTAAATGTGTGCTGTGCATGCGAAGTCAGTCCAAATTTAATAATATTGCCAAAAACTAGAGAATTTGTAAAAACTTTCTGAAATTTACGGCATTATAGTATGTTAACCTCTAATGCTGAACACTAATAAAATAGGTGTTTTATCACTGGGAAATTGTAAGCAAAAATGATAACTTTAGTTTCCGTTTACGTAGGGGAAACTAATTGAACTTCGGAGGTAACTAATGACTGTTTAATATTAGAGACTTATGAATAATTTTTGTCCTGACTGAAAATCTGAAATTTTTGTGCCTCATTTTCTCATACTGATGATATCTTTAATTGTAAAATTTTCCACATAGTTCCTCCAGGTGTTTTTTAACTGAGGATTTAAATATGATTACTGTGAGGTTAATGGAAGAATTAAAAAAAGATATAAAATTTATGCTACTGTTATTTGTGGTGTTGAGGTGGAAGTTCATTAGAGTCATGCTACGTTTCACTATTTTAATTCAATTTCTCGGATTATAAAAGGGAGTATATGGTCACCTTAAAGTGTGGGCCTGAGTGTTGTAAAACTATTTGAAAATAAAACAAAGAAAAAAAACGAATGGTGAATTATGGAGTTATCAGTTTATTACAGATATCAAGCCGAAATAGGTTCCATGAATTTGAATCTCACATGCGAATTAATTTAATCCCCTTCTTGACATCCTCGAGTTATTTTCTGCTACAGAATAGTCTATACTGTGCATACAATGCTGATTTTTTCCCTCTTCGCACACGCCGATTCATCTCACTCAATTCCTCTCATTCTCAATTGGCCCTTAAGTTTGCAAACAAAACTCCACATCAAATAATTGACGTATCAGTCAATTACTGGCTGCAGCTGCTAATGCATATTCATCAGGAACTGAGTCAATTGCAAACCATTGTAAAGGAGATTCTTTTCATTCAATGGAATAGCGCCTATGTTTCTAGGCTTGATATTTGTGGTGCGTAGAACGCCTAAAATACGAGTTTAAAATTCAGCCCCAGATGTTGACAAGTTCCCCGCAGCTCAGTGGGTAGAGCATTTGACTGCACCATGTTGCGGTCCGTGGTCAGGGTTCAAATCCTGGCGCGGGGAATTTTGTCATTTTTGTTCCTAGTTTTTGGTTTTCATCATATTTTTCTCCTTGCTGATAATACTTCTTTTATGTCCTCATGTACTGACACACGTATCATTTATCATCCATTAGGTTGTATGCTTTTTGCTCAAGAAGTAAAATGCATTTGTAGGTAATGCATTTGTAGACAAATTTCTTAGAAAATATAAAGGAAGACAGGAACTTCTGAAAAGAAACAGCAAATCTAGGTGAACAAAGTTTTTTTCTTACTAATTAAGTCAATTGGAAATCATGGCAAAGGAGATTATTTCCATTCTATGGGATAGCGCCTGTGTTTCTAGGCTTGATCTTTGTAGTGCGTGGGACACCTAAAACATGACTTTAAAATTCAGCCTAAGCTGTCGACAAGTTCCCCGCAGCTTAGTGGGTAGAGCATCTGACTGCACCATGTTGCGGTCCGTGGTCAGGGTTCAAACCCTGGCACGGGGAATCTTGTCATTTTTGTTCCTTTTTTGGTTTTCTCATCATATTTTTCTCCTTGCTGATAACAGGTCTTTAATATCCTCATATACTAAGACAAATATCATTTGTCATTGAATAGATTGCAAGCTTTTCCTCAAGATGTGAAATTGACGTGATGCATAGAACAAAAATTACTTACTCATATAAGAGGGTCTCAATGGGGTGATAGCTTTTACGGCTAACGATTAAAAATCTTGGCCAATTTGAGGCTGACGGCTCAATTTTAGGCCGTTTTACGGCTATCGGTTACCCCGCGCCATTGAGACTCTATTCAAATCAAATAGGTAATCATTCCCAGAGACAGCAAATCCAAGTGAATGGAAAGAGTTTTTTCTTACTAATTGGGTCAATGTCAAACCATTGCAAAAGGGATTCTTTTCGTTCTATGAATTAACACCTATGTTTCTAGGCTTGATCCTTGTAATGCGTGGGACACCTAAAACGTGTCTTTAAACTTCAGCCTGCGATATCGACAAGTTCCCCGCAGCTCAGTGGGTGGAGCATCTGACCGCACCATGTTGCGGTCCGTGGTCAGGGTTCAAATCCTGGCGCGGGAATCTTGTCATTTTTGTTCCCTTTTGTTTTTCTCATCATATTTTTCTCCTTGCTGATGATACATCTTTGATATCCTCATATACTGATACACATATCATTTATAATCGATTAGACTGTATGCATTTTCTCAAGCATTACAATAGAGGTAAGGCATTTGTAGACAAATTTCTTAGAAAAAATAAAAGAAGACAGGAACTTCTGGAAAGAAACAGCAAATCTGAGTGGACAAAGTCTCTTCTTACTAACTGAGTCAATCGCAAACCATTGCGTGCAAAGGACATTCTTTTCGTTCCATGGAAAAGTTCCTATGTTTTTAGGCCTCGTCTTTGCGGTGCATAGAACGCCTAAAACGTGACTTTAAAATTCAGCTTGAGATGTCGACAAGTTCCCCGCCGCTCAGTGGGTAGAGCATCTGACTGCACCATGTTGCGGTCCGTGGTCAGGGTTCAAACCCTGGCGCGGGGAATCTTGTCATTTTTGTTCCTTTTTTGGTTTTCTCATCATATTTTACTCCTTGCTGATAACAGGTCTTTAATATCCTCATATACTGATACAAATATAATTTGTAATCGATTAGATTTTATGCATTTTCTCAAGAAGTAAAATAGTGGTAATGCATTTGTAGGCAAATTTCTAAGAACAAATAAAAGAAGACAGTAACTTCTGGAAAGAAACAGAAAATCTAAGTGGAAAAAGTTTCTTATCATTAACTGAGTTAATTGAAAGCCATTGCAAAGGGGGTTATTTTCGTTCTATGGAATAGCGCCCATGTTTCTAGGCTTAAACTTACGGTGCGTAGAACACCTAAAATATGAGTTTATGATTGAGCCTCAGATGTCGACAAGTTCCCCGCAGCTCAGTGTGTAGAGCATCTAGCGGTCCGTGGTCAGGGTTCAAATATTTTTCTCTTTTCTGATAATACGTCCTTGATGTCCTCATATACTGACTCACATATCATTTACCATCGAATAGATTGTATGCTTTTGCTCAAGATGCGGAAGTGATGTGATGGGTAGAAAAAAATTATTTATTCATGGGAGGTTCCCAATGGGGTGATGGCTTTTACAGCTAACGGTTAAAATCTTAGCCAATTTAAGGCTGACGGCTCAATTTTTGGCTGTTTTACGGCTATGGGTTACACTGCACCATTGAGACTCTTTATAATTAACAATTATTTCGCCATAGTTTCTTTTAATATTGTAGAATACTCTATGCAGTGTAATTAATAATGCTTTTTTATCCACCTACTTCTCACATGCAAATTTATCTCACACAAAGCCCCCCATCCCTCTGCACCAGAGCAGTGACGCATGAGTCAATCATTGGTGCAGGTGCTGATCCATATTCATTAGGAATTGTAGAATTTTCAGCAGACCACGCTGTCCTTGGAAGAGTGTAGACGTACTTTCCGAAGTACTGAAAATAAAGTTGCACACTGGAAAGAAGACGGCTTTGGGCCATTACAGAAGAGTAACAGAAGCACTCAGTAATTACTAGCAATGCAAAGTGAGTATTTCTTCGTGAAAATATTGTTCCAATTTCCTTCAGAGGGCTAAATTTGTCGTATCTCGTTAAAACGACTAAATAGGAATCGATTGCTCGGTCTAAGCGGGTCTTCAATTCGAAGTCGGACTGAATTAGTGTGTTGGTTTCGAGAAAAGCAGAAAGTATGACTGTAAAATATTTCCAGAGAAATTCATGGCCATCTTTTGGTGAATCAATGAAATAAAGATTTCAAGGAGGTCATTTTAAAGTTGAAGATGGCCACGTGGATATGTGACAACTCTTCTATAAATATGTCAGTGGCGTTCGCTTCATTCAACATAATTTTTCTGAAGTCTTAGTGTTTTTCCTTTCCTCTATAACTGTGGTCTGGTGCGAAGAAATTGTGGCATTTAAATTTTAAGGGTCCCAAGATTAAGCGTCTTCGTTCTGAGACAGTTAGCATTCCCTGATCATAATCATTATTAATATTTTCAGGAGAAGCAAAGTTGTTGGAAGGATGGACGGACAAAGATTTTGGTCAAAAGGATACACCGGAATGACTGAGTTGTTAGTGGATACTGGAAAGATAAGAATTTTGAAATTATTGAGTAACAGTAGCAAAAATGGTGGCTCTTTATATGTCCTATTATCCTAGGAATTCCCTTTTCTTTCTTTACGAGTCTAGGAATAAACCAGGTTAGCGGTGATCATGAGTGAATAGCTTTCAAAGCCACCATTTTTGGAATAGCTTGTTATGATGCAGATTGTTATGCAAACTTTGAGAAATCGCATGATTTATTAGTACTGCAAGCTGTAATTTTGCGAAATTTATCGCAGATGATCCCGTGCCATCGAAATAACATAAATAATAATTGGAAATTAATTTGAAACCTGGCCACAGAAAGCATCAACTGAAATCGTTAATTTCCAAGGTTTAATCGCTCCTGACATTGTTTGCTTAACACTTTGAATCACAGTTATACCCCAGTTGATGTCGCATAAGGTGATACTTGTTGAGGTGGCACTCTAACCAAAGAAAACCCGGGGCAAAGACCAAATGAAATTAAGTTTTTGAAGATTTAAATTCATCTCAACTGTTTTTAAATCTCATTTCGGAAAAGACAAAACAAACAAACCACACCATTGAATGGTTCTTTGCTTGATGTTCAACTAATATAGCACTACTTTCATCGACTGACTTTGAAAAGATCGTCAACAAACAGAGAAAAGAGACTGCTTTAGACAGGTAACAACGATTACCAACACCTCACAAACGACTTAAAAGCCAAACAAGAACGCTAACCTTGCCAGCTGATCAACTGTCGAACGCCAATTTAGTCTGACATCCATTTAACATAGGGTAAAACAGACTAATCAGTAATATTCGACTTCTAAACAGCTCTACACTTGACTAGATGACTATATCTTAGACCAATTAACTACCTTTAATAACATTCCTTTTTGAGTGCAAGGTCAAGCTGACGATTGCACCACAAAATACCACGTTTTCCAAAAAACATATTGATCTAATTGGAAATTAATTTGCGTCATGATCTGAATAAAATGGATTTTTTTTTAAATTTTGATGAAAAAGGAAGCATTTGTTTGTTACTCGTGAAGGAAAAATTCTAATAGAGTGCCATCTTAAAAATATGTCCACTTTTTGTAATCAACTGAGGTTGGTCTTAATGTAGAAGTTACGTCTAAAACTAAAATGCCTGGTCAAGAACTTTTTCTAGAAACTAGTTAAATTGAAATATTCTGTTATATAAACCAGCGTACATGTAGATTGATCACGAAATATAGGTTTCAATATTGCGTATAAAATTCATTCGTTAGAATTGCTGTAGAGCTTTTTTCTAGAATCAGACCAAATCGAAATTTATCATTATTTATTCCAGTATAATTTATTCCAGAAGAAATGCAGGTTTTTATACTCGAGTAGAGCCTTTTCTCTAGACACAAATCAAAAATAAATTTGCAGTTTTCTAGACCATTAAGAATCAGTGGACGAAGATATGTAGGTTTTCATATTTCGTGTGGAAATCATTCGATAGAAATGCTGTAGAGCTTTTTCTAGAATCAGATGGTCAAATCGAAAGTCATCGTTTCACTGACTAGTATAAATTGATGCAGAAATGTAGGTTCGATAGATTTAATTTAATTTTTCGTAGATCTAGAAATATATAGGTATCAATTTTCGAGTAGATTTTAGTCGATAGAAATGCTACAGAGCTTTCTCGAGAAAAAGGTCAGATCAAAATTTATCATCATGTAGACCAGTATCAATTGTTGAAGAAACGCAGGTTTTCATAATTCGAGATTTCACTGGATGAAAACAACAAAGGAAAATTAATTCCCAACGAGGTGAAAAACAATTTTACTGTTTGGACGAAAATCAACGTATACATAGGAACCAATGTTTTGAATAATAAACAATGAAGACAACTATTGGCAAACGTTAGGAAGAACAACAAAATTGAAGAAACCTTGCTATTATTTTTCTCTTAACCCTTTAAAATTTTAGTTAGCCAAGTTTATTTATACCGGAAAAACGTGTGAATCTTAAAGCAAATTATACGATTGTTTCATTCAATGATTTGCCGAACCAAGTGAGTTGTGTTCTCTTTTTTTTGCTCTGATGATGAAGAATAATATGGAACTGTAGAGTGTATGAATGCGGAAATTCTAATAAATATATTGATATTTATGTAGAGAGCTTGTTGATAATATCACACAGAAGTGCGAAACAAAATTTCATTGCAGTCATGTCCAAATTAAAGGTTCAACTTTGTGTCCGCGCGTTATTCGAATATCGCGATAGTCACTTTTTGCTGGTTTATAAACATTGTTTCCTTAAGATAAACTTCTAGATGACCCACTAAACCTTTCAAATTAAGTTGCACTCTAGAAAAGAAATCACTTTTTGCTCTTCAGACCAGGCATTTGGTTTTAAAATACTCCTTATTTTAAGTGGGAGGAAGATCGTGTGGGTAGTCACTCGGTGTAACACAGGAATGCAGAAAAAAAAACAATCATTTGTAGTTTCATCTTACAATTAAGTTTATAATCGGAATAAAACAAAAAAATTGGAAAGATTTGCTGTAACCGTACCAAACGTAGACCTTAATCGTTATTTGTCTCGGCTCTTGTGGCTAAAATCAAATTACACGAGTTTGCTCCAATACTAGAAACTATTTCATTTCTCAAAATACTTCGCGAAATTTGTTTAAGAAACCTGGAGCCAAATTGTGAGTTGCCTGAAACAATTCAAAGAGTTTACTCCAAACTTGAAAACTATTTTTATTTCTCGCATTGCCTCTTCCAACTTGTATCCTGTGCTACATTCGTCGCCTCTAGAGATAGATCTTCTACTCATCATCAAGGCAAGCTACAGGCACAAGAAAATATGACTAGCTCTTAAATGAAATATTCAGTTCTTCTGATTGGGCCCTCAATAGCTTTTTCGTTTACATCTTTCACACATCTCGTACAGAGAATTGAAGTTCAAAAAAGTCTAGGGAAGACAACGTTGAGTTAGAATTTCTTTTGAGAGAAACGCACACTGTTTAGATTGTTTTTTACTAAGAGTGTAAAAATTGGCGTTTATTTCAATTTTTTAGTACGAGATGTTGTTTAAAATATTTTTTGGCGGGAAATTTTATGGAAAACCTCGTTAAAATTTTTGCCGAAAATGTTGCCAGGGGAAACTTTTTGCAAATTGGTCCAAATTTTCCCGCCAAAAGTCTTAGCATATATACGAAAAGAAAATTTCTTGACACCATTTTAATTGAAAGTACTTAATTAGAGAGAACTTTAAAACAAATAAATTCTTTATTGAGCGAAAGACAAACAGAGAGGACTGAGCACTTTATTTCTGGCTTGTTTACTAACAGCAGACAATAAAAATACAACAAAGGAATAAAGATAAAGTTTATTACTACCTTGAAAAAAAAAATTGGCGCATGCGTATTTTGGGCGCCGTATTTTTTCTAAGTTTTTTGGCCGGAAAAATTCGCCACATTTGATCAGATGTTACAGACTAAATTAAAAAAAAAAAAATTGGCGCATGCGTAGTATAAGCACCCGTATTTTTTCTAAGTTTTTTGGCGGAAAAATTAAAATTTTTTAAATAGCCCATGCTATGGATATTAAGCCGACAAAAAAAAAATCCAAGTCCAACAAAATCGCGTGATAACATTAGCTTACGTCTGGCTTCAAGTCGTCGATTTTAGTGAATGTCTCTTGATGGAATTGCTTTATGCCCCGAATAAAACTTGTCTTTCACGTTCGTGTTTCAGTCAATCTGAAATAGAATAAAAGAAACAATAAATGAACAAATGATCAAGTCGTTATGATTGAGTGCGGATTGCTATTACAAACCCCGACGTTAAAATTATTTGGCCATGTGAAATAAGAATAAATCAGTATTTAATTCCTAAAGTATCGAGTCGCTCTATAAAGGAACGTGAACACAACCTGGATTTATCGATAAATTTAACATGACAGCCGATGAATGTTCTCGTAAATTTAATTCCTGCCTTCTTCCTACTTGCGTTGAGGTTTTACGTTCTTTACCTTTGTGTGAGCAGATCAGAATTTTGCATTCAAGCAATAACAAGCAAGAAATCTTGACGTTCGTTAGTAATTCCTCTGAGATCAACATGCCGGAATATAAATAATGATCAGTGTATGTAGGATGTTTCAACTACAATTTAATTATTTTGTTTCCTATCGTTTGCTTCGTTTGCAGAAATATTTCGAGCAACCAACAACCGCGTTTTTTTTTCATATTTTAGATTGAAATAATAATCCTAAACGTCAAAGAATCCTACAAGTTTCGTAAGCTTCTCGTCGCACCTTATTAATGTAAATCGCTGTACTTAAAAGTTGTGAATAACATTTTAATGACAATAACAATGAAACTTAATTTTGCTAAAAATCTTGCTTGGCAACGCGATATTGTATGGACAGAGGTAAAGGTTTCTGTGCTGTGGTGATTAGGCGCTACCACTAAACCGAATTGTACTTAACAATTTGTTTTGAACGTTAACCATATTAATTCGATATTTCCGACTTTCATTCGACCAGGAAATAAAATATTGTGTACGGTCCAACTTGGTAAACCTCACCATTCCGAGAGAGTTATGATGAGAAAGCGAGACGGCGGAATTGAAAACAACCCTAAGCACATAATATTTAACAAACAATTTGCCCTAACTGCATTGATTTTTTAACCCATTTCAGGTCAAGTGATAATACTCTAAGAGAGTTGTTTCTTTAAAGTCTCCTCTTACTCTTGACTGTATGCATAATTTAAAAAGGCTTAGGAGGGGATTCCCTTGAGACCTGAGAAGGATAAATAAACTGCAGGAGCTGAAGAGGTCTATTGATTTCAGTGACTAAACAAATATGATTTTGGAATAAAATCTACTTCGGGAACGCTATAAATTATATAAACTCCGCGAACTTTGCCTGTACCTGCCAAGACTAAGACGCGTAACACAAGATAATAGTTTGAAAAGCAAGGAATAATGTTTAATCTAAGATAAGCATAAAGATCGATCATCAATTTATTGTAGTCAACCGATATTATTTTGGTTTTAACCACCAAAGCAATTTTAAAATCGTCTGATGATATGTTAGAATAGTCTGAGAATTGTCAATTTTTGGGCAAACGTTTGAATTTGGTGTTTGCTTCATGAGCTAAGACATTTAACGATTAAGCTCCGAGATTTTCAATTGGATTACGCAGACAATTTTGCATCACTTGATGAAAAACTAATAAAGAAATTCAAGAAAATAATAACTATTTTTAGAGCATGCTATGTGAAATTGATTCTTTAGCCTCAAGAGATGAGATATTATAAGTTCGCCTTCAATTTTTTTTTTTTTAATCCAGTAAATCTATATCAGTTAATGATAAATTTAGGAGCTATTTGCGAAAAAGCCTCTACTTCTGGAGTATGCTATTCAAATATGACCTTTTCTAGCTTGAATGTTCTGTTTACCATTAAGTTCATGTGGTAATACTCTAGATAACTGTTTCTTTCAAATTTCCTCTTATTCACGTACGTTTGTACGGATAATTTATAAGAGACAAAGCGTGAAATCTCTTGAGATCTGAAAGGGGTTTAAAAAAACATACGAGCTAAAGAGGTCTATCGGACTTCAGGGGTTTAATAGTCCATTTTACAGTTATGTGCTTGGTTGCCAAGCCTTTGAACAGGAATGAGGCTAAGGGTGACCTTGTTATGATACAGACCTTACTGCTTTTCAAATGCAAATTACTTTGTTATCATGCTAACTAGATACTGGTCTCTATCACAACACGGTCACCTTCAGCCTCACTCCAAATCAAAGGCTTGGCAACCAAGTACATAACTGTAAAATGGCCTATTGAATGAAGTAGAAAAAAAATCACAATTTTGTCCAAAAAAAATATGACTATCAAACTTATCAGAGGTTTAGAAAGGAAATTGGAGGGAAAAAAAAGAAAAAGAGAAATAGCAATTTTCAGAGCATTAAAAGATCAGACTCCCAAGATTCTTATTGAAATACCTATCCAAGGTGTAATTTTGAAAAGAAATCATACGAACTTCAAACTTTTCAGCAATCGTAAGACAACCCTAGACAAATGTTTAACACTTATCGACTTTGAAACATACTGAATTTGGTTTGAACTCCAAGAGCTTAACAAGAGAAACAACAAGATATATTGACCATCAAGCTAACAGTGCTCTGAACGACTGATAATCTCCTTGATCAAAGAGAGATTCACAGGGAATAAAACAACAAAAAACACAATCATTTTTTTGTATGGACTTTTCCAACATTTTTGGGTATGAGTGGTTTTAAATTTCAGACATTCGATAATTCCAGGTTGAAGCGTTCACTACAAACTAGTAGACCGGACTTGACAAGTGCAGATGTCGAGTTCATAAAAACACAAACAAGTAAATAACTCACGTTTTTGAAAATTGTTTTGTTTTCCTTTCTTCCCTTGAATTCCTTGATTTAGTGGGAACCTCATCCTATTCCTGACACTGATGTGATGTCCTGAGAAATAAGAAAGGTCTATATTGTAAAAAGGTGCATACTTATAGTGTAGTTAGCACTACTTTCATTGCGAATAAATTCGAAGAGGATCATTGTCGGGATCGAAAGACTCAATCAGAGCCATAACATTTCCCATTGACAATTTCAATGTCCCTAATCGAACGAAAGCAATAGGAAATTTCATTTCTCGACGCTGACAGTTTTCCTCGAGCATCGCTTTTCTAAAAAAGTTTGCATCTCGGAACAGTTTAAAATAAATTTAAGTTTATATCAAGGTTACTTCCCACCTTTGCGGCTGTCTTTCAGGAAAAAATTTGTACGCACGCTAGTTTCACTAAAATCCTGGCAAACTCTATATCAGAAGAAAGGTTACTAAATGCAGATTACGATAAAAATATAATTTAAGCGATTTTTTTTTAACGGAAGTGTCAGGAGCCGGTAAGGCGTCAAATGACCGAAGATTCTTTTATTGAATTTATCGGGTACAGTAAACACCCGCGTATAAGAACCTAGTGATTTAAGAACCTACAGGCTGAAATTGGGCATTTTAGTAACCAAATATATAAGAACCTATTTAGGCTAGCAAAGAACAATAGGTTCTTATACAAAAAAACACTCTTATTTTGTAGCCAAAATACTGGATTTTAATTGATAGAAATTGTGAAATTTCTGAGAAACACCATCAGAACTTATATTTGATTATTTTCAAATTGGTTCAATTATAATTCCCTAAATTGGGTTGTTATTTATTTTTGCTGTTTTTAATTATATATTTATATTGCTGTTAACAATTTACATTATTAACAAATACAACTGTAAATATGGTAGCCTATGATACTGAATTTATTATTGTTTAAAAAATAAGGCTTGGCATTTTTGCTGTTAAAATACAAATGTTCAACCATTATGACATACTAGTACTGCAGTAGTTCTCTGAATGGTATCACTATGACAACTCCTACAAATAAGAACCTACTAAGAACTTAATCAGCCTGAGTTCGGAAAAACTACCCCAAAATATAAGAACCCATTCAGCCTGAACCCAAAAATTCTAGGTTCTTACACACGGGAGTTTACTATATTGGATGCTGCAGCACGAGCAAAATAGCTACACAGTCTCATTCACAAGGCATCAATCGTAAAAAGTATGTCGGGCTTTTTCGATATTTTGATTGGTTCTGCAGATATAGGCATCTAAAGTTGGAGTAGCTAAAAATATGCGAGTCGTGTTGCGTAAATGGACGCCACAGAACAAATATTTCAATTATCAAAATTTCCCGACATATTTTCGTTTGTCATTATTACTAAGATGTTTTGGCGAAATTTGACGAAAATCGGTCAAATCTATATACCCTATAAATTCGCTCATAGTGGTTGTATTCCTCTCAAAATCAAATGCGAGATTTTAGCTCATAAAGGTTCGCAAACAACCCGCGCCACGTCAGGAGATTATCTCGCCTCCTGAAACCGCAAACCAATAGGACGATAGGACCTCCTGGCGTCAATGACGACGGATCAAGATTTCCCGGGAAAAGTAACCCATTTCAAACACTTTTTTTTTTTTATCTCGATCGCTCAGTGGAGCGTTGAGGAGGACGTTACAATAACGAGCAAAGTTGCCAAAGGCAAAGGAAACCCCGCGGCAAAAATGGAAAACCCGCAAAATGAGCTGAGGAGCAAGACAACAAATCGACATACAGCTTTAAAATTACGATTCGAGGCAATTGTTGATGTTTTTGTATCAAGGCTGGTACTTGCATAAAGAAAAGGTAACCTCGTTTTCAACATCATGTACGTCAAATTTTGGATTGACAACGACTTCTTTGTTCGAAATCTGGAAGCCAGCGTGAAAGCTCCGCTAGCACAAGTCGCTTTCACAAAGGATTTTTTTTTCTTTACCTGACAGAGTGGTACCCTTTCTTTCTTCTTTGCGTCTGGTTTTTTTTTCCGAGGACTTTCTTACGCTTTTGATTTTTCCACGAGCAAAGGTTTTCCATAAACAAAGAGCTTCCACGCGTGAATTTTGTAAAGTGCGCGATGAAAACAAAATATAGAAATAACATGAAAGTCGAGCCCCGAGCGGTTGCCGCGAAAATTCCCCCTAGGGACTCGCCCAGGTCAGAGATTATGACACCTTCCTGATATCTTACCTTTTATTTGAAAATACGTTGTTCTAAATAAGTCGGGTGCTTTTAAAGATTTCAGATATTTTTTTAAATGATAATGTTAGGTTTAATGTTTGTATTCAGTTTTTTCAAATAAAAGAAAAATCGATTTTTTCGGCCTCTGAGGGTGGAAAGTAACCTTAATCATACAAAAGGACGATAAAAATAAGTAATGCATTATTCGCTGCTGCCCTAAAAGTCACGTGATTCATCAAGAACTGTCAGGGCAGCTACTACGAAAGATTTGTCTAATATTGAACAGTGTGTAATATGCTCCTCAGTCCCTTTTTGCATTCAACACTTAGAATAAATTTTTTAATAGAGCAACAACAAGAAACGCGAAACCTATATTTCTATCCGAAATGCGTATATACGTAGGCTGTTTACCTTGAAAACGTTGTGACAAAAAGCCATCCATTCCGCCCATTTTCGTCGTCGAATTCAAACCACTTACTTCGGCAACCTCGAAGAAACACTCTCCCACCTTGACAGAACGGACAAAATCCAAGGTATTTGGATTGAAATCAAGTATTCCCCGGCCCCTGAGAAGTTGGAAAAGATGCTGACATTTCTTAGATCTCGTCGATTCTTTCCACGTGCAAGTCTGATCTCAAATATGAATATTTATGTTTCAAAGTTATTTGTAATTCAAATCAGTTTTCCGACCACAAATGATCGGAGAGTTCTTCGTTAACTTTCGTTTAATTTTAAAAAGATTCCAATACGGTGACTAGCTGTAGGCTGATTTTAAACTCAATCATTTACAACTTTCTCCCCTAAATTTCCCGTTATGTCCATCTGCCTTTTCGTTTCCCTTAGCACTTCGAATCAGGGGTATTATATAGTGCTTTAATCTGCAACCATGTCGAAGAACAGAACACTAAGTTTTTTTTTGGCATCGGATGAAGACACGTATATTTCAGATTGATGATTTATAAGTGCTGTAAGATGATCCCAAAAACCATTATGATAATTTAGGAGATTACAAAACAAAATTTGACAAAACTCGGGGATTTGAATTTAAATTTGCCATTAGAAATGGGTTATTAACGTAAAATATACGAACTTGGCACTTGTTTTAGAAAGCGCTGAAGGTACTAATCGATAGAAAAACCCTTTTGATGTATCTACATACGTTACTAAACCTTTAATAATGGGATTACATCGTTAATAAGATACATAAATAAATTGCGCGTGTCGTGGAAAGGAGTGCATTTTTCATGTAACACGAGTACTAATTGGAAATACCGCGCGCGCGGTGCCAAAATGTCGTTCGTCTTGACTTTCTTCAAATAACAGACTTATTTCAGACGACTCAACTGCGCTGACTTCAATTATCACAATTACATTAAGCTAATGACTGACATGCTAATTAAAATCTGTCTACTAGACTCTGAGCATGCTTAAAGTCTAGCAGACATACCACAGATATGCAGTCATTTAACTCACAGTCAATGAATGGCAAATGAGTGAGATATTGAGATGGTTAAAAAAAATTTCCAGTTGTATCTGGGTAATGTTTTAAACACTTATGAAAACTGCAATGAACCACCTTTCTCTTGATGAATGGCAAATAAAATTTAATTGTATCATATCAGTTCAGTCATCCAGAGATAAAAGAAGGAGTATGTTGTAAAGAACTTTAATTATAACTTATGTAGAAACTGCATTGATGGGGCTACGACGTTATTGTTAAATTGACAAAAACAGTAAACTACATACCATAGCCAGCCACTTGTATGGCTCCCTCTTGTTCACCATGTTTATCTGCTATCAATTAAATCAAAGTAATCAATCTCACTGAACATTTTGAAGAAAAGAAACATTTGGAAGAAAAGAAACATTTGGAAGAAAACAAACATTTGGAAGAAAAGAAACATTTGGAAGAAAAGAAACATTTGGAAGAAAAGAAACATTTGGAAGAAAACAAACATTTGGAAGAACACAAACATTTGGAAGAACACAAACATTTGGAAGAACACAAACATTTGGAAGAAAACAAACATTTGGAAGAAAAGAAGCATTTGGAAGAAAACAAACATTTGGAAGAAAACAAACATTTTGAAGAAAACAAGAAACATTTGGAAGAAAACAAACATTTTGAAGAAAACAAACATTTTGAAGAAAAGAAACATTTGGAAGAAAACAAACATTTTGAAGAAAAGAAACATTTGGAAGAAAACAAACATTTGGAAGAAAAGAAACATTTGGAAGAAAACAAACATTTTGAAGAAAAGAAACATTTGGAAGAAATGAAACATTTGGAAGAAAACAAACATTTGGAAGAAAACAAACATTTGGAAGAAAACAAACATTTGGAAGAAAACAAACATTTGGAAGAAAACAAACTGAGGATCAATAGGTTTGGCACTTACCTGGTAATTGTAAAGTTTGCATGACATCCAGGAGTTATACCACGCAGCAACTTGGGTCAAGTGACCCAGAGAGTGCGTGTACATTTGCACAGTCAAGTTTGCTGTGTGACATTGTGTTTCTTCCATTTGGGCCTCAGTGGACATTTAGAAATATCACAGTACTTGGTAAATTTCTACATGAACAGCTATCTAGTCAAAATCAAATGACAAGTAAATATTCAGTATTTCAATTTTAATCAGGAACAGTATATCAGAAATGTATTTCAAGCTACTTTAGCCTGATAAGATTATTGAAAAATAATTTTTTTTCTCTTTCTTACAAGCTCTTCACCCCTTCAGGGGTTATAGGTGGAAGTTTATGGTACCTTATGGTACAATTTCAAATTTAAGCTTGTAGGGCAGGACAATTTATCTTTGGATAACTTGAGAGGGTCTGTCAGAATTTTCAGTTATTTGTATCACAAATATTGTTCATTGTACAATTTTTTAAAGAAATAAATTTTAGAGAAAGATGTTTTTCGTCTTTTCATGAGTGTGGGACAAACTCAAAACTTACCATCTCTCCTATTTTATTTACAGATATGACACTATCAACATTGCTGATCCTGACAGTATATGCAGGACATGCCATATGAACTTCGTAATAGACCTCACTCACCGTAGAGTATCTGTGGCTCAGTAGTAGAGCATCAGAGTGCAGAATCCAAAGGCCTGAGGTTTGATTCCTCATGGGGACTCAGAATTTTTTTTTGTCCCACACTTGGGAAAAGATGAAAAACATCTTTCTCTATTTCTTTACCGATCTTAAAACTTATCATTTAGCTCTTACTCTATTTACAAATATATTTTATTTGTTTGTTTCCCGCCAAAGGTACAACAGTTATAGTATATTACATTAATTTTTACCAACCTCCTGTTTTCTAATGCATTTCTTTGACAAGGAATGATAACAATCCAGTCTAATCAAAATGCATATGTTGGCCAATACTGTGTCTGAGGAGATGATTTCAAGAAAACAAAAACACACAAAATAGCATTTTATGAAAAGTTTTTTTTTGCAATCCAGTGTTAATCACTGAAGAAGTTCTTGAATGCCAGAATGCATATTTAACAACAGGTATACTTAAATTAAATCTTATTTAATTATCAGTTTGCAAAATATTACCAAACTCACCATAGATCCATGATCAGGACTTTGGCTGACAACAGCTGCCTCACAGATTATCAACAGTAAGCAAAATGTGGTTTGGCTGAATTTAAGTTTTTACAACTCCATTCATCAAGCTGCTCTAATCAAAACTTGGAAACCTAAATTGAGCAATAATAACAATCACACCTGACTTTGGGTTCTTTTCAGTCTGATTGTCTTCTTCCATCACAAATGGGAAAAAGGAAAGCTCAAGGCCAAGGGAATTCATAGTGCACCCTTAGAACTCTAGAGAGTATAAGTTATGTTTCAATAGAAAAGTAGAAAAGTGAGTGCAAGTCAGGTTGGGGTTTGCTCATCTAACTAGATTGTGTATTGTACATATTTCTGAAAACATACTTTTTTCAGCAAAGTTGTAAGGTTAAACTTGTTCGAACCCAATCATTTAAACAATCTGTAAAATTTTGTGATGTAAAGGATGTATTTTACCAATATTGTTTCAAGACCAATTCCTAAGTATTAACTGTGTTTTTACTTTGAGCACCAGAGGGTACCCATTGGAATATGATATTCCTCTGATGAAGGGCTAACACTCCAAATTTCAACTTTGAAACTCTTTATGGTGGCCATGCAATTTCCATTATCAACTAAGTGGATAATACTAAATTACCCTGTGATATCAAGACAGATTTTTGCTTGTGTGAACACTTTTCTGTGGGATTATGTTGAATCCCTATATTTCTGAGTCATTCAGCTTCTTAACCAATATTGGAACACTATTAGTATATTTTATCTGATCAGATAAAATTCCAGTATGCTACCTTAAAGTGGTCTTATTCAAGTCTCACAACACTTAACAACAGACTAATTAACAATTATTTGCTGAAGGCAAAGTGAATATCAACGTTCACTGAGCCTGAGGAAAATAATTATATCAGTGTAATTGCTCAGGTGCTTTCAAATTGTGTTGGAAATTCTGGAAAGAAAGCTCCAGGCACATTTGTTACGATTGCATTAATTACCAATGACAAGATAAGCAATCAGTTTTAACAGGTTTACTTAATTCAGTCAGCAAATATTTCATACTTTTATTTTGATATGTGTTCTGCCAATCTTTTAACATTTTTTGTGCTCTTAACAATTGAATTTTCTTCTATCATCTTTCTAACTTCCACAGAAACAAAACACAAGAACTGTTATGCTCCTACTATAATCACCTTGCTTACAGAGATTATATCGAGATATGATGCAGTCCTCGACCGATCAGAGCAGATCAATCACCTAAGAAATTAAACTAATTACACATTGTTTTTATAGAGATCTAGAGTGACTTTATCAGCCATTACACTATACGCATATTTCCTAATTATTGAAATAGGCTCTTACTGGGTGTAGAAGAAATGCACAGTTAACGTAAACCCCTGGAGAACAAAACGAGACAAAAGGAAAGGTCAAGAAATATGACACCAGTTAAATGAAGCGGCCGGTTCTTAGCTGACTTCTCCACCTTAAAGGAAGTGTTTCAACCACCAATTATTACCTAAGAAATGAAAGTCTTAAGTTACTCTTCTATAAAAAAAAGGACAATTAATCCGAGAAAATATCATCCAAAGAGCAAATCGGTGGACGAAATATGTCAGTGACAAAATTGAAAAGCAACAGAAAAAAACAAAACTTCTAAACGAATAGCAATTCCACATCAGCAACAATTTTTCTCAATTCTATACTCACATAAACGTAAACTGTCAGCTATTTTGGCGGCTGCAGACTGCATTTTCTTTAATCAATTAGAACCAGGGGTGGTTAGAGACCTGATCAGAACTAATAACTCATCCGGAGGACTAGAAACTTGTCGCACTTGACCCAGATATTGTCAGGCGTTCAAGCAGTGGCCAAGAGGACCTGGTGCGAGGTTATCAAATTTGACCGAGTAGCAGACTTATGATAGATTGTACTGCTTCACAAACGTGTTTTCGCTCAGTTCTACCGGAAGTTCTCGAAATAAAGGTGTACCCAATCTTCTTATTGCTTGTTAGGTAAGCCAAAAAAATAGTTTAACGGTTTAATTGATCACGTGTGGTGGTTTTCCAAAGCTTTTAATATTACCTGTCACGCAACGTCTATTCCAACATGGATGACAGCCGTGTTTTAACTTAGACATACTTTTTTAATGACTTTCAAGCTGTTGACGCGGGAATATTTTCACTGAAAAGACTGTGGAAAGATTTCCGTATAACCCATAGTATACTGAATCGAGGCGCCAGTCCCACAGGTAATCAATTGTTATTGCCTTTGTTTTCCCTTGTCCACGAACTGTTTATGTGGAAATCTTACCAAGAGTATGTCACTTGGAATTAAACTGGAAAAAATGAAATGACTTAGACACTACTTGGGCTTTCATTGGTCCATAGGTGTGGTCAGATGATAGCATGTAATTAAGACTTTAACGTTTAAGATTGAGAAATATTATGTAACAGCGGTAGCTAGAAATTACTTTTCCGGTGTTTACATAGCACCCCAGCACCCCATCTAGCACTGGATCAGGTGGAAGAAACACCCATCTACATCTTCACTTTCGTGCTAAACGCACTTCCTTTATGAGACACAACAGAGGAAAGTCAAGGCTTCTTTCTTCGCGAAACAACCGCAGTAACAGTTTTCAAATTTAGATTGTTTACATGACAAGTTTTATTTTTGAGGTCTCTGACATAGCTCGGTTTCGAAGGAGAAGTGAACGAATGGCGCCATCAATGAAGTAAAAAACCTCTCGTAAGTAAGTAACAAATATACCATCTTATGGATTGGCAAAGGCAATTTAGAGAATTTTCGAAGCAATTTAAAGTGGACTAAACTGATACAATTTAATTAAAATTCAATGTTTTATTGTCACAATTGTCTCTAAAATGACATAAATTTATTGACGTGTTTATTCATAGAAAATGTCTCTCATACTCCATGACTTGTTTAATTCTATGTGCGGGGATACTTGCTCGCCACTTGAACAAAAAAAAGATCTGAGAGCTATTACCATACATGCTAATTGAACAATATTGCAGTTAACGCCCTGTCTGGCATTAAGTGGCTTTGAATCCCAGGATATCAAAGTGAATAAAATGATGTTTGTTAACTTAGGTAGCTATAATCTTTCTGGTTCAAATCTTAATTTTTAATATAAAAGTCAACTTGCACGAGACTGTTGGTTGCTCAAAGTTCATACATAGAATACAGTTGGCGCTACTTACTGTAAGTACTTCTTCTTTGGTGTGTGTGTGTGTGTGTGTGAGTGAGTGTTTGTTTCTGGTACTGTAGGTGTTTTACGCGAGAACAAACGAACCGTTTCATGCAAAATGGCTTTTAAGAAAAACTTTGAAGCTCGATTTTAACTCAACAAGCAGTGACATCAGAAAAGCATTACACATGTGGTGTTTCGAAATCAATATGCTTTCTTAGAAAGAATGCGCTAATGTTGAAACTGTCAACTTTAATAGTCAACTGTATGTTGATGCAGCACAAAAAACAAGTATTTTAAGCCGATAGCTTTATTGATCACGGCTCAGACCAATATTTGTTCTTTGCTTCTTATAGAACGCAGGAAATTTTGAATCATGCATGTATTTCCAAATTGTTTAATTCAAGTTCAAGTCTTGGTCAGCTAGACTTTTGTTTAGCTATGTTTGTCCAATTTTTGGCCACTTTCAAACAAAGAGATGAACAATTTTGTAACGGGCTAGGAATCATGATAAGATTGCTGAAAGTATCTACATATTTCCAGGCTTTCGTAGCCTTTGAAACAGTCCCTTGACGTTTTCTTCCTTTTTTCTTCTGGTTGAATTTTTTTGTGAAGATCCACACCAAGCCCTAAGGAGGGAATGGAAATCAAATTAGGAGAACTAAGTAAATTTATTTCATGGATTAGAACGAGTTGTCCATGTGTCCTTGTATTATTGTAACAGAGTTCTGTTATTACTTATTAAGTTATTTATTCTTTTGGAAGATATTGGAAGATATTAGAATTGTCTGGTTATTTTGGCGTAAGATAAACGAGCTGTAAAATTGCAGCTCATGATCTCACCTGATGTATTGATTAATTTCTTTTTAGACATAACATTATAACATTAAATAGGAGATAGTGTAATTCAACACGAGTTTAGTTTCGTAACATATCCGTTCTGTGTAACGTTACTTTACTGTCCCGTTTATTATTATATTGCTCTAAAGGTGGCTACGTTAATCACCATTTCGGTTATTTTATTCGAAAATCACTTAACAACTGATCATACCTCGATCACTATTTTCTCTCTCAGCCTAGCCACGTTTGGCTGGGCTGTTTGCATGCTGTTTGTAGTGACGGTTCGTTTCAGGAACACTTGATCTAGATGTTTCCACATTAACATGCACTGATGGTTTATCATCTCCTGGTTCAGGAAGCAAACTGTTTGGGGCAGTTAAGGCAGGATTCGGCGCGATACCGGGATCTGGCAGGGGGAAAATGGGTGGAAAGATGGGTGCGAAGCGAGGAGGGGCCTGTGGAACCTCTGTGGGTTCTGTCTCTTCCATTGGTGGTACTGGTGCAGGTGATGGTAAGGGAAGTAAGGGCCCTATTGGAAACACTCTTGGAGTCAGAAGCAGTGGATTCACCTGAGGCGGCGCTGCCGGTGGAACCGCTAAATTTGGAAGGAAGACCCGATTGATCGATGGTAGAGGGAGTACTGCTGGTCGTATGGACGGCATGTCATTTAATGGAATTTCATTTGCTCTATCGCCTTCTCTCTCTACTGTGTCTAGTTGAGGTCCTGCTATTCCACTTGGTGGACGAAACAAGGGCTCATTAGCAATTCTAGTTTCCTGGGTAAACGGGGAAACTGCCTCTGTTGGGCTGTCTTGAAGTATATTCGATGCACCCAATTCAGGAGGAAGTGCACTCTCTAAGGCAGTGGCAGCTCCCTTAAGAGGAAGGGCTCCAACGCCTGTGGGGCTGTCCAAACGTATCCCTCCAAGCTTCGGTGTCTTCCTTCCGGCACCTCCACCGCCAATTAGGTTAGAGATTGGATCCGTGAACACCTCGACGGGCTTGTTTAGATTGTTACCTAAGCCGAAAAGGTTCTCTGGTCTTGGTTTTTTAAGTCCTCCCAACACTTTTGGGCCACGTCTCCTTTCAATCAGTCCACCGCCGAGAAGATCCAACTGTCTCTTGAATTTCTTTCCTTTTGAATTCCTTGCGTTAGCTTTTAATCCATGATCGTGGTGCAATTTATGTGGGCTTGGTACGTTTGATTTAGCAGTTTGTACATTAATGCTAACGTGAGGACTCTGAAATGGTCTGACTAGGTTAGAAGAAGACTCGACTGGTTGAATAGGCGTCGTTGAAGCCTGTTCAGTGCTCTCTGGGGCCTCTAGCTGGGTTGGGTACGTCTGTGAAGAGCCTTGATTACTTATCTGTAACAGAGAGGCTTGTGGTAGATTGAATGGTGAAAGTTGTGCCCCGTCATCTTGCGTAACTGTTTGAATGGGCTGTATTTGTAGCGCTTGCCTCGGTTGTTGAGCATCAGTGGCACTTTGTAGCGACTGGGTGGGCACAAATTGTGTTTCCTGTTGACCTCCTAGATAGTTGTACAATTGACGTTTCCATAAACGCTGTCCTTTTTTAATATGATTGACTAATTCTTGCGTGGACTGTGGTACATCCGACCTTCTATTTTCCTTAGGAATGCCATTTAATGTTGACTGTCCCAGCGAACTAAGAAGGGGGACAGTACCAAAAAGTTGACGTCTTAACTTTTGATCCACAGGCAGCTCCTTTGTAGATTTCAAGCTCCTTGCGTGATCTTTTCTTTTAGATATCGAAGACTTTGCTGTCTGAACACTGATGCTAACTTTTGGTCGTGTTTTCTCCTCCACGGCATTAGCAACTGGTATTACTGCCTGTTGAAATGCTGGAAGCTGCTGCTGCTGTTGTTGATCACGTTGTAAAAATGCGATTGGTTGCAAGTTCTGTTGCGTTGGCTGCTGCTGCTGTTGTTGTTGCTGATCAGAGTCTTCTACTTGAGACTGAAGAGGCATTGAGGCCTCTTGAACACCTTGCCTGTTTTCTTCCTGGTCTTTCCCCATCATGAACTGAGTACTTTGAGCGGGATTACCTTGAATTGCATTTATTCCTCCACCAAACGGAACTATAATTTGCCTTCTTTCTGGATTGCTAGCCCTGGCTGTGTGACCATGGTACTTGATTTTCTTTGAAGAAGAAATTCTTGTAACACTGTGTTTCTTTTTGGCTACGTTGACGTCAACAGATACGCGAGGTCTTTGTTCTTGGAGTAGATCCCCTGGGTTTGCAGCAATTGCTTCTTGCTCAGGCTCGTAATCTTCGCGTTGTATTTCTTTTTGCTGGAGTTGTCTTTTAGCTCCTTTCCAAGGGGCTGTGCGGAAGTTTGGTCCAATAGGTTGATTTAATTTGCGTTCTCTTTCATATTTTGATCGTTTAGATGATTCAACATGGACTGAGATCCGTGGCCGCTCATAATCAGTTTCGCTTAAATCAGCCCGAGAAGGTTGGGCGTCACCTTGAGATAACTCTTCCACTTGTTGTGGTTCGGTCGCGCCTGCGTTTGATTGAATTAATGCTGGTAAGGAGTGAAATTGTTCCTTCTCTTGGCTGGGTGATTGTATTACACCGACTTGATTCGGCTCCTGCGATTGACTTGATTCCTCTCCATTAGTCATTGCAACCTGTCCCTGGTCTTGTTCGACAGGTTGGACAAGTATCTGCCGCTTAGGTATTACATCGTCATCGTCATCCGATCGCTTTGATGCCTTAACGTTGACAGAAACGTGTGGATTGTGTTCAGTGATGGGAAAATATCCATTAAGAGCTTCTCCTTGACCGGCAAGGGGAACAGGTAATCCTTCGTGTGGTAGCTCGGATAGGCCGTATATCTGTCTTTTTCTTTTTCTCTCAGCTTCTTTTTCAGGATCTATTTTGCGTGAGAGTTTATATTTTTTCTTTGCTGTTTCCACGTGAACTGACACGCGGGGCCGTTGGTTGACTACGGGAGTTTGAGTAAGGATAGGTGCACCAACAACCGGAAAGTGTACCATGTGTGGCGGTTGATCTATTCCATACACCTGTCTCTTCATTGCTATTTTGCTAAATGTAGGACCATCTGTTTCTTCCAGGGTACGTTTTACATCTCTTGATTGTGACATAACCTTTTGAAAATCAATTTTTCTCTTTGACACTTCCACGTTCACTGAAACACGAGGTCTTGGTTGGAGGTTTGGACGAGGTAGTAATGGATACTGCTGACCTGCTGAAAGTGATTGCGGTACTGCATAGAATTGGCGTTTCTTTGCATTTTCTTTTCTTCGACCCCATCGAATTTTTGGTGGCGTGCGTAATTTTTCCTTTTGTGATATTTGGCCATCTTTTCCCGTTTTTATTCCTCTCGATCTTTGTGGAATTTTGTGCTTTTTCTGTCTCTGTAACTCTTCTATCAACATTCCATTTGCCTTTATTTTATGATTTATGGGTAAGGTGTTAAAAGCAGGCATCATAACGCCATTCTGTTTAAACGTTTGCGGCAGAACTTGCATTGCTGGAAATCTCGTCAACAGCGAAATGCTTTCGCGCTTGGTATTGGGCTGTTGCGTTGTTGATCTCCGAGCTGTTTGTACGCTGATAGACACTCGTGGCCTTTTTATTTCAGGTAGGGATGCACCACTGTTGTAAGAAAGAGGAACTCCATAGGCGGGAACATATCCTTGAGTTGTAGGTAGAAACTGACGTTTGTGAAGTGGATGTTTCCTTTTCTTTGACCTTTTCTTTGGGACCGTTGATTTTTCAGCGACGTTAACATTAATGGAAGTATGTTTTGGTTGAACAACTTCAGGTTCTGTCTCTTGTTGAGAAGATGGCTGTTCTGCTACAGGAATGGCTGGAGCAACTGGTGATGCACTAGGGAGTACACCTTGAAAAGGAACCACAAATGGTGCTTGGAAAGGTGCCTGAAATGCCGACTGCGGAGGCTGCTGCACTGGCAATTGCAAAGGTGGATTAAATGCTTGCAGGTCTTGTGGTTGCGATGTCGACGGTTCCATGACCGGCTGATCTTGCGATGACAACAGTTGCTGTCCAGAGTTTTGCTGTAAATCTTCCCTTTCTCCGACCTCTTCTTCTTGAGATTGCTGCTGAAAATTTTCTTCCTGACCTTGAGGCTGTCCCTCGTTATTGGATGTGGGTCCCTCTTCACTTTCAGCTGTTTCACTTGTTGCAACAAACTGATTTTCTGGAGCGTTAGCAAATTCAGGGTTGCCTCGGTTCGGGAACATTTCTGGGCCATTTTGTTCTCCATCTATCATTTCGTCTCTTTTTTCTCCGGTTTTATTCTCTTCGCGATGTTTAATGCTGCCTCGTTTTTTGGATCTTTTTATCTCTTTAACTGCGGGAATTCCGTTCTTCTTTGTCGTTTCAACGTTGATGTTTACGCGTGGTGTGTGATGAAAAGGAATCCCTTCCACTCCATAGTTTAAAGCTGTTGGTAAGGTATAGTGACCTATGGGGAATGAGGATTCCGGTATGTAATTTAGTAACTGCCTTTTGGTAATGGGAGCTCGGGAATGAACAGTGGGCTTGTTTTCTGTTTTTAAGACTTTAGGTATATGTGATTTGGATGCTTGGACTTCAACGCGGACTTTAGGTTTATGATGGCGGTGATAAAGTGGATATCCAAGAAAGCTATTGTAAAGGGCAGCTAGATAAGAGGCCCATGGACTAAGTGGTAGCGAGTCACTGCTTCCATCTTCTGGTAATGTGTTATATGACCTGTGCACTTGTTGTGGATACTGATGAAATAAAGGTAGTGCTTCTGGGTATGCGGGTTCGGACGGATCGGAGTCGTCAGCATATTTTAGGTATGGCAAAAGTGGAGGTGATAATCGGGACATTGTTGCAAAAGGCGAGTATGTAGGATAATTACGAATTATTCCAGTTCCATCAAATCCAAGGGGCATAACTCTTGGGACTGGTGGAGTAAGGGCTAATATTTGCCTTTTTGATTTTAAATCCTTAGAACGCTTTTCAAGGATATGCATCGGTATTGCAGACCTTGCAGACTGTACATTTATATTTACATGGGGACGATGCGGAAGTTGCGGAACCATGGATAAATAGCTCAGTGCATTTGGCATGGCGTGGTAAGCAGGATGGTATGCATTGAAGAGATTGTACAGAGATGATGGGGCAGTGGTGTGTATAACTCCAACGCTTCCAGGATTTGGAGCTTGATAAAGAACTCTCGGAATTACGGGACCTTGCTGCTGATATAGTGGAACGAGCTGACGTTTTCCACGTTTTCTAGGCGGTATAGAGGATTTTGCCGTTTCGACGTGAACGCGAACATCAGGAGAATCATCTTTTGGAGTTGCGGGCAGGTATTGTTGTAATGGTAATGGAAAACGGGATGGTGCGACTGGAGATCCTTCAAGCTCCTGAATAGCTTTTAAGTTAGCGCCAAAACCAGGCAAATGCGCCATGTTGATTCCGTTTGGATTAGGTATCTCCTGCGCTTCCAGTAAAGCTTGATTCTGTAGAGCAGCTGTCTCAAGTTGATTGTAAACTGAGGGTATTGAATCGGTAGATTCTGGTAAGATTAACTGTCTCTTTGTCACGTCATAATTTGGTTTGTAGGATCGCTTTGCAACTTCATGTTCACGGATCGAGGTGTTCCCTGGTATAATAGACATCTTCTCTTTTTGTTCAATGGACTTGTGTAAATCTTCTACATCATTAATTGGAGAGACAGATCCATAAAGTGAATGAGAGCCCATGAGCTGTCTTTTCGTTAGTGGGTGTTGATTTATTGTTGATCGCAAAGTCTTTTTCTGAGTCTGGTCGGTGATAATTGTTTCAGTGTTTTCTGTTTTGGTTGTAGTTGTTTTCGAGATTGTCGACTTTGTTATCTGTGGTTTTGATGACTTCCCGTTTAATTTATCTTTTGCTGAATGTTCAATGTGAGACCGATGAAAGTGATGAAAATCTAGCTCATCTCCATGGATCACATGATTTGGAATTCCCACATAGCTCATACTGTGTGTTACTGTTGAGCCTTGAGGAAGGAATCTGGCTGCAGGACGGAGAATAAATGAATCATGAGAGTGTAGAATAGGCTGGTTAATTGCGGGAGGTGGTTGATGGAATACTATGGGTGGTTGATGATACACAACAGCAGGCCGATGCACTACTACCGGCGGTTGATGGTAGATTATAGGTGGACGATGAAGTACTATAGGCGCTCTGTGAACTACGATGTCTGGTCTATGATAAATTTCAGGTGGTGGATGATAAATGATTGGGGGACGGCTTACCACTATGTCATTCTTTCTGGAGGCTTTTTCGTCTTTTACCTTTTGAGGATGTAAAATATATCCCTTTTTTCCCTCTGGTCTGGTTTCCTGTTTTCTGTGCCTTTTCTTTGGTTTTTCTGACTTAGATCTATATTTGAGCACATGCGATTTCCCGAAAGCATTGCCGTATCCATAATTCCACCTGCCACCGAAAAAGTTTGGAGCTCCTAAGTAGGTTCCACTGTGTTGTACATGACTTGTGAAAGGAACGAATGCAGGATGAGCCATGTATTGTTCATGTGCATGGAAAATTGGTTGTCTCACCATGGGTGCTGGTTGATGAAATACTACTGGTGGCTGATTATAGATAACAGGAGGACGATGAACTATAACGGAAGGTTGATGATAGACAACGGAAGGTTGGTGGAGTACAATATCAGGGCGATGCACTATGATATCTGGTTTATGATACACCTCTGGTGGTGGGTGATATACAAGTGGCGGCCTTCTTAGTACCACCTGATTCTTCTTACCACCTTTGCCACTCTGATGGCCCTTTTTGTGAAGTTTATCCTTTAGGGAATGATAAGTTGTTGCTGAATTTTTATCGGGTTCCACCGAACGTTGCTTCCTTATTCCTGCTTTCTTGACTGCACGATGAGGACTTTTGATATGTTTTTTTTCGCTATGCTTTTTGTGGGTTTTACTGAGTTCTTGGGCTTTGTCGAGGTGTTTCTCAACAAGAGACTTGCTGAATGCACGGGATTTGCTGAATGCGGCAGGGTTGGGACGAGGCAAAACTCTCCGATTTACAGGAGCAGTGGGCGCGACGTAGTTTGCTCTGTATAGTGAAGGTGAATACCATGGACCTTGGAAAGCGTTCCATCTTTGCCAACTGTTCATATTGGGTATAGCGTTATTGGAAAAACCGTAACCATACCTCCATCCCCCAGCATAGTAATGAGGTGCTCCAACGTACGTATGAGTATGCTTTATATGAGAGGAATACGGAACAAAAGAGGGACGGCTATGGTAAATATCATGTGCAGTGTACATTGGCTGATGTACCATAGGCGAAGGTTGATGAAAAACAACTGGAGGTGGATTATAGATAACTGGAGGACGATGGACAACAACAGATGGCTGATGATACACAACTGATGGTTGATGGATTACAAAGTCCGGTCGGTGAACGATGATATCAGGTCTGTCGTATATTTCAGGTGGTGGATGATAAATCAAAGCTGGACGTTGTATAACAACCATGTTCTTTTTATGTCCTTTGCGGTGACGCTTTTTATCCTCCTTTTGCGGATGCAGGGAAACGCTCTTCGTTTGTGCGTTTCCGCTTAGTTTCTTTTGTGCTCTTTGAGTACCTCCCTTAATATTGTGCGCCAAGAGTGTAGACTTAGGAAGCGTTTCTGAAGCCTTTGAAGATTCAGATGTGTCCCGTTTGGATTTGCTTCGGGGAGCCTTTTTCGAATGGGTGATTTGATTGCCTTCCTTTCCTCTTTCAATGGTTCCCACTGATCCTTTTTTAGACCCTTTTTCTACTTTAGATTTATAAAAGGCATGCCCCATGAAATGTCCAATACCATGTCCAAAATGCCCAGGGTAAAAGTGTGGTGCTCCCACGTAAGAACCAGCGTGTGATAAATGTGACATGAAGGGCACGAAGTGAGGATGAGCCAAGTACGTCTCATGAGCGTGAAAAATTGGCTGATGTACCATTGGCGATGGTTGATGAAAAACAACTGGTGGTTGATGATAAATTACCGGTGGACGGTGTACTACGACAGATGGTTGATGGAAAACAACTGAGGGCCTGTGAATAACAAGGTCTGGTCTGTGCACAACTATGTCTGGCCTGTGATATATTTCTGGAGGAGGGTGATAGATAAGTGGTGGACGGTGCATTATTACTAAATTTTTCTTGTTGCCTTTGGAGCTATCTTCTCTGCTTCCCTTTTCACTAATTTTTCGAACCTCAGTTCTGTGAAGCGTTCTTCTACTCTCTTCACTTTCCCGTTCGATATTTTTGCTCTTGTTTTTTTGTTTTCCTGCTTTCTCAACTTTTGATTTTCCAAAGGCATGATGGAAACCATAATCGTAGTTGCTTCCTTCCCATCCCCAGTCACCAGGGTAGAAGTGTGGTGCGCCTACGTAACTATGGGTATGGTGAACGTGTGATGCAAAAGGAACAAAATGGGGGTGCGCCAAATAGGTGTCATGTGAATGGAAGATTGGTTGGTGGACCATAGGTGACGGCTGATGGAAGACAACAGGAGGTTGATGGTAAATCACTGGAGGTCTATGTACCACTACAGAAGGCTGATGAAAAACTATTGAAGGTCTGTGAATAACGATATCCGGTCTGTGCATGACAACATCTGGCTTGTGATAAACTTCTGGTGGTGGGTGGTAAATAAGAGGAGGTCGCCGCATAATTACAAGATTCTTTTTGTTTCCATTAAGGGTAGTTTTTGTTTCGTTTTTTAGTCTTACAGCGTCTTCCAGGCTCTTTGCTTCTTGTTCTAAAGTTCTTTTGCTACCCTTGTACACCTCCTTGTCCCCTTGCTTCTTTTGTTTCTTGTGAACCTTGGCTACATCTGATTTACCAAACGCACTGTGGAAGCCATACATATCTCCTCCCATTCCCCATCCACTACCATAAAAGTGAGGTGCACCGACGTAGTTTCCACCAGTAGACACGCTTGATGTGTAAGGCGTAAAGTATGGATGAGAGAGGTAAGTATCATGAGCGTGGAAAATCGGCTGGCTTACCGTTGGTGATGGCTGGTGGAAGACAACCGGCGGCTGCTGATAAACCACTGGCGGCCTGTGGACCACCACAGAGGGTTGATGATAAACAACTGGTGGCCTGTGAATAACAATGTCTGGTCTGTGCATCACAACATCAGGCTTGTGATATACCTCTGGCGGTGGATGGTAGATTAGTGGTGGACGTCGGATAACAACCTGGTTTTTCTTTTTAGACTTTCTCTCTGATTTTGGTTTTACTTCCTTGTCATTTTTCGTTTGGTCATCTTTTGCTGCTCTTTTATGTTTGTCTCTCTGTGACTCTTTTGACTTTTTTCCTTTTAAGGATTCAGAACTCGTTTTGGGTACTTTTGATTTACCAAAGGCGGGACTGAAAAAGCGAGGCTGGCTCCAGCCATAATTCCATCCACCAGGATAATGGTGTGGGCTTCCTACGTAGGTGGATGTGTGCTGTATGTGGGAAGAATATGGCACTGGCACAGGATGAGCAACATAGGTATCATGAGCATGCATAATCGGCTGATGAACTAACGGTGGAGGTTGGTGAAAGACTACTGGAGGTTGTTGGTATATAACTGGAGGTCTGTGGACAACGACTGAAGGTTGATGATAAACAATCGAGGGACGATGTATAACGATGTCCGGTCGATGAACAACTATGTTTGGTCTGTCATATATCTCGGCTGGTGGATGGTATATCATCGGTGGCCGAGCTATAACAACTTTGTTCTTTTTGTGTCCTTTCGATTTTTCTGACGATTTTGCTTTTGTTTCGTCTTCATCACGAGTGTCGCGCTTTAATTTTGAATGAAATTTGTCCCCGCTCTTGCTTGTTTTCTTCTGGCTGTTTTTTTCGTCCTTGCTTGTCTTTCTATTCTCTACCTTTTCAACAGCTGATTTTCCAAACGCATGACCAACATATGCACCGAACGGCTGATGATGGAAATAGTGTGGAGCTCCAACATATGTTGCTGCGTGATGAATCTGGGATGTGTGTGGTACTGGAATAGGATGGGCAAGATAAGTGTCGTGGGCGTGCATAATTGGTTGGTTAATCATGGGCGGAGGCTGGTGAAATATAATCGGTGGTTGGCGGTAAATTATTGGAGGTCTGTGAATCACAACTGAGGGTTGATGATACACTATTGATGGTCTATGTACCACGATATCTGGGCGGTGCATTATTACGTTTGGTCGATCATAGATCTCCGGTGGCGGATGATAAATCATTGGCGGTCTGTGAACAACAACTAGGTTCTTCCTTTCGCCTTTTTTATCCTCAGATTTTTCACCGACCTCTTTTGCCGTGGTACTCTTAGCAATATGCCCTCCCTTGCCAGAGTTGTCTTCTAATGATACCTTTGAGTTATCTTTTTCTATGGATGACTTTCCAAAAGCAAATCTCATTGGATGAAAAAGATGTGGTACGTGGTACACGGGTGTTGGATGGTGCAGTACTATAGGAGGTCTGTGTATTATAACGGGAGGTCTGTGCACTACAACAGGAGCTCGATGGATAAGAATAGGTGGACGGTGTACGACCAATGGAGGTGGATGCATCACAACGGTTGGCTTATCAAATATATCTGGAGGTGGATGATATACTATTGGTGGCTGATGAACTACAAGGCCGACGTTCTGTTTCTTTGCGTTTTCATTATTTACCAATTTTTCAGTGCGTGAACGGCTTGCCTCTCTTTTTTCGTCCGGCTTTGTTTTCTGTACGTCTCCTCTTTCCTTTGTTTCAGACTCAATCTTGTAACTGGAGGTGTTCATTCGTTCTATATGCGATTTACCGTAAGCAGTTCCTTGAACAACAGACCCAAAGTAATTCCCAGAAGGATGCAAATAAGGCGACGTAGGAACCATTATGTGCTGTGCATGCGGTGTGAAGATTTCGTGGGAGTGAATCACAGAGGTGTGAATTATCGGGGGCGGGTTGTGAAAGACGACTGGCGGCTGGTGATAAATTATCGGAGGATGGTGAACGATCGTTGGTGGTTGTTGGAACATTATCGCCGGCCTGTTGTAAACCAGTGGTGGTAAGCGCATCAAAATATCTGGTTGTCGATATACTTGAGGGGGTGGGTGATAAATAAGAGGAGGTCGATGTATAATAACGACGTGTTTGCGGTGTCCTGGGTGAGCAAAAGCACTTATGGGACGGAGATGGTAGAAGCGCTTACTTCCGCGATGGTGATGACTGTGTCGGTGATGTTGGCTGTGATGATGATGGCGATGATGGTGATGGAGGTGACGTTTGCTCAATTCAGCTGACCTCCGTTTCCTAGACGCGTTGTTGTTCTTTTTCAGAAATGAGTCTTTGAGATGTTTCCTTTCGTGTTTCTTTTTGGATGACTTACTTTTGCTATTTTCTACTTCTGATCTTCCAAAAGCAGGTCCATACGAAGAATAGCCATATGCGTCATATGCGGGAGATGGTGTGTATCCATTAATACCAGAATAGCCGTAATTAGATGCGTAGTGGTATTGGGCTGTCTGTTCTGCAGGTAGATGTCCCGAAAGCCCCCATCCGTAATCGTTATGCCCAGGATAGAGATGAGGCGCTCCTACATATGTTGAGGAGTGTGCTATGTGGCTGACTTGTGGGTGAAACACAGGGTGAGCTACATAGGTATCATGGGCATTGTAAATTGGCTGACTAACCATTGGTGAGGGCTGATGAAACACTACTGGAGGCTGTTGATAAACCACCGGTGCTCTGTGCACGACTACAGATGGCTGGTGGTAAACGATCGAGGGTCGATGAATTACAATATCTGGTCTGTGCACTACGATATCTGGCCGGTCATAAATCTCAGGAGGCGGATGATAGATCATAGGAGGTCGTGCGACGATGACTTTATTCTTTCTCTCTCCTTTGGTATGCTTGCTTTTTTGCTGTGTTGGTGTGGCATGGACTTTCCCTAAATGTTTACGTTCGTCGTCTTTTAACTCATTAGTGTACTTCTGATGTTCTAGGTGCCCTTGGTCACTGTTCTTTACAGGATTTGCGCCCTGTGGTTTTGAAACTTCTGTTCTTCGAGCCCAGTGTGCTTGGTTTAGCGTGGGAAACATGTGTCCCGTTGGACCGTGAGGGATGTTGCCCGGATAGTTGGTGACCCCGCCATGGGGTAAGCCTACGTAATGGCCGGCGTCATTTACAACGGAACCCATGTGAGATGCAAAAGCCATTGGGTGAACAACAAAACTGTCATGTGAATACAGGACAGGCTGGTTAACGGCTGGAGCAGGTTGATGAAAGACGATTGGAGGTTGATGATAAACGACTGCAGGTCTATGAACAACAACAGGAGGCTGATGATAGACAATAGGTGGTCTGTGGATAAGAATAGGAGCTCTGTGTACAACAATGTCTGGTCTGTGGTATACCTCTGGTGGTGGATGGTAGATAATAGGAGGCCTGTTGACGACCACATCTTTCTTCTTCTTACGGCTATCTTTTTTCTTTCTGTCGTGATCTGTTTCCACAGCGCTTTTCTTTGACTTCTTGTCTGCAACAGAGCGTTTCGGCTTGTTAGAACTTTTGCCTTTGGAATCCTCGTTAGTAGCGTCTTTAAATGATTGGTCAGATTGTGATGTTTTCATAATGTCGTTCTCAGTACTTTTATCTTCTATTCGTGCAACGGTGGATTTCCCATAGCCACAACCAGGGCAGTGCATGTGAATCATATGCATAGGATAGTGATGAATCAGGTGGGAATGATGAACTATCATTTGCGGTCCCTTGTGTATTATAATTGGCGGTCGATGGAAGAGTATTGGGTGGTGGTGAATGATATATGGACGACGATGAATTATTATTGGTGGCCGGTGAAATACTAATGGAGGGCGATGAACTATTATGGGTGGTCTGTGTATAAGGACTGGTTGACGATGAATTATGATAGGGGGGCGATGTACTAGTATTGGTGGTCTGTGAAAGACGATTGGGTGACGGTGGACTATTATGTCTGGCCTGTGAACAACTATTGAAGGTCGATGAATCATATGGCTCGGTGGATGATACAATATTGGTGGCCTGTGAATTATTAGTAGTGTCTTTTTGGTGCTATTGGTGTTTTTGTCTGCGTTTTCGTCAGGTGTAGAGGTTTGAGTTTCCTCACTACTACGTTTATACATTTCATAAGCTGTCTCACCTTCAAATGTTGTCCGAGGGTCTTCTAATGCTCGCTGTATCCTTGCACTGGCCCCAATACGACTGTTAACGCTGCTGGTCAGCGGTTTTGTGTAAGGACTCCAAACATCGTCGATGGAGCGTTGGATTCTTGTTGCTGTTTCCCCCGAAATAACGGTGTGTCGCTGGGGAGACAAGGAAAATTCACTAGAATACCCACTTTCCACTGGGTCGCTGAAGTATGGAAGCAAGCTGTGAAGGCTTCTCTGAATTCTAGTTTGGGCCCCAACAGGACTACGTGTCTCCCACTGCTTATGGATCAACGAATCAGACAATGCTCGCGCAATTCGTTCTCCCGCTCCAAGTTTAGCACTGTTCTCCTTATTTTGCTTTGCACCATCTGCATGCTCCGTCTTGTTACTTTGTGTTTCATTGGTCGGCGTATCAGATTCTGTTGTTGTCTTCGTTTTCTCGCCAGAGTCTTGGTCATTTTCCTCAACCCTATGAACTTTGTCTCTACGGGTGGCTTTCATGGGGACATGAGATTTTCCGAAAGCTCCAGTGCCAATCCCATGCATAAATATCTCTTCGTGAGGAACACCCTTGTATGTTGCTACGTGGCGGACATGTGAAGCATAGGGAATAACAACAGGCTTAGTAACCCAGGTATCGTGTGAATGCAGAACTGGTTGATGGACCATTGGTGGTGGTTGGTGAAAAACTATGGGAGGTTGATGGTAAACAATGGCTGGACGGTGAACCACTACTGGTGGCTGATGATAGATAATTGGGGCACGATAAAGTACGATAGGAGCACGGTGTACAACAATATCGGGTCTGTGATAAATCTCTGGTGGTGGATGGTAGATGATAGGTGGTCTATGAATGACTACGGAGTTCTTTTTGTTTGCTTTCTCTGTAACCTCCTTTGCCTTGTGATATTTCACCGGGAAACTATGACTTTTGTGAAGTTTCGTTCCTGTTTCTGTTTTGTCTTTGCTCCTTGTGAGAGGAATATGCTTTCGTCTAATGCGATGCCCTTTTCTCCCTGGCTTCGACTTTTTGTGACCTCTCTTGCCCTTCACAGTGGCCCTTGTTTCCCCCTTTTCTTCTTCAGTCTTTTCTTTCGCAGGTACCTTGGATTTTCCATAAGCCATGTAATGAACACCTCCGCCGTGTCCGTGATAATATGCATGTGGTATATGATACAGGTGTCCCACGTGATGCATTCGAGATCCGTATAGTCTCACCAAAGGTCTGTGGACGTAAGTGTCATGTGACTTGAATACTGGTTGGTGTACTACAGGCGGAGGTTGGTGGAAAATAAGAGCCGGCTGATGGTATACAATGGCTGGCCTGTGCACAATAACTGGTGGCTGATGGTAGATAATTGGAGCTCGGTGGATAACGATAGGAGCACGGTGAACCACTATTTCTGGCCGGTGATAAATTTCTGGTGGAGGGTGATAAATCACCGGAGGGCGTCTCACAATAACTGCGTTTTTCTTTCCTCCTTTTTGGCTCTTTGCCTTTTTAGTTGTCAGACGTGAAGTAACGTTTTCTTTTCTTTCGTGAAAAGGTTTGTGGGAGGAATCTTCCTCTAGCTTTGTTGAGTTGGTATCACCACTTATTTTGTTTCGTGCAGATGCTTCCTCTTCTAACGATTTGGTGTGTTTCAAAATATGTGACTTGTAAAATGAGTATCCGTGTCCTCCTCCAAAGTGATGAACGGTGTAAGCGTCTGGAACGCCAACGTATGTGTGATGATGCAGCACTCGCGAGGAGTAAGGTACCACCACTGGGTGAGAAATCCAGGTATCATGGGACTTTAGCACTGGCTGATGAACCATTGGTGGCGGCTGATGAAATACCAATGGAGGCTGGTGATACACTATTGCTGGACGATGCACAACAACGGGTGGCTGGTGATAAAATATCGGTGCGCGGTGAATCATAATTGGAGGTCTATGGACAACAATTATTGGGCGATGATAAATTTCAGGTGGCGGGTGATATATTATTGGAGGCCGTCTCACTATCACAGTGTTCTTTTTTCCTGCTTTTTCGTTTGTCTCATTCTTTGCTTTCTTACTGTTGTCCTCAAAGGAGGTCTTTTTCGAGGCAACTGCTGTAATGTTGTTACTGTCTGACGAAGAAGAACCTTCTATTTTTGATCTTTTTCCTATGGGCGGGGGTCTTCCGAACAGTGGATTTCCGTAATTTGTAATAACGTTAGGCACCCCTACGTAATGTCCAAAATCTCGTACAACAGAGCCATGATGCGTTGCATAAAATGATGGATGGACAGTGAAAGAATCATGCGAATATAGAAGCGGTTGACTAACAGCAGGAGGTGGTTGATGAAAAACAATTGGCGGTTGATGATACACCACGGCCGGCCGATGAACAATTACGGGTGGCTGATGGTAGATAATGGGTGGTCTGTGTATCACAAGGGGAGGGCGGTGAACGACTATATCTGGGCGGTGATAAATCTCTGGTGGAGGGTGATAAATTATTGGAGGGCGATTGACAACTACGTCTTTCTTCTTTTTGTTTTGTGTGCCGTCTTTGGAATCGTCTCCGTCGTCCTGTTCTGTTTCCCTTCTTAACTTAAGTTTCCCTTTAATGCGCTCTGACGAGGTGTCTCTTTTATTTACTACCTCGACGTCCATATTTTTGTAGCTTAATTTTTCCTTGGACCCCTCAGTTGACGTAATAAAGTCATATTGATCATAGATTTCTCTCTTTTTTAAGACCTTTGGTTTCCACAAGTTTGTGAAATAAGCCATGTAATCGCCCAAACTATCACGCTTTGTTTTCTTGAAATGATCTGGTTGTGTGCTGTTCTTAGCTTGATGTGGTACTTTTCCTTTTCTGTAAGAGCAATGTGCCCCATGACATCCCTCTCCATAGTCACCAGAGTACACGTGGGATGGAATTCCATAGTATGTCTTCGCATGGGAAACCATTGATGCTGTGTGATACACCACTGGCTTTGTAACCCAAGTATCATGCGAGTGTAAGATTGGCTGATGAACAACTGGCGGAGGCTGATGGAATACTATCGGTGGTTGGTGATATATTATTGCTGGTCGGTGAACGACTACGGGAGGCTGATGATAAATTATTGGTGGTCGATGTAGCATAATTGGTGCTCGATGAACCACAATATCTGGTCTGTGATATATCTCAGGTGGCGGGTGATAAATGATAGGAGGACGGTGCATGACAATTGAATTTTTACGATTTCCTTTAACTTCCTTTGGCTTCTGTGCGTGTGGGTGCGACAGGCTATGGTTCTTTGTATCATTTTTCTTTTCGTCGGATTTGGCATTTCTTCGGTATTGATGTCGCTCGTGTTTTCGTGAAGTAAATACGTTGAGTCGGTGATATCGTTTTAAAGTTTTCTCCCAACTTTTGATATTCACTTTCCGTTTGCTTGCCTTCCCCGCACCATGCTGTTTGTACAGTGGGGCCTTTCCAGTATCGTGTTTGTCTGTTTCATTTTTCTTACCCGACAGAATTTTAGTTTTCTTAAAGGCCATCCTTGGAGCCTCAGAAGGTGAATTAACATTCCTAGCACCTAGTGATCTTACAGGGATTTCGTTGGTAGGCGCCATGCCTTGCATACCACCATTAACTCCTCCTGGTAAACCTTCCATTGCTCCCATAGGCCCTAGAGAATTAAGGCCTGCTGTACCCATGTTGCTCATGTCATTGATACCGCCAAAAGCGTTTATATTGTTCATTTGATTTGCACTATTAAAATTGTTCAGTCCGTTCATTCCATTCATCATAAAATTTTGTGGATTCACTCCACCGAGTAGACCAGGTGGTGGATTACCAGCAACGTTTATGGGTGGAGGCATTGGTGTTATTATGTTCTGTCGTTGGGTGAATGGCATTCCCCCTCCAATCGGAAGCTGTGGCATTGTCCCCTCTTCAGGCATCATACCCATCTGCGGCGATTCCATGCCATTCATTATCGGTATGTTATTATAAAACTGTCGTCTAAATGGACCGTTCATGTGTCGGAAACGCCTTTTGTGACGCCTGCGACCATGATGCTCGGGATATTCCTCCGGCTCCTCCATTCGCGACCTCTCATATAAGTAAGAATCGCGAAAATGGTGGCGATGATGGTGAGGGTACCAATAATGCAAATGACGGCGATAAAATGGTGCGTCGTCGTAAAAACTTTCAAAACCACGCCTTTCAGGATAAGAGTGGTATGGATTGTAAAAATGACGACGATGGAAATGTCCGTACGATCTTCGCATGCCAGGATACCAGTGGTGATGGAGATGGTATGGTGGATAATGGTAATGGTGGTAAAAAGATCGTTCTTGTGCAGCCGCTGACGCAGAATGAGAACCTGGGCGTGAGACCACCTGTAAAGAAGCAGGTTTGGCTTTGACTTTTACACCGGCAGAATTTGCGTTTATTTCCAAATCGGCGGATTTATCGTCCACTTGAAAATGTCCCACTTCAGGCCCATTGGATGGTTTTGCTTCGCCGTCCCTTTCAGCATATGAATCAAGATCAGAAGCGCCTCGAGTTTTCACAATTTCCGATCCACTGTTTCCTAAGGCATCTCGAATTGGTCCTACCGGTGCATTTTGAATTTGAGGCACGGTGTGTATTGCTGCTTCGCTTTCTTGAGATGATGATTGCGTTTTCGTTGACAAATTCTCCTTGCGTCCCAGTGCAGAAGCGGCGTTTTGTTCACCTGATGTAGCTGTTGTGACTTGCGTTTCTAATTTCTCAGTGGGGGTCTTAGTTTCATCACCACTGACCTGTTTATTGACATTTTCTTTGATTAATGTTTGAGCTTCCTGTGGACTTGCTTGCTTGCCTACGATAACGGCTTTAGCTACACTATTTCCTAACTGTGATGGAGACCCCGGAAATTTGACAGCGTTCTTGTCGTTAGGAAGACTTCCCATCGTTTTACTCTCGTCAGCGTTATCCTGAACACTTCGCACCTGTGCGTTTTCATCAACTACCGTACTTACTGTTGTCTTGCTTTCCTGAACGTTTGCACTGTTTTTCTCTGCAGAACGTCCACTACTATTTACATTATCACTACTTGAATCAGCTTTATCGTTCACGCCATTGTTTTCCGTTTGCAGTTCCCCACTTTCTTCTTGTTTTTTGTGAACATTGTTCTCATTTTCCTTACTGGAAGAATCCTCTCCTTCCTTTAATTCCTCTGATTTTGATTTACTGCTGACGGAGTTTTCCATCGACCCTTGCCGATGATCAGCAACAGAACTGTCAGTGGCTCCATTATCAGAGCCTTTTTTCTCTTCCTCAACTGGGACGCCAATCGATTCGCTTTCTGGCTGGTCGACTTTAGAGCGGACATTCTCTTCAGTGTTTAAGTGCAATAAAGTATCTTTATCCACAACAGAATCTGAAGTCAAAGGCTGTATGGGTGTTTCAATACCCTGTCTCTTTTGAGGCTCTACAGTCAACAGTTGTTCATAACTACTCTTTGGCAACTCGTCCTCGACTTCGGTTGGACTTCGCTTGTCCCTCTCTATATGGTCGCCATTTTTATAGTTTATATTGTCTGGCCAATCTCCTTCATTCAAGCCTCCTAGATTACCTGTTGTATATGTACTCAGAAGATCTTGTTTAGGGTACGGCTTGGCTTGTATTGGCGACAAGTTAAGGTGAAGGAGAAGAGAATGAAATAGTGCTAAAGTCGCCAGAATATTTGGCGGCGACCAGCCAAACATTATGTGGCTTTTTAGTACATTAAAACTTTCCCAAGAAAATGAGCGCGTTCTCTCCAACCATTGTTTTGTTATTACATCACAAGTAGTTTCTATCGCCGGTCTGTGAACAGTAAAAAGATGATATAAGGGGCGCGGAATTTGGATTAAGTCTTCTTATCTCATAAAACCAGATGGAACACCTGTTAGTTTCCAATCAAAAGTATACTTTGTGACAGGTATTCTTGTTACGGCAATCAAAACCTCCCTCTATGAGTGGTGAACTCGCTCTATGAGGTGCACAAAATACTGGTGCCTCTTTAAGTTCAATGGACAGTTAAAGTGTGGGGACTTTACACCAGAAATACACAGTCACAATAACCTATTTTTTTTACTCACATAAATACTTGCAAAGTATCGAAGAAGGAAAACATGATTAAGCATTCTCTTTCCACCAGAGAAGCAGCGTTGCGGTTCACATCACATAACAATGATAATTAAATGTTTTTGATTTGCTTTAAGAACTCTTCGCTGACGGAATATTGGGAATTGATGTGTGTGTTCAGATGTTTTAAACATTGAACTCATTTTCATTCTGTAACATGTTCAAGAGGCGATGTTTTGACTACCGCCTGCCTTATGAACAAAATGTTGGTGTCATGTCAAAGGATACAAAATAAGATATAGCTTTCTTTAAATTAAACGCTTCAATGCATTTTCTTCTATTTTCGCGGAAAAGTACGTAAACCACCTTCTAGTCAAGTGCTTGTTTTTTTATTTTTTTTATTTTAACGAACCCAAAGTGGACTTAACCGAGAGGCAAACAAATAATTTTACCAGGAAGTAACTGATAAACAAACTGTTGATGCTTTGACCAATAATTGCCCCGATGCAGAAACAATTTAAATTTAGTTTTCAAACGAAATTCTAAAACAAAGCGGACGCAAAGCAGACTTAACCAGGTAACAAACAAATACTATTACCTTGATGTAACAATTAAACAAACTTTTGATCCTTGGATGGGTAATTGCCCCAATGCAGTAAAATGCTTTAAATTTAGTTTCCAAAGGATTTCTTAAACAAAACTATAGCTGAAAGATTTCATTCACAATATTTTATTTTAACTGAAATGCATTTGGATGACAGTTGAAATTTCAGTTCAGGTGACCGGGTACAACTCAGATTTTAGTGCGACAGACCATTAGCCTCAAGAACTTGGTGATGTTCTCATTTCCGTCAAAATTCAGTTTCGTATTTCAACATGCTTCCAATTTAGCATGATTTCTCAAGCGATTTTACCAGGGGGACTTTTTGTATTAATCGGCTTACATTTCAGCACGCGATGTAATTAATTAAGCACCATTTTACCGGATTGTTGGACGGTTAAACACAATCTGTTCGTCAGATAAAATATTCGTCGACTTTTTTTGGATATTGCGTTGTAAGGAGGGGGCTTTAAAGTATTAAACGACCTCTTGTAGCTGAGCCCTCACTTTTAAAGCAGATTTCGAAAAGTATTAGTATTGAAAATCTTACTTCATCGCCTCCTCACTACTTGTCTTGCCAAAATCTATTTCCGTTGGAAAGATGATCGTTGCTGCTGATCACGTTTTGTGGTAAACGCTGAGACGCTTTTCTTCAGAAAACAGGCTTTATTTGTCATTATTATTATGTATGATAGTTTTAGAAGGCCAACTACAGTTGCGAAGATCAAGTGTCTATTGCACTTTGTTGGAATGATAGCTGCTTATTTTTGTAACCGAGGAAAATAGGATGCATTTTTTAGGGCTATGTTTCGGGTCACTGTCAATAGAAAACTGCAGAGAAGTCGGCTTAATTATTTTTACAAAAATTTCTTAACCGTTGCTATCTTCTTCTCTTTTTTTTTTTCTAAACTTGCTTCCGAGAATGGAAAAGCTACTGGTGGCCGAAAATAAGTCTTATGAAGCTTACTGAACAAATTCTAACAAACAGGCCTTAAGTGAAACCCCTGCAAGTGGTCTGCGCTTCGCTAGATTCTTTAATGCATCGATAGTTTCAGTTAAATGACTGAAAACTCGTCAGCGTTCAATACGGGTTGCACTTTTAGGTGAAAAAACTCCAATTCAAAGGAGATACCCAACTCATCGAGGGAGAATGTGTAATCTGTTATGTTTCCAAAAGAACTAACTCGATGGAGCTTCTACATATTGTCCCTCAATTGTCTCTCTTCCGCTAGTTCCTTTCCATACAGCATCAGTTTAAATATCATAGCATTACCGTGCATTGCACTCATTAACCGTTTAACCTATATTATTAGCTTTCTTTACGAATCAGAATGGGACGTGGTGTGTCTGTGCGTATCATGGTTAAATCGATGACAATTTTGAGTTTATTTGCGTTGTTCACTACTCTTCTAATATCCTTCATGAATGGTGTCTGAAGACAGATGTAAACTATAGGGTTACTCGGTAAATACGACACTTTCACTTTAAAGGAGAAGACTTTTCAACTTCTTGACGAAAAAACACCTGTCTTTATGAGTTGTTCACCTTTCACACCTTATGACTATGTTGACAAAACGTCGACTTATATCTAATTATAATCACAGACGAAATTAATTTAACTCTTTAAGGGTTCAACCAAAACAAAAGAGTTGTTGACATTTTTCAACTACCATCAAACAAACGCCGAACCACTTGTTGACCAAAATCTCGATTAGCCGTGTTCAAACTGAGTATGTGACAAAGTTGATTAACGCTGGCTGCATTTTGGGGTTTTTGTAAAATATAATTGGTTACAGAATTCCTCGGAGACTTCTAATTGACTTAAATGCGTTTGCTTGCGTATCAATTGTTTGTTTTGCCGTGTACATGAATATTTTATGAAAGACTGTCGTTTGCCTGTTCAAATTATACAAAACAATTGGAAAGAAAAACCAAGTTCTTGAATGAAATGCGTATTAAAAAATCTCGCGCAAAATGATAATGAGTAGTTTTTGTTATGTGCGTTAAATAGTGACTTAATTTTATTTTTTAGTTAGGTACTTGTTCAGTGCAACCGACCCGCTGTAGGAGGTAACCAAATATGGCAAGGTACCCGCTGGATCTTTATCGCACTAACACAGCCATAACAACTTGAACAAAGCAAAATCAATCTCTCCTGACTTGCCTAGCAGGTGACCTAAATAAGTTATTCATGAAAGTAACCAATTATTTCTCTCTAAGACAAAATAAAAGAAATTAATTGTATTATTTGCATTTTAAGCGTGAAACCTCATTTAAATGAAGAGAAACACCAAAAGGAAATTGGGTTTTAAAGTTCATGGTTAAGTGATAAAATTTATTGGATAACTTTCACAGATTCAATGTCTTTCGTCTTTTAAATGTTTTATTTGACACGTTATTTTCAGTATTACAAAAGAATATTTAATAACTTACGTAAGTGTACTTTTCTCTTATCTGCAACACTAGCGCGGTCTTATCAAGGGTTTAGTTTGGTCTTTCGTGTCTCGCGGAAGACTATGATCAACATGAGACTAAATCGCTTTCTCTTTTTAGCATTTCTGGTCATAACAAGTCTTCTCGTGGTGCACAGTAAACCGCTTGCCCAAGATAATGAAGAAAAAGAGCGTTTGAAAAGAAATGAGCCCGAAGAAGACGCACCTGACTCTTCAGGCGAAGAACAAACGAGTAAGGAAGTTGAAAACCCAGCGGGGGATGAACAAAACGAGCCTACAGAAAAAGGGGATGAAAAACAAAATCAACAGAATGAGCAAAAAATAGATCATGAAAATTCTGTTGAGCAAAACGGTGAAGATGCTTCTACAAACGAAGCGGCTGATGAAGCGGAAGAAAACAGCAAAGATGAAAAGAGGAAAGGTTCCAAGAGATGGCTCCATCATGGGTATGCTGGTTATGGAGGGTGGGGTTATCCTAGCTGGGGTGGAATTCATGGATATGGAATTTATCCTGGTGCATTTGGGCCTGGGTATGGTCTGGGCGCTGGATATGGACTCGGAGCTGGTCTCGGAGCTGGTCTCGGAGCTGGTCTTAGCTGGCCTGGCTACTGGTATAGGTCTAGTGTACCAAAATACGCGAAAACTCAAGGTTCATCGAAAAAGTTTGGTGTCGAGCATCCTTTGGGCTATGGTCTCGGATATTTTGGTGGTTATGGTGGTTATGGCGGTTATGGTATTTATGGCGGTCTTGGCGGCCCGTGGAGTGGATACTATGGTGGGCCTTACGGGTATGGATTTGGTTTTCCAGGATATGGCTTTATGCCAAACCCAGCTTTGTTTCCCACGTCCTTTTTCAGGTCTGGTGTTCCAACAAAATCAGATAAGAAAGGCGCAAACAGAAGAGAAAATGTAGCTAAGAGATTTTATGGTTACGGCCATTTTGGTGTTCCCGCTGGGTTTGGATATCCTGGCTGGGCTAATTACGGACATCCTGGATTCGGTTTTGGAGTTCCTGCCTTCGGTAGCTATAGCCCTTTCCTTGGGTATGGACCTTTCGGTACTTGCTTCTATAAATCCAAAATACCCAAAGACAAAAAGGACAGTAGTAAGGCGAAGCGAGACACAACTGGGAAAGTCCATAAGAAATGCTGTGGAGGATGCGGAGGATGTGGAGGATTCCTGGGCTGCGGAGGCAGCTATGGAGGACTTGGAGGATGTGGTGGATTTGGCCTTGGAGGATGGGGTGGATTAGGCTTAGGAGGATGGGGTGGATTTGGGCATGGCTTAGGATATGGAGGATTTGGCCACGGTGGATGGGGATGGGGCGGTTATGGCTATCCTCTATCTGGTGGGTGGGGCTTAGGAGGCTATGGCGCCTGGGGCCCAGGCTGTGGATTCTACAGATCAAAGGTTTCAGGACATGAAAAACCGGAGAAACCTGAGAATAAATCGAAACGGGAGGCTGATGACAATGAACAAACAGAAGACAAAGCTGAGGAAGAGCAAGCACCAGAAAGCTCAGAAACAAAAGATGACAAGAAAGACAAGAGTAACTGCGGCTGCGCACCACCATCATCGGACAACTCCGGAAACAACAAAGCTGGAAAAAGAAGTTGTTGCGGTGGTTCAGCATACATGGGATTACCCTTTTATGGAGGTTATGGAGGATACGGGGGATGGTATGGCTCGGGATACGGCTATGGCTATCCTTTCCTAGGGTATGGCGGGCTAGGTTTTGGTTTAGGTTACGGTCGTGGTTTAGGTTATGGAGGATGCGGTTTCCCCTGTGGAGGTTCTCTTGAGGTAAGAACTAAAAAAAATAGATGTTATTAAATTTTTTTAGGATATATTAGAGCAACTTATCATGACGCTTACCATAGGAACTAACAGAACTTACCTGCTTGGTAAGATCTTAGGAGTGAGACAGTCAACATTTCAAATTCCAAATTTTAAATTTCAAGACGTTCTAAGTATCCAATAATTTGCATTTCGATTTCCGTGATTAATTTCTAAAGTGAAACGTTGAAGGTTTATTATAAATACTATCTTTTATCATGCTATAGCGACTGATACCTTTAACACTGTGTATGCAGACGATTGAACGTAAGGGCGCATTCATCTGCTGATTTATTTCGCGAAATTAGATTGAGGATCTGAGCCAGAACAACACAGGACAGTAGACTTGGCAATTATTGAGATTTTGAGAGAAGTTATTGTTTCGTTTTCTTAAAAGGCTTTTATAGAATTATGACAAGAAAGTTTACTGAAATTACGCTGAGATGAGCTCGTGTCACTCAATTATCAAAACGTAACAAACCAAACAAAACAGACCAAGTCTTTTAGGGAAATGTCCTTATGATTTGTTTTCATATGAGCCAAGCACAGACGTAATTTCCAACTGCTTGCATTGTTCGACGGTGTCTTTTTTTTCTTTGTATTCGTTGCCTCATGTAAATATCCATATTTTTATTTAACTGAAGTTGAAGCGAGCGAACGCGTTTTTGTGAAACAATTTGAGGTTATAATTATCTATAATAAATAGCTCCGGATTGACTGTTTGGCCTAAACACGGTAGAGGATATTGTAGCCCCATCAGCCGTACTTTCTCTGATTTACAAACTTTAATGAAAAATAATTTCTAAAATTAAGTTAAAGAGGCTAAAAATGAGATCGGACTCGCGGACCATTCAAAATTTTTTCAGCTATTGGGAGCCATTTATACAAATGATTCTCATTTATTACCCCAAGTTAAGTCGGTGGCGTGTTCTTACACGTATCTCGAAATGTCAAACACGTTAATAAGAAGCTGATTGGCCCTCTATTTGTATCAAAGATAGTCTTAAGCAGGTAATACCTGTTAGTCGGTAAATCACGAGCCTGCTTTTTCCCTGTTTATACAGCTTTCTTGGTAAATTTCTACTGATACAGCATCTTCGAAGTCTTTTGCGCAGTATAAGCTAATCCCATGTTTCATACTCGTCACACCGACGCTCTTTCTACCTCTTAGTAAGCGGTCTTACGGTTCAGACGAATATACCTTCAAAATCAGCAGCAATTTCTCACGTAAATTACGCACAAGCATATTAAAGCCCAAAACTAACCCCTATTGTAACCTTTTTTTTATAATACATCTGATTTTCGTGCCAGACTACGCTGGTAACTCCCATTCTCAATTTTTTAGGTAACATAATTACGATTTAGCTGTGAAACCTTACAAATATAAATTTGAAAAGTAATTACATTCCTATTTCTCTAACGTTTCATTCTTAGGCCTAACAAATGTATGCAACAACTTCACGCACTTTACTTCTATAGTTACGTGAGCTCGTTTCTGGGCTCTGTAATGTGTGAACTGTGCATTCAAATCTCATTTGCGAGCAATCATACTTTTTATGTCAATCAGGTTGTTGATCCATGTGATTGTGGATACACCACTATGGCTGGTCCTTGCGGTTGTGCTTCTTGCTGTGGAAAGTCAAAGATTTCAAAAGAGGAAAACGATTCTCAGAAAGAGAAAAGGAGCGCGGAAGCTGATAAAAAGAAGCAGTCTAAGCGATGCGGATGTGGAGGTTGTGGAGGTTGCGGAGGAGGATATGGAATAGGTTTTGGTGGGTGTGGTGGCTGTGGAGGATACGGTGGATGTGGTGGCTGTGGTGGTTGTGGCGGATGTGGCGGATGTGGCGGATGTGGCGGATGTGGCGGATGTGGCGGTTGTGGCGGATGTGGTGGGTGCGGCCACGGCGGCTGGGGCGGTCATGGAGATTGGTATGGTGACGTCGGACACGGGGACTGGTTTGGTGACTTAGGCCATGGCTGCGGAGGATGTGGTTGTGGGGGATGTGGTTGTGGCTGTGGCGGATATGGAGGACATTGTGGATACGGAGGTCATGGATGGTATGGACATGGTGGTTGGGGTGGATGCGGTCATGGTTGTGGTGGCTGCGGTGGCTGTGGTGGCTGCGGCTGTGGAATTTTCCGATCTAAACTTGCCAAGAATGACAAGAAACAAACAGAAAAGCAAGCGAAAGATAGCTCGCAGCCCGCTCAAGATAAGAAAGCAGCACCAGATGCGGGAAAAAAGGAGGAAAAGGCAACTAAAAGGTGTGGACTTTGGGGTGGTTTTGGAGGATGTGGAGGATTCGGTGATCTTGGTGGATTTGGAGGTTGGGGAGTTGGCGATTGGAACTTCGGTGGTTGTGGAGGTCCCTTCGGAGGCTGGGGTGGATATCCAGGTTACGGCTATGGCTATGGAGGCTGTGGTAGCTGTGGAAGCTGTGGAGGTTGTGGAGGCTTTGGGGGATGTGGCTATGGGGGTTATGGTGGCTGTGGAGCCTCTTGTGCTGATGCTGGACCGTGGACATTTTTTAATGGCGGCTGCTGTAAATCTAACGTGGGTGAAAAGGGTTCTTCTGATAGTGCTCATGATGAGAAGTCTCCAGGCAAAGAAGCTGCGCCATTGTCTGTTCAACTAGCTGGGGGACCTACACCTATAGCCAAAGCTGCCGCTGCTGGTGCTGTGAAACCCGGTCAACCAGAACCAGCACCAGCACCTGCTAAAACTCGGGATCAACCAGCAGCCCGAGAAAAAGCTTCCAAACGCTACGGAATCCCTGGCTTTGGAGGTTGTGGATACTGCGGGGGCTGTGGACGTAGTTTCGGAGGCTTTGGAGGATGCGGAGGGTTAGGATATGGAGGATTAGGATATGGAGGGTTAGGCTATGGAGGGTTTGGATGTGGGGGATTTGGTCATGGGGGCTATGGACTATTGGGTCATGGATTTGGTTTCCCCGGCGGCTATGGTGGTTATGGCTGGGGATTTCCAGGTTATGGATATGGCTACGGTTTCCCATTAGGTTTTGCTCGATCAAAACTTCCTCAGAAGAATAAAGACGTGAGGCCAAATACTCGTGGGGAAATCCCTGTAGCAGACGGTTATGTACAAAAGAAGAAGCAAACTATTCATCTTGGATATGGTTATGCCAGTGGTGACAACTATCGTCTTGGATATGGATTTGGTGGGATGGGAGGTAGCTAACTCAATTTTTTTTCCAAGTTCTTATTTAAAAGTCAATAATCGTAAATGTTTGATTAAGGAAAGAAAAAAATGGCCTGCCGGAATCAATTCTTACTACTCTGTTATTCGGCGACCCCACAGCTGAGGTAGAGAGTAATTAATGGACTTCCAATGATCGTTAAACTTACTAACCAAAAACAAGTTATCAAGTGTGACTAATAAGATTTAATCCTATTACAGCCAGTTCAATATTTATGTTTTTGTCTTTGCATACATTACAGAATCGTTTTCATAAGCTCTTTTATTAAGAGGTCTTAGTGCAATTTGTATGCAAGATATGGTTATGTTCGCCTTTCCTAGGTTTAGCTGGCTATCATGGAGTTGGTGGCGTTACTGGAACATCCGTCTATCGATCTAAGATTCCAAAAACGAGTGTAAAGGGCTTTAAAAGATGGGGCTGGGGACATGGTGGGTATGGCGGACACGGATTCGGTCATGGTCATGGAGGATGGGGATATGCGGCACCTTATGGTCATCCCATTACCCATCCGGGATTCACAAGCATCGGATTTCCTGGACATGCCCTGGCAACATTTGACGTCAAAAACAGCATCGCTCAGAAGCGGGGAAAACAAAAGCGACAGATAGTTCCCTTTGGTGCAGTGAGTCCTGGTCCACTGGCTTTACCTGCCACTCTGCCTGCTCCACTTCCTGCTCTTGCACCTCTGGCTTTGCCTGCTACATACCATGCTCCTGTGTATGCCCCAGTTGCACATCCTGTTGCCGCTGTCCCTTCCTACGCCGCTGTGCCCGCAGCAGGCGTACTACCAGCGACTGCTTTACCTGTTGGCTGTGAGTAGACTTTCTTTGTGTTTGTTGCGCCTCCTGGTCTCACGACAAAGTTTTGAACTTTATTGACGTCACTGCTATGATTGATAAGGTCAATGGTAAATTGTGGTCGATCTGATTTTTACAATAACATCTCATGTGCGTGCTGTTCTTGTTGTTTTAATTTGTGTTATGTAATGACTTCTACAACAAAATATGATTATCAAAATTAATTGCATGACCATAGATTCTGGTACCCTGAACTGTTATAACTCACTTAGTTTTAAATTTTGTGCCGTTTGTATTGGCATCGCTATGTATTTCGTCGCGGTCATCTACTTCCAACCTTGCGAACCGAGAACCGACTTTCTTTTACCGTGCCTTTTCTTTCACCTAGACAAGTTCTTCTCCAAATGTTACTCCGGGTATACCGGTCATAAAAGTCGGAATTTCGTCACTGGCCACTTTTCAGAAATTTGCAATTGTTTTACGGAAGTAAACTTCTTCTCCGATATGGCGTGGATTGCTCAGCGTTGCGTTACATGTTGCATCATTTCCATCTCCGATTGTTCTCGACTAATGAGCGCGCGAGAATTTTCACAATAATTGTTATTATTATTATTATCATTATTACTTAAATTATTATCACTGTTTCCCTATTGAATGTCATAGCATGTTAACATGGGCTTATCTGATTAAATTATAGTGCACCTTGGTGGACCAGCCGTTGCCGGACTGGCGCTAGGCCGCTCTAATATGCCACAAGGTTTTGGACCTTTTGGTAACATAAAAAGATCCGAAATGCCAGAAAAATGATTCAACACTTTATAGGTGAGGAAAGCTCAAACGGTAACTGAACTTGCAAGCTGGCCCCCACTCAAGGGTTTGTTCAGCCATGTATTAAATAGGCAAACACGTCAGCTCTAGTCTTCTCATTTTATTTTTGTCATTCTTTGGTCTTGGTAATGTTGCCATGACGACCCCGAAGCGTATAGCATGAATTTTATTTTTTATCAGTTTGGCCTCTATTTGCTTTAACAACAACCCTCTTCAGATTAAATGGCGAAGATGATTGACTCTGCAATTGCTGTGACTCGTGTTCGTGTTAACAGTAACTGCTCCTGTCCTGTTACATACGTTCTTTTCCGCATCTTTTTTTGTCGTCGAATGCCCTGTATTCTCTTTATTATTTCTAAGAGTAGAATGTGTGAAAAAGAATCCCAGTTAGATGAATACTCGTTGAAAATGACTCACCATGATATCAAAGCTGCAATTATCACTTCTGCAGAACTTATGCAAAGAGAGAGAGAGTTCGAAACGCGGTTAACTGTATGACCGTGACTTCCGTTAATTTATATTTTGGTACCTTACATAGATTTCTCTCAAAACTCTTCTCGATAGACTCGGTGCTTTCCCTTCCCATCCACAGAGCTTCGTATCACGTAGAGAAAAAAGAGAGACAAAAGGAAGGGATGGAGGAGGGGATCAGCTTTTTTGTCAAAGAAAATTGATGTCTTCTCTCATCTTCTTCTCTGTAAAATTGTTCTTTTCCCTTGCAGGTTGAAACAAAGAACGTAGAAACTTCATCGTAGAAGAAATCACAAGAAAGAAATGAATTTTTGTTTTGTATCGTTAAAGGAAAGAGCTTTGTTAAGAAGTGTTATGGTTCATTTTTTTAATTATCTACACGGTGCAGTCATGTTCCTGATCTGCACACAGACAGTAAATAATTTACCAGAAACGTTTTTAATTTCAAGTTGTCAAAAATAAAGTGACATCACTGATTTACATATGATTGGTTACTCTTCTTCTCCATTCTCATTCTTTTAATTATCAAAATGGATGTCCTTGAATGAGAGTATAGCACAATTCAGTGTCAATCATGGTCGGTCTTAAAGAAAAAAAAAAGATTATTTGACATTATGACGTGTCATGACGGCTGAGAGATTAATAATTACTTTTATCTAGGGCCGGCAAATGTTTATGAAATGTACTAGCTCGTTAGCTGTTCTGAATTTTTCCCCTGAAACCGTTGAGGGTTAGAAGAGGCTGTGTGTGTCTATAACCGTAAACGAGGTTTTTCCGTCATTACCTTTGTTAAAGTTTGTTCTTCTGACCACCCATATTCCCTTAACGATGCTTGCGTATCCCCTTTTATCATCCATCAGCGTTCCCTTATAACGTTTCAGCGAACTAACCCGTAAGCGAGACGACTTGTGGGCGCAACTGACCCATAAGCGAAATGACTTGTGGGCATACCGACCAGTAACAAGATGACTTGCGTTCGGGAGTCAAGGTGGATGCGCCAATATCATCATAGAGAAGCAGATTAACAAGCAAATAAAGAAAAGAAAACTTTTAACTGATAGAACTTGCTCAAAGAGCACTTGCCCTTCACCAGCTGCAAAAACAGCAGTAGGAAATCCTTCACCAGTGGACCAGAGGACACTGATATACTTTGCACATAGTTTGTTACGTTGGTTGGTTATTACATTATTTTGATAATAAAATTTGACTTGTGTTTGGTCCCTTGTAAGTGCTAGTTTCATTTGTAGAGAGAAAAATGGAGTATAAAAAAAACACGATACCTTAATAATGGTTGCAGAATTTTTATTGCACTCCTTCATTTTCAAGTGCGCAAAAAGGTATGAGCCCCACCTTATTTGCACTAAGGCAATCCTTTCCTTCCCTGTTATAAATGAACGGACCGTAAGAAATTTGTACACAATGTATTCCTTTTATCACTGTGATGTGCTTCAGACCTCTTAATTGTGCGTTTGGACTGCGACTATCCCGCGTTTATCACACGACGGACGACTGGGGTAAACTGGGAACGAAAATGAAGTAAAGATGTTACGCGCGTGTTCGCGCTTGATGCATTCTCCATGCAGCGTAACAAACATTTTGGTTTTTCTTCATTTTCAAAGCCAGTAGACTGAAAATTTCACTTCAGCTCCATTCCGTTTTGAAAACGTGTCTATCCTCGTTCAATTTCAAGTAAATGGCGTCAACGGTTGTGGCCCTCAGAAAATATGGAGGAAGCGTTTACGATGGTAAGACACTGACAATCGACTGTTCTTTAATTTGCCAAACTTAAGTTTGGGTGAAATGAAGTTAAAGTGCTCTTAACGTGATAAAATTGTTCCTATATCTTCAGCAATAACTGATAGAGAATATCGATCGTTTAAGTATTCTTTACTGACTTCTGTGGTTTGAAATGTAAGCTTACAAGTCTGAAATATAACAATATTTTGATACAATCACAAACTTCAGTGGGTTTGCATTCAAACGTCTTACTGATCTGCTGGCCCCATTACGTCTAAATTATTCTATGTTGTCTTAAGTAGAAGATCAAATTATCGGTATGTTTAATACAAAAGAATTAGCAAAGTTGAATCCGTGATTAAATCACCATTCATTTTTTACGATAGTGTAACTTCTGCTTCTTTGTTTCTCAGCTTTGTTCCATGCACTTTTCTACATGCATATATTTACAATTGTTTTGTAATGTGTATGTGTGTCTTACTTGTGTTTATAATTTTGTCTTTCAATTAATTTTTTCCCGTTATTTTTTTAATATCAGTACTGTTTTGTTTGTTTGTTTGTCCAACCTATAAATTGATACTCTCCACTTTTTCTCTCTCTTTTATGCTTCTATGGTGGTGAAATAACTCAATGAAAAAAAGATTTACCACCAAGCTATGAATAAGAAAGAGTGTGGATGATTGATGTGTTGATTTTGGGGGAAAAAAGGCTTAATCCTTTGGATATCAGGATCAGTGTAGTTATTATCCCCACTTACTGCCATTCATTTCCTTCAAGTTGTACCAGTAACTAAGAAAAAAAAAATTGGTGTTACTGTTATATTGAGCTTACACCTTTCAGTTCATTAGCTTCCCTTTTCTCAACATCAGTTTGCAGGATAATATCTTGAATTTACATGGTGAAGTTATTTGTTTACTGTATTTGGGAGTTAAGTAGGGTTAACCAAACTTCCTGCAGTTATTAGTAAGTTCCAAAAGATTGATTGTTTTTTCAGTCTAGTTGGGATCTCTCACTATTCTGTCACTATTCTAGCATGTTAGCCATGCTTAAGTTTTGTTGTGCAACATTTGCCCTGGTTTTCAACCAGGAGACTCAGAGGTCATTGAAAATATTAGCTAGTAGGAGAAAACACAGGACAAAGGAGGAGAGCCACGCAAGATCATTAAATTTAACTTTTTTCCAGTAGCTCTTATTAGGAAAAAAACAAACAAACAAAAAACATAATAGGGGGTTACTGATTTGATTTATCTTTAGTTGATTATTACCTATTTCCTATTTATATATTAGACCTAGATATTTTTTATATGGTTGAATTATAAAATTTTCTTCCTTCCATGTATCTTCTGTAGGACTGATTTCATCATGGGAAGGTTTTCCTCAGCTCCAAGGTACTGAGAAATACCTTAACAGTGGTATTCTAGTGGAGCAACTGTACTTGAGTAGGTGTTGGAGAAAATAACAGCGCTTTGTTTGTCAAACATCCAAGGTGAGTAGTTCAGTAATGTTTGAAAAAAACACTAAGCTAAGTTTAGTCATTGAACATGGTTTCTCAGCATTGTTCTTTGTATCCTGTATCTTGCATGAGAGGGATCACAATAACTCCATGTGATTACACATGCAAGTATTTCAATATCATGGCAGATTTCTTTTTCTCAATCAGTAGACAACCTTACCCCTTTACACTCTAACAATTTAGTATGCATATTTCCCAAACTGTTCTCTTTACATTTTTTAAGGTGCTGAGAAGGAGAGTTTGTTATGCTATCAACAGATTCTTTAGTTGATGATAATTACCTTTATCCTCTTGACTCTAATGTGCAATTCAGGGGTGATTTTGTACTTAAGAAGAAATACATGCTAGTCATTTTTCAGTGGTAAAAGCTGGTTAACAAGTAAAAATGGTCTTTAACTATTAAATGAGCAGGATATCCTATCTTTTTATTTCATGATTTTGATGTAAAAATTATCCCCATAAAGGCACATTGTGGAAAAATATAAAAGGAAATTGATAGGAAGGAAAAAAGGATACATGTATGTATAACTCAAAGCTTGCACAAAACTGTTACTGAAGGGTGCAAGTTTCCTTGAGTTCCCAGGTAAAATGTCAGGCGGGATATAGGCGGGATCCCGGCAATCCCACCCAGGATCCCAGGTGGGAATGGCGGGATCCCGCCCTAGGTGGTGGGATCCCACCTTTCCCACCTGGGATGAAAATTTGATCCCACCTGGGATCCCGCATTTAATGCGGGATTCCTGCATCCCACCCGGGATCTTAGGTGGGACTTATGCATTCTACCCAGGATCCTGGTCGGGATTTACATATCCCACCTGGGATTCTTTATCCCACCCACGAAAATATTGTTTTGCTGTTTTTACTCTTACAAAATATTTTTGTGAGAGTGCCAATACTTAAGGATCATCCACACACTCCGCAAATATTTGGCATGCGGACAAGACAGAGGTGGTCACTGTTCCCTTCGAGAAAATACACCTTTTAAATGACTTATTCAATTTGCTTTATTTGAAACTCTGATCTGAAAATATTTTTAAAACAAGACTTGTTAGTAGTGAGAAGTACAAACCGAGTTTCTTTTCATTACTTAATTTCTTGAATGTCCCAATCATTGGACCTCCTAAAAAATATTACTTCTTTATATTTTTGGTGCAAAATACAATTCCTTCTTTACATACAAATGAAAAGTACAAGTCACAGTTCAATAATAACATCTCTAAAGTTTACTTGTTGTTCTTCTCTGAGTCAGCGATCAACAAAATTTTTCTATACCTTGTAGGCCTGGTATAAAATTTTACTTGTAGTATAAAATGACAACCTTGTATCTTCGTCCTCTCCACCCCTTTCCAAGCTCGGGAACGCTTCGGACTTTGCATAACCATTAGCAGACGAGAATTCCAATGCACCTCTGTAATCGCATGTAGTTGCTTTTGTCTCTCGTGCAAATGTTTTCTCCGTTATGAGACGCACTTGACTCTGTTGGCACAACTGCTAGTTCAGTGGAAAGACCGACTGACGAATCGAGATGGCTAGCTGTGTTGGAACGTGTTGCTGAACGCTTGTTGTGGTCAAGCCTTGTTGATTTGGGTACTGGTACACTGGGATCATCTAGGTATCTCTTATACTTCCTAATGTGATTGGCTTGTGTTGTTTCTCACCTTCGCCGTGAACATAACTCAAGTGGGTTTCGAGTCTTTCTTTCCTCGAAAACTTTCGGCCACAAATCGTGCATTCTTGTTTGATTCTTGTCGATTATTTCTACATAGAGTGAATCCACATCATTATTTATGTCATCATCAAAACATGAGAGAAGAACCGGTCAGAAGAGACAGAATAATGTTGCGCGCTTCTCTTGAGACTGCAATGGGTCAAGCCAGCGGATTCTCTTTGCTAAAAGGTTCACGTGATCATGCCCGTGATCGGAAACAAAGAAAACTCCATTTGGCGCTCATCTTTGAATGTACTTTTCGTCGGTTAACCGCTCTTGCTTGAAGTTGTTTCTTTTCTCAATTGTTTTGCTTAATATAACACTTCTAAAGATGAGTTTTATTGTGGTTCAATGGGAAAACGAGAACAGCGTGAGTTTTTTAAATGAAAAGAAAGTCGTTGGCGCCGTGGAATTAAAAGAAGGGACAATTAACAGTTGACATATCGACTGGTTCAAACAACGATCGAGCGGCCATTTAAAGCTAGGATTTTTAGAAGTTTGTGATGAGTACAAATTGCCATATTCGTTACGTGATCAAAATCTTATCAAAGAATAGAAATAACGGCTTGAATCAAGCTTATCTAACGCTCAGCGCAACTGAAACTCAAATAATTCTGAGAATCGAATTGGTCACTTGCATGCTGCAGTTTCCTAAGCTTACACTTTACAACGAAATAAATCTATGAGTAAGGTTTCAAGATTACTTTAGTCACATTTGGGAACATTCTGACCTTGCTTTGCTTTGAAAAATTCGACTGAAGAGAGAGCAGACTTTCAATCAGTACCTTTGTCAAAATTTTGATAACATGAATTATTGAGGTTTTGTCTTTCTTCTATTCTTTGATACACATCAGCCAATTTTTTTAAACGTTGAGCCTTATTACACTGTAGATGGTCTGCTTAAATGATAAAGAAAAAGTAATATGCTGAGTTGTGCTGTTATTATTTAACAATGTTCAGTTAAGAAATTTGTTAATGAAACATATCAAACACATGCTGGTTCATTGCAAATAAATTATGAGATCTTTATCACATATAGTCTGTGTATTCATGTACTGTTTGAATCATTTATGATCAACAGCTTGGTAAGACAATGGGATCCCATTGGAGGTGTCAGTATGTTCTATAGCCCTCAGTTGGAAATAAGATTTTGGACCCTCAGTGGATTGATTTTTTTTCTGAGGGTCCATAGGGTCCGGGATTGGCAGGATCCCACAATCCCGCCTGGGATATGATTTCCCAGGTGGGAAAATATCTGAAATTTGAGGCAGGATCCCAAGAGGGATTGGGATCCCAGGTGCTATTAGGAATTTAAGGCGGGATCCCATGGGATCCCATGGGGATGTTCCATAATCCCAGGTGGGATCCCACCTTATATTTTTACCTGGGTTGAGTTGATGTTATTTGAAGATTGCAATTTTTTTTCCAAGAATTATATATCACATTGTTTCATATACTTGATCCCATGAATGTTCCATTTCCCAGGTGGGATCCCAGTGTTCTTTTCCCAATGTAATATATCCCATTGTATGTTCCATAAACCCTTGCCCACCTCAAGCCCACCGGGACATGGGATCCCAGGTGGGATTGGTGGGATCCCAAAATGTAACATGAACCATTGTTTCATAAAACCCACATTTTAATATACATTGTACCAGTACAGGCATAAATGGCCAGTTGCAAAACCCACATTACCAGTACAGGCAAAATGAGAAATGAGATGTAATGAGCCAGTCTTACCTTATCATCTCTTTAGTGAGTACTTAATGGCCCTCTTTTCAATTAAATTATTTTTCAAAGAGATTGGTGCAGAAACCTTTTAAAGAAGTATTAAAGGAGTCACTCAGTAACTTTATTCACAAGGAATTACCTTTCACTGACACAATTATTTTCAAAACATTGTAGGACATAATGTTGGAACCTTGTTTCTGCAGTTGACCCTTTTTATTTCCTTTGGGAGCCAATAATAAGCAGCCTTTGATAAGTCAGATTTACAAATTGCCAAAACAAGTTAACAATACCAATACAGGTAGAACTTTCTTATGTTTCAATTACTTTGTTTGAATCATTATTTATACCAGATGGTTTTATTTTTCACAGCCATTGCAGTTTGTGAAAAGATTAATGTTTTGGATTTAACCTTTGAGTTGAGAGCTACTGTCACAAACAAGTGGCTCCTTTCGGAGCCATTGATTTAATATTTAAGTTCAATGACCAAGATTTTACAGCCTAAATTTTGCTGTGCTGGTTTTTTCATATTACTGGCAGTAGTAGTCATTTATAATTTTTATGAAATGAACTGGACTATGGTTTTAAGCCAGTTAAGTGCACATGATGTATGATTTTAGGCTGGTTATAAAGTGATGTCTTTGATGATTTTCAATTTCTATATGGGGATTTGAGGGAAAACTTATTAAAAAAATCTTTGCTATCAGCCAGACCTCTTTCTTTGGAAAAAAAAAATTCAGAAGGGAAGTTTAAGGCTCCCCTAAAATAGCTGGGCTTTCACAGGTGAATAGACATGGAATTACCACAATTTAAAATATTATTTTGTTCTTGGTTTTTAATCATGATTTTATTTTGATTTCTGGTGACTGGTTATGACTATTATACATGTAAGTGCTATATCAAACAAAAATGAGGAAAGTTATGATCCAATCAGCAATGAAATACTAGTTATTGGTGCATGAATTTGCCAAGAGATTACATTCACTACAAGTACAGATACACCTCACTCAGTGAAACCAGAAATCCACAATTTGATGAATTATTTATCATACTATGTCAACATGCATGAAGCCAATGAGTCAACATACACATAGGCAATGAATCAAACCAAAAAACCCAACAATTGCAGGATGAAAACTGGTCAATTTAATACCTTACCCCACTGGCACACTTTCATTGAATCTAAAGCTTGTCCTCTCATGGTAAAATGGACTTAGCATTTCATCTGATGAGTTTCCAACAATTATATTTAACTTAAAAGGAGCTTCTCAGTTGACTCTAAATAAAACGTTCTGCTTTTGTTGTTGAAATGTCAGCTACAGTCAACATAGAGACTACAGCTCTAACTGAGGTCAAGAAAATTGTCCAACTGACATATCCATCTTTTGGTATGGTTGATCCACTCATTGACTTCAATTGTACTGTCCTGTACATATCTTTGGTATGTTTTTATTTGTTAAAAGGGAAAGAAGGAGGAAAATTTAGGTTTAAGGTTCGCAAAAAGAAAAAAAATCTCTCTGTTTAGCACTAAATGTCTTGAATACTGAATTCATTAAGAAGATTAACTGAGATCAGATGCCCATAATCTTTTACATTTTAAATTTTTTTTTCTTGTGGAACAAAAGTTGTTTTAGCCAAAAGCCAATTCTTTTATTCTTTGTTTGACCACTTGAAGAGTTTTAATTCCATATTAAAGTTGCAGTTAAGTTAAGTTAATGGTCCATTATAATGTAACATTACACACCAAAAGTGATAACCTCTTCTTTAAGTTGCATTCGTGGCTAACTGCAAATTTTCAACAAAAATTAATAAAACTCAGCAGCACTATTGATTTTGGGACTTGAGTTTGCATGTTCTTTAAGTGACATGATAGCTTTATTATCTACATTTTAATGGTTCAAAACAAATGTGCTCTGTATGTGAAGGAGTTATATAATTTGTCAATATAAATAATTATAAAGTTTAACATTCTTGAAAAAGTCTCGCACACAGCAGAGTAATACTTGAAAGTATCACTCTGATAAAATTTTAAGGCACAGAAGCTTAAGTTGAGCAGTAGGGAAAAATAGACATGATCTCAAAATTGTATTGAGTTTATGATTTTACAAAGGGCTCACCTGACAGAAACCACTCCCAATCTAGCATTGACTTTTAATATCCACGGAATGTGTAATTCCAGGGCAGTCAAAATTTTGGAAGCTTCCAAATAAAGGGAATAACCTTTGTGCTTCAGGGGACCGCAAAAAGTCTTTACAATGATGATTGTTTTGTCAGTTGCAGGACTTCTTGTGAATTATAGGTCACTAAAGAATCATCTTCTGTAAAAATTTAATGTAAAATATAAATACAGCTTCCCAGTGACATTATGCCTTAGTCTACAAAACATTCAGTCTTCCCAAACAAAAAGCATTGCAAAGGCTTTCTGAAAGAGTTTTATTTATTTATCAAATTACAAAATAAAAATGGGATTGGTGGTCTTCCTAGGTCTGGCAGATTTTTCTCACTGAATTATTTACTCGACATGCAGTTGCAAGAGTGATTGAATCCTGTTGTAACAATCTAAATTCAAGGAGAGTTAAGAATTTGACAACAATGACTGAAAAGTATAATTATTTTAGTCACAAAAGTGAATCAAACTTACATGTAAGATTTTGACAATTGGCTAATAATAATCTATTTATGAGCATCTCTATTGACAGTCAAACCTCTGTTAAAGGTCACCCTATTAATCGGTCACACTGTATCAAGGGGTTGGTTGGCAAAGTCCGAAATTTATTCTCCTGAATCACTGAAAATTTTGCCTCTATTAATTGGTCACCTCTATTAAGCAGCCACGGTCACCCTTTACTGAGTCCCAATGGCCTGTTTGCATCATCTTCCACCTGTATTGAATGCTCAAACTAGTAATAATCTTTCAAGTAATTTTAAATCCATGTTTCTCTCCCAAAATTAAAGTAAGTAGTATTTTTTGAGAAAGATCCTGTACATTAAGTGCTAGATTATGGCCTATAGTGTCATTGTGTATCATTTTTTATAATACTCCTTTTTATAATACCTCTGTAATGTGGAACCTGTATTAGACAGTCAACCTGCCACCACACCATTCTCTGTGAGTGACTGTTTAAGTTAGATTGTACACCCATACCCATCTGTTAGAGCATGTCCTAGAGCGTGTGCCGGGGTTCTTAGTATTGTAAGTGAGTCTTCATGCCAATATATTACATGCAAGTTTTGTTAGTTTTTTTCTACAAATGTGGTATCAAAACCTTACATTTTTATGTGTAAGGTAGGGGCTTCCTTTCATTTGACTTTTATTGATCCTAAAATTTGAGGAGAGAAATCATTATTTGATGAAGTCATATACTGTTTAGGTTTTACAGAAGACAAATCTGCAATTGACATTGTAATTTCTCTATTATTAGGTTCCTTTCTCTGAAAAATTTTGCCATTAGCATTATTGTCACGAGACCCTTCTTTTCCTTCAGCATCTAAAATTTGAGGGGAGAGGTCTTCATTTAACAAAGCTGTGTGCCCTTCAGGTTTTATATTGGATGACTCGACAGCCATTGTTACCATTTCTCTGTTGTCATTTTCTTTCCCTTTAGATACTTTACCATTGATTTTACTGACACCAGAACCTTTCCTTTCCCCAGCCTCTTTCCCACCAATTTTCCAACTAAAGGAGTATCCACCTCCACTTCCTTTTCCTCCTCCTTTCTTACCTCCTTCTCCTCCTCCCTTTCCTTCTTCACCTCCTCCCCCTCCTCCTCCCCCTCCCATTCCACCTTTACCACCACCAACACGTCCACTAACTACTCCTCCGCTAACTCCCACTCCACCACCTGCCTCTATGCTAATAGTACCTCCACCTGCTGCACCTCCACCACCACCTGCACCTCCGCCAGCTCCACCACCACCAGCTGTTTTCTCAGCACCTCCTCCTCCAACACTTGCTGCTCCTCCACCACCCTCTCCTCCACCAGTTCCTCCTCCACCAGCCTCCCCTCCACCAGCTCCTCCTTCGCCACCCTCCTCACCACCAATTCCTCCTCCTCCAGCCCCTCCTGCACCTCCACCTCCTCCTCCTCCACCAGCTCCTCCTCCACCACCCACCCCTTCACCAGCTCCTCCTCCACCAGCCACCCCTTGACCAGCCCCTCCTCCACCAGCCACCCCTTGACCAGCCCCTCCTCCACCAGCCACCCCTTGACCAGCCCCTCCTCCCCCAGCCCCCCCTCCACCAGCCCCTCCTCCACCAGCTCCTCCTCCACCAACCGCTCCCCCACCAGCTGCTTCACCACCAGCTGCCCCTCCACCAACCCCTACACTAGCCCCTCTACCACCAGCTTTCCCTCCACCGGCCACTCCTCCACCTCCCCCTTCTCCACCAGCAGCTCCACCAGCAGCTCCACCAGCAGCTCCACCAGCAACTCCTTCTCCACCACCTCCTCCACCGGCAGCCCCTCCACCACCAGCTCCTCCACCACCAGCTCCTCCACCACCAGCTCCTCCACCACCAGCTCCCCCACCACCAGCTCCTCCACCACCAGCTCCTCCACCACCAGCTCCTCCACCTCCAGCTCCTCCACCACCAGCTCCTCCACCACCAGCTCCTCCTCCAACAGCCCCTCCTGCACCAGCTCCTCCTCCAACTTTCCCTTCTCCACCTGCAGCTCCACCAGCTTCTCCTCCACCAGTAGTTTCCCCTCCACCAGCTCCTCCTCCACCAGCTCCTTCTCCACCAGCTGCTTCCCCGCCAGCTGCTCCTCCACCAGCTGCTCCCCCACCAGGTCCTCCTCCACCAGCTCTACCCCCACCTGTTTTACCACCAGCTGCCCCCCCACCAGCTGCTCCTCCGCCAGCTTCACCACCAGCTCCTCCACCAGCTGCACCCCCACCTGCTTCACCACCAGCTGCTCCTTCACCAGATTTACCACCAGCTGCCTTTCCACTTCCTTCTCCCACGCCAGCTGAGGGAGGAAGTCCTAGCCTATCTGTTAGCCAGGATGGTAGCCAGAGTTTTGGTCCTTCACCAGGTGGTAGAGGAGCTGGAATAGGCTTAGATACGATCAAAGTTGGCATCATCCAGACGTCTTCCAGTTTTTTTCCTCCAGGATTACAACAACAAGGACAGCATGGAGGCATCATACATGACTGTGGTTGACATGGTAAGCAATCCGAGCAGGAACAACCACATGCTGATGGATTGAAACACGCACCACCACCGCCTCCACAGGGCATAAAACATACGGATCCGTCTTGCGATGGAGAATCGCCTGACTGATCCTCATTTAATTTCTCTTTCTCTTTTCCATTACCTTTAGGCTTACTCTTGTTGTCCTGCGTGCCTTTAAAGTGATGATCCTCATTGTCGCTTCCCATGTCAGCCTCTTCGCTATCGTCAGTCCCACCATCGTTTTCATAATCATTAAGCCTTTTCAATGCGTTTTCTAAAATCTCGTATAGTTTCTTAAAATTTTCTCTTGAAATAGAATGAAGAGGACCTTCAGGTTTTTCTTCTTCCGTTCTCTTCGTAACAGAAAAACCATGACCGTATCTTTGAATTAACAGTACTTTTTTCGAAAAAGGTCGTGAGTCCTCGATTGCCTTAATAACTAAACCATTGAAATTTTTGATATGTTGTAGACGTTTAAAGAACGCAACGTAATTATATTCACTTGATTTGTTATTGTATATTCCAACGGTGAAACACTGAAACTGAGTCAATACAATAGCAAACTTGAGAACTTCATACATTTCAGTCCATATTTCTCCCAGTTCCTCTTCCCCTTAGTGTGAAATTTCGACTGCATCGTTCAGCTAACAGTAGGGAATTCCTTGCTATGATGCCATAGGTACTTTCTTATACAAAGCATGTTTTCAAAGTTTTCTTCTTCACTTAGTGAAACGATGAAAGAGAAAAAAATGTCATGACTTTTTACCACCTTGACTCCTAGTGTTATCGAGTATGTAAGTTAACAGGTCTCTCTATTGTCAAAGACTTTGGGTTATCAATCATTCATGCCCAGATCTAGAAGGCGTTTGAACAATGTATAAGATTAAGAAAGATTGAGAAAGATTATAAAGTTTGCGGCGCTCGGTCTTGACCACTGAGCTGCTGATAATTATTAATAAGAGAACCAAGATTGTCAAATCTGTGATGAATGGATTGGTCGAGATTAGCTGTACATTTTTAAATGAATGAATTATGTGCTTCGAGTAACATGCTCTCAAAAAGGTCACTTATTTAATAAACCTTCGCCTAGTTAAATGAAACGCTTTTAATTAACAAATTATTTACTAAATGTTATAAAGTGATCATCAAACTCTCGGACCTATCTCCTTTTCCGACCTAAGTAAACTCCACAATGTGGATGGCCACATTTTGCTTTTGCCTTTAAAGGTTTCATTTTAAATTTCGGTGGAGTGTATTTAACCTTGTACATTATCATCGGACGCATTAAGCAACATCCAGCGCAACCACAAAGAGGAAAGTAAGGGAAAGATGGCTTCGGTTTGGAAGACTTATCCTTTACTTTCGTTCCTCGTCCATCTTTCGATGTGTTTTGACTTAAACTCTTCAGACTGCCCAAAGCCTTTTCCAATAGTTTGCAAACTGTTTTTATCTTAAGTGAGTCTGGATTTCTTGTAGCGACATAGCTTCCGGCTCGTTTCCCGCTTCTTAGGCCTAAACTCCGTTCCACTTTACCACTGTGTAGACGTCTTGTGCTGTTGCAAGAACTTAAGCCAATTTTCTGTGAATTTTTTTCTTGAGAAAATGCGGTAGAAGCACAGTTAGTCTCAGGAGTTTCACAACCAACGTTTTCGATTGCTGAACAATAGCCAGGTTGAGTTGAAACAATGCTCAGGCAACAAAACGTTAAACGCCAGAGACTTTTCTTAAGCCATTTTTTCGTCGACAGCGATGTCATCCTCTTATTTTTTCTTGAAATATCTTTCATCATCTAGCCTCTAAGTTCCAAGTGAATCCACTTATAGAGCTCTAGTGTTTGGATTTATATTTAAGTAAGCTCAAAGGAATTCAATTGTATTGTTTACAACGGGTAGATTTCACAATTACTGATACATATACATATGGATTTGCGAATGCACAGAATGGAAAGTGAAATGTTATTTCAGAGCCTTTAATTCCTTTACAATTTCAACAAAGTTTACGAATCGCCGAAAAAAATCAACTCATGCTCTTCCACTCTCTGTTTTATCGCTACCCGTTTTCCACTCTTACCCTACACCCACCAGCATCACTTCCACGCCATTTAAGATAAACTGATAGATTAAATACCTTTGGTGAAAAAACCTTTCTACGAAAAAGCAGTTCCATATTGCAAACTACTTGACAGTAGATTACAGGGAAAATCATTACAACTTGCACGAGTAGAGGAAACGTAAGTCTTCACTGCTTAAAATTATTTATTGGACAAAATGTGATTTTTGCAGTATGTATCGTTAAGACAGGAGGAAAACTTTTAAGACCTTAAAGCTAAATTTTTTTTCTAAGCCTTAACTTTCTGCGCTGCGAAACCGAATCTTCTGTTCGCTAAACGTCTTCAACCTGCATCTTCGACATTAAAGCGCGTCATGTTTTTTCGTTAGAGTCAGTAGATACCCAAAGATAGCAGCTAGTATGTCATTAAGACGCTGTTGATTTTCTTTTACAAAGCTAACAGGATTCCTTGTTTTTTCCAGCGACACCGGACCAACTTCAACAGCACGGTCTATTTCGGGGTAAAGTAAAGTCTTTTATTGCTACACACGGGTGGTTAAAATAAGTCGAGAATGCAATAAATCAGGACACCGGCAACATCAGCAGATAAAGTGGATTAACGTTTGGGATTAAGAAATACAACAAGAAGAAGACATATGGAGGCGTAATGCAAAGGCAACAGATCATCTAAATGTAAGTTGTGGAAAGGCGACAAGCTCAGTTTTATTTTTTTCCAAGTAAAGTTGTCATGCAAGTTTCTGTATGGGTTCGAACGAGAGCTTTAAATTTGTGAACATTGGCAACAATAAGTACACCCTTAAGTTCGGTTGATTGACACGATGGCCTGCGTAACAAGTTTATGAATACTCATATTAACTTGATGTCTGTTAACTGAAAGATATAAAGTATAATGTCGGTGATGTTATACAATAAGTGTGCAACCCATCTCTCCATAAACGTCCATGGTGTTAAGCCTTCTTCCAAACAAGAGAAAAATATTTCTATGGCCATAACTTACGTTATTTCGAAAGGATTATGGATTGTTTCCTGATAAAGTTAAAAAAGGGGACTTGGGGTGATCCGAAATCATAACTGCAGCAACAATAATTCAATATTTTTAACAGAAATGCACACATCATATTAAATGCTTGTTTAATTTATTAACCAGTTCTCAGTTGTATCATTAAATAACATGCACAGCTATCGAAGACTTTTCTCCGACGTGAATAATATCCATTTCAATAAAGCATTGATGTGTTCCATATTAGCTCCATGTTGCCTCGGGCGTGCTGAAGTGAAGCTGCTTGTTTTTGATCCCTCCGAATCCGAGGCTTCTTTAGAAGTTATGAGATCTGGAAAAATAAGGAAGAGAAAAATATGTCAATATATTTTTTTATGTTTGAGGCACTTTTCGTATTTCTTATATTAGAAAAAGAATGTTTTTCTAAGTTTTTCTTTTGTGTCAGTGTCATGTTTAACGTGTATATAATTATGTTTCTATGACAGAGGAGAGAAATAAGAATGTTGATTGTAAAAAGAGTAATCTATCAAAATAGCTAAAACGATAACTTTCTGCCATGGTAGAGCCATTGTGCAGTAAAGCAAACTTTTGAGGTGACATCTTTTGGGTTACAAACTGTCGGCTTTCTTTAGAAATTATGGGCCGCTTATTTAATCAAAGTTTAGCCGTTGTTTAACAAAATCATGTTTAGATTAATTTTAAGTTTCGCTGGACCTTTCATCCAAATTTTTTTGGGAGGGATGTCTGGAGAGCAGATAGCTATCAGTGGAAGGACAGTTATTTAATTAAGTCAGCCCTCTGATAGAAAAAGCTTGAGGCCCAATGATTGCGTAAAACCGTGGTTTGGTTTATACCCCTTGTAAATAACCGGCCCTATCTCTCCACATATTAGAAGTACCTTGCTGATCAGTTTAAAATGCTCTTGGGATAGGCATCATTGGAACACCATTGAAAAATGGGTTGTAGAATGGTGCATAGCCATGACTGTATGGAACCGGCACAAAAGGAAATCGCTGTTCTTCCATCAAGCTGCGTTTCACAGGGCCTCGCTTACCTTATCACAAGTGTAAAGGACACAATGGGTGAATTAGTGACTGATCTGAGGTAAACAATTATTCCCATTAGAGACTGACTTTGTGTCACCTTGCGCCTTCCGTCTCAAGATAGCTCGCTGGCTAGCTTCTCTGGTCAAATTTGGAGTTTAGGGCTCCGATCTAAGCTTAGTAAATTTCTGCGTGGACACAAATGTCTTTACATTTTCACTTGCACTTTACAATGGGAAATAAAATAGTCACGTCTTACTTGATCTTCTTAAACAGTGATGTCCACAGGCTGTATGGTGACTGTGTGGTGATGGGCAGTGGCACACAGGCTCAGGTTTCAGCGGTTTGAACTCAAATTGGGGTGGTGTACAGGTACAGCAGCAGGGCCACATGCATGGCCACTTGCACTTTCCAGGAGGGGTCTTTTCTTTACAACATTCACAACCAGGGTTGTTCACAGTGGCGCCAAATTGACAGGGAAACGTGAGACTTGGGCAGCAGCCGGTGTTACATCCTGAGCAAGTGATTGGGGCACCGAATCCTCCTTTGCAGTTGGAGCACATGGTACCGGGAGCACACCAGTCATTTGGTCCACAGCATCCGCATCCTCCGCATCCTCCGCATCCTCCGCATCCTCCACATCCACCGCATCCACATCCTGGTCCGTAGCCTCCCATGAAATCACAGCCGCCAGAATCGAAGGAATCTCCACATCCCAAGCATCCGCCACATCCGCAGCGTTTTTCTGCAAGTATTTAAATAGGGTAGGCTAAGAAAACGCAGTAGGACGTAAAGGAATACGATAAAAAGAAGTGTTACACTTAATAATTCATGCGGTTTGATTTGCGGTTTACCGCCAAATTTACTGCTTGGTAGGAGTGCTTTCTGAATCTTTGCTGTTGCGTTTTTTCTGCGTGCTGTTAAATAATATCACTTGGAGTATCAAGGAAATGTGCCTCAAGTCCCAACCAACTTTTCATTAATGCGTGTAAGTGCACTTCCATCATGCAAAATTTACAGACTTACCGGTTTTGGGTAGCGTTAAAAAGACACCATGACATTTCCCCAAGGTGTTTTATTTTTCCGGTGTAGGGGTTATCTTAATTGTATTTCAAGTTAAACGCAACGAACAAGCGCGCACAAGTTAAGTGATACTTTATTCAACCTTTATTACATATTCTTTTGATAATTAAGGAAGTTGTAGCTGTTGAATCGGTATTCTTCTTGTGTGATTAAAAGGTAGCCATGGCTGGAAATTTCTGGAGTGCTATTTGATGGCAATCCTGCAAAACACAAACCAACATCGTTGAAATATGAGGTTAAAACATCAGAGTTGCCTTTAAGAAACATTCTTTGAAATTTACCCATCAGCTTCTGTTACGTTTTGAAACGAACCACAGCTTCGGAATACAGAGAAGTGTTGAATTCTACAATTCAAATCTATAAATGTTGTTACAGCGTTTTTTGATCGTAGGAAATGATTTGTAATTTACCTTGTTTGCCTTTGATATCATGATCCTTTGAGTTATACTTGTTGACTGGGCTCTGAATTACTTGAAACTTGAAGAAAACCTTGAGGCTTGATTTGAAGGCCGTTGACAATTGGGAAACTGAAGGGAGAAAACACTTTTGGAAACGGCCCGCCAATGGTATCCAGTAGGTTTCGTTTGACAGGACCTTGATTATCTGTTGTGGTGAAAAAATGCAGTTAAAGTCAGCTTACGAGGTAGGAGGCTCATCCTGCCTGAACTTATTGAATTCAGTGATTTCAGTTCAGGAGCGTAAACGGGATACAAGTCCATGGCAGGCTACCCTTTATATTGCGTCATGTTCCCTTTAAAGGTTTAAGTTGCCTATTGATAGACTTTGTGGAGGAGAGGCTCAGTGACCTGCCAGAGAAAATCACACAATGTCCTTGCTAGTTTCGCCTGTTTCTTAAAAACTGGTAATTTTACACACTCTAGGCAATCGTTTCAATCCAAATCTTAAGTATAGAAATAAGGCTCTTTGCTCAGAATTCTGTCAATTTGCTTTAGTTGCGTGGTATTTTTGTTATGTGGATTTAAAAAGTATCAATTTCTTGCTGTTATATCGAAACATTGAAAAAAAAACCAACAGCAACAAAAAATAGCTTTACAGGACCCGTAATCAAGAAGCAGGTCCCATTGCTTGAACCTGGATCCATTATAACAGAGTTAAGCGTCCTAACCAGGAGGCCAACACGCCTCGCTTCTGGGTGGAATTTTATTGAAAATAAATTCGTCTCCGTCAAGCGATGGTGTTTTTTGTCAAAATTGAAAAGTAGATAATTTTTTGAGGTTATAGAAACGTGTGTTGTGAATAGTAGAAAGAAGTGCGGCATACTTGTTTGTGATTGGTGTAATCTGTAGTAACGCTTGTGTGGACAGTGGCACACTGGCTTGGGCTCCAGAGGCTTAAACTTGAACTTAGGTGGATCGCACTCGCAGCAGCATGGCCACATGCATGGCCAGATACATTTTCCTTTGGGAGGCTTCTTCTTACAGCACTCACAGCCTGGATTGTTGACAGAAGCGCCAAACACACAGGGGAATGTAAGACTCGGGGAACATCCACAGTTGCAGCCCCCACATCCTATAGGTGGTCCAAAGCCTCCCTTGCAGTTTGCGCACATGGTACCATCAGCACACCAGTCACATAACCCACCCAGACCGAAACCGTAGCCACCGCAGCCACCGAATCCACCATAGCCACCGTAGCCGCCGAGGCCACCACAGCCGCCACAGCCACCAAAGCCGTAACCACCGCAGCGTTTTCTTCCGCGTTTACCTATTGGAAACAAAAGACACACTTTAAGTTTTTACCTTCTCTCGGTCAAGGTCTGTCAGTTAATGCACAGTTAAGAAACTATTACGTAAACTTATTAATAAGAAGAAAAAAGGAAGAATCAATTAGTTTTATTAAATTTTTAAGTACTCAATCTAGCGATAGAAGTATTAGTTTTTATACTTATGGGCAACATTTTTTGGTGCGTCCCTAGTGTTAAGCATATTTTGTACGCTACTTAATAAAATCATGTTAAAGAATGAACATGATTACGTTATCAAGTATTGATTAAGTTAAAATTACTTTTGCCTTACAAGGTTTACATTACATTATGTTGTTAGCTGCTTATTAGCCAACAATTGTTTTAGAGGCCGGAAGAATTGTGAATTGACGAAAGGTTAATGACTCGAGATTTGTGAATAATGGTATGGCGAGAAGTAAGCTTTGCATATGATAGATGTAACATCGTCACAAGGCAAATGTTATTGTTTATGGTAAACGTGAAAATGATGTGTGATACCTGATGAATGTGAATTGGACGTCTGTGAAATTGTGCCATTGAGTGTGCTTCCAAATCCATTTCTAACCAACTTACTTCTTTCATGGAGAAAAAGTTATCTGTAGATTAAGCCACCGTCATCACAGACGGAGAAAAGTATATTCCCCACAAAAAAATTATTTTATTTAACCTGAGAAGACCGAGCATTACAAGGGTAATGTCAGCAAGTTAAAAGTGCTGTAAGGGAAGGTGTAGTTTATAACTTTTTATAAGAAAATCACACAGAATACCGATATCATATTAAACCTTTGCTCAATTTATTGACCAGTATTTCAATATTATAACTGAATAGTATGGAAAGTCATCGAAAATATATTTTTTTTCTCTAAATTAATAATTTTTTTGTCAACGAAGCGTTCATTGTTCATCATTCGTTCCGCATTGCCTTAGGCGTGCTGATTTGAAGTTGCGTGTTGTCATCTCTCCATATCCGAGGCTCCTTTTCAAGTTACGAGATCTGTTGTGATAAATTGGGAGATATGCGTTAGTTTGGGTCATTGTGTTGTGACAAAAAATTATGGTCGAAATGGTGGTGAGGCTATGTAGCGCTTGAACGATTTGAATTCACGTTTAAGTTACAGATATATAGAAATACCTAGTTGATCAGTTTAAAATACTCTTGGAAAAGGCATCATTGGTACACCATTGAAGAATGGGTTGTAGAATGGTGCATAACCGTAATTGTATGGGACTGGCACAAAAGGAGATGGCTGTTCCTCCATTAAGCTGCGTTTCACAGGGCCTCGCTTACCTGAAAACGGGAGCAAAAGAAACAAATTAAGAATGCGTTACCTATTGCAGGGGAACAATTATACTAAGTAATACAATTTTTTCCCGTGGCAAATTTAGCCACACAATTAAAAAAAAGAACAGTCTCATTTCAACAGCTTCTTAAAGCAAAGTTGTAGCTTATCCTCTACCTCTCGTAAAGCTTGCAATTAGACACCTGTCTTTTCTGACGAGACGGTTTGCTCTCCGTTTTACGTTTACTTTCCTGGAGAGAACCCTACTTACTTGATCTTCTTAAACAGTGATGTCCACAGGCTGTATGGTGACTGTGTGGTGATGGACAGTGACACACAGGCTCGGGTTTCAGCGGTTTGAACTCAAATTTAGGTGGTGTGCAGGTACAGCAGCAGGGCCACATGCATGGCCACTTGCACTTTCCAGGAGGGGTCTTTTCTTTGCAACATTCACAACCAGGGTTGTTCACAGTGGCGCCAAATTGACAGGGAAACGTGAGACTTGGGCAGCAGCCGGTGTTACATCCTGAGCAAGTGATTGGGGCACCGAATCCTCCTTTGCAGTTGGAGCACATGGTACCAGCAGCACACCAGTCGTTTGTTCCACAGGTTCCACAACCACCACATCCACAACTGGGTCCGTAGATGCCTCCGGGTGCTCCGCCGCAACCCCCTCCCATGTAATCACAGCCGCCAGAATCGAAGGCATCTCCACATCCACCGCATCCGCCACATCCGCATCCGCCACATCCGCAGCGTTTTTCTACAGGAATCAGAGTAGTGAAGAATGTGAAAACAAAAACCAACATTTGAGAGTGGAATGAAATAAAATACCGGTGTGTTTACTTTGCATTCATTTAAATATCCTTTAGTTTACTAAAATGTTAAAATAAGTTTTTACTTTTAATGTTAAATAAGTTTTATTGTTGAGTAACTGTTAAATACTCTCTTCATGCTATCATAATATTGTTTACGGTAAATTTTTGATGAAGGATATTTATTTAGATCTAGTCTGTTTTTTAACTTAACAATTCATTTATTATAGCAATATTCAGATCTACGTACCTTAAATATAAGATTTTAGGCGAAAAACTTTGCATCAAAACTTCATTACCAGATAATTCAACAGATATTTGCATGTTTCAAATTTATTCTTTATTGCAGCTTTGATTGATTTTTAATAGTTTCTAACTACATTATTGTTAATTTATCTATAATTTTAACCCTCTAATTAATCAAAACATTTCACTATTGTCCTAATCTTTGATCGCAATTAATGCAATCCGCTGTGGTATGCTGTATGCTTGTCAGGGACATTCTGCAGAGAGAGAAAGACGAGGAAACTTGAAGTGCCTGAACGATTTTAACATCCGATAACAAAAAAGTAGACCCTAGATTCTTCGTTTTGATTTACGCACTATTTTCTGGGTAGTTTTGCAAGTGGAATGGAAATAAGTCCTTACACTGTGGTCTGTTTCTTATTCCAAAGTAAGCATTATAAACATATGATTAAATCCAAGTTCTCGCGCCCCTCAAAAAACAGCCATAAAATGAGCCCAACTGCAACATGCTGTTTTTTCCTTCAACAAAATTAGTCGTATTTGCATGAAATTGGAGAAAGAAAATTATTTTTCACAAAAAAAAAAAAAAACAACACCCAAAAAAAAAAAAAACAATCCGCATCTACCATTGCTGTAAAGCAGACGTTGACTCTGTCTGGAAGGACTAATAATATCTAAAGAGCTAGAGAGTCTCCACTGACCTTCCTCAGTAGTAATAGTATAGATACTGTGGCGGGAATGGTGCCCCATAGTAGAGAGGAACCACAGGACTGAAGAAATAAGGAAGCGGTTGAATATCTGTAATGGTTGGTGGAATAAGGCATCGCTTGCTGCAGTGAACTAGAAAAGTAGTTGTGTTAGCACTATTAGCCAATCTGTCAATCACTTTGGTCACATTTTAATATGAGTGATTCTCAACATATTCAGCATATGAACATATTCTTAAATGAGCTATTCCTTAGAAAAAGTGTGAAGTTTAACAGAAAAACAACGACAACGGAATTACAAAATTGTACAATTGCAAAATAACAGAACGTAATTTTTCTGAGGGTTTCAACGAAAATAAATTGTTTAGGACCAGCAAGTGAATGATTTAGTCAAATTATACCTCCACTCTTTCGGCAACAATGACAACAACCGCAGCAACCGTGACAGCAACCATGACAGCAAGTATGGCAATCCTTAGGGACAGCTTTTGGCTTCAAGGGCTTCAACTTAAATTGAGGAACTTTGCACTCGCAGCAGCAGGGCCACATACAGGGCCACTGACAGTAGCCTTTCTTTGGTTTTTTTTTACAGCATTGACAACAAGGATTGTCAACGCATGCACCAAACTCAACCGGGAATGTTATCGATTCGCAACCATGGCCGCAGCATCCACAGCAACCGCCACAGCAATGATGGCAAACATGAGGGCATCCAAAGCCACCGCAACAATTGCAACATCCACAAAAGCCTGAACGTCTTGCTGTTAAGAACGACATAAAATCAGCACGTTACTGGGTTACTTCATTCATACATCTTGTAAAAGCATGCTTAAGACATAAACGCAAGATCAGGCCAGCTTCGTATTAAGAGATGTTTACTGCCTTAACAATCATGGCAGAATGCAGACATGACTAGAAGAAGGTTTCATGTTGACGAAGCTGCCCTGTCTATGGGTTTGCCAAAGTAAACAATCGAAAATTTTTAAAGGGCAGATCGCAAAAAAAGATACTCACCAGCAATAGTGAAGAGAAGCTGGCGAGTGGTTACCACACTCAGCGTCTTTGATGCAACGAGACTGTGTAAGTACACGCATATCTCTTCCTTCCACCAGTAGATATATTAAAAGAAAAGAAGGCTACGAAACTGCACGCTTCTCATAGTCAGACTGGAAAATACTCGGGTTGCGGAAGTGCATTTCCTAAACATTGTGCGAATGAATACTGCTTTGACTAAACGTGGGCAGGGCAGCTATCGCCAGCTTTTCTTTAATCTAAGTTATGTGCTTTTATTTGAGCGACTTATCGAAAGGCACAGAAGCTAATGAATCCGCGATCCTGAGGTGTGTACGGTAAATGCCGAAATTCGAAAAGAATGCCATACTCCACGAAAAATACTAACTGTACAAAAAGTATTTCCCTTTGGCATGTTGTAAAGCCAAAAAAATGTGCGGGTAATCTTTGTTGTTATGCATTTTGTTGCTTTGTAGTAATTGGGATGAATAGTGAAATAAATCTAAACATCCTACAAGAACCCTTCAAGATTCTTGATCTCTATTATTACAATTTTAACTAGTAAAGATTTGCATTAACTTTCTTGAAAAACCCCAAGAAAAGAAGATATAGTTTTCTCTAACTGGTCTCAGTTTTTGACAGGAAAATAGGATAAGTTACTAATTTTTCAAATTTGATTGCAACCGTTGGTAATGAGGAATGCAACTGAATGGACTATCGGCTCTCATTCATATTTAGAGAACATCATTAGTTCATATGTTAGTGTATTCGATTTTAATTGAGTAAGCAGTGGAACTGCTATCTAGTTGAGTAAAAAAACAACAAAACAAAAACAGAAACTACTTGGACTGAATGTATCTCTCAGTCCCAATGACTGCTATTTCGTTTTTCAGTGACCGCCCTCCTTTTTTTTTTTCTTTTTTCAAATGTCTCACAATTCAATGATTTTGTAAGACTTAACTGGACTGGAGACTGGAGTTGCTGATTTTTACTAATTATGAAGAACGGCTATATTTAATATCTCAATTATCAAAGGAGCACTTAAGAGTCGAGGCTCGGATCAATGTGCAATGAGCCTTGAACCATTACCATCTCAATCATGAGATTGGGTGATATATACGAATGAGAATGGGAAAAGACATTAACCACCACAAAATTGATTCATTTTATTTACTAGCATGCGTTCATGCGAGTTGGTAAGCTCATGCAGGATGATGGAATGATGGGTGATTAAATGTTATTTTTCAAAAATAGTTTCTTCAAGGACACGTTTCTCGCTGGAAACGACTTTTTCTTTCGTAATTGATAATTATTATTTTGCTTCATCGGGGGATATTGCTTTGTTACATTTTTTTTACATGTAAAAATTATTTCGAGGCTTTCGCTCATTTTAAAAATTGTCCAGACAGAGCATACGTCGAGAAACTACTCCTCACGAGGTGACATTTTGCCAATGATCAAGGGACCTGTAAGATAAAATAAAAGGGGTCAAAGTAAGTAAGTAATAATTATACAAATAGAATAAGTCCAAAAGGGGTTTAACATACAAAAAAGTGTTACGCTGCTTTTTTATGATTTACAACTGAAATTCATCTTTAATTCACAAAGGATGACATTTGTTTTACTTGCTAAACAATACATTAGATATGTTGGGAATATAGTGTAGGGTAGTCTCTTTTTGGTCAAAAGTTTAATCACCGTCGAGTATACACAATTCAAGTCAAAAAATAAAAAGCCCTACGGAATTTCCAAAATGAGTGTTCTCCATTCCAAGGCAAATACAAAATGGCTAGAAAAATATTTTACTCGCCTAGTATAATGGAAAGGGGAAGCCACCATTGAATGGACCAAGACCGTGCAAATATCCGCCATATCCGTAGGGGCCATATCCGTAGGGTCCATATCCACCGAAAGGTCCATAACCAAGACCGGCACCAAAATCGCCATATCCATAACCACCATATCCGAAGCCACAACCGCACCGCTTTTTGACATCAGCTCTTTTTACAGGACCTGAATATTTTAAGAAATAATTAGCACTAGTTTCATTTTTCTTTCTTTTTTTAATGCTACTGACTTTCCTCCTATTTATAAAATAGTATCAGAAAGCTGACTGAGTTCGATATTTCCAGATTATTTGCTTCTTTTTCGCGAATGAATATAAATAAATTAATCTTCCTTAGAATCCCACTGAAGTCTTATCAGAAGACCTTTGGGATGTTTTAGTTATTTCAGAGAGTTTCTCTCACTGAAACGAAAAGAAAAGAAAGAACGAGACAACAAAAAGCAAAGCCTTGGTTTCTCATTTACGTCCCCATGGGTGATAGATAACATTATATCATCAGTAAGAAAAAGGTTTTGTCACCACCTTCCGTGACGTGGAGCTATTAACTTTAAAAGGTGACACTGCTTGCTCCTCCGCCAATATGAAGTCTAAAGGAGTTACATTCCTTTCAAAAGTAGCTGTTGGAAGATCCACGCAAAAAAATAGCAATTTGTCAATGATTTAACGTTACAAACAGAACAAATCAACTCACCTACACTCTTCTTTCCGCCACAGCATCCATGAGAGTTAGGACAATGACACATTGGCTTGGGCTTGAGCGGCGTGAATTTAAACTTGGGTGGATCGCATTCGCAGCAGCAGGGCCACATGCAAGGCCACTGACATTTTCCCTTCGGTGGTTTTTTCTGACAACATTCACAGCACGGATTGTTTACACATGCACCGAAAGTGACGGGGAAGTTAAGTTGCGGGCAACAACCGCACCCACAGCTTCCACAAGTTTGGGGGCATTCGAAACCGCCACAGCAGTTACCGCAGCCGCAACCCTCACCTGGTTCACCCCAGGAACCACAACCACACCGTTTTTCTTGAACTATTCATGCAATCGGTATCATGCAACATGCAAAGAACAACATGCAAATACCATAAAGTTAGTTCATGCAATATACCTTTGCTAGGCAAATACGACACTGATTTGACGGGATTCACATTTTTGGGCAGTTTTGTCAGACATAACTATAGATACTGTAATAAGCAATGAAATTAATCACATTACCCCTATTTTCCAATTATTTATGCTAATGTCTAATGTACGGAAAAGATAGACCACGTAACGGACATAATAATTTTCTTTTAATTTCATTGTCATTGAAACTAAAGCATGAGTCCAATCTCTTGGACTGGACTGATTAAAGAGCCGAGCACAGTGATTTTAAGGTTTTTTAAAATGATTTTCCATCCATTGTCAGACCTGATCACCTTTACTTTGAAGAAGACCAAACAACGAAAGTTGTTTGTGCCACAATAGCTGAGCTATACGGAAATTTGGAAAGCAAGGATAAGTATAGATGTCTTTTCATCTATTTTGTTAAGTAAAAAATGAAGCACAGCCTTGAGTTCATCCTTTCTGCTCCATGGATACAGGTGGCTGATCACCTGCAACCCTTTCATGCTTCGATAAGCGCAGCGAGAAAAATGTTTTAAAATTTTTTTAAAATGAAAATTCTCTGCACTTTATGGTTATCATCAGTGTCGTATTTTGTACTTTTCTTAATCTGGAAAGTAATTCGTGAATTTTAGTCCTTAAGTCTGTAGACAAAACAATCATAAAACACTAAAAAGTCATGAAAAATTAATGATTTTGGCTTCGTGATTAGATATTGTTCCCGAAACTAAAGTTCTGGTCCGCAATCATAGTTTCATTTCTAACCCTTGTTAGAAACTGAAAATGTGAAGGCTAAACCAAGTTGTTTTACTAAAAAGGTAAAACAGAATCTTTTTTACAATAGCTTGTCTTGAACATGAGTTACTGATATTTGAAAGCTATTTCAAATATACTCTACATATAGTTAAAATACATGATCATTAGTTAACGAGGTATTAAAAAATAGGAAATGGTGTTACCTTGTGTGCTCTTCACTGCCTTTTTGTCATCATCCACGGAACGCTTTTCGGGTTTGTCCTTCTCTTTGTCTGAATCTTCAATCACAACTCCTTTGATTTTTCCATTACCGCTTCCCTGAAGCACCAAATGCTCGGAATCAAGATCTACATTTTCTTCCCCAGACGAGTCTTGATCGTTCTGTTGATCATTGAGATCAGGTTCCTCTTCTTTGTCGTCTTCCTCTTCTTTATCGTCTTTCTTCTCTTCCTCGTCTTTTTTATCATCATCATCATCCTTACTTTCTTCGTCTTCCTTCTTGTCATCATCATCTTTCTTCTCCTCGTCTTCCTTTTTGTCTTCATCGTCCTTATCGTCTTCGTCGTTTTTGGTTTCATCTTCCTTCTCTTCATCTTCCTTACTTGCTTCTTCATCCTCTTCATCCTTGGCCTTGTCGTCGTCACTGGCCTCTTCAGCTTTCTCCTTAGCCTCCATTACCTCCATAAAATTTTCATTTTCTAACTTGTAAGATGATGCTACAGGAACTGCTGTTGCTTGATAAAGCACCACTAACAACGTGAAAACTACCAAGAGCCAGGTAGTTTTCATCATCTTCCACTGCTGTTTTTCCTAGACCTTTGGCACGGCTTATGGGAGTATCGTAAACAACAACAATGTAACTAACTCTTCTCGCCTCGATCTATTGTCTCATAAACTGCCATAAAATGACTTGAAATTAGGTAAGATTTGAAATATTTACGTCGTGAATTTTGGTTGGCTAGGGTGCTCTATTGTGTGATTACTTATTCTTTAATATTATTGGTTAGCAGGTAAAGGGGCAAATTAGGTAACACCTGATTATGCCAAATCTGGAAACAATTGATGTCAAGCCTCCGGTCGGCTTTTGTAATAATTAATCCGTAGTTTGTGGAAATCAAGATTTTGCATTTTTTCCTTAAGTGTGTCATCAAAAGAAAGAACTAGTGAAACATATCTTCCAGCGTCCTCCATAGCATAAAACGCCATTTTTAATTTCAAAATTCCTATTAATTTTTTAGTGCTTTCTTTTCTTGTTAACTCGAGCATTAAATAGCGCACCTGAATGGCTGAATACACCACCTATCGCAAGCGTCAAGCTTGAAGAGACATCTATTTATTGCTTTGTGTTTAAAATTAACCACATGTGACCATTTTGCCACAAATATAAGTCAGTAAAGTTAAAACCACTATTTGATAAAAAATGGGGTATTCTAAGACTGAAAACCTTGTAAGAAATTGTAATTGATCTGTTCACGACTTATCCTGGCGAGCAAAGAGAGAGGAACTTCCATCTGTGCTATAGGTTAAGGGAATGACAATTGAAATTCAGAAGTCTAGCGGAGCCCTGAAACAATATGAAATCTAGCGATACGAACTAATGTGAAAAGTAATAGCGTCATAGGTTAAAAGAATTAAAAGCTGTTTTTGTTTGTAATTTAGTCAATGTACTATCCCCACTTTTCAAGCTAAACAAATAAAAAAGAAATTGAAACACTTCAATGAAAAAGTGCAAATTCATCATCGAATAAGCGCTAAATGTGGAACTTTTTGCGAAAAAAATCCAGACTTCATAAAAGTCATCCGAAGTGTAACTGAAAAGTGGAAAAACCTGAACAGTGATGGTGCCCTTAGTCCTCTTTCTCGTTTCCGCGACTTCCTTGGAAACTCCTGTCTTAACATGTTTGTATATATACTTTCACAGTTATCGGAGGTAGTTGATCGAAAGTTATTTTGTAGTACAAGTATAACTTTCCTTAAAAATGGACCGGGGATGTCGCTTAATCGTGGTGTAAGTGTCGCTCTTAAGGATATAGAAGTCGTTCCTTTTTTATCTTACATACTTAGGACACCTAAGGAGAAAAAAACGGCGAGAAGTATTGGATGTCTCTCAGTTGATGATTATTGAAAGTATCTTTGTTATAATTTGAGTTTGTGAATTTAATTCTATTGTTATTCATGTCAACAGTAGACAAAATAAGTCCACATATAATATTGACGCGTATAAAAACAGAATGACCAAGTCATATCTTGTGTTCAGCGCTGGTACCTGTAAGAATTAATTGCTGTACCACCACATGCTGTCAACATCCACATCAACCAACCCTTAGAGGCTAATTTCAATTTTTTTTCCTCTGCTGCAAAGATATTAAGCGCACAAAGTGGAATAATCAATATAACATGATTTGAATCTGCTCGGCGAAATAATTTTTAAAAGGCCTGAGTTTCTCCTAGTAATTGCTTTAGTGTATACAAACATTTGGTGATAAACATTTGAAATGTAAGTGTTTGTTTGATGCTTTGAGCGATTTCCAAATTAAGAAAGTTTCAAGAATGGAATGCTCGGTAAAACCTTTTTCACATCGGACACACTGTGCTTAAATTTCTGTATCGGTAGTTAATTGCCAGTGCGTGTGGTTTTGCCAAGAATCGTTAACTATCCGACCTGGCTCTACATTTCGAGAGGAAAATTTCTAGGATTTCGAAAGGAAGTTCGACCCCTCCATGCCCTCCTCTAACTCTGTTGAATTTTGACCTCTGCGTCTAGCAAAATCAAAACCCTATTGTCTCTTTGGTTGTGCAACAGAAGCGATTAAAGGAAAAAAAAGAAAAGGAATGACTTAATAAAGAATTCCTAAATAGAATACTTGCAGCTGTCTCGTGACTTTAACCTATGTTTGTTTCTAATTAGTGTAATCTCAAATTCACGATATATCTTAAGGGTGGTTTTGCTATTACCGTATTAGGGGACGAAATCAGTTGCAGAATTTTTGAATGTGAACCTGCGGATAATTGTTACTTAAAATGTGTTGTCAGACATATGAGTAAAAATAGACACAAACATCACTACTATGCTAATTTTTTATTTCATGTCGACCCTTCTGTTACACATGATCATATATACAATTTTTGTCGATATTGTGGCACTTAAGGAGGTTTGTTTTTTGATATTTTGTTACTAATAATCGGTAGACTTAAATGACCATCTCTTAGTGATGTTGTGGCTTGGAGTGTGCAGCAGCGATCTGCGGATTGACAACAGCAGGCGTCCTCTCTGAGGCATTTGACTTCTTACAGCAACAATGGCAGCAGGGACAGCAGTGGCAGCAGTGGCAGCAGCATGGGCAGCAGCACTCGTGGCAACAGCAACAACAACATGGTTCGCAGCAGTGGCAGCAACAGCAGCATGGTTCGCAGCAGTGGCAGCAACAGTCGTGGCAGCAACAGTCGTGGCAGCAGTCACAGCAACAGCATTTCTTGGACCCTTTTCCCTTTCTTACCGCTTGACTTCCATCGGCTTGCGGCATTAATGGTGCAACAGCCAAGATACCCGGGTTATCTGACACTTGCGCTGCTACAGTTGAGTGTCTTGTATTTGAACGAGAGTTGCATTTGCAGTCACATCGCTTCGTGATGTTTGTCTGAACACTGCCACTTTCTGCATCTTTTTGGTTCTTGCATTTGCAATCCTCTGGCCTGCAATTCTTTATCGTTGCGCTTGAAGAGTCACAGCTACATTTTCCTTTGTCTCTCAGACACTTTTTTGCGTCTCCTTGCGAGCAATCACACTTTCCGTCGATATTTTGTTCCTCTTTTGCTGGAATTTCACAAGTACATTTATTGGCATCAGCCTCTTTCCTTTCGTCTAAAATAAAAAAAACAGGTTTAACATACGATCAACTTCATGCTAACCAAAGAAACGGTCACAAAGGTTTGACGTTGTTTTATATGGAGAAGAAGTATGTTGGTCAACCCTCTGGAGGGTATGCAAATTAACAAGGTACTTTCAAAGCAAACCCCGTCGAGGAAAGTAGTGAAGAGATACCAGTAAGTCTCTTGACGAGTGTTTAAGAGTTCTTGTGTGTCAACACGCTCTGAATTTGACCCAGCATAATATATTAATTACTTTAAAGCCAATGGCTTATTGTAACTTTATTTTCTCATAAATCAGGTTTAAAGTAACTTATCTTCTTATAGCTTATCGAAATTCGTTCTTTTTAATTTTATGGAATGTTTTGGGTTGCTTTCTGTGAACAGCCGCACTAATTGTCGTTGGAGTTTGCTTGTTTTCTTATGATCGTGAAAAAAATGATCTAAAACGAAACAATTTCTCTCTCATTTGAGCACCAAAAAAAATCGACGTTGAAACATCAAAATCAGTTCACTACTGCAGCGAATGATTTCTCGATGGATTCGATCCGTCAACAGAAATAAACCCTTGCTATGAAGTTATCCTCGTTCTCACTTCAAACAACAAATCCTTACCGTGATTTGCCTTGATTGATTTTCCTTCCACTAATAAGAAAACACAACTTAACATAGAAAAACAAAGAAACACTGTCGCCTTCATAATGACGCACAAAACAAACCAGAGAAAGAACTCGGTGAGTCCAGTGATTGAAGTGTTGCCTTTATGATGTAATTTACCCTTAAAAATCAATTGAACTGGTGACCTTTTGTTAATTTCGTGATTTGAATACGACCATATATTATATGCGATTTGTTTATGCATCAGAACTTTGTTTGATTTTATGACTTGCATCTTTTTGGCAAAAACGGATAACAGTGATCTTCATTTAGGTCATCAGGCAACTATTTTAAGGAAAGTGAAAGACACTTTAGTTCGTGTTATAACCGGCAAGGGTGTTCCAATTTGCGAAATCATTGAATACATGTCAAATGGTCACTTCCGGGAATGGTGCTTCAACGAACTAATTTAATTTTACCAGAGAAACCAGAAAAGTTGACTTGCACTTTAACTTGAACTATGGCTCAGAGAGACAGCTGGTCATATTTTTGCACCTTTTAACATGCTGATCGAAATGACATGTGTTGTTTTCTTGGTTGCTCATGCAAAAACTGCAAAAAAACCTTACAATTTCCACTGAACTAACAAATGGATTTCACGATTGGTTCTCCCTCTCTTTTTTCTGTTTGAATGTGTATTGCAGTGAAAAATCACCTTTCCCTTTATTCTAAAGTTACCAATGTGTGCGCTTGCCGTAACAAAAAGAAAACGCCTTACGCAGAGATCAAATGCTCGTGTCTGCTGCTTCCGTGTTATTGGAAGGATTTTCTTTTTCGGAGTAACATGATAGGCGGGGATGCTGGGAAATATCTTCAGGTATCAACCTGTTAGCATTCGTTTGCAGTTTGGGGAAAGCTAGAAGAAGGTGGCAGTGACTTGTCCCGGGATAAGTGCTGGTCTAATGTTTCGAGTAAACAAATGGTTCTCACTCACAGACATTGCAATTGCTTGAATGATTAGCCAAAAGAAAAACTAAATAGATCATAGATCATAATTATTATTTTGTTCCTCGATGTCTCTGAAAACCCTTTGGAAAACACTACTAGTTTCAAGTTGTACCATGCAGAACTAGATAATCGAGTAGAATATATCTGTCCCGTGAGAATTTCAAACTTTAATTGCACAAAGCTTGACAATATTTGGGAACTCGCGAGAAAGTTTCATGCTTCTGCAATATAATAAAAATCTTAGAATTCAATGCGTTGATCGATTCATTTTATTTCACATTCGCATTTCAAACAAACACCATTCAACAATCTCACATCATATCCCTAAATATGGTTACACTTTGCACATATCACATTTAAATACAAACAGTCAAACTAATTGCTCGCAAAAAACGATGTAAACACTAATATTCATTGTTCTTGACAAAAACGATTCGTCTGAACATCAGAAGAGGTATATATCAGGTGACGCGTCATAAAGTATTTACGCTGCAATACACTTGGAACCATATGACTCTTTCCGTTCCTGACGGGCTCACGTGATCTTGATGTAGCAAAATCGCTAAAGGCTTTATTTCTCGATAAAGTTCGTTAAGACTCTTATAAGACTTTCCTTTAGTATACCTGTCACCTCAACGGATATAGGATAAATTTTGTTTCAATTTATATACTGACTTTCAGATCTAATTATTTACCAATTTCCTTACTTCTCTGACATTTTACCATTATGTAACTTCCATTATGAAACAATTTCATCGGCAGCGGACGTCATTTAGCTTATGCCCTGTATGTTGCAGCGATAGGCAGAGGAACACGCAAAACGATGGTCTACAATCAGAATATGTTTTTCAAAATTAGTGACGATAATTTCGATTTAATGATGGATTGGGCGGGAGGCGGCAGCTGCGGCGGCGGCAGCCAATGCAGCGGAATTGAGTTGTTCCTTGGACTTTTTGCAGCAGCAGCAGCATGGACAGTGGCAACAATGATGGCAGCAGTGACAGCAGCATGGCTCACAACAGTGACAGCAGCAGCATGGCTCACAACAGTGGCAGCAACAGCAGCATGGCTCACAGCAATGACAGCAACAATCGTGACAGCAACAGTCGTGGCAGCAGTCATGGCAGCAGTCACAGCAACAGTCATGGCAACAATCACAGCAGCAATCGTGACAACAGTCATGACAACAATCACCGCAACAGCATTTCTTTGTAGAATTGATTTTTTTGCCTATACCAAGCTGAGGCGATATGGCAGATGATAGTTTCACGGCGCCTATTACAGTGGGGTCTGCTGGTCTTGGGATTCCTGCCTTGGCCTCTCCCTCTTTGCATTTACAGTTGCATTTCTTCCCACCTCCAATTGCGGCAACATTTTTGCATTTTTCTGTTTCTGCCTTACAATCACATTTCTTGGGTTGATCTTTGTGTGTACAGTTCTTGGGTTGATCTTTGTGTTCACACTCTTTGTTTTCAGTGCACGTACCGCCACATTTTTCGGGGCACTCTGATTTCTTCGTCTCCTCGGTACATTTCTTTTTAGGTTTTCCACTGCATTCACAAGAATCTTTCACTTTTTGCTCTGCATGACAATAAAATAAGTCAAACTAGTAGCTTAACCTTCATCGAGGACATCATGCAGAGAGTTATATCAACTTTCCCGATAGCAGTGGAGCGATCAGTACGAAGATAAGGAGAGTGGATGCAAACCATTAGGCTAATAGAGACTCAATAATGTAAAACAAATTTGAATCTAGGAGATGAAGTACGAAAAGAGAAGGGCTGTGTATTCAAAACCAGAACATTTTTTTACACAATAGCAGGCCGTGTTCGGGTGAGCTTTTAATCTATTAATGTTAAGTATGCTTCCGTGATTGTTTCCTCACAGCAGTTGCGAACGACTCAGGAATTTGCAAAGACGCATGCTTTCTTAATTTCTCTTGAATTTAACGGGTCGACCAGATTCTATCCTAAGAACAATCATTGCTTCTAATACTTGTGGCAGTTGCTTGTGATCATACTGTACATATTGTTGTGTTTCCCTTTCTCCGGCAAATATTTTGTTGTGTATTTAAATTGACCTTTATAGAAGACAAATGAGTGTATTCTTATCGCTCCCAATTGCTCTTTGAGTATCTAGGCATAGTAGAATAGATCAGAGAGCTAGAGAGTTCAACTGGAGGAGCAAAGAAAGTCAAGAAAAAAAAATTTGGTGTCATCAGTGTGGGTCGCTTACGACAGAGCCCATTCATTATGAAAAAATTCCATATTATTGGCTATTTGGAATAACATATGAATATGACTTAATACTTTATCTAGCGTGCAATTTTGAAAAAGAAAGTTTTTGTATCGTTAGTGCCACTGGACCCCTTTCCGAGTGAGAACAGGCAGTTTTCATTCTTTGAGAAATGTACCGTGTGGCTTGACCAAACTGCTTATCTTCTCTAGAGTCGCTTTTTTTTTGTTAGCACTAGCTATACCATGCTATTATTTTGTTCTTCTTTTAGATTTTCCTTTGATTCCTCAACTAAAAATTCCAAATGCAATCATTACTTCTTATCAACAATATCAAAATGTAAATAAAAGTCATCCCTACCATTATCCTTGTTAAGAGACTTTCCTTGTACTAAGGCCAAAAAGCCAAATGCGAGGCATAAAACGGTTATTAGTTTCACGTGCATTTTGCCAGATGAAGAGACAAAAACTGCGAATGAATCTAAAGCAAAAAATGCCTCTTGTTATTTGATATCGAAGGAAATGAGAAAGTATTACATCACAAAGAGGCGGCAGTTTGACAAATGGTTCAGAGGACTATGTCATTTTACTACTGGTAAACTTTCCCCCTTTTTACGCGCTGTTGTAAATCACGCCTACTCTTAGAATTTGATTGGCTAGCAAACGCGATACCTGATAGTTTCTCGAGTACCACCTAACTTACAGCTTTAACTTCTTTTCCGTTGCCAAGCGTATTAACCTTTAACCACGAGTACACTTCTCGGAGGATTGTCGAGGCTTTTGAAAATTGTCTCTGAGATGCTGCTCTTTAGACCATTCTTGTATTTCCTTTTACCGATTTCATGGACATTCCCCCGTCTCCCCGGAACTCTTGGTTTACGTGTCCAAAGGTTATATGATAAAAAAAGATAATTGATAAATTAATAAGCGAACTAGTTGTTACAAAAGTACATTTTTTATTGGGTTTTTTCCCCTTCGAAATTGTGGCTAAAAATTAAAAAATGGTGACTTTCCTCGTGGAGAAAAGTATTAACCCGTTATTCTTTAATGAGCGACAAAGCCATCCTCTTGCTCTTCATCTCATTGGTAGAACTTATTTTCTTCTGACGTAGTGGGAGTGATTGAGTTTAAAGTTCTTGGTTAAAGTCGCACAACTTGCTACTCACTTGGGGATGACACAACGATATGAAGATAAAAGTAGACACTGACAGTTTGCTCGCTATCTTTTTTTTTGTTGTCGTAAAGCTATGTTTTTAAAGAGAACTTAAATACAAAGCGACCATAAAAAAACGCCACATACTTACATGTAATTATCACTCGGAACATAAGTGTGTAATACTGCTGCACATTTTGAAAACACAAAATCGCAAAAGCCGAGCACATTTATAGCACACTTCAAAGTCAAGATTATAATCTCTTGTCAAAGTGCAATGCAAGTGTACATACATCACAAAGACGTTGAGTTTCCATCGTGTCCATTTATTGAAATTTAAGTTCTCGAACGTTATATGTTTGCAAGTGCACTAATCACTTTATCCTCTATTATTATCTCTAAATGTACGTTAATTAATATTATCCTTTATTATTGTTCATTAATTAGCCGTGCTTATTAATGAACAATAACCTAATTTTTACTGGATGATATTTTTATTGCTTTTCTTTCCGAAATCCAGGCGAAAGAAGTCATTTACCCTTGCAGAACATAAAAATACGTCAACAAAGCAAAATTTGTCCCCCCATTGACGGCTTTATTTTTACATTCAAATTATCGATTCGTTTGAGATGACGAAATAAAAAAAGGACGTCACTTGAAATAACTAAAACCCTTCGTGACGTACATAGAGAATACTATATGGGCGCATGTAGATATGGAATTTCTCTTCAAGCGTTTAACTCGATAGGTCACGTATAATTTTATTTATCATATAAACAAAGTAGCCCTTTACTGACAAGAAAACTCCAATTTATTAATGAATGAAAATGAAAGGATCGACACTCCGAAAAATCTTAAGCGCGTTGGCGCACTTAAGATGAAAACATGCGTTTAATCACGACAAAAACAAACAACGGGCCTAGTTTTCAATATACGAAATTCTTAGTCATTGAATTGGTCCCTACCGACAGAAAAAAATCTTTCAGGTACACGGCCAAAATCGGCCTGTGGCAAATCTATTAGTCGTTGACTTTCGTTCTCAGCCGCGAGAAATGCCATTACCAAAGCTACTGAATACGTAACTCCCGGTTCTACTTTTTTTATTTTGGTTTTCTTTCCCAGGAAAGTTTGAACGCCACTGTCTGTAAACAATACAGACTCTTCAGTATTTTAGCAGCCATAATTCGAAAAAAATCCGACCAACGACCATGAATTGAGAATGGTAAGGCTTTGCTGTTCATTCATTGACCTGACCGAGTGGCGGGAAAGGCGAGTGACGTGTCAGCAGCTGATTGGCGATATCAAGAACGCGTGAAAAAATATCCTATTTTTTCACGTGTGTTATTACGGCTTTTCTCAGGGTTGGAAATCCTTGTATAATACTGTAGTTTATGTAATAAAAACCTTTATCTGCATTAAATGTGCCGTGGTGCACTAAATTTAATAGTTAAAAAGAAGCTCAGGGCTTTAGGTCTTGTTAAAACAAAGACTAAAATAAAGAGGATGTGGAGGTATATTTATATTTAAAGCTAAAACCTGACCTTGTCCTCCACAAATCTCAAGTGATATCAAAGATGTGTCGCTTCCAAATGTGGAGTGCGGCATTTCGACAACACATTGCTTTTCGTCTTTAGGCAATGAGGCAAACAGACCACATGTCCTTTACGAAGCTTTATGGATAGCTGTAATTGGATGGTTTCTAACAACTGTGATCGGTGCATCTCCATCACCACTGAACTGTTTCTTCAGTGGCCACCGTCGCACGGCGACCCCTTGTGTTTTTTTTTTTTTTTTTTTTTTCATCGTCCCTGTTGATGGCCTTTAAGAGTAGAAATGATTGCTTCAGACTATGAGACAGTATATCAGTGAGCGAAAATAACTGCAAATGATTAATCAAGAAAATCGATTGAGAAGCTTTGAAACTTAAAGGAAATGTTTTATAGCTCTCACAAACTTCACAGCTTCAAGTACAATATTAACGTTTTGTTTTCAGATTACGATTACCAATAAAAGTATTGGAAAATATCGTTTTCTTTCAGTTCTTACTAAAATGGTTGGAGCCGACCACACGTGATTATCCATCCGGATTTCTGTTATAATCAACGTCCAACCATAATAAAAGGAATCTTCTGACGATTTGTCTCAACTGGTAAGCTCCGTAGAAGCGTGGTTACCTGAAATGTGTCTCTGGCCACTCTTGAAGAACATAAAAACATGAAAACCTGGCATCGCGTCATTCTAATCACTAGCCAGTGTCCTTATAATGATTATACTAGTCATTAGGTATGTGCAGTAGTACTTACTCCAGTCGCCTCTTAACGGAACAGAGATTTTATTGCCTCACAGCATCTATTAAGAGAGGATCATTCCCTTATTCTAAATATACGTAAGCTTACCTCGAATAATGAATGATTCCAGACTTCTGTACTTTCCCAACCAAGACTTCTACCTTCCGGATCTATATTTGTGTAGATAACCGATTACCTCTAAGATCTTGAATTGATGTAAAATAATCACATCAATTCTTAATAGAAATAGAAATTGGTATGTTATGATATTTTTGCATATGGATACGCAAAGTAAAAGTTCGCTATAGCAAAGACAATGTAAAGGTGCTAAAAATCAGTGATGAAAGAGTTTAACGCGCTTTGAGAATCAGGAACTTTAGCTCTTTCTTGAAAGAGATAAATTAAACTGGAGTAACAGTCACATTAAAATCTTGAAAAGGAGATCTGAATGTGTGAAACTTTTTGTGTAAATAAGTGCAGGTGCAAACCCTCAAGCGACACCTCCACACGTTGTACCTCAACATTGAGAAATTTGTCTTAACGGGTGTGGGACGAAAGCGACTGATCATAAGACACGCGTTGGATTAAGAACAAACTACAGACTTGAAGAACATGAATTCATCAGTGGCTCTGACTTTATTCTTTTTCTCAGTTACCTTTGGACATACCATGGGCGTTTTCCGTGTACCGGAGAGCCTACACACCAAACGTAAAGGATTTGATGTGACAGAAAACAGTAGAGGTATCCAGTTAGGGTCGGGAAATACTTCATCAGGTTTGAGGTAACATTTGACTTGATGTAGTTTAGTTTGATTATGATACCGTCAGTATCCTTTGCGAGATATGTACATCGCGCCTCACGGTTTCTGCCAGCTATCTAACTCCCGGTGCTTGTGACAGCTTACTCAATTGCGTAGTTTTGAGAACGTAGTTTTAAAACATTGAAGAGGATAAGCGTATCTGATTACCTGACATAAATCAGCCTCCTCTTACACATCTCTTTAGCTGATCTAATGCTTAGTTTAGCTATGATAGGTTCCGAGCGATAACGAAGTTTGACTGATTTAGATGAGAGAGCCGCTCTTTGTGCGGTTCTCTTCAGATTTTGACTTTCAACAAAGGGTGTTACAAAGTCCGTTTGCTCTTCGGTACGTGTCATTTTGTATACCCGGAACTGAACCGTAATGATGACCTAAACAAATACACCGAGCTAGAAGTATTCCTTTTGTAACGTTAACCAATACTTTCCAGAAAATGCATTTAACAAAAGCAGTTCCTACACTGTAGTACAGTCAGAGAAATATTCTTTGCTTTTTCATTTTTAGGAATATCCTTCCTCGGAGGTCAAAACTTTTTGGAATGAACTTGGTAAAAGCTTATGCTAGTCCACAGTGGACGTATGGTTATCCCTGGCCATGGCAGCATAAAGACCAAGCTCAAGGGTCCAGGCTGCGAAAGGCCCCACGTCCTAAACAGAAAAATCATGGCTAGTGGCCAGGAATTTACTATCGTTAGGAGACAGAAGAAGCTGTATCATCTGGTGCCTCTCATCACATGAAACGTTATTCTCCATACATAATGTAATCATTATAATCACATCACGAAAGATGAGACTTACTTTTAATGAAACATAACTTTCTTTATTAGCCTCGTATATTCGTAAAAACGGAAACACGTGTGATACACGTCATTGTCTGTTGAACTCAGTAAATGTTTTTAGGCACTTTTTATCAGGTTTCTCTGAAATCCCTTGTTACACAATTTGCTTTTTATTTTTTCGCAAACGCGTCGGTTCGGTGATAAAGCATAGACCGATAAACATTCTGAAGTGCCGATATTCTCTTAGCCGTTTTATTGATTTCTTACATGTAATTTATCAACTTGTGCCCTCAAAAGGACCATGTCACTATGCCAGCGAGCCCAATCCACATGGGGGAGAAAATGTACGATGGTTGATCTCATATTATCACGTCGAGTCGATAATTAGATATGTGCCAAGTTCGGGTAGTTTAAGGCTCAATTAACATGCTTCTGCATCATATTAGTAGAACGGTGCATCTTGAGGAACGCGACGATGTAAACCTGAAGGTAACCATGCACGAATAACTAAACCTACTGCTCATACCATTCTAATTATCAACCATCAAAATGCTGTTATCGAGCCATCTACCGGCTTAGTGAACACGTAAAGGCCCATGTTGTAACAGCGACCTTGCGTTTTTATCGTAAAGTCCACTGATAGACGGATAGGGAGTAATCAGATACAAGAAGAGAGGTCTTCTGAAGAATGTTGTTGACAGGGGCCCTTGAGATCGCTTACAGTGGCAACAGTGGCAACAGTGGCAGCAGCATGGGCAACAGTGACAACAATGGCAGCAGTGGCAGCAAGGACAGCAAGGGCAGCAATGATGATGGTGATGATGAATATGATGACAACAATGCTGACAACTTGGAACAGGGCAACATGGGCAACAACAAGGACAGCAACATGGCTCCTCTGCGGGCTTCTTTTTGGGGGCTTCCTCAGCACCCGGTATAGGACACCAACAGCCTAAATGAAGAATGGAGAACAGATAAAGAACAAAATAAGATATTATCAATAAATTCTGAGCAAACTAATGTTTTTCTGGCCTTAGCATCTGCTACCAGCGAACTAGGACTGACAAGACTTATGTCAGTTTATGTGTTCAGATTGTTACTTGTTAAGGGCGATGTGATGCAGGAAATTATTGTGTGTCAGTTGCGTGAGATGATTTCAAAACATCCTTGTATGATGTTGCTGTGTGACTTGGTTTTGTATTAGTCGTTGCCTTAAGAAGTCCCCGAGGGGTTGTATACCTGAGCCTTTAATTTTGTTGACTTTGTATTGTTTGGTGGGTATATCCACTTTTACTGTTCAGGTTTATCTAAAAATACTGCCTAGAAAAACAGGTGGTTTCCAAATATCACATCAATGCTCAACTTGACTCGTTGATGTTTAAAAATCAAGCTCTAGGGGAGTATCCTTTTTCGTGTTTTGATCATCCGATTTGATTTATCTTGATCTTAACTTATATTAAACACTAAGTGGTCCTTTCTCTATAACATCTTAGGCAAAAGTTTTGACCGGCAGCGAGCTATAAATTCAAAATGATGTTTTTATAAGTGAGTGTATACAATAGGAGAGTTAAAATGGTGTACTTCACATCCCTCCGCTGGGCGTAAAAATAATTACTTGCTCTGTTACCGACCCAACTGCAGTCACTTAATGAAAAGTATCACAGATGTTGTACGAAACAATGCATTCCTGTTTAAAGCCAGTCAGACTTCCTTTCTATGAATTCCTCTCTATAGTTTCTAAGAACAGTATCAAGTTCTACTACACTGTTTTATTTTTCAGAGCTTATCAATTTCATGCCGCATGCGTTCAGTTAATCGTTAACAGTTGCACTTAGTGTCCAACTCGACAGTAAATTGTAACAATATTTGTCATGCGGGTAAAAATTGACAAACCTTCATCGCACTCATGGTGACAACAATCGCAATTTTGCATACAGCCGCCAACACAAGGCTGACAACCATGACAAATGCAGCACCCTGAAAAAAGAAATTTAGCCTTCAACCAAGTAGTGTATTAGCGATTGAAAAAGTTCGAATCGTCATCATTGAGATTCAATGAACCAGATCCCAAAAATGCCACAATTTTGTGGTTAAAATAACCTACAAGCAACCACAGTTGCACACTATTTTCTTCATCAAACTTTTTAAAGCTATGAGATTATCGTGCTGAAGATTTAACACGAAAGTTCATTTAAATCATACCATATCTTTTTCCTTTACTTTTTCCTACATCATTACTTTGTGCTGCTTTAGGCAAGGACTCGGGTCTAGGAAAAGGAATGAAAAATAACCTTCAGAATGATGGTAAAGATAATTTATAACTGAACAGTGACATTATTACGAATATGACGAAATGCATGTACCTCACGGACTGATCAAAGGGGCTAAAGCTTAAGGTGACTCAAACGTGATGTTGAATGATGAAAAGGTAATTAATTTGTAAGCATGTTTGACGGTCAACGATGTCCCAAATTCCTCTCTTTATGTAAAAAGCCACAGTAGAGTTAGTATGATGATGTAAGTTATTTTGAATTAAAATCCTACTTGAAACCTCTTTCTTCGTTATCATAAACGCGGTACAGCAGTGTTTGCACACCAGGCAGAGTCACATAGCCTCTGGCAGAATACTAAAAGCATCGTAGCTCCTATAGGGTTAGATGTTTGTTGATCTCGCGTAAAATCCAGCAATTCATTAAATCTCAGTGGCAGTTTGCCGTTACCTTTTTACATTCCCGTATTGATCGAAGCGTTGTGGGTCAAGATCGTACACAAGAACCTTTACCTCTATCGACTTCGGCCAGTTTTCTCAAGCTCAGTCAGTGCATCATCATGAACCTTTTCAATTACATTCCGTTTGAGTGTTTTCCCGTGGGCTGAAACGTTCTACATATTACATAACGATCCACAGATCACGGAAGAAAAGATAGATCTTCTTGTTTCTTATTTTGCTTCTTTACAAACAAGAAAGGGATAACATTCCTGACTTTTTCAAAGACCTAAAAATTGCTTTGTGTGACACAGGTCAATGGTCTCAGTGTCTTCATTTCGATGTGAAATCGTGTTTAATCATCTTGACTTTTAGATATAACACGATGTTTTGACTCAGGCCTTCTTCAAATTTAGTTTTCAATTTATAAGACGTTTAGAGGTTTGTTGTCACTCTTCTTCTGTCAATCACATTTTTTCTTGTTCTAATTAGTCTATAGAGATTTTTAAGTCGTAGAACATCAGGGACAGGATGAAATCACCCTACCTTAACAAACTTCCCGCCGCAGGTAACTTCCTTGATGTCCTCTTTGAGGTAATTTTATCGCCAGTTTTTGGGTGACCATATTTCTTTCCAATCGATCCTGAATAACTCCTCAAGGTACCTTTATCACTCCCATGCAATATTCTTCCGGAGATTACGGCATTATAAAATATGACAGAAGAAAGTAAAGAAGTCAATAAGATATTCGGTTTCATATCCTTCTAGATAAGTCCCATGTTTAGGACAACCGAGCTTCTATTCGAAACCATACATCTCGAAATTTATACTTTGCATTTAAATTTGTTGTGGGCATTTGTGTCCATTCGAGTGAATTATAAATCTTACATCACAGCACCATTCAACGCCAATCTCCTCCTTTATTTTTAACGCTTCAAAAGACCATGTCATGGAATTCACACGATAGTGAACGCCATTGGGTTATTCCGAGATAATTGGCATATTCATTTCTGGTACCAGCGAGTACAAGTTCGCTTGATGTTTTCTCCTTATGAAGAATAATCAACTTTCTTTTTTGCGAGTTACTAATTAAATCAGAAGAAAACACACACAAACAGCTTGAGAATTTCTCTTTTCTTTTCTACTGTTTCAAGGTTAGTGTTATAAGTAGTTGAGACCATATAGATTAAGTGATTAATTGAAGAGGTGACGGTGCAGATAAAAGGTGACAATTTTACGCTGCCTCGCAAATGTATCGGTATTTAACCATTATGTTGCGGGGTGAATCTTCACCTTGTTTTAACTTGTTGACATCAACTCAAAAAGTATATTTCGCATGTCGCTCGTTGCGATAGGTAATACGAACATTTCCGATTAGAAAAAAGAAACACAGAAGAGGCTGTTTCAGTTTTGCGTAAGGGTTGGCTGCCAAGTAAGGCGATTAAAGGAATAGTTTCTTAGTGTAGCGTGTTAATGGCAAAAAAAAGGAGTAGAAAGAATTAAACGATTTAAGATATTCCAGGCCGAGAAAGACAATTTTCATTGTTCCTTAACATTCTAAAACGCTAAAAATCGAGTCCTCGATCAATAATTTGGCGCTGTGATTTGTTCCAATTTAAACCCAGCAGGTTAGTTCCTGGTACTTAATTTTTTGGACTGGTCTGCGTAAGAGAGCTTACGGTAAAAATATACAGTGCACCTATTATGGAATAAAGTTATGTTTAGCATCATTTATTACAAATAAATGCGTGCCGCCGTCAATGGAAGCGTCGTTCACGTGATTCCATGATGAGAATTTATTTTATCGTATTAACTGCTAAACTATTATTTGGAAGACCATCCTTTGCAGCTCACAAGAACCATACACCATACGGTATCAGTTGAGCGTGGAGCGTGCCATCCGTCATGAACGTGTGCCATCCGTCGATACATTCAATTGGAAAATGGAACTTTGGGTTTTATATAAACTTTAAATGGGAAGATCCTTTACAATCTCAGCTCAGCCAAAATCAGAATGGTAGTTCTTTAATACACATTTAGATTATGCTAATATCAAAAGAAACACCTGTAATATGAAATCCTACAGGATGTACTTGTTTAGGACCTGATGAAGCCGGGAAAAACGAAGATTAGATCATAGTAGACTTATCTAAACTAGACTAGACCAGAACACGCAAAACAGTATTTACTATCCAGTTATGCAAACGAAGTTTTGTTAAACTATGGCGCATGGTGGGCATTTACTCAATTTTATATATATGTATATATATATATATTATGAGAGAAAAAAAGGACGTAACTACATTTCCCGACAAGCCTGTTTCGCGAATCGCTTCACTCTTCAGGGGTTTAATCACTAAATAAGCGTAACGAACTCGTATCTTCATGCCGACACAGAAAGAAAGCATTGCTACGCAACAGCTGAACTTTAAAGTTTTTAAGTTTACCGCGTATTATGTAAATTTTCCTAGTTTATACACGGTAGTCACATGAATATTCTTTTATTAAACCCCTGAAGAGTGAAGCGGTTCACGAAACAGGCTTGTCGGGAAAATGTAGTTGCGTCCTTTTTTCCTCTTAAAATATTTATATATATACAATACAAATGTATTTGAATTTCAGTGCAAAGTTCACTCATCCTGATAAATAAAACGCACTTTTAAAGTAATCAGCGACTGTTGCGATACCTCTTGAAATTCTCGCTCTTCAGAGAGGTAATGCAGGAAATGAGCAAACTCTAGATTTAAAAGAGCTAGAAGAAAAATAATTATCATGCACTGTGTGGTTCCTTAGACTAATACAACCACATTTACAAGACAATGAATTAATTTATGTTTACAAGTGTTAAACCTTACATTTATTTTGTACCAAAAGTTAAATAAAAATGGATTAACTTGCTTTTTGAAGAAACTGAAGGATTCTACACGTCGATACGCTAAGAAAAGGTAGCCAGGTGGAAGAATAAGTTGACGCTGAACTGCTCTCTTTTCTTTCTACCCTTTTTCTTCTGGAATACCTCTCTCTAGAATACGAAAAAAAAACAAAAAGGAGGAGAGGGACTTCAAAACAAAAATGAAAGTGCTCACTAATACTCAAACTTCCTTCTTTATAAGAAAAGAGATCATTTCGAACGCCACCGAGATTACCCACAGCAACCACAAGGTATGGCTTACAGCGGGCATCCAGAGCATTCGTTGAAGGTTTAAATATAATAACTGTCCTAAGTGTAATAATGTTTGATCCTAAATGTAATAATTTCCTAAATATAATAATATTTGGTCCTAAATGTAATAAGTCTACAATGCAATCGTTTGACTGCGCTAGTGCATTGTTGTTATAGCGGACATCCACATTGAGATGTTAAAGTGACAGCTGTTGGAAAAAAGAATCCTTTGACCAATATTCATTGCATATTGCGGGCTCGCTGATATTAATCAGCGTCTCTTTGTTTTCTACATTAAAACTATTTCTAAGATTTATTTCTAGATCTACGTTGGGAAGATTTCCAATGTGACATTCGTCATCCCCTCGCGTACTAATATTATCAACGTGGCTGACACTATATAAAGCTGGTTTACAGCTCGTCGCAGAATATAAGTCGATGTATACATCTGAAACAAGCTGAACTTCCATTAGCTTATCACCATCATTGGCTATGCCACTGTCGACTTCACTTTGCAATATTCAAGCTCCGTCTCGTTTTTTCGGCTACTATGAGTAAGTCCCTCAGCTACATCTCCTGCATACAGCGTAATCGGCCTCCCATAGGTTCCATCTCGCGCCATATGAGTTGTATAGTCGTCCCAGGAAGCGAACTCATCATCTGCCAAATGATCCAAAAAAGGGAAGCCATCGCTATCGTACGGATTACTTTTTAAGGATGATACTATTTTATTCATGATACTCATGGTTTCAGGAGATCTTAAAATGTATTTTTGCCTGGTGCGTTAGTGCAGCAAGTTGGTAATTGAAATCTCCAGGAGGATTGTTAACCAATTTAAAACCCTGGTTTTTAATAGCCTTTGCATAATCGTCTCTTCTCATAGGCATGTAATACTTTTTCTGGTGGTAAATGTTTTATTTTTAGACAGCTTAGCGTATTTTTATTTCTGTTTTTTGCGCTCTAGTGTAAAGCTTGTGACATCGTCCACAGAGACCCATTTCCACTCTTCCTTTCCTGAAAGCGGTGAGGTGTATGAAACCCTATAGGTATGCAATTTAACCTTTCGTTTCACGATACAACCCTCCGTCACATACCGTTTATTCGATGGTTTCCCTCTAAAACGTATATAATTTTTTTCTCCGATGCTGTAAGCTGAGGGAAGATTCAAGCGAAGTCGTGCAAAGTATATCTCGAATGGTGTTTTGTAAGCAATCAATCCCTCGGGGTCGTTATTTAGAATTCTATGATAAAGGGGGAGCTGTTTCGCCCAGTTAACACCGTCTTGACCCATTTTTGAAGGTCTTATTCCATCTTGGATCTTAGTGTCTCGTGACAACGTTCTACCTTGCCTTGTGATTGGAATGGCGCGGGCAACTGTAAATCAATTTTATATTCATGTGATAGTTGAGTGTTTCCAGGGCTTTCTTGAACTCCCCTCCTTGGTCGCACTGGATTATTTCTGGCGATCCATGCTCTATATAAATACATCCCAGTTCACTTGTAATTACCTGGCTTGATTTACTTTCCAGAGGACAAAGCGAAAGGAAACGGCTGAAAACATGTTAACCTCTGATGATTTTAACATTCGACGCCCCTCGTAATATAGCGCTTTACCAACATGGTCTTTTTTAACTGATATCCTTCCGCCGGGTCTCCAGTATTGCACAGCAGCTGCACGAATTGCTCTCGTCCGTTCTTTCACTGATGGTTGCGCCTTGCCTACAACAAGGTCGAGCAGGGCTTCATAGACATCGTCTGCTAAAACATAGGATTTTACGTTCCCTTCGGAGTTCTCACGATCTTCATGGGTCACAGACCTATCCCACAATAATGCTAGGGTTCGTGAAATGCTTTTCAGTCGGATCCGCACTTATTACTATTTTTATTATAACCAATCAAAACTTCGTTGCTATAAGAACTCAATCTTTTGTGTTACTGACCCTAAGCAATTGTTTTGCCGGCTATGGTTTGATGCCAATTGTTCATTAGTATAACGGTTTGCAGCGAAGGCTTGTCGACTTCTGTCTAACAAATAAAAAGACGCTGATTGATATCCGCGAATCTGCGATGTTATACGAAAACTGGTCAGAGGACTTTTTGGTGCAACAGCTATCACTTTAACATCTCAATGTGGCTATAACAACAATGCACTGGTCGAGTCAAACGATTGCATTAAAGGCTTATTACATTTAGGACTAAATGATATTAAATTCACGACTTTTTATTTCATTTAGGACCAAATGTTATTACATTTAGGACAATTACGTTTAGGCCCTCAACAGCATCCACATCCCAATAACCCACAGGTACAAGGAGTTTGAAAGCCGCAGGGAACTTCACAGACATCACAAGGAGGCTCTGGGATCCCACAACCGCACCCCTGACAACAGCAGCCGCAAGTCTGAGGGCAACCACAAGATTGTGGGTAGCCGCAAGTTTGAAGGCAGCCACAAGATTGTGGGCATCCGCAACAGCACTGCTGTACGCTGGGGCAGGGGCAATGATGAGTGATATGATGCACGTGATGCACACAGCAATCGTGATGCACGCAACATTCGTGATCATGTTTGTGGTGATGGCAAACGTCTTGATGACAACAATTACAACAGCATGGCTGACAACAACAACATGGCTGGCAGCAACAACCACAAGACTGGCAACCGCAGCAAGGCTGGCAACAGCAGCAACAACAACAATTTTTGTCCTTGTTGTTTGTAGCTCCTCCATTCTTATTATTATTATTTGATCCACAGCAGCAACCACACCTACAATTATTAGTGTCAGCCGTCTGGTCTTTGTCCTTTACGGCTGTCTGTTTCTGCTGATCACTTGGTGGTGGTGTCTGCTGGTTTAGTGGCTGATCATTTGGAGTGAAACTTTGAAGTGGCTGATTTTTGACTGGTGGCATGAGTTTCGATGGAAATGAATATTGTTGTGTGGTTTTGTAACTTTGAGCTTGAACGATCTGTTTGGTTGGTAAAGACGAGGCTGAGTTAACATTTTGATGTTGTGGGATCTTTTCTAGAGGAAGTCCAACTCGTAATCTTGGTGCTCTAAAATCTCGATTTCCACTGGAAGATGAGCGGCGTCGTTGATTATTTCCGTATATTGGATTTGGAGCGGCAAGAATGTCGGTTATCACAATGGTACTCAGAAAGGCCCAAGTCCACAAAGACAGAAATGCCATTGGAAACGTTATGAAAACAATCGTGTGAAAACGGGGATGTGTCTGTCGATTAAATCAAATAGAAGAGGCGTGTTCAATTGTATTACCTCATAAATAGAACAACCCGTGGCGTCAAAGCCCTTGAGATATCTGTCAAACTGTCTACATTTATTGTTAAAGAATCCGAAACTGTCAACTTCGGAGGCCTGAAACACAGCGAGTAGCTTATATTGTTCAATAGATATCGTTACAGGTAGCCATGCATATATTTTAAATTCTTACCTTTGTCCTAACCCCTCCATCGCCCAGAATGCTATTGTCTTTCGCGACATGTACTTGCAGTGCCTATTTAATCAGCGGGCAGCATAATAATTTGCATATCCTGAACTAGTCGGTTGTAATTGGTCAGCAGGTAAAGCTTTGGGAATACATGAGTCTCTTTGCAGATTTCAGCTGCTGTCAATCAAACGGTTGGATGCGTAAAGTAAATCCCAAGTTGCCAACAGTTACGCATCTGAATTCATAACATTTGTCCGTAAATAACACTTTTCTTTAATAAACGGTTATACTGAATTTTGCAAACATTGCTAGACGTATTTAAGTAAGTAAGTAACTTAATTTCTGAATCAAACATAAAGACCAGCCAAAGGAAAAATCCTAATAGGGGACATGTAAGAGAATAATGGTATCTTTAAAGTTCGATTAGTTCAACAATCGAACTCGCAAAAAAAGTAGGTCCCATCTTAGGTTTCTAAGTGAAATTTTTTTTCAGTTTATTTTTAGGTTTCCTCAACATGGCGTCAAATAATTTGGACTGAAAGTGGCAAAAGAGGCATTCCTTATCGTTGCTTACCCCATTTACGGGACACAGTGAGCTCGGCGTTATGAGCTCTCCGGAGAGAAAGATAAAGTGTTCAGTCTTAGCCTTTTTAATGTGTTGTTCTTGCCTTGACGCTCCACTCTCGAAGTAAACATGCAACGAAGTAAAGTTGTATACTATTAGAGAGAACTTTAAATCGCTCTCTCTGGTTGTGTTTTGACCGGAAATTTAGGTTCTCCATACATTTATGAGTTGAGCCAGGAAACGTTTATTTAATTGCTGCCAAAAACGTTTTCTGTCTCTAATTTTTTGATCGACCATGGTGGAATAATCCGGAGAGATTATTTACTCTAACATTCTGAGCTTATTCTGCCTAGCAATCATAATTTCCAAAACCGTGGTAACAATCAGGTGGGGCTGACACATAGTTTGCCCTTTCAGTTAGGGCTATCCTTGAGTTTGTGGTGGATAAATAACAACCCACTCTTACACTGAGCTGAAACACCTGAAAATTGAATTTGTTACGTTCATTCACCAAGGAAACCTGACTTAAGGAAAGACAACCCCAAAAACCCGTTTTCAATGTACCAGTTTAGTAGGCGGAGCCTTGCCGACACATTTGACTAGCTTAAAATTATGATATTTCAAATCTTAAGATGAAAAAAGAACTGTGTTTTGGTTTTTAAAAGAAACACTTCGGAAAGCTGTTTCTGGTGATGCGTTGTCTCTCTTTTTAGAAGATAGTTGCTTTTTCTCAAATTGCATTTCTGGCCGGATCAATGAATGTCTTTCATGTATAGTACTTATTTGTATTTGAACAATTCTTACCTTACACATTGTGTCAGCTCACTAATCAAATATTAACAAATAAACGGCTAGAATGCGAGTCACAAGTCAACTCTTTGCCTCAGAGACAAACTTGCTCCAAAGTTTGAGATGTTGCTTTTACACCATGAAACACGAATTATTTTTTACTTTTTCCTTCTAATAATACATTCAGATTTCGCACAAAAACCCAGCGCATTGTTGGAAGGACTTGACATCACTGACATAGAGAACAAAATTAAGACTAAACACTGTTCAAACCATGACCTTAAATACCAACATATTCCTCACAGTTTTTCGTCTTTCTCCAACTGCCTCTCTAAACAAGGAATGGTATTTCGAGGAGGACCCTGTGGTGTCATGCCAGCAACATCATGCGGAGGTTTTAACTGTGCCCTTGGGATTGGATTTCCTATTTCTACAATTTGCTGTAAGTAATTAGTTTTTGGTGATATCATAAACACTGACCTACCTGTGTACATATGAAAAACATGGGGTCACCAAATTGCCTGATCTTGCGAAAAGTGTAAGGAAGCCGGACATGGTCTCACCTTCTACTCTTGTTAAGTCTGAATTTCAGCACGTTTTCGAAAAAGTAACAAAAGGCTTCCTATCAAAATATTCTCCCCTTAAAAAATTGTTAGGTTATGTTATCCGTGACCGTAAATAAATGTTTTCACATCTTGTACAGGTTCTTGGCTAGGTTGCAGGAAAGCGACTCAATCCAGTCAAGAAATCGATACTGCTAAGCGGTTTGACATCACAAGCTTACCAGCACACCCTTTTGCACTTCCTTGGAAAACACCCACAAAGCTCTACAATCACAAACGCAAGCGTAAACACAAACACTCAAAACCGAAAAAATACCATCACCAGTCTACCGAAAGAGGCCCCAACATAGACGTTGAATTGAAGCTGAACGATGAGCCAAAACACAAAACACAAGACGAAGTTGTGCTCGGTCAACCATTAGATCACAGACCTTGGTTTCCTTATATGTACAGACCAATTCAACCGCTTCACATGCAGTATCATCCCCACTTCTCTCCACATTATCTGCATTATCCCACGAGGTTTTACCTTCCATCCTATTGGCGGTTCCAAGGATATTTTCCTGATTTTGTGAACTTGAGATCTCCCTGGACAATGAATCCGTCAGATATGTCAAATGCCCATCATTATCCTGAGTATCAGTATGGAGATGTGCAGTTCTTCCAGTCCAATCATCTTTTAAGGTATAATCGACCACCGTTTAGAGATTTCAACGATTTCAGCTCTAACCTCCAACTTTTAGACAAAGCGGAAAGACTTCATGATCACTTGAAGCACAGCAAAAACAAAATTAGGAGTCACAACGAGCGTGATGGACTACGTGAAGAGGACAGGAAGATGGTCGATAACTCAGAAGACTCCAAGGGAACTGTCAAATGGGGCAATTATAAACTAAGGGGAACTGAACACGAAAAAGAACCTACTACTATTGTCGCAGAAGACCAAGGCATGTTGCATTTCGATCCGACAGAAAAGGAAGATTTAGATACCAATTATCCTGAGTACAAAAGCGAATTCAACACAGTGCGCTTCTGGCCTTCTGTGAAGAAGAGGCGAGGGCAACTTAACGCCCATGTAACATTCCACGAATCATTAAAAAAAGAAATGACGTATTAAAGGGACTCAACTCAGCTAACTAGGGATTTAATTTGTATGTTATATCCACTTTCAAGGAGAAAAGAAAGCGGAAAGAAAGGAAAGAAACAGGGCTGACCTACTCAGTCCCAAAGAACGTTCTGCAGTAGGAGCTGTGGGAACTGTAACACTAAAATCTGATCCGGAAATCATCGCCAATGCGATACATACCAATGCTTGAACTTCATAATGGTAAAAAAGGAAAGGAAATTTGCCATATAATAAAATAAAGATTTAGGTTATATCACAGAGGGAAAGTGTCGGCCTACATATCTAAGTTAAGAGAATTGAAGTAAACATGAGAGGATATCTAAGAATTAAATGCAGCTGATGTCGATATTCGTGAAAATTCTAAATGAGGGATTGGCATCGATCCAATTATTTGGAAGTGACTTGACTTAAACATAGTCTCATCAATAATGGCGAACAGATGAAAAGAACATATCTTGTAAAAGTATTTTAACCGCCGAACAAATCCTTTACCATTGCTACAGGTCTACCTTTGAATATTAAAGTTGTAATTAGGCCCAGGCAGATAGTCTGTCTGATCTCCTAAGAATGATAAGATATAAATTATTTAGATTTCAGTGGAGCAATGAAGCTTACACTACATATTGGTAAGACACTTCAACACCATTTTGAATAATGATATGCAGGGCTTGTGGCATACGATTTCTAAAGTAGAACAGCAAACATATCAAGGTTCCCATAAGTTAAAAAGTGATGTCTCTCGTGTGCAAGTTTGCTGTGTCAAGTTAACAAAGCTCCTGCTTGGTTTGCATGGGCCTTACCAATTATCTAAGTGTTTAATCAATACATAACATAACTCCGTGTAAAGTGAAGTACACTTTAATTCCATATTTAGGATTTTGCATGGACCGTATCACTTTGATTCTTGCAAAAAATAAATTTAATGCTATCATAAGTACTGAGGTCTACTGTGTATACACCTAGTCTCGGAAGTTCTCTACGATTACTTTCAAAGAGCGTCCGGGATCATTTTTTCGCAGTGCATGCTGTTTCATAAGCCTCATTCTGTCTTTAAGAGACTTAAAACGGTTTTTTAGCACAAAGACGGTGGGCGAATGTAGTTTGAGGTTTCTTGAGGAGTCACGGGCTGTACTACTGGTTGATAGGGTCCGCAAGGTACCTTGGGTGCCAGTGGTTGGTTGACTACCTTTGGGGCTTGCAGAGCCAGAACTGCCTCCGCTAGGGCTGGTCGGATGTGTCTTAACTTCTTTTGTTTCCTTTGTAGGCTGTCTCCCGCCGGTGGGTGCTTCGGTCGGCTTACCTCCTTCTTTGCCACTTTCTTCCTTTGCTAATGAAAAACAAAACTTCTTCAACTTTTGATAAAGTTAGCTTTATGTTTCTAAGCTTTCTGTGGTATAATGCCTTACGAGTGAAAATATGTGAAACAGCCGAATATGTGTAAAAATTTTAACTACTTTTCAAGCTTAGCGAATCAAAAGATAGCAGCGGTATTTCGTTGACTGCTCAACATATTGTTTCTTGAATTAATGAAATTAATTTCACATCCCAAATTTAACTATAGTAAAGATACCCAAATAAGTACACAAATAACACTTACGACAGCAGCAACCACATCCAGCAGGGAACCATGGGTAGGGTTGACTATACGGACCACCTCCTGGCAGAGGATAGCCACATCCTTCCACCCAGCCGTATTCTGGCCACCACGGGTCGGGGACCGTAGGCCAACCTACACCTCCACATGGGTAGGATACCTCTGGTGGGGGAAAACCGTATGGGCAGAAATCAAAGCAGCGCTTTGAAGCATAACCAGATCGTCGGGCTCTGGGCTTTTGAGGAGAGAAATGACACAAGGCTCTTCCTTTCCTTTCCTTATTCCTTCTCGGGTTATTGAGTTTCAGATGATAATGTCTTATCTTGCCTGCCGGCGCGCTTAACTCATCATGTGTAGCGTCTTCTCTTTTTCTATCGCGGTGGACGCCTTCGCAAGTGTCTGTTTCAAAAAGTACCAGGCGAAGAGAAACAATGAGAAGAATCTTTAAGAAACTCATCTTCTCTTCTTCTTAGATATCCCTGATATCACAAAGAAATTATGACATAAAGTCAATATACCCTTGAAGACTTGATACATGACATCATTTATGTACCTTGCAAAATAAACAACTTATCAGCGTTATGCCCTCTAATCTCCATGGGGTAGTTTAAGGTTGTCCGAGTAAGTGCTTCAGGTTGAATGACAAAAAAATCACAAACAAAACTTGGCGACAATAATTTTCTCCTTGCATCAGAATGAAGTCGTAAGATGAAAATTTTTGTAGTGAGTGCTGATATGCTTCCTTCTTTAATGGTGCACATGACAGGGACGCCCACTGTTTTTCTTTACAAATCAATTGGAAGAACAAAGACGGCATACTTGTCCTTGAAAACCATTATACGCTTCAGTAGATAGGAATGTAGCCATTAACGTTAGAGGACGTCATTATAGTTAAAAGCTTTTCATAAGCTATTACCCCCTTGATGCTCGTGGACTGACGTTTCATAAAACTAACAATTGCACCCCTTATTACTATATAGCTTTGGTTTCTTTCTCGTAAGTAGTTGTTTTAAAATTGAACCAGAATTAAATGGCATTGAATATGCAGATGGCACATGCAAACCTTTAAGCACTCAGAATAGATGATTTAGGTAAAGATAAAATATCTTTACTGATATCTTAAAATTTCTTTTAAAATTTGCTTTAAAAGAGAACCTATTCAACAAAGCGCCAGTTGAAGATACAAATTGGAACGATTTTTAATCTAAGGTCGAAAGTAGCCTGTATCGTTTTGTCTTCCCTTTACGTCGCCCGCATCCTCGGAGACCCAGCGGCTGTGAGTCGTTTTCAAGTCAGGATGGAAGAGCTCCTAACGACATTGTCTTACAAGACTAGTTCCAAACGGTCGCAGTCGTTCTGGCATCTGATTGGTGCCAGAAAATATCTGTGTTTTTCTGGCCAATCAGAGTGAAATATGCTTTAGAGTCCTTTCGTGTGTTTTAACATGGAGCTGTACAAGAAGCTCAGTTGCTCGCCCTGTTTGTTTGGGCCGTGCGATGAAGCTCTGCTCGAGGTGAAAAGTTTCAGTCTCAGCACACAATGTAAGAGAAATCGATCAGATTGTCCGCGAAAATATTACCAGAAATTATACTGAATACTTTCGCAGGTATCAGAGGAGAACGTATTTAAAAGTTTGCGAGGTTTGTATAAAACGTAATGGTTGCAGGCGTTAATATGCCCCTTTAAACGTTGGACAAGATGTAAGTTTAAATCGCTCTAGATTTCTCGTCTAATTTGCTGCGACTTAAACTTTGTTAATCCCGTGAAGTTATTTCGTCGCACGGGTCACGCAGGTATGTCAAGCAACTGGCGCTTACGCTTAAGTAGCTTTCGTTGCGCGCCAAAATCTAACCCCTACATTGTAGTAAAGTCTTTCTATATCAATATGTGTCGAAAATTGCACGCGGAAGACCATCGTCTGGTAGAACTTTTTGATCGAAAACTTCTTCATATATTTTTATAAACTCGCCTTTAAGGTTTCTTTTTCTCTTAATGTTGATAAAAACGAAAGAGCATACTCGACAACGGTCTGAAACATTTTCACCCGGATTATTCACACTCATCGTAAAAAAACTTCCCTAAACAACCAGTCGAAGGAGATTTGATTTTGACGAGCACAGAAAGCTGCGTAAGCGTAAGCGCCAGTTGCTCGACATACCTGCGTGGCCCGTGCGACGAAATAACTTCACGGGATTGGCAAAGTTTCACTTACAGCAAATTATACGAGAAATCTAAAGCGATTTAAGCTTACATCTCGTCTAACGTTTAGCTTTATTGTTCAGATAGTGGGTCGGTTTTACTTTGAGCTCTTATTGGCTATAAAAGGTATTTCCTCTCTTCTTATCGGCCGTATTGACTGCTCTAGTTTTGGTTTTACGACACTCAATCGAAAAGCGCTAAATATGAATATCTATGGAGGATGTTACATAGAGGTGTGTGGATACGAATTTTGATGTTCTGTTACTATACAAAAACGAACTTCAAAAGCGGAAAGTGGAGATAGTCGACAGATCAGATCAGCTTCCGTTAAAAAATAAAGATAAATTCAGTCTCCTTATCGTAGGTAAGGCCCGTCAAACAAAAGCACAAAAATGTTCTCGGTTGCCATAAAGGATGTGGAGTATAGAAAAGGCACTCCAAAGCGTATGATAAAGATATCAAGTGTCTGAAACATAATAGACTCCAGTATTGCTCAATTTTTGATTTGATAATGAGGGATCTGTTCATTATAGTTTGTCCTGTTAGTCTACATTTTATACTTATTGAGAGATTGTTGTCTCTGGAACTTAACATAGGATCCTGGTGGCTGATTCTCGGCTGAAGGAGACACTCCCAACATGAATAACGTGAAAATAAGCTACTTTTATTAAGAGCGTACAGTTTACAACGAGGTTACGCTCTACTAAAGCCTATTTGCAGCACTATAACTCTCTTTAACACGTTTCACATAACTGTGGATATTGTATCAAATGTTTTATAACACTGGTAACTTCATCAGTGGATATTTCAAGACTTTCCATAAAATGCTCAAGTGCCATTTCTTTCCATGGAACGCACCTGGTCTCAACTGAAATTTTGTGTTTTTAGTCAAAGGAATATAGCGAGAGTAGTTCGAAACGTTGTCTAGAATCTATTTTATATAACTGAAGGAAACTTGACGTTCTCCTCTTGGGTTAAAAATTGCAGTATATATAAAATGGCATTATCCTTTATGGACTTGTGTCCTTTGTGATACCTTCTCACGTATTTAAACCAGCATTTTAGGCTTTTGATTCCCCGTTTTGGCTGGTTTTCCTTTCATGACTGGTTTAGTTGGTCCCTTTGGTCTCCATAGGAATAAACTTCCAACAACCTTGTCTAACGGGCAGTCTGGGCACGTTTGCTGAGCTTGCTGAGGAACTTGCCAGTTCCCATACGTTCCCTGGTAAGGATCTTGATCTACCGATTGCTGTCCCCATCCATATCCATTCCCCCATCCATATCCATTTCCCCATCCATATCCGTAATTAGGGGTAGTACCGTAAGTGATATCCTGTCGTCGTTGAAGCTTTTTGCCTTGTCCCATTTTAAATGGACCCTTCAAATTCACTTGATTTCCAATAAAGGGATTGAAAAGTGGTGGAGCCCCTCCGTGTCGTGGTCTCCCGTTGGATGAAATACCGTCGTTAAATTGTGGACAATCATTGCCTTCCCCACCACCTTGGCCACAACCTAGTGAGAGGTCAGAGAGGGAGATGAATGTAACTGAACTTGATAATTATGTTCAACGAAGTTACACTAATGGCTAGTCAGCAGTCGCGTTGCTTTCCGAACATATGAGGTTAAATGGAGAATTTTGCGTTTGTATTTGTCAAATGTTACTCGATATAAGAACGAAATATTTCCCCTTTAATTATCGTAAAGAACGGAAATAGATACTAGGTTTAAAGTGTAAAAACAATCTTTGAATTGACTTACAACGCCAGCCGTAGTTATTACAGCCACATGAACAACCAGGAACTCTCCAGGGACCTCCAAACCCACAATTATTACATCCAAATGGACTTCCGTGTCCAGCCCAACCGCGGTGAAAATGCGGTCCATACTCTGGGTACAGAGGACCCGGGCCCCAACCCCATGGACGAGAGCAGTCTAATAGTGTGTCTTCGAGACCAAATGGACAGCCTTGAAAGCATCTTTTATTATTACGGACCTTCCTGGGATTTTTGAAGTGTTGTTTCCTGTGGTCGTCTATTTTTGGTTGTTTCTCTAGGTCGGAGGCTTGAGACGATTTACTTGATCCCAATATTTGGTCGTTGTCAAGTGATGACTCTCTTTGCATTCTAATGTGAAATGCTTGAGAGTCATCAAGGGCCATAGTAAAACCAAGTAGGCAAAGAAAAATGTTTAAATGAGCAATTCCGAAACCCGACATATTGACGACTGATTCGATAGCTATCGAAAGTCTTGGATTTCTATTAGCTAAGAGTCTTAACCAAAATGGTATCTTTGAGGTCAGACTTTCAAAATTAAAATTATGAAAGGAATTTTCTACTTTCAGCCATCCACTCATTAACAATGCAAAACATAAATAAGTCGAATTCAAAATATAGTGTAAACACCTCAGATCTACCATATCTAAGCTCAACTTAAGGTATCATTTTTCACAGATTCAATTTGCGCAGCCTTGGAAGTTAAATTTTTATAATTTTCAACTTTTCGTCGAGTGAAGAACGTTTGGTAGCAACAGTTTGTGAACCAAAGTAGAACAATAAGTTGCTTGTGGTCTCACTATGACCACCTTTGCGGGAAAAGCCTCAACACGCCTATAAACGACATGTGTTAATTATTTAATTTCACCTAACATAACAAAACAGATCATCTAGTGAAGTGGAGATTTCCCCGATCGAATTGTTATAGTTTAAATGTTATCCGTGTAGTAGATTTCACCCAAAAGCATTCGTGACGAATAAAAACAACAACACAGAATTTTTACGTTTTATTTCATTCGACAATTTTCCACTGAAGCTAGGTGAACGTAAACAAATACCAGACACAGCAATTATATAATTTCCCCTGCTCTTTGATCTCTAGCAAAATTTACGATAATATGGTCATTGCATTTTGTTTCAGTCGTGGACGTTTTATTCATCTAAACACCGTCGTTTGATTTACGTTTTGTTCATTCGACAATTTTCCACTGAAGCTAGGAAAATATAAACAAATAAATTACACAGCAGTTATACAATTTCCTCTGCTCTTTGATCTCGGGCAAAATTTACAATAATGTGGTCATTGCATTCTTTTTCAGTTGTGGACGTTTTTTTCCATCTAAACACCGTCGTTTGATCAATGTTTTCCCCGTCCCCTCAATCTGATGTCTTTCTTTCCTGATCAGGCAATATTTATTATTATGTGGTCAGCATCTTTCTCCTTCTGTTGCGTCGGCTTTTTGTCAGGCTCCATAGCATCGGATACTTTGTTGTTTGGTTCCCCGCAACCTGTAAAACAAACAATAGCCCTGTCATAAGTTGGTGCTATGTTAATGCGTTTATTGTTCTTATGTTTGTTTCTCTTCGAAAAAGGCTCAATCAGGTTCTGAGTGACCCGACAAGTTTTCAAAAAAAAAGAAATAGACTAGCAGTTCAACCTTTTCAATGACGCTTGTGTGAAATTGTTTTTTCATGAAAAAGGGTGCATTTTTATAAAGTAGATTAATGATGTATTGCAGTGACTATTAGGTAAATTGCGCCGTATAACTACATACTTTGGTGTTTATAACTCGAAGAATGTGGTTTTATCAACTGAGTTGAAACTGTGAGTTAGCCACTGTAACGAGTTACTAAAGCTGAATTTTCAGTGGAGGGTTAGCCCTTCGTCATCACCCAAACGATGTCCAGTGTCGGCGCTAATCTTAAAACTGAAAATTCGGATAGCCAGCTAGTCGTCTCAGGCCGTTCAAAGTTATCTTTTTTGAACTTACAACACCACCCTTGTTGCATGCGCGGACTGGCACCAAGCTGAGGTACCACTTGAACATTATCATTTAACCTTTCTTTCCAACTCCAGCCATAAACATCATGTTGTAGATAACCATCATAAGCATCCTCAAGCCAAGCCCATTCATCTCCAGCGTCAAAAGGTGGACCCTCTGCCGGAAGATTAGGAGGCACAGGTGAACCGGCCAGAGGCGCGTCATTCCAATGGATCTGCGTCGTAAGGAATCCGTCTGGACAACTAAAGCCTTGAGGAATCCCACAGAAACAGCGTCTTTGCTCTTTTGGACCAGTTGCACTTTCTTCTTTCCCGCTCTTTCTTTTAAAATATTGACGTCTGTAGCCAGGTTCAATTGGTCTTACTTCCCGCCTTTTAGAATAGATGTAGCTCTCGAAATCCACTTTCTCAGTTTCGATTTTTCTTTTGGCTTCACCTTGCCTTAAGGGATGAATTGTTTTTCCCGAAGATGTGAGAAATGAAGCAAAGAGAAGAAGTAATAGAAACGTAATCCTTTCCATTGTTTATTTTGTGCTTCGCGGCTGGGGTTTGCTTTCTAATGTTGAAGTGTCCTTGCATGAAGCAGAGAACCACAGAAGCAGACGCGACGTTTTAGTTACGTCCGAATTCTCTCCATTTTATGGCTAGTCATGCACGTCAATAGAACCAAAGCGTTATTTAGCTTCGAAGTAGGTCATTTATAGTATATACGATGTCGTAGGAGAAATTAACTCGTAGCTCTCTGGTATTTTTGGTGGATTTGACATTTCTCCGCCCTTTTTGTCTTCTTAGCCCGCTGAATAATTTCTGATTTATATATACAGGGGTAAACTAAGAAGCATCAGAGTTTCCTAGACAGTTATATATGTAAATTGTTCCTAAGTTTTCTGCTTTCTCTAAAGCAAATTAAATATTTTCGAGTATCTGTTGAATTACCTTTGCACAACATCCAACTAAAGATAACAATTATGAGGATAATTATTTTATAACCTCTTACTTAATGATTTATCAATTTATCTTTGTTCGTCATCATAATGGTTTAATTTTTCGAAAATTTTACTTAAAAAAAAGACATAGAAGTGCAAGGGCTTAAGGCTATTTTTAAAGTTTCACTTCGTTTTAATCTTAATTAAAAAAAACAACAACAATCCAAGTGGCTAACGCTCAAATAAAGGACACTGAGAGATTATTAGTGAATGGTTTTTATTAAATTCTTCATGTACGTACTTTTTATCTTACAACTTTTGGAAAAAGGATTTGCAACTTCAATGTAGAAATTCCTAAGAGAGAAGTACATAGCTCAGCGGTGAAAGTTTCGCGGGATCAGCAACGGAGAAGGAATGTATCTTCGTGTTCGGCCATCTCCTGTGAGAACAATTAAGAATACAAAATTGACCAAGGAAGCTTGAATTGTCATGCATTGTAAAGGATAAGTAATTCTTCAAGCTAAATGTTACTATTAATGTAGTTTTCTCTAGTAAGAGGCAGTCATGTTCAGGTTCGTTAGCGTCAATGAAATGAAAGTAGCGTAAAGAGTCAATTTTTTTAAATCTGAATTAAACAGTGTCAGCAGATTTTAACGGGAATGTTCCTTAGCCTGAAAGCCACGGTATAATGAATTTTAATCGCAAATAGCTATTTTATTACACTGTCATTTATCATTCAAATTTTTTTCATTTTACACTTACAAAGACATCATTCTAGCAGCTAAGTTAAATGCCAAAACATTTGAAACGTTCATAGTATTTTTCACTTACTCAACCAAACGTGCTGAACACCCCCTTCGTTAAACAGCCGCGGAAAACGTCGACCACCCGGACGAAAAACCCCACCATGGAATTTACCGCATTCACATCCACCATAACCACCACAACATCCACCACATCCGACGCACTCATCACATCCACACCCGGAGTCAAATCCGTCCCCACCAAAGCCTGCATCACAGCTGCCACAATTTGAGCTGCATAGCCCGTGTGAACCAGCGTAATCCCACGGTGAAATCCATCCAGGAGGACAGTCGTATGGATGAGATCGTTTCCGAGGACTTTTAATTGGCTTCCATACCTTTTCTGAGACTCTTCCGTCGTTTAATCTCTCCGCCTGTTTTTTTACAGTCTTATATTGCAAACCCTTGACATCTGAATCAACACTCAGTACTTCCTCTTCATATCCTCTCTTATCGATATAACTGCTTTGTTCTGTGGACTCCATTCTTCCTTCGTAGTGCGGTAGACCCGTGCCTTCCTCTCCACCATGCGAAAACGTCGCCTTGACAACTAACAAAACTAACGACGGTGCTAAAACAGATAAAGCTTTCATGACGAGAAGAAAAGAGTTCTTCACCTCTCTACTCGAGATAAATGAATTGAAATCACAGAATCTCAAGATTTACAAGCAGGTGCCGCTTTCATGCCGTAATAATACCGTCCATTAATTTTCATTGACAAATAGATTTTAGCGATTTCATTCAAGCTGGAAAAATGACGTATCTAGTAAACACATTTCCGGACGAAAACACTTATTTTGGTGTCAATTCAATACAAAACTAAGTTTATGGTGTTTTGATATAAAGACAAAAATAAGCAATAAGGTATATCCGTTTTTCTTAAGAGTATGGGCGTGGTGCAATTTTCTGGTACCTTGATTGTCATGTTATACCTTTGTATGTCACCTGCTAGCCGACGACCGACGTTACTGTTCTGACGTGCGAGCATGCTAATGACGATTTTACAGCCTAACTGTTAACTAATTTTAAAAATTCAAAATACTGCAAATGAAGCTCAAGGCGTAATAAATTCTTTTCATACTTTGATTAAAAGGCTGTGACTGAGATAGGTACAGTATCGTAGAAGGATATGACCGTACTTTTTGCTCCACTTCAGCACTGTATGATAGTTTATCTAATTTTACCCCACCATTATTGTAATTTGTTTAAATCGTATTCCTTTGTAACAATTAACAAATCTAAACCACTGACTGTTGCAATTAAGGGGAGTTCTGATTGGCACCGCCATCATGGTACGTAAGCCGTTTAAGACTATACTGAAGCGACACCGGAAATCGCTAATTGATTATTGTTCAATTTTCTTATTTAAATAAAAATTTTTCGATAGTTATCAACATTTTTCGGTCGCTTTTAGCACAATACTTCTTTTAGACTCTATTGGTAGATACGAAGTGATCATTTACTGTGACCATACTGGTGTGCACTCATATAATAATTATTTCAACAATTTCTTTTTACTGTGACAAGAATATTGAAATACAAAAAAAGTGGATGTCCACAAGTCTTCTAGGAGTGATTGTAATCAATCCCAATAACAAAACCTTTTACCTGCCTTTTCTCCAAAAAAATTTAATTGTGAGAGCTCCTAAAAGAGTAAAGTGTAAGAATGCAAAACATCAAACTTGATAACAAGACCCCGGAGATTTATACCCACCAAGTGGAATACGTTCAAAGAAAAAGAAACTGAAATACAGGTAGAATATACCCGCAAATTACAATTGGTTATAATATTATATTCCTCGTGATCATCGGTTTGACAACGTCAATGGTCAGACTGCGCTCTTGATTGCCCTTTATTTCCATTTCATGCGACAAGCTTAAAGTGTCAATTAACAATCAGAGGTGGCAATACTTGTTTGCATTCAGGACAGAAAAGTTTATCGATCTGGCCATCTCCCATCACGATCTTCTTATACGCCAGTGATCCTGGTCTCAAGTAGCGTGCGTCAACTGTGGAAGACCTTACAAATTCGACTAGAAACAAAGTAAATGAGGAAAAACAGAAAATAAATAAATCAGCTCCATTTTATTCGTAATTTCATACAAATATTTTACACGGCCTCGGGGGTCAAACCAGGCTGTAAGAGTCCAGTCCAAATCTTTTTACAAAATGCACTTTCTTCGTATTTACAATTATTTTTTTTTTTCGTTGCATGTTAGTGGTTATTTTGATTTATTAGGTGCCTCATGGACGGCCGGGCTTGTCTTTCTTGACGTGTCTTGGCTTGGCTACTGGAAAAACGGTGGGACTGTCTCTTTCTGGCTTCGGCTTTTCCCCTTCCGACTCCTTACCGTTCTTCTTGCAACCTGATGAAAATCGGAAATTAAAGGTTGCAAGTGATAAAAGCATCGGTCACTTGGCTTTTAACAGAAAATTGCCCCATACCCGAAAAACATTTATCACTGAAATAGTACTAGCTGAGGGCAGCCAAGACGAGTGTATTAATTGTGATTTGTGTGTCTGTTGTCGATTAGTTACTGCACCCTCAATTATATTATGTGTTCAGTGTCAAATTTTCAATTGAAATTTCCGCTTGACTGTATCATAGAAGTAGAACTAAGTGGAAATACGAGGTAGAGCGGAGATAGTTTCTGTGTTTAGAGTAACGTCGCGTCAACTAGTTAACAGTTCTTAACCATCATAATAAAAGTTCTCTCTGAATACTTTCTCTCTGTACCGCAAAATATATCGAATTTGACATATTCCTGTTTTCTCTCCCCATACGGTTGTTATTTCGTTTGTTTCTTCGTTACTTTTATGTTGAAAAAGGTGTTTTTATTTTGAACATCGCATGTTTCCTTTAGCCAGTTAATCATAAATTTAACCCGTTCTAACTCTGGATTATTGTCTTAATGACCCTTATACCTCAGTACAAACTAACTCTTAATTAAGTTATGTATTTCTTATCTATCATCGATCATTTCCTGCAAATAAAGAAGCATTACTTACAGCACATCACTATTGGTGGATGTCCACAGCCCCCTCCACAGCCAAAGCCACCGCAACCACCGCAACCACCGCAACCCCCGCACCCGCCACACCCTCCACACCCAAATCCACCTCCATATCCTCCATATAAGGGGTAGCCTCCCCAACCTGGATGAGGTATCATGTCATAAACGCCACCAAGGCCACCGTAGCCGCCGAAGCCTCCGCATCCCAGACCAGGCCAACCGCCCCCAACACATCCACCACAAGGAATGGTATAAGGTCCGCTGCAGCCAATCACTTCATATGCGTGCGCTGGTCCACAAGGCAATGGACACATACATCTCCTCCTGACCTTCTTCATTCTGTTGATGGCAGGCTCAAATGGGGTTATCTCTATTTTGCCAGCGGGACCGGCGAAATTCAAAGAAAACGGCTCGGGTGTTTTCACCTGCTGAGATGGGTCTTGAGGCCTTCCTGGCTGCATTGCAGTGATAGTGAAAGGTTGTTGGATTCCCAACGTGTTTTGCATTTGCAGTTCTTTAGAGTCTGGCTCGTTTTTATTCTTTGGACGGTCACTTTTCAGCAAGGATTTGTCTTCTTTTCTATCTTGGCCTTCTTTGTCTTCAGTTTCTAAGTCACCTCCACTGAAATCACCACTTCTTTCGTTATCTTGGAGCTCCGCATTATCACTTCTCTTCTGCCTCATTCTTGGTTCTTCAGTGGTACTTCCGTCTTCCTCGTCTTCATCATCACCATCCACGACAGACGTCTCCAACTCATCTTCGCCAGAGGATTTACTGTCGGAAATGGAAGCACCTTCGCCCTCGTGTTCTTTGACGGGTTTGCCTGGTGTCAAGTCCAACAGGGATAGTGAAACAATAATTAGTAGAATAAGTTTCATGTTTACTTTCTTCTGTCTTGAAGTGAAAAATTTTGTTTTGCGAATTCTTTTTTTGTGTTGTGTCACTATTTCAAATTTCCTAGAGCACGTAATGTTATGTCATTGTAATATTTGTTCAAATGGCGTGAAGTGTCACCTGCAAAGCTCTATCAATTACTCGATCTTAGACCTGTTCGTCGTGTAATTAAAAGATTGTTCATGTTTGCGATATCTTCATGGAAAAAAAAGCTCTTTTATTGGTGGTACTGTATATATTTGTGCAGAAGCCGTCTTCTTCAGGGTTAGCCGATCGTAAAAATCAACCAACTCCTACCTCCGTGTTGTTTGTTCTACCAATTGTTTCAGAGATTAAATGTTCGTTAACTCTTTTAAGTTTGCTCATAGAACGGTGAGTTTATTTCGGTCGCATTTATCATGAACCTTGATTGCAAAGAATGCTCAATGCAAACAGCTTTAGATTGTTCACAGTACCATCCCGGTTCATTAAATGAGTTATTGTATGAAAGATAAATATTGAATCTCTCCCTCCACCAGAATAAGCTTTCTCCGGTGTTTCCACAACAGAGAAAATTAATTTCTTTGAATAATAAATTGCCTGAGGAATATGGCTCCTCACATGAAAATGACCAATATATTTGATGCGCTTCACAGGAGCGACAAAGACGCTCTATTGGTTGAGTGGGTAATCAATTGGCGATCATGGCCGAATGAAAAAAAGCTGCTCAGGTTAATGTCCCTTAAACATGTAAAGAATGGTAATGTTCCTAAGTGAATTGATCATCGAGAAGTTATAACAATTCCAAAGTGATATTTTGAATCACAGAGTAAAGCCCACAAGTTATTTAAGTTATCCAAGTATAAAGTTTTAGCGCAATTATCCTTTTTTTGTTCTCTACTTAAGAACCTTTAGACTAACGTGTCAATCATTTATTACAAAGTCCGCCCTAATAAAAGGACCAGACTTATTTAAACTGATCTGCACGTATTTGAAAAGCCACCACACTAGTGGATGGAGCAGTCGAGGAAAGCTTAAATTAAAACAGCGGACAAATTTAGTTTTTATCGGACACAGACAAAATAAACTACCTTCCACAGAAGTTTTTTAATCTACAAAGGAACCGCTTATAAGCTATTTTGACAGTAGCCAGCCATAACGAATTAATAATTTATTCAAAACAGATCAAAAATTCCCTTGGTTAACAAAACAAGTAGTGCTGTGGACCTGCACTGATGAGAAACTGACCAATAGCCGAGGCGCTAATTTTTTATTGAACCAACGAGACCTATTGCCACGTTAAATTAGTAAACTTATCGGATATTCTACGCTCACCAAGAAAGTCCTAAAACCGGGATTGTTTGAAGAAGCTTCTTCATCGTGGCCTTCAATTTCAAATTGGAAGCCTCTAGAAGAAGTCTGGGGTCACAATGACAGACTTGGCGCCGAAAGTACTATTGTTCATCGCATTCCTTTACGTTTACATAGGTGGAATAAGAGGAAGGCCAAACATTTTGGAAGATACGGCAAGAGGGGAAAATCAAAAAACATTTGAAGAAAGCGATTTGTTAAAAAGATCTAAGGCCAAAAGTGGCGGACAAGGCAAAGGTAACAGCTATATGATTGTATATCGCCCAGTGCAATGTGAAAATATATATATATATATCTCGTCCCGTGATTTAATTCAAAAAAAGTTTGTTTGTCTCAGGTATATCACAATGACAAAAAGGAGCATCTGTCGCAGTAGGTTACTCCATTTGGGATAAAATATTGCCATTTTACTAATATAGTGAAATTCACCTTGACCAAATAATAACAATGATAATAACGATATTATAATTTATTTTGGTCTCTTAAAGATTTTATCTCATTCGAGATTTCATTTGGAGTAGGGTGCGGTGCAAAAACATATCTACTCCACTTAGTCCCTATTTGTAATTGAAGACAATTTTTCCTCTGGGCGATAAATATTGCTGGCTTTCAAGCTACTTCAAACTTAAGTTTTTTAATCCAAGATTAATGACAACTTAAGCCATGAGCGATGCTGTAAAACTATCGCGGTAAAGCAGTTGTATTCGCAAGCCTAGCTATGGGAAATGCAGTACTAAAATAAACTACGGATCACCCGAACTTCTCGTAGAAGACAGTGCTAACGAAAACAAAACAAATAGAAACGCAATTTCTTTTAACTTGGAAGTATCTTTGACAAGCCAAAGACAATCACACAAGCTAAAAGAATAAACACGGAAAAACTGAATACAGAAGCCACCAGTTAAAGGGGTCGCATGATTTAAAATCATGTTGACATGAAAGGGTGGTTGTTTTAAAAAAGTCAGGTTAGGTTTATTGGTTCAGTGATTTCTCATAACACTTTATTGGATCAGTTGCGATACTTTCTGAGAAAATGTCAATTAACGATACGTTTAGGTAAGCCATATCCATTTTATTTGAAAAAGAAGCAAGCAGCATTTAGTAAATGCCGTCAGTTCATTTATTGAATCCAATAAGAGGAAAAGTAGTTATTTTATGAGTAAGAAATTCTTATCCACTTTATTGTTTTCATAAGACCACAAGGAAATCAAGGGAAAGAAAAAGCAAGTCATAGATGCTTACCACCTGGGTCCCTACCATCACGGACACCCTTGGGGTACGGTCTCACAGTGGCCGGGATTTCATTGGGGAGGACATCCATCACGCCATGCAGGATGGACTGGGTATCCGTCCCTCGGAGGATGGCACAAGTCTCACATTTCCAAAAAGAGTTCCAAAAAGGCAACACAAAAAGCATCTTTAAAGCGTCGCATGCTACCAACATTTGCCTTTCCAGCTTATGGATACGCTTACCCGTCTTTAGGATTTGCTGCGGTGCCATTTACGCCTTCACCTATTCCCTGGGGCCACGCATATTATCGTACCGAAGTCCCCGAGAAATCTTCAACAGGGCATACCAGATCCTCCGTGAAACACACTGAAGCTAACAAGAGATGGTGGCCGGGATATATGGGGGGATGGGGTGGATGGGGATTAGGAAATGAGGGATATCCGGGCTGGGGCGCTTTAGGCGACTGGGGACGTGGTTATGATTTTGGAGGTTTCGGTCATGGATGGGGCATGCTAGGTACTGGCCCTAGTTATCATCCTTTCCTGAGAGCTGAGATTCCCCGAAAGCAAAGCAAAAAAGATAAAGCGGAAAAACGTTGGTGGCCCGGCTACATGGGTGGTTGGGGAGGTTGGGGACTCGGCAACAGTGGTTACCCTGGATGGGGACCATTAGGCGGTTTCTGGGGTCACGGATGGGGTCCGTATGCTTATGGTCATGGGTATGGTTTAGGAATTGGACGTGGTCATGCTTTTCGCTCGGATCTTCCTGGTAGAGACGATAAAGAAGAACAGAGCCCAAAGCGACAACTCATACATGAACCATTTGCAGGTACTGACTTTCCTTGGTCGGGTTATGGATCGTTTGCGGACTACCAATATCCCTATTTCGGTCATAGTCAGTACATTCCTTATCCTTTTGCACTATATGGGGATTCAATACCATTTTATGGGTTTGGCCCATCTCCGGTCTTAGGATATGACTTCCCTAGAGACCATGGGTTTTTTAAGTCAAAGATTCCAGAAGGAAAATCTAAAAAAATGCAAAAAGAACTAAAAAAGGAAGAGAAAGCTACTGGTAGGCACTTTGTAAATAATTTTCATCCAGGTCCAATGGGATGGGGAGGAGCACTATACTCCGGTAATGGTTACCACGCCGCCTTTCCCTTGTTAGGTGCTCATACGTATGGCCTGTATGGTGCAGGGTTTTACGGACCATATGGTCCTCCTTATGGGGCGTTTGGTCCTTACTCTAGATCAGGCATTCCTGGCAGTTCGAAGGAAAATCCTCAGAGTAGGCAAGTGATAAACTACAATCCAGGATGCTGTGGATGGGGTGGATGTGTCTACCCCGGTTGTGGTTATATTGGTGGATGGACCTGGCCTCTTCCATGCCATTTCCGTCACTGTGGCTGTGGCTGCCCATGCTGGACGCGATCCAAAGCTCCCAGGAAGCAGTCACTGAAAGAAGAAAAAGGGAAGTCTAGACAGGACATAGAAAGCCCAGTAGAAGAGGAAAGTGAAAATGGTAAAGAAGATCCGCGAACACGTCCACATCTGGAAGGCGCCGACCTACTAAACTCAGAAATGCAGAGCCTGGCTATGGGATTTCCAGGAATTGAGAAGCTTCAAACACCTATGGGATCATCAAGTAGCCAAGGAGTCCAAGGTTTTAACGATCAGGAAATAGATGCGAATGGAGAACACTCGTCCCCTGAACCAGCGGAGGCAAGTGAAAGTATGGCTGGTATGAACCCTTTCGAAGGAGCAAATGCCCTCAGAGCAGCTGCGATGGGCAGCATGGGGGAGCAACAGGATGGCCAACAGCAACCAGCCGAAGATTTAATGTCCACATTCAGCACGAGTCCATCAAATGAGGGCGAAGCACCCGTTGAAGCCTTTGGTGAAACAGGTGAGCTAACGTGAGACGAAATGTGCGATTGTGGTCGGGTGATACATATTTAAGAATGACTGAGCTGGTTAACTTCCTTTTGAAAAATTTTCATATCATGCTTCATTAAGGAAATCCAAACATGTATCCTGCCGAAGCGGAGGAGCAAGCCACGGAAGCAGCCTCTCGAAGAGCTGATATTCCCGGTGAGATGGAGAAAGAACTAATCAAGAAGCAGGCTGTGGCATATCCATACCACTACCTCTACCCTGGATTTACGATGGCTCACGGAGTCAATCCATTCTACCATTACACCCCACTTAATTATGTAAGACACGCCTTTATGACTTCTGTTTACTTTCGTAAAAGCACTCGCATTAAATTTTGGGTAATTCACGAGGGATATGCGAGAAATAACCCCATAAACATTGTTTTGCAGTCATATTATAATCCTATGTTGCTCAAAGAATGGACTGCTCCATTCCCTAATAGTATATAAACTTTGACCTTTTGCCTCAGAAAAGGCGACAGTAATAGTTATCCGTACGTTTTTCGTCATATAGCTGCTGCCTTAATATGATGCCTTAAAAAGAGAAGACTAGAATACATTCCATTTAAGACCTTGAACTTATATTTCATTGGAATACTGCCCACACATGTTTCATGCCCCATACGAAGTTCCCATAAGCCTTCGGGAGTACTTAAAAAAAATCTGCCACTCCTCTGACTAAGTACGCCAGCATTCAAACATGGCTTGTTTTCTTGATGTTTATTCTGTACCTAGCCCCAACACGTGATGGCTTACCCTTCCACATATCCATTGGCCAATACTTACGCGCCACTATATCCTGCGGCCCATGCTGGTCTTATCCCACAAGCACAAGAATTGCCATTACATGATCGTCCTTCTCATTCCATCCACGTTGGAGCCCCTAATGTCAATGTCGATGTCCACACAACACGTGAGCATGTTGCTCCCAGTCCCGAGAAAGTGGTAAGCTGTAACTTTTGTAAATGATGCAGTAGATCGTTTTTTTCCATTTTCTAAGTAGCTACAATTTTTATTAGGATAGAGCTGAACGACTCTGAGAACGATTAACATTTGACAAATAATCGTAACTTTGTCAAAAACTGTTTTATATCCGTTTAAAGAACAACGTAGTCAGGTTTTCGTAGAGAAATGTCACCATTCTGTTTCAACTTTTACTTTCAGAAAAGTGGCAAGCTGAAACAATTGTTTGGAGAGTTCTCGACGAAGTTAAAACCTAAGAGCAGACATCACCAATCATCGCATGGAAAGAAAGTTATGAAAAGGCAGATATCGCCGTTATTGTCTCCAATCATGAGCCGACCAATGGGATTGTCACCTCTTAGGTCCTCAACTAAAATTACGTTAAAGTAGCTATCAATTTGATAACGAATCCAATCAACTGCGTCATCGAAAATAGACAAAAAAATACAAATAATCAATAAAACTGAGATGTTTCCAATACATAACCCAATAGCAAAGTAAACCAAGATGCAATTCTTGATGAGTTGTTACCACTTTGTTGCATGATCGACGTTCATGATATTTTGTAGTAAAATTAAATTCCTTTGAAATGCCTTTAAGTCTGATATTTTTATAGAGAGCAGCACGTAAAAGTTTTCGATTAGAGGCATGTGTTTCGGCAAGCTTGAAAAATTCGCATGACACATTCTTAAATAATTTCCAATACCTTTTGACACATATTTTACATTGCGAGAAAAGGAATGCCGAATGCCGTTTTGAGTCGAAAACCTTTACAAAGAGTACAAGTCGCGGAAGTAAACTTGCTCCTCTCAATTCCCTAAAAAACAATGGGCCATTCCGTTCTGCGTCCTTGTCCTGAATACTTTTTAAACGGCAAGCAGCTACCATCCCTTTCTCAAGGCTTACGTACTGCATGCAGCATTCCATTTCTCGCCGAAATACGCATGCTTTTTTGGGGTCAAACACTGGTGCACATGAAATATCAGTGTTATGAAATCATCATCAAACAATGAAAGAAGGACGCATTTTACATTCATTAATTTCCAGTAGAACAAAAAAAGCGTGGTAAATATTCAAACAATGATTGGCCACTTGCGTTTTCGGTTGCTAAAGATGAGTACTTCGGTATTCAACGTCAGTTTAACTTTATACTTCAGTAAAATTGATATGAATAACTAAATTTAAATGATCCATTCCGGCTTTTTTTTTTCACAAATCGCTCGGCACTGACCACAGATGTTGATTAGAAATGACCGATTTGAATTGGCCAAGTTTTTACATTAAAGAATGAATGTGCCTAAGAAGAAACTAATTAGAGTTAAAATAATTGAAAGCCATCGATATATTTTAATGGCATAGTCTTCAAGCTGCACCATTGTTTGACTCAAAAGTATTTGATCAATCATGAATTATTCCTCACCCGGATCCTTTCATTATAGATACCCAGTATCCAATCCGCAGCCGGGCCTCACAGGAGCAAGGTAGGTTGCTTTGCTACAGCGTCAAACCTAGCCTGTTTCTCTATTTCATGATGCCCTTTGTTAGCTGGTATCAAGAACTAAGAAACTACCAATCACTTAAACCCACACGTCATTCATCTCCCAGACAACTGAAATATCATCATCACAATCAATCCGTCAGTCTTACAGCCAATTAATCAATCGCCGCCTCGATCAGTCAGCCAATGAAACATTTGATAAATTCCATCGCTCATTTGATGATTTAATAATTTATTAATGTTTAGAAGGACAAGATAAATTCATGAAGATAATTTTGTCAGAATGTTACATGTGCTATAATCTTGCATACAAATACCTGTAAGTTTCCAAGTTTCCAGAATGTTACTTGTGCTATAATCTTGTATACAAATACCTGTAAGTTTCCAAGTCAGTATTTGCATATGTAAAACCTGAATTTCTGAAGAATTCGTATGCGTTTTTACGAAAAACTTTAGTCAAGATGAAACTCATAGCTTATTTTGATGAGCCTCCCCCATATATCAAAGACTGTTTTATCCTTAACTGTTAAAGAGTTCTCTTAATGACCAACACCAACGTATAATCAGTTATTACTTTTATTCGAAACTTTCTATCCCTTTCTTCTCTTTCTCTTCGTCTTTGGGATAGTTGATACGATATCTTAAAAAGAATACAATTCATTACAGATAACAGTAAAATGCAGCTTAATAATTTCTGTGGATCATTATTTCATTCAAAGTACCTCTATTGAAAGGAAAACAGTCTTTTAGTATTAATTTTTAATACTGTATTCTATAGGATGTTTCCGTCTTTACAACCAGCACAACCATTCGACATCAGGGCCATGAGTCGCTCTGGCCTACCTGCAATGTCGTCACCAGCCATGGGTATGTCTCCATTGGGTTTTTCAGCCCCTAGAGCTCCTCAGATGCGCTCTGCTTTGACGCCGTCTCAAATGGCCTTTTCTCGACAACTGTCAAGTGTTACTGGCATCAGCATTCCAATTGCTGCACAGCCTGGAATGGGAATAGTAGGTAAGTTAAATGCATATGGATGGGTTATATTCAACACCAAGCTACCAGAAAAAAAAAATCGTCTTCAATTTACATAGAAGGCCAACGGACTCAGTGGCTGTCGAGCAGAAGGGTAGACACCAAGAGTTTAATGGGCATAGACTAAGAACTTTATGGATAAACTGATTAAAATTTTTCTTCTCTCGACAGGGATGGCTTCAAGGAAGAAACGATCACCGTCAAAGAAACCTTCGAAGAAGAAAGATAAAACCACAAAAAGACAATTTTTGGCGGCTATGCCTCAAACACTCTCCTCTGGAGGCTTGCCATGGTTGAGTTCACCAGAATCACCGTTTTCAGGTGCTGCTTTTCCATCATTGCCTTTTGCACAGCCTCAACAACCGTTGAGTTTTAAGCAACCCATGATGCCAGCCATTCGCTCCAGGATGGCTCCTACTGGTCTAACAGCATTGAGAATGGCAGGCTTTCAGGCGAATCGTATGCCAATGATGTTATCACCCTTCAGCGGCTTCCCATCTCCCCAAAATAACCCTTTCTTCAAGGTACCTCAATTTCAGAGCGCTAATTTTTTCAGTGGTTCACCAAATGGTCCTTGGGCTCCAAGTGCTCCAATGAGAGAACCCATGTCAGAAATGCCAAATGCTCCGATGAGAGAACCTATATCCGAAACGCCAGGTATGGGTGAAAAGATGTCAATGAAAGATATGGCTTTACTTACGTGTTAACCACTACGAATTGCTAATTTTTTATCATTTGGTTCAGAGATTTAAACAAATTTGGTATCATTTGGATGTTATATTTAAACAAATGGTTCAAAATTGGTTCAAGTTTCTATTTCTTACTGCCAATATTGATACCTAAAGCTGGTGTGAATCCATCCTTCCCTGTTGACTAACAGCGCGTCTGACCGTTAAGGTTCGTTACCTCTCGACATCTCGCATAAACAGAAACATTTTAGCGAAGCTTATAAGGGGAAGGTAAAGCAACGTAATGAAAATTTGTCCTTAGAAAAATAAAATATGATCTATCCAATAGAACGTAATTTAGAGTTCTTTCGGTAAAAAGATAATTTCGCGGCAGTTAAATCATTTTAAATCAAAATTAGCGGCTAAATTCAGTTCGTTTAAATTCACTCAGCAGCGAGACCCTATCTCGAAACAAAAATCTGAAATTCTGGGAAAATATATTTCCGAAACCGTCCCCAAAAGCTGTTTAACGGGATTTTCCCATAACATTAGCCTATAACAACGACTGCCATTCCACGCCCACCATTTAAAACTTCAATCTTTTGGTCAACAAAATTGAATTGGTTCGACTGCGAAGAGGGAAAGTTGGTTTTTGAGCGCTTTGATTTTAGTTGGTAGGCGTCTCGGTAATCTGTTTCCAGCCACCTTCGGCTATGTTACTGAGTCACGACACAAATCATTAAGGCTAAGATGGTTTTCTCTGTGATTGGCACAGGCTTTTCACAGCTTGCAGAGCGAAGGCCAGAGCCCATGATACCAGAAACGCAGCAAATGAACGGAGGTACTGAAATATTTTTTTTTATAAGTGGAGACTCTCTCGCCAACACCTTGTTACGTAATACTTGTGTGAAGTGGCTGATCGAGTTTTGTTGCTCATGTTTTAGAGAACAAATATTAAAATGATCATGGTAACTCCAGCAATCCAGATAACGTAATAATAATCATATAATTAAGAACAAAAGTCGAACTATTGTAGGATGCATACACCACTTTAGCTTATTCTAATTGAAACATGCTGAGAATCAGGCAGTTACCGCCAAAATCACAGCCAAGATACATATAGGGACATTTTGAGAACATTATGAGTCACCCCTTAGCAAATTCGCACCTTACTCGGTTTTCGTGTCATTATTATCGTTAATACCATCATCATCATCATCGTTATCATTATTCTTATCATTATCACTATCGTCATTACTATTATCATAATTATCACTTTTATCACCATTATTTGTTCTTGTGCCTAATTCTTGAGCCAATACTGTGTTTCAAATTCAGTGAAAAGTTGTTTAGTTTACTTTACCCCTTAATCTTAATTGTGGTTTTTTTTTTTCTACAGAGCAATTTGCAGGTTTTAATCCATCTAGCTTCGGTCTCAGTGAGCCACAACAACCGGCCATGTTTTCCCAAGAGGGACCCGGATCAGAAGGGCCGCAACTTCCTATGGTGCCTCAGAAAGAGATGGCATCATTTTTCCAAGTCCCTGGAGAGGGAGCAATGACGGAATCGCCTACTGTAAGAGAGTGGTGTATACCTTAACTTTACCACAGCCTAGAAAACCTGTGTCAACTCGAGCTAGAAATGTCAACTGGATACAGAATTTTATGAAATTCTTGGCAAACAAAGACTTGTTAAAAGCAAAGCGCAAATATGAAACCTTGTATACAAGTTTTCCCCGTCTTTCCAACACTCTCAGTCATGCCAGTGGTTTTGGTATCAAATTTTAAACCTACAGGCCAGGAATCGTTAGATTTCTTGTTAATGGCTCCTAGTTAACTCTTAAAGATGTCCACTAGATCTTTAAGTCAGATTTTACTAAGATCCTTGATGGCGTTTTTAAGAAGTCATAATTTACCTTTACTACATCCATTTTGAAATCACTGGTGATCCTTGTAATCTGATTGGCTTTCATTGGTGCTATTAATCAACGAATCGCACCATTTTTTGCTCTGAATCGCATCTATTTCCCAGCCAATGAGTACCCTTTACTAAAATACAACAACAAATTGCAGGTTTAGAGAAACAAATCAAATCACAGGAAAAGGAAAAAAATGGCAACTTTCTAAAAACCAGCTTACTACTGGATCAGCAAAGCACTTGTTACGACCAAAAAATCCTATATCTGAGCGACTAAATTTGGCGATTTCAAAATGGATGTAACAAAACGGTATCTCAACTTCGTGTTGTGCGATTTTTGTCTGAAATCATAGTTACTTGTGATTTGAAATCACGCATGTGATTTCAGACCAAATTGCACTACACTTAGTCAATTAACACTAAATCGATAGCACCATACCCTTATAACATTTTTTTAAAGTATATTTCAAGTTTCTGCCCAATATTGTAGCTTTTATATTTATATTGTACGACAGCCTCCGGTTGCGATTTATACGTTCATTTAATATCTTGCAACTGATTTCTCCTATCTATCCAACCTCTGTATCTAGATGGTTTGCAGCGTGAATATTGTGGATGTTCTCTGTCGTAATATTAAACCTCTCTCACTTGCACCATTTCATTTCATTTATTTCCAGTTCAACATACAACCTGGTCTTGCTGCTTTGAAGAAATCTTCTGTTCCAGACAAAAAGAATATCAAAGGAAAATCTTCCAAATCTCGGAGACAAATTACTTTATAAACAGGTGATATTTCATTGTTGATACATAACGTTTGACCAGTGGCTGGTGGGAAGAGCAGTTTGTGCATGGACGATCCCGATTTAATTCTTTTAAACCCTAAGAGTGACCAGAATCTAATTTCTCCTTACACTAATTACTCATGAGGTGTCATTAAGGTCGTGAAAATAAAGGGAATGATCGCCAACATAAGAAGCTTTGGTTAATAAAACAATTCTCCTTGTCAGCACCAAAGTAAATAATGGAGAGGAGTACGAAGAATATGGATACTGATGTTAGGGTTTAAAGTGTTAGCATTATTAAGGACTACACTGTCACTTCAAACATATACAAGAGGGGTTTCTCGTATCCTGAAAAAAATTACGAACTGTGTTTTTATTATATCATTTGCAAGAAGTTGTCATAAGCTTATATTATTCAAACGTGTTGTGAGTATGAGCATAAAAAGATAAAGATATATATCATGTCTCACGATAAATTATTCCGCTTAGTCGAGCTCGATGCAACTCAGTTAACTCAGATAACAATTTTCGTGTTCAGGCCCAAGACCAGAATTTCTACATAAACATGCAATTTAAGGAAGACGTTGTCACCACCTATCTTACGTGTAGCCGTACCCTTCCGATTATCCTTGAAGGGCGTGGTACGGCTACACGTAGGCTAGTCACAACTAAGGTCATGTTTGACTCAATTTTATTTCCTTACATGTCACTGATCTCTCTTCCTTTCTGATTTCATTAAAGATAAATCAAAGAGGTCACATAATTTCACGGAAGCTCATTGTTGCTGCTGTGGGTAGTAAAGATCAGAGAGATGGAGATCCCGTGATAACTTTTTGTGGATAAGACTGAAACTTGATTTTCGTTTATCTAATTATTCGGCAGTTCTTAGTTACGTAGTGGCAGAGGTTTTCAACATGCAAGGAACCCTGAAATGGTGATCTATATCTACGGTTGCGATTATCGCCGCCAACTGCCTTCCCTCCAAAGTCTAAATACACAGACGAAATTATAACCTTCTTCGCGAGACAGTGAACATTTTTAGGTTCTGATTTTCTACTGAAAGATTAGAACATATTAACAGGTCAAAAAAATTTTTAGTTTTATGTTTAGGTAGTTGAATAGTGCCGATGGTAGATCATAAAATTATCTTAATGTTTTCCTGGGCAATTTTGAAGAAAACACAAAATAAACTAAAAGCTATGATTTTCTGACTGCTCTATAATAAGCTTCAACAAATTTTTGTGTGGAAAAGCACCCTTCCTGGATCAAAACTCTGAGTAAACTGTCCTATTGCACCATCTAATTTACAAGCATGACCCGGACGCTGTCCCATAAAATCGGGCTGGTGATAGCCAATCACAGTTTAGGATTTTGTCACAATCCTACTCGCTTGTAAAAGATGGAAAGAAACCGGACAACTACCACATAGCAGCAGATGGTTTGCCATGATTATTTATGGCCATGATTATTTATGCCAGTTTATGTGGAATTATGGGCCTTAATTTCACGTAACAAATGCTTGTGTGGGATTATTTGCTAGTGGCGTGTTACATTCAAACATAATGTGCGGGAATGTTTCGTTAGGAATATCTTAAGGTGTTCTTCCAACAGTTGGAATAAAACATGGTTTATTAAGTGTGGAGGAGATTTTCCCTTGATTCCTCTGACATGTTCACGAACTATGTGTGTTTCATTTATTCCGGATCTTTGATATGGACAATGCTGACTATAACCAGCTGTAACGGAAGCAAACAGGAGAGCCTGGCGGGCGTGTATCTGACGAACCTGAGAACTGTACCATCATTTGAGAAAAAGTAATAATTATAACCGAGTATTCTGTCCAAGGTGGCGAAAAAAAGTTCGTTTCTTCCTGACGCTCAGCCGGTGTTTGTATGAAACAAATGTGTCACGTCAAGCCGCGTATCCTCTGTACATTTGGTTCTGAAGCTCAGTACTATAACATCACAGTTGCAGGTTCGCTAATCGTCAATTTGATTCGATTTTGCTATGTTTGGAAGAAGGCATTGCTCCGTTTCAGTCAAATAGATGAAAGTATTAAGACCTGTCGATCGTGTGCTTCTCTGTATTAGGTATTTGCGATACTCAAAATCGTAATTGTAACCGGTGTTGGTGATAATAGATGACTCAACGTCCACACTTTCGCAAAATTCTCCCTCGTAACCTGAGGAGAAGCTTTCTTGGACGTACAAGATCCAAACTAGAAGGGAGAAGAGACTAAAATCGGTAATAAACAATAAAAAATTTTACACATTCATTTCTGTCTCTGCAAAAGTGGCCTAATAATTTTGAAGGTTATCCTATTCAAGTTGGTAAGCAAATACAAATTCAAGGTCGTTCATCCGATAGTACACGTTGACACGGCAATATCAACCTTCCTGTGATGAATCTTCTGACAATTTCGAGTTGTTTAATACAATACAAAAGATTTATCTTGTACCTTAACAATTAAGGCGATGCAGGTCAATATGAGTGTTCCAGACCTTACACACTTGTTCTTGTGATGCCATCAAGTTATCATCATTATCATCTAAAACAAATGATAAGTGAATATCGATTAAGTTGTCTTTCTAAAGTAGCTAGTCGTTTGCGTCTCAATTACTTACGCTGATGTTTCAAACGCTGTTGGAAGATTCCAGTTAAAAGCGTTAATTATGATTCCTTAGAGTTCTTAGGCAGATCAATGGCGCTAAATTTAAGTATCAATTTGGTAGCGTTATAACTTTACCTGCCTCTATCACTTGTGTCATTCGTGAGTATAGCAGTTGTCACGAACCGGATATATAAATTTACCAAACTCAAATCTGTTGGCTCTAGCGTTGATATTTAAATTATATTTCCAATTTAAATGATAAGAATAGATGGTTTTGGGCTAAAACAGCAGCGAGAGCGAAGGCTGCTTAGGTATAACGATTGCGGAATAAATCAAGCACCAAACTTCGATCAAATTTTCGTTCGGTCCTGGTTGTTACGACTGATAAGATATAATATTCCTATCTTTCAGTACGAGACTGACTGATTTACGGATTGCAGTTAAATTTTATCCCAGTTTATCGCGTAACATAGACACAACGCGCGCTACCATGGGTCAAAAATCTATTGCATATTTGCCTTTTCAATGTTGAAAGACAAAATTGGCATCAAGCAAGAATTTTCTGTATAAGCGTTTTTAACTTGTTTGAGTGTTGGAAAATGAATGGAAATTATTTGCATAAACCATTCAGTTAAAAAAAAAACAAAAACAAAAAACAAAAAAAACCCTAACCCTAGGCAATATTATAAGCTGGTTAAGCGTTTCCTATTTCTTTGGCGGTCTTACTTTGTAGGTAGAGTAGGTAATTCTGAATTTTTAATTTCAGCACTTAAAACACCTCTTCTTGAAGGTGGAGTAAACGACTTGTACTTTTCATCTTCCGCACTGAATTTATAGTAAGTTACTAATATGAACTGCTGATAGCTCCTCTGCGGGCGGCACCTTGGGTAAACCTTGCTTATTCGAATTCACTGTTTATTCTGTTGTTATTTAACAATAGTCAAGGGCTATTTTCACTTTAGTTATCTTTCTGAGTGTAATTCTAATCTCGGCAATGCGTTCTTTGTAACATTTACGTTATCAATCTCTTGTTTTTGTTTTGCCCGATCTTAATCGCAATTGTATGAAATTTTAGGTAGAAACTCGTTTTGGAAAGAGTCAGCAAACCGAAGGTACAAATACTTAGTATGTGGGATCTGTTTCACTTGACTTAACATGATTCGTAAGTTTAGTTTAGTGAGAGATAATGAAGTTGGTCAAAGATTGGCAGCTTGATAGCAGTCACCTTTCTAAGCTTAAGACCAACATTTCCCTCGTAAGAGTAGTGCCAGAACCTGAGCTAGCGATTTGTAAAAGGAATAAAGAAAAGTGTAAACTACACAAGGAGTGTTGGAAAGTACCTCTAACAATACTCATAGAAACTGAAACATCTTCCCGTCCTATGAAATGGCGCCACATGGGCCAGATCCCCAGGTTTTAATTTAGTAATGGCTCCTGGTTAACCCCTTTGTTTTGTAGGCCGCAAAAAATTAACAAGGCTAAAGGAATCATTTTTAGAAATATGATTGATACGCAGATAGCCTTTTGAGAAATATTTGCATTAAGAGCGGCCGGTTCCTTTTAAAAACTTTCTGTACAGATTATCAGATCGCAGTCGCAGTGGTAGTCCAGTTCTGGCCACGAAAATCACCTTTTCTCCGTCCGAATTGAAGTATTCTTCAGTAGCACTTTATAGTGTGTGTGTTTATCATGCGTATTGTTATTTCTCGTTAATTTCTTTGCAATTGCTGTTCAGTTTCTCCGAGCCACTGCTTTCGTTCAACGATAAATTGATTACAGTATTCGCATTTTTTTTGACACTTTTCATGAGAATCAGCGATTTGATCGTAAGATAAGATTAAATTTATCATTCCCTCTGACAAACTTCACTACTAGTTGCGCCATAAAAGCTGTGCTCATGGTTTATTAGCTCGTAAACCGATAGAAAGTGTGGCTTGCTATTTGTTCCCGTGCGCAAACGTCACGAGTAGGTCGCAACCGTTGGGAGTCTGAAACTAGAATGCGAAGAATATTATGCAAATATATGCAAATCTAAGCGTCTCTTTACAAACGCAGCACCACCCCGAAGCGTTAATAAGAATAAGTTAAGCTGTAATCGAAAGTATTCCATCAAATATTTGTGGTCTCTTATTGCAAATATGGCGGAAGAAGGAAAAGTTAGTAGATGTCTAAAGTACACCCTGTTTGTGTTCAACTTACTCTACTGGGTACGTAGCTGAAATTTTGCGGCATATTGTATTCTTGTAGCGACATATCTAGTATCGATCTAGTATTCCATGCGTGATTGTCCTTTATCGACCATATGTTGACAGCTTGTCGGTAGTGATCTCTGGTCCTTAAAGCGACTGATATGTTTTAAGATAGTTAATTCGAGTGTTATAAGACCTCTAGTCGGGCTTGGCTTATGCCTAGACGTCAAATAGATAACTATTTAAGTTGAATTCGTTCCTATAAATGTCCCACCACCACCTCAGATCGGAGCGGGAGTGCAACATTTTGTGAGAGGTGATTAACGTCGACAATAGAAGTATGTGTGCTTCTGCCGAAAGCTACTGGTTAAGTTCCTTCATCCATTTAGGTTTCTTGGACCTCAGGCCTTTTGTTTTGAGAGTTGATTCAACTTTCTCTCGAACCATTTTAGTGCATGCAAGGATGGCTGAATTCGTGATATGGAGTGCTGCGGTTTTCTTTTTGAACTATAAATCGAGTAAAGTACATTTTGCTTCTGAGTAGGATTTATCTAGGAATGAGACAGGCGCCTTTTGGTGTAACGTGTAGGTATTCTATCAGATGATGCGATAATCCACTGATGTGAAAGATTCCAGCAAGTTTTAGATGTAATTGTTGTTCAAACAACATTGGTGCACATGCAAATGAATATGTTGATGATATTGCACGGCGCTGAGGTCATGACTTATTTTAAGTTCAAGTAAACCTTTCATTCGAGTCAGCAGAGATGTTTAGTATATCGTGCAGTGTATATGTTTTCACTTGATGGGTTTCCACATTTTATGCATACAAATTTTTTTTACAGAATGCTTTATTGGTTGTGTTCAGTCTACATTTACCTCACTAACACTTTTTAATAAAATAACAGAGATACTACAAGCACTCTGATTGGTCAAAATCCGTCAATGATTGCACTGGTAAACCCATAGAAATTGAAGTTTATTTTAATAGTATTATTTTTAATTACTTTTACCATGAAGGTGCAGGACTCACAAAAGAGCAAGGCTCCAAATTAATTGTGCCCTTAAGAGAGGCACTGTGAAAGTAAAGCGTCTTGCTCAAGAACACAACGGGTTGTCCTAGCCAGGTCTTGAACCAAGGCCACTCAACCTGAAGTCCAGTGCACTGACCATTAGACCACTGTGCCTCTACTTTTTAAGAGAAATAGAGTGGTAGTGTACTTTCTAGTGGTTTACTAGTGTAATAACCCACTTGGGGTGTAAGGAAAACACTAAAAGAGTTGTAAATCACTCACATCCAGTAAGACAAAATATGTCAATTAATTACATGTACACTGTACTTTACTTCCCCTGCAACAAAGCAAAGTACTTTCTTTAAAAACAATTGTAAAGTTTTTGATCTTCAATTTAGTTTCTCAGATTCTGACACTTTGACCTCCAAGACAGGGTGTGAAATTGATTTTTTTTTCTGATAGCCTCTCGGCTCCTAAATTTTTCAAAGTGGTAGCCAATTCAAAAATAGTTGGTCGCCATTTTTAAAGATAAACAAAACCCTTGTTTTTATGCCGTCAGCATTCTAGATAGACCTTCCAAAATTAAGTTCTACAAAGTGGACACTAGGATTGATGATATACTACATTAAAGCTTAACTAAATCCAAGATGGCATCTAGTCATCGATCGAGATGCATGTGCTGTGTTTTGGAAACAAATTTAATGAGGAAGTTTGCCACGGATTTATCTTTGCAAATCTTTGTAATTCACTATATCTCTAGGTGTGGTTATCATGAAGCATTCTAGTTGCCAATTTGGCAACTACTTTCGAGGATTTGGTCGCCAAAATGAAAAATTTAGTTGCATTGGCACCTGTACTAGGTGCAATTTCACGCCCTGCAAGAGCGACAAATATCTAATTTTTACCTTACCATATCACCCTTAAATCGCACATTAAGGTCAATAGAATAAAAGAAAGATCACTGACCAAAGAAGCTCACCATTGATTATGAAATTCTCCTTGTCAGCACTTAAGAAAATGTATAAGAAACAATATGGAGAATAACATGTATGCTGATGTTAGGGTGTAAAGGGTTAATTGCTTTATTTCTTTGCTGTTATTTGTAGGGTATTGGCGGTGTCATGATGGGTGTTGGCTTCTGGGCAGTGACACAAAAGAGTGATTACAAAGAATTCTCCAGCATTTCGACAGATCCAGCCGCTGTCATGATAGCTGTTGGTTTTTTCATCTTCTTCATTTCCTTCTTTGGCACAGTTGGTGCTCTAAGGGAGAACATCTGCTTTCTCAGAACTGTGAGCTCATTTTATGTTGCATTTTAGGTTCACACATTGACAGTAGTCTACATTCCTTATAGTACAGTATATCATAGCACTAAAATTTTTTTTATCTTCATGTACTTGGAAGATATGATTAAAGTACTAAACATGTACTACATGTATTTTGGTCCCCTTAAAATGTATCTTTGGGCTGCACTGAACACTACATCTGTTGCTTTTGTACTACCATCCCATTTGGACTCAGTGTCATTCATATAACAGCTAAACATTACCTTGCACATGTGCATGGACAGTTTACAAATGTACTTTTGTATTAAGATGCTGGGTACATTTGCATGTAAGTTAATGGTGTAGGTTTCCACGAATATTTTCATATTTTTCTGGCCTCTTCTACGTTATGTATTTGTACACCACAGTGGTGATTACTTATCATAGAGGTGATAGGATTCACTTTTGCATAAACATGCGCCACTGTTAACTTTGATTTTTTTTCTTTTGCCCTTTTTTAGTACATGATTGTCATGATAATCATTGTCATTTTGGAAGTGATAGCAGGACTACTTGCTTTTGCATTTTGGCCAGAGGTAATAGTAATTTCTTGATTTTTGGGTGTTTGCTTTAATGTGAGTGTATTTCATGAGTTTTTGGTGCAAGTGATGTTTATAAAGTTTTCATCACTGCGTGAGTGGCAGACAAGTGTCATTTGAAAACCTTTGAAAGCTCACCACTGATCATACATTAAATTATGATATTTATACCCAGTTCATGCAGTTTTTTTGTTCATTTTATTCTAGATAAAGATCACTTAAAGTGCAAATGCTACATGTTCTCTTCCCCCCATGCAAATGTCTTGATTCCTTTCCAGTTTTATTGATATCAAATGAACATGGTTTCTCTTGAATTAATATTTTTGGGAAAAAAATCCTCACTTTTTAGTTCTCTTTGAGAAAAAAAGAGTGTAATTCAGTGAAATCCTGTCATACAATCTATATCCTTTTTAAGCTCACCATGTTGACCAGCCTGTTGAGAGCAGACCATGTCATGTGGAATGCATTTCATGGAATTTTTATTGCACCATGTAATTACTGATAATTATAAGTACAACCTGTATACATTTTTGTATATTAACCCTTTAAGCCCTAATAGTGACCAGCATCTAATTTCAGATTGCGAGAATGAGTGAAGTGAATTTACCAAAGATGAAATGTCTTGATCTTTGAACAAATTCTCTCAATCAGTAAAATGAAAAACATATGGAGAACAGTGATTAGAATATACATGTTGATATCAGGGCATAAAGGTTTAAGAATATGGGAAATTAATCCCTTTTTTAACTAGTACATGTATAGGTATTTACATCATTCAATCTTCTCCTTTGAGATGCTAATCAGTAAAATTTACTACATGTTGCACCTCTTATTACCACCTAAAATTGCCTGGAATTCCTAAGAAGAAGAAGGATTTCTCTAGTCAGGGTTTGAAAATTTCTCTTACCTGTGGTATTTAAAATAAAGGAGAACACTGTACGATGTGCATTAGATTGCTGACATGAACAATGAATACAAACTGTAATACTAATATTGATACCTGAAACAACAGGTTCAGAAATCTGTGGACAATCAATTTAAGAAAGCAATTGAGAAGTACAGAGATGATCCTGACCTTCAGAATGCAATTGATGCTGTCCAAGAGGGTGTAAGTATATTCTACTCTTCTTCACTTATGTCTGTAAATTTTTGCCCTCTTGGGTGCAATACATGAATGAAACTGCTCTGCACATTGACAAAATACATGGGGTCTTTCTTCCACTCGGTGATAACCTTGAGTATGAATGTTATCATAGCTTTGATCAGTTCATTCAGCTGTACATGTCCTTTGTGATTAGTCAAAAGCTAGCCCTTGATCCATTGATATTTTGAGGGGTATGTGTTGTAATAAGGTGTAGAAATTGGCTTCTATTTTGCCTTTATTCAAAGTACTTGTGCTTGGTTGTAATAGAATGGTTTTTAGTATCAGTATAATGTAAACCTTTTACTCTTTATTTCATATTAGTAATAACTATTGTAAATGGCAGCTGAATATAATAATTCACATAGAAGTTGGTACTGTAAAGATATATATTGCTATAATTTATTTTTAGCATTATTGTTTGTGTTTATGATAAGTATTACTACAGTGTTTCATTACCAACTGCACAAATTAGAGTACAAATAATTTACAAATAATTTGCAAATAGAGTGCAAATATCCTGCAACATTGAACAGTTGGTTATTTTGTACTGTAAAAAAATCCTGTTCTACTGATTGTCTGCATGCACTACACTTTCTATCTGCCTTGCTTTTCCTGCCTTATGAGAAATTAGCAGAAAATAAAGCAGTTGGAGAATGAAAAACATATTAGACATTTTGGTGTGTAGTATTGCCTTGTATTTTTACTGGTTGTTTGTATTTTGACTTGCGCTACAGGCTTGTTAAAATACAGCATAATTAACTCATAAAAATACTTGGCAATAAAACACTCCAAAATGTATTGTACATATAAGAATATGTCTTAGAATATATGTGTATATAATACAGTATGATTTGGCTATTTTAATTTGACAGTTCAAGTGTTGTGGAAGCACAGATCTTAATGACTGGAACACCAATCGCTACTTCAGATGTGGTGGGCCTTCTCCTGAGGAGTGTGGTGTTCCTCATACTTGCTGTGTGCGTCCAGAAGACCAGGTATGGCGAAGTCCAAAAGTAATCATGCAAAATTGTGTTTCAGCAATCCTTCTTATTCCAGAGTAAAATCAATGAAAGACAAATACAAAAAACTGAAAACAGTGTAAGTTTCATACAGGAAATGTCTCTACAAATTAATGAAATAAAAACAAGCACAATGGCTATGCAGTGTTGCTCTTCCACCCTATTAACTTTGGACAATATACATAGAACAATATACATTGTCCATGTACACTGTACAGATCCAAGGCAATAGAGAAGGACATGCCTTTTTTTTTTTTTTTTAATAATTTTTCATGGGCTATCATTAGTGTTTTCAGGAAACCATTTGTGATAAGAAAAGAGTTAATGGAAAACTTTCATGCCACAATAACTAACAAGCATATTGAGCACAAAATGAAATAATGTACTGTATGCTGTAATGTTTTCCACCCATTGCAATGGATAAAATGTTAGAAGCTTCTAGATGTGAAAAGAAACTAAATGGCAAGAAAATACTTTCGTTTCTTACATTGTCACTCAGAAATTTTGTTGAAGTTCTTAATAACTTTTCAAACTCCTTTAGAAAACTCAAAAGTCAAAATGGGTCTTGATCCCTGAAGTCATTAAGGATTACCCATTTAGCTTTGACTGATTGTTTTAAGTACTGGTACATGCAATATTTGACTGGTGATATGTACATGTAACTCATGCTGTATGTGAAATAACAAATGTTTCCTGTTTTGTTCAACTTTCAGAAACCTAACATTCAATGTGGCTGGCATGTTAGAAAGCAGCATGTAAGTATTGTCTTTTGCCACAATTCACAGGGAGGACACTTTTACCCCTCTCACATGTTCCTCTTGTTCGTTGTGTGGTGTAAGTGTGTGTAATAGACCTTTTTGGGGGTGGGATCTTACAACAATGGGACTGTGCATATCAGGTATAGAGATCTTAGCCCAGAGAGAGAGAGAGAGAGGGAGACTATTAACCTGCGTTTCTAGCATTTACACATATTCCCTTAGCATAGAAATGCAAAAAGTACATGTTCTGTTGGTGGGCCATACTGAAAAGAAGAAAACAATAGCCATCAAACTTATTTAGTGTCTTCTTTGTTTTCATAAATGATATTTACCAGCAAATTGTTAATTGCCAAAAAATAAAATTCCATTAATGGACATTGTTTGAGTCTAGGAATTTTCATGTTGAATGTAATCATGGTCTCTACATTTACCTCCCTTTTTGTTTAGCGTTTGGCTTTAAAAAATAAAATCCACATAACTGGTTGCCTGGATGCAGTGGGGGAATGGTTCAGGAATCATCTTGTAATTGTTGCTGCAGTTGCTGTGGCTTTTGCCTTCCCTGAGGTAAAAATCTCAAGTTTTGGTGCTAATCTCAATAATGCTTAGTCACGCAGAGTTAACTTATGAATACAAGTTATAAACCTTTACCTCCCAGGGTCTAATTAGTAACTCTCTCAGCACCCTCTGTATTTATCCTAGTCCAATAATGAAGATAATGTGTGTGCTGTGTAAAGATAACACTACCAATGTTAAATTCATTAAATCTTTAACCGAGAGTAGCATCAAACCATGTCTGACCACCAAACTGGTTGGTTTTGTCTTATTCTCATCCTCTCTCTGCGAGATAAGTTTTAAAAATTGTGAGATGTTGATGACTCGCGTCTGCAAAATCCATGGAAAAGGGAAAAGAACTGAGACACATTTTAGTATCCAGGCTCCTCTTCTACAAAATTCAGAGACATCAAAGTTTTGAAATTTGAATGCGTTATATGTATATTTTTGTTATGTTTCGTACATAGATTATGCTTGGATTTTTTGATGAATCTACACAGTGCTCTCAACAGATTACATTTTTCTTCTCGTGTGTGACAGGTTGCTGGAATTGTCATGACCCACCTATTCATCGGACAGATTAATGAACAGATTGAATCCTGGAAAAACCCTCCAAGGTACAAGTACAGACCCAGTCAGGATGTGAACGGAAGAAGTGGACCCTTCTACTAACCTCTCCTTCAGTTGATAATAGTTCCGAATCCAATTCTTTGGTAAATGTACACTTAGTTACACGTCGATGAACGAAGCAGATTTCTTATCAATGTTGCCTCTAAAAGTACATGTACTTTTTATTCTTACGTGACACATCCCTTCCATGGACAAGGGAAATTCTTAGTCAGTCACGTTACCTACGACCGCTCAGCTTTTTTTATGTGTAAATCACCAAACTGTTTCGCTTTTGTCACTGGTTGCTTGTTTCACTCAGCAGTAACAGGTGTACAGAATGTAAAATGAGCTTCCATGGACTTTGCGTATTGGTCTCCTTTCCAACTTCCAAGCAAAACGATTTCAGAACTTTATCGACAAGTAGTACTTCATGTGATATTTCATGTTGGCGTCCTCTACTTCATAACTAACTCGTTAAGTCTTGCGCGCGTGTAGCTGTAAGTTGAAGTTTTACTCTTGAGTGATTTTGTCCCAACTCGAAGGGTGCAGCCGAGAGGAAACTTTGCATTAAGAGCCGTCTACGTGTAAATTAATGCTAGGTAAAGGGATGATGGGGGAGGGGAGGGAGAAGGTGCAAAAAAACCTTGCGAAACTATTCCCATGAAACTCTTTCATTTTCATGCAAAGTGTTTTAGTCGGTTTGCATGTCAACTCGTGTACACTACGATATGTCTCTCGCCAACGGGCCTCATCCTCTTGTACTCCAGAGTCTGATTTCTATTCAAGTTAAGTGTGTCTGCTTACGATGGTTAATGTCGACCTAACAATTTTCTGGCCCTAATTAGACACTTTTTGTAAAAGTTGTAGAGCTGTATAAACTTTCACAAGTAAGCTTTGAACTGAATGCCTCATAGGTCAATTCTAAAACGTAGATAACGTTTAAAAAATTAGCGAGTAGGTTCCTGATTTAAACCAAACTTAGGTTTTTGTAACATATACCGAAAGGTGTCGATACTTTCTTGTAGTAATTTGATAAGAAAGCCGAGCTACTACAGCAACAATTAAAAATTAGCGAGTAGGTTCCTTATATAAACCAAACACAGGTTTTGTAACATATACCGAAAGGTGTCGATATTTTCATGCAGTAATTTGATAAGAAAGCCGAGCCACTACAGCAACAATTCCCAAACATATTCTAAATCTGGTGTAAAAAATATTAAAATTGAGTGCAAATCGCCTTGTTGTTAGATTATTGTCCTTCTTTGAAATGGTTTAATTTTTTGACATTCTCTTACAATGATACAATGAACAGTCCTCTTAATATATCAATATGAATTTACGACGTTCAATAGGTCTGAACGAGTCTTGAAAACTAAAGTAGAAGTCAACCATTTCGTAAAACGTAATTTGTGTGTAAACGTATCTTTTGTGTTCTTATTGACACAAGCGCAAACGAGGATATTTAGGAAAATGAGTCATGATAGCTGATCAAAAGTAGTCAGATGAAAAGAAAATATGTTTTTTTTTGCGGGATGTTTAGCGCCTTTATTGACCTGCTAAAGGTTCCAGAACCTTTGTGGCGCTTTGAACACAGTAGATTGCTATTGACACTTGTTGCTTAACTAGATCCCAGTCTCCCTTTTTCTTAGCCATATGCAAGGCCTCTGTGATACCGGGAAATGTCGCTTTTGATGGGCGGATGTTGTGGAAACCAAAATTAAAGGCGACATGACGGTCTTGAGCTCTACCAGGCAGGCCGTAAGGGTAAATGAAGGCCTTCTCCACTTTCACCATTTGATCATTCATCACTCGCAACTCAGAGGTCTTTTGAAGCATCGCAAGGTCAGATTTTCTAGCCTCGAATTGCCGACTGGCGTCCATGAACCCGGATACAGCGTCTCGAAGTGCAGTAAGAGTAATGCCGTTGGCTGAGAGGTCAAGGGACGAAGCGACAACATGGAATGAAAAGTTTAATGCGAGCGCGTAATTTTGAACGTCGAATGGCAGCAAAGGTTGGTCTGCGAAATCTAGTGTCATTCCTCCTCCAAACTGTGTCATGGCTCCATGAATTTCAAATTTTTGATCAACGAACTTTTTCATCCAGTAAAATGTGTCTTGTTGTGTGTGATACACAGGATATAGAGATGTCTTGTTAGGGTACCCGAACCAATAGCCAAAATCTCCACATGGTACACCTATGTACTGGTAAAAGGGTACGTAGTCACTTGCGGAAAAAAGGTTGAAAATCATGGGCTGGTTGCTATTAGTATCTGAAGGAGTCCTTTTCAGCCAGATGTCGTATATCGTGTCTGTGCCTTTGGTATTACTGGGATCCTTGACCTCCTTAGCCCATTTGTGAATTATCTGCTTAAACAAAGGTGTCGCCCTTGCTCGTAAAACGTAATCCCCGCAAACGGCAATATCTAAATTGATATATGCTACAGCACGCTCAGTAAGAATGTTAGCATTTTCCTCCACCCACTCCTGTGATCCAATCAAGTTAAACTCCTCCCCGCCCCAACTACAGATCTTGATGGTTCGTCGCGGTCTCCATCCTTTTTTTAAAAGTGTTCCTAATACACGAGCTACTTCATTCGTTACCGTGGTTCCGCTTAAGGCATCGACGGCGCCAAAGGACCACGAATCCCGATGGTTACCGACGATGACGTATCGATCAGGCTCCTCCTTTCCGAATATCGTACCTATCACGTTGTAAATTGACTTGTTTTCCGGTTTGTTGTTGACCTCTAACCTGAGTTTTGCATTGCTGCCATTAAATCCTGGGCCAGTGCGGTATGTGATGTTTAAACCACCTTGCCACGACTCGGGAGCTTCTGATCCTACGAAATTGTGAATAACGTTTAGTAAAGAGAACATTACGGGTGCGACACGTGGAAATCAATATAACGTCACTCTTAAGATACTTCCACTCTAAGTTATGGAGTAATGATCGTCTCTTATTCTCATTCATGTAATGTAATCAATTTTTAAAGCAACGTGTGCTCATCCCAGCGCGCGACACTTCTCTTTAGGCAGTGCACTGATTCCGGAAAGGTTTCAATGACTTCCGAAGAATGCAAACGACAAGTTGACCGGTGGCTTGACAAAACAAATCTACTTTACCTCCTAATCTTCGTAGCAGCTCCATGGCATCTCCATATGATATCGTCTGAGCTGGAATTTTTGGTAGTTCGCTCTCGTTAACAGGTTTGCGATGTATACCTTTGATAGACGGAAGGACCGGAGTTTGGGGGTCTCCATTGTAGGGGCCAAAAAGTATCGTACCCTCCTGCACCCCGCTTGATGGTAGCCACCATCCACTAGGGTACACTTGATCTTGAGCGTATCCTTGCTGAGCAGAGAAGCTTGGGTCTGGGAATACCAGCGCTCCTATTGCCCCGTGTTTTTCAGCATTGGAAACCTGAAGAATGCAAACGTGTATGTTCCTTGCCTTAATAATATCGGACTACCGTTGAGTTACAAACGATAAACAGCAATCCTTCGGAAAAAAGGAATAAAAATTTAACTTTTCAAAAATTGAATTCGATAACAGCGAAAGAACCAGCTAAGTTAAATTTTAAAAAACTGACGTACATTTCCGGAGTTATTCATTTGAATTTGCCCCAGCGAGGAGCTAGCACTGGAACAATCTGCTTTTCAAATCTCTATCTTTGGTGGTTTATGAACCAACTTCACCGCAGTAACTAAAAGCTTCACTTGCCAGCAGGTCAGGAAAACAAATCCTTTACTAACTGATTACTTTCTTGGATTAAAATTCTCAGTTCGCATCAAACCTTGAAAGTAGTTTCCTGCGAAAAAATAGCCCCGAAAGTTGCGAACTACGGATATAAATTCCTTGTTTGGTATGATCAAAAAGAGAATCGTCAAGTTAGCCTTATCGAGGATATTTCCCAAAAGTATAAAAAGACCAATTGTTGCGAAACATTATGCAATTTTTATGTACAAGCATACTGAAGCGAGTAAGGGCAAAGTTAGGTCAAAGGAGTTTCTGAAATACTTACACTTCTGGATCGCATAATGACAATTTTACCACGCACAGGGATATTCATTTCAGAAAGCTTTTCATAGTCTGTATCTCTTCCATAGTTCACGTAGACCAGATCACCTTCAACAGTGCCACTGTGTGCATATGCAAGGTATGGATAATGATCGAATGTCTCAGAGCTGGTTGGATCAGGGGATATCTAGAAAGTATTAAGGCAACATATTTTACTAAAGTGAAGAATTTTTGATTACCTCTCCAAAGCATAAAGAAATGAAGATTCACTAAGTCGCAATAGTCCAGCACAGATACTGGCAGACAAATATTGCTCAGCCAAAATATCCAGAAAAAAGGCGTGTTACCATCTATTAAGAACTTAATTCTACCAGAATGAATGAATTAAAGATAATTTAATGAGTTAACCTTTAAACCCCTTAAAGTAACTAATATCTAATTTGTCCTCACAATAGCCCTTTTGAATGACGTATTGAGATCACCGGAATAACGGAAATCATAATCAACTAAAATAGCTCTTGATTATCAAACAACGTCTCCTTGTTAACATCTTAGGAAACGTATAGAGAACAGTATGGAGAAACTGCATGCTGATGTTAGGATGTAGAGGGTTAATGAAGTGCACAGAAAACAAGATATTTCGTTGTAGAACACAATGGAACCGAGCCACAGTAACTGCCGGATATTGAAAGCCAGAACAGTAGCAATGATTATTCAATTCACGAAAAACAGAGGCGCACTGCTTAGAGTTAGAAAATTGAAATTCTTCTTTTATCATATTAAAAAAGTGCATTAAGTAATTAGGAAATATCTAAAGAAAAATGAAAGAAATGAATTTACCTTAATTTGTCCTGCTATTTCATAGATTGTTGTACCGTTTTCTACTATGGTGACCTTGTTCGGTTTGTTTGGTTGTGGAAAAGACAGGAGAACATTATATTCAGGTTTTTCTACTTTGTCGAAACCATAGGATTTCCAATTTGTAGCGAGAGTATTTGCAAGCTTCAGCTGTCTCGGAGATCCAGCGATGTGAGGCTGTGTTGAAAAGTCCCTGTAATGAACAGTTAAGTCAGGAAATTTTGATCAAACCTCAAAATTATCATCATCACAGTCATTGTCAATGACGCTGTCTTATGACTGGTTTTATTACGATTATCATATATATCACTATTATTATTGATATAGTTAGAACTACTTTTTCCCGCACTTTTAATCTCCCTTGCTGTAATATACGTGCATGTGTATCTGCTTGGTTTGTGCGACTGCATTATCTTTTCTCGTGAAAATTTTCCTTGACAACGTTTCAGAATAAGTGAAACTTGAAAAAAAAAAACGCCATAACAATTTTAAAATTCTCGCAAAGGACAAAAGGGGCTGAATAGGGAAAAAGGAGTGTGTCTATGGGAGCACCAGGCAGACGAGCTGCATGCCACCTCTCAAATTTCAATGAAACTTTGCCAGTTTAGAGGGTTTACTCTAAACTCAAAAATACAAACTAATTCCTTTTAAGGTTATTTCCGGGGGAATAGACCACCTCCTGGTTCTATTGGGTTTTCATCAAATAGGGGAGGCTTGCGATTCTCATCCTCAGTTCCAGAAACGCCTGGGGAAGACAATGCAAGTTTGGCGACTAGAAGATAACCAAAGGGCTCTTGGAGCCAGCTCATTCATGTTATGGCTTAAGTTTGTTTCTTGGACTTGTTGAATATATGTACTGTTGAATTCAGTTTATGTGAACTTTCAAGACTTTTAGAATAAATTCTCTCTTATTTTTGGGCATTTGTGTGATAAAGAAAACTTGTGCGTTAGTCGTGATGAGAATTGGAAAAAAGGCTGTGTGGTCTGGAGGTAGGATGGGCAGAGGTCATTAGGCAGAGATCATCAGAGGCAAACAGTGTTCTTTTTGTTGGTGTGTGTGTGTTTGCGTAGTCACCAAACACATGAGAGATTAATATACTAGAAAAACAAACAAATGGCCAGTCACGAAAGTAACTCTTCGCTTTTCCAGTCTTCTTTTTCCATATAAAAATTCGCTGGTTCCTCATGTACTAAGCCAATAACAATATAAGGCACATATGGAAAAATAATCGGTGTGTGTACACCCCTGAAAGTTGAAAGTATATCAAGTCGAAGGAACGGTTTTGGTCTCGGTCCGCATTTTTGTCAACAAAATGAACACATATCGGTTAAAACGATGAAACGTTCGGACCACGTGCAAAGCTGTTAATTGTTTCTCGAATATTGCACGTGATAAAAATTTAATAGTGACATCTCCTTTACATCTACTTTTATTAAGTAGATTCTGTGCCGGCATCTCACCAACCAACTCGCGCGCAAAGTAAGAAGAATATATGAAGGCTTGAAGTCATATTAAGGACGATTGTGATCAAGAAACGGGCAAGGAATATTCCACGATAGTGCAAATAATCGCGAAAGATGATCGCGGAGGAGCGATTGCGTGACTCTCGGTAAGTTGTAAGATGACATGTTATCACGTATCACACGAAAAAACAGTATACATTCTCAGTCTGCATTTTTTACCCAGTCTGCAGTCTGCATTTTGTACCCGGCTGCAGTCTGCAGTCTGCATTTTGTTCTGACCCGACTGGTATTGCTGTTTTTGTTCGAACGAGCCTCAAGTCCGGACCGAAATACTGGAGCTCGCAAAAAAATTCTAGTGAGACTATCTTGGCCGCTATGATTGATATGTGGACTGTATGTCGAAGAGCTCACGAGGAAAAGTACAATGATAGGGCAATGATTAATTTATACTAACTGAAGACGAACGCAAATGCGCGGCTTACCAATATGGCGATCTTTGATGCTCTTTCGCGTGGTCACAGCGTGTGTTGAAATAAACCTGCTACGGGTCCATTAGGTGTGAACATTTCGGCTTCTCGATTCAAGTTGCATTTTCAGAAGTTCGGAAATGTGATTTGAGGTTATTATTTTTTTTAACCATATAAACATTTTATTTCTTTCCACGCGAGTTTCTGAACTTCATCGAAATTAATTTTGACTTTCACTAAGTGAGGAGGGGTAGCACGCGAGGCTACTTCAGTTCACGGTCCACAATGCAACCTCTGTCCACGAAATACAACCTCCGTCAACGGTCGACAACTTCCGTCAACATCTGCTCCAACACGATACCTCATTCATTGCTTTCAGCATGAATGAGCTAAAAACGAACGGTTTGCATTTTTAGACTCGGGAATTCCTACAGAAGCTAATCACCGCTTGCAACCATAATTGTATGACAGGTGGAGTTGTAAGGAGCTTGTCACAGATGCAATTTTCAACCGGTCTCTGAGGCCAAAAAAACCCAAAACGTTTAAAAATTTTCTCAGAGACTAAATGATAGATGACAAATGGACACCAAAATTAGTGTTGTAGCTTTTGGCAAGGTGAGATATTTGACCTCAAATTATCAAATATTTGAATGTCTTAAAACGCATTCACTTACTTGCCCGATCTGATCGACAGGCTGTCAATCAAACTGACTGATACTTGTTTCTTGCGTTCATCAGTGATGTACCGATATGTGTGTGAACTTTCGTAGCGAAAGGTTAAATACAATCACGAAGAGAGCTTCATACGTTTTGTCTATTTTGAAGCTGAATTAGTGAAGAAAACCCAATAAAACCAGTGGGTGGTCTATATCCCCCCCGGAAATGACTTAAACAGAACCCAGTTTGTCATTTTGAGTTTTAAGGTAGAAGTTTAGGAGAGTTTTAGGCAAAGTATCATTGAAATCAGTGGAATGGCATGTAGCACGACTGCCTAGTTCCCTCAAGGAAAACATCTTAAAAATCTTTAAGTCTTCATTTTGCTGCCTTCATATCTACTTGACGTTTGCCCTGATATCAAAATTAAATTCGAATGATTTTACGCCAAGCAAATTGTCTCCTTCCTCTTCGTTTCTTCGCTGTCGCGCCTTTGATGGTTTCTGGCAGTCACGTGACTCGCATACGTAACAAAATTTGACAGAGTGAACTCTAACTTAGTGACGTTATTGCCTGGCTGTCAACTTAAAAAAAACAAATTAGTTTATCGCTTCAATGCAAATGAAACACATATTCCATCGCAAATAACTGACGCAGGACTTGAAGACATTTATAACTTATTTTGGCACCGCTAGATCATACAATTGAATGTTAAGACATTTAAGGGTTATAGATTTTGACTCGTTATCCAAAACGTGTTTTCGGTTCAGGAAAAACGCACGCGTCTTCCCCAGCAGTTGTGAGGGAAATCATAAAATACTAGTTTGTTCAGATGAAAAAACTCCACACGAGGCAAAAATGTAGCAAGAAGTAGCTATGATGGTTAGCGATGCAAAATATTGACACGGATTGGGAACGACGAGCCTCAAAATTCACGATAAATGTTCTGGGCGCTCAAAATCATAACATCTCACTCCTTTGACATTGTGAGAAGACTCGCATTAAGTATTTGCATGACCAATTATCATCAGTTTTTCATACCTCATCAGAGATTCCAACTTCTCGGTGCTAATCGTTTGTTTAAACAAATCGTGGAACTTTTGGAAGTCACTTGTCTCAGGCTCATTGTCTGCATCTTTTCTAGAACAACTTTCACTATTTGGTGGCTTCGCCACTAAGTATCCAATTAAGATACCAATTAGGAAAAACACCACAGCAACGAGGACAAAGCCCACTACTACTCGAGCGTTTCGCCGTTGAATTTGAAGAGGCCTGATGCCTCTGATAAAGACGCTGCCTTCAGCAATTTTTTCTGTGCTGTCGCGATTGACTTCATCCTCCATGCTATTGAATGAAAATTAATCCTTCTGTAGCTAGCTGTGTGCATGCAAGATTCAATTGAACTGCATCGCAGCAGAAACATCTGTCAGACAGCTCTTAGTGTTTTTGTTTCTTATCCAATTTACATGTTAAATAGTCTGGGTTGTGTAATCTTTTATAGGTGCACGCGAATCACCCAGAGATTTGAATGTTAAATAAAGTTCTTTTGACTTCACGAAAACCACTCAGCAATAAACGACACGAATTATTTTCTGTGTCGGTCTATTTTGCAAAAGAATCTTGCCTATGGGTAAATTTTCTAGAAATCAAAATGACAAAATAGGTATGTTTACTTTTGTTTTGATTTAACCTCTTCTGTTTGTTAACGTCTCATTGATCTTAAACAGTGGAGTCTAATTGGGGCAATGTGCGTCACGTAGGCAAAGGTTCACTTGAATTTATAAATCTGACTTCCCTTCTGTCAGACGCCAAAATTCCCTAACCCTGACATGATCATGCGTGAGGGAACAGAAGTGTTTGGCCCTGAGCACCTTTAACACGAAAACTTCCAACTTGGTATTTCCTCTGTGCTAAGGGAGATATGCGATGATATTACATGAATAATAAGCTACGAAGGAAGTTTGTGAATATCCCACTGCGTCTACCGTCGGTGTTGGAGCACATCAAAGTAAGCTATTAAAATTGGGCATTAAAAGATATTATCTATTCCCAGCTCACTCCCGAACCAGAGTGAACTGAGTCTTGTTATCTGTTTCCGTCGTAAGTAAGCTCGTCAATTAGTTGATAAGAGATATTGTTTATCTATTCCTGACGGAATAGTTCAGTTCCGAACCAAGTTGAGAGTAAGAGTTAGCCTTGACTTTCTAGATTGCTATTCAACTTTAAAAGAAATGATCCAAAAAATCGACATCAAGGGGTTTTATGAGTTACAATTTGACGGCACGAGAACAGTGCAAATACCTTTGTGTTTTGTGGATAAGAACGGTCACGCGATAGAGATCAACTACGGTTTTCTTTTTTTTTTGGTCTCATGCCTAAGAAAACTTATGATTTGATGTGCTCTTAATCCATGAGTGACAGCTGAATAGAGCTCCAGGAAACTTATTGCAGATTAACTGTGATTTGTTTTTAGTAAAAACAGGTGCGTAACCGTGATTATGATTGGTGGTCGAGGATATCTGCACAAGATAAGTGGACCTCCGAGGGATGAAACTGCAAATGTTTAGGTAGTGCATAGGGCCTTCTCACCCGCAAATCAGCGAACAATAGCTATAAGCGTATCATTTTTCAACGACTCTCTCTGCGAAGATAGATTTCAACGAAAATAATTCTTAACAACTGAATATTCGAATTAAAGTAATACGAATGATTAGAAATGTCATTATATCGGGGTTAGAGGAGTAAAATTTAGGGAGGTAATGAGTCGCTTAAATTGAGTTTAGCTAAGCGTGTAATGCTAACCTGATAAGTTGAGATTGCGAACTCGGTTATCGCTTATTGTATGACACACGAGAGAGGAAAAAAAAACTCCCCAGTCGATTACTTGACAGTCGTTTGATTGCGTAGCATTAGTAAAGACTAATTGGCCGTAAACAGATCCGGCTAAAATATCATTCGCTACCGAACTGTTTAATTGGAATTGTCCGATTTCCTGTTACAAGCACCTCGGGTTGTTATCAGCTATATCAAAGCAATAAATACGCTCGGTGTGATAAGAACCAACCCGATTTTAAATTATTCAATGTGGAACTCCGTGGCGCTAAAACTACTGAGTGGGGAGGGAACTGATCTATCCAAACCATACACAGGTTGTTTGACCTAGACTTTTTGTTAGTAAAAGTTATAATCTAAACAATCACAAAATTCTCGAACGTTATCACCGGCCCAATACGAGCACTAATAAGATAGTGTACGCGTCGTGCGCGTGGGCTATCCCTGCGCATTTTGCCGAATTTACTGGGCTTTTATTTGTTTATTTGTTTGTTTGTTTGTTTTTTTATGAAAACGTATAACGTATATATTACAGACCAAATTGGACTCCACTCACTCTATTCTGTGCCATTTCCATTTATAATTTATGATAGTAGAATAGTCTGGATGGCCTACTGCAAAATGATGACTACTCTCATATTTTAATAAATGTGGTGTTTTTTCCGATGTCAACGTATTCTCCGAACCACTCGAATTAAGACTTTTTGACACCACTGAAAGCAAAAACCTCGAGATGTTGTTTCGCCGGCTCCATAGCACTCAAATTTTTTTCACCAAACTACGCCAGCTACACATTACGCGCTGAAGCATCATACTTCAATAAGTATTCGCCCAATGAGATCTATATATATATATGTTCCCTATATCATAGTCAACATCATTGAATAGATAACCAGTTCTCGCCCATAAACTTCTTAGGCCTACATTTGTCCACACTAAAGCTTTTGTTTGGTATCTTGGTTCTTCAGGATGCAGTCAGTACATGACTTGGAACACTGTGAATAATGACAGAGAGTGATTTTCGAAACATGCTAATTCTCTGAGTAAGGCTACCGCCATCAATCACTGCAGTGCTTGCCCAATCTGTTCAAAAACTGTCTTAAACTGTAGTGCCTAGGATTATTTCAACACGGTGTTGTAGTCCTCTATAATTCATCTTTCTAAATTCACAGTAACCCTTTGCTATGCAGCATTATTTAAAATTTAGAATCCTTTACGATGGTGACTTCTCGATCAAATATTCTTCTCTCTGATTGCACGTGTCAACTGTCGGATCTCATAGAGGAGTTTGCTCTCCAATTCTTTGACCTCCTGTTTCCTGATCATTTCCATGTCTTTCATCTCTTCTCTCAGGATGTCAAGTTTCTCTTGTACATCCGTGTCCTTCGGTATGCTTATAGCATCTGCAGGGCGGTGGGCCTGTTGACCATGGCGCGGGCACATCTACATAAAATAGTCCAAATCGATAGCTTTATGATTGAGTAATTAATAAATTATTTACGTCCATTTTGAAATTACTGATGATCCTTGTAATATGATTGGCTCTCATTGGTGCGATTTATTCACGAATCGGACCAGTTTTTGCTCTAACTGCATCCTTTTCCCAGCTTAGGAAGAGGCTTTACTAAAATACAACAACCAATCGCTTGTTTCAAGAAACCAATCAAATTGCAGGAAAATGAAAAACAACTTTTGTAGTTTAGTACAAGCCAGCTTACTACTGAATCAACAAAATATTTGCAAAGACAAAATCCTGCATCTTAGTGACTGAATTTTGCACTTTCAAAATGGATGTAATTAAGAGGTATTCAAACTTCGTGTCGTGCAATTTTGGTCTGAATTCACACATATGATTTCAGACCAAATTGCACGTTCAATTACCATCATTAATTACGCAATGTGCAAACAATTAGGGCACCCTTTAAAAAAATTCAAAACATTGCAGTACAGAGAGCAAAAAGGGGGATAAAGGTGGTTATCAAAAAGGCCTCTCCGCATAAACTTCTCGAGATTTTTCGCTAATGATTATATAGAGAGATAACGATTGTAACACTTTTCACGATTATTCATGAAAAAGTGAGGACGTTAAGTGGAATATCTATAGTCAGTAAACCAATAACATTCCCCAATTTCGTATAGCGCTCAAAGTTTGAATCTGAACTGCGCTTTCAATACATCCATACAGAAACGGAACGAAAATTAACACACCTTTGCCAGAACACGAATTCCAGCGTAACCCATTCCGATGAAGGGGAACAGTTTAGTATGATCAGGAATGAACTTTAATGATGTACGTGCCACCTCTGTGCTGTTCTTGAAAAACGTTACAGGAACTAAGTCGTTTTCAGCATCCTCAAAATTTACTTCACAGGCCATAAGATCACCGCGGTAGGCCATGGCGTCTGTCGAAAAAAATGGGACGCAATGATGACTCAGTACGACCTTTGACTCTCAGTGTGATGACGAATTTCATTCTCATCTACGAGTATCTCATATTTTCTGCCTTCATCGATTTTTACAGTAATGTCATCTCACCGAATGTGGAGGTTGCCGTCAAACGGAATGCCGTTTTCGGTTTAACAGGATACGGAAATTCTCACCAATTAGAAGTGTTTGAAAGGGTGTAACGACAGATTAACTTCAATGTTGAAAATTTCTCCTTTAATCGAACATTTTTCAGCTACAGCAACAACAGTAAGATCACGAAAAAAGAGTGATATTGAGCTGATTGAGTCACCTTAACATGGAGATGCATATACAAACCCTGCTTGTGATAAAAAAGTGACATTTTCTGCGAGGCTACTTTTAAGTTTAAAAACTGAATCATTGACACATTCAGTTTAAGAGCGTCATTACCTACCAGGAACTTCTTTTCCCTGTTGCCTGCAGCTCGGTTCAAATATTCTTCCGTCATCAGCGTGATAACCGACAGTCCCTTCCTTCCACCCCGGCATGAAATGACAGTTGTAGCCCTCATATACTGCACCCACTGCCACAATGCGCCTCTCTCCGCTCTCTTGGATTAACACCTAAAATTCAAGTCAATTTAAGCGGGAAGCTTCGTTAAAGGAGCCCGTTTGGGATGTTTTGTAACCATTTTAGAGCCTGGGAGAATTGCTTGTAAAGTAGTGTGAAATTGGGCCTGGAAAATGATCCAAAATTTCTTTGGTGACGCTTTAATTCGCTTAATTGTTGGACTACAAAACTTGCGCAAGCCTCTCCAAAAAGCAGGTACAAAATTACCAATCACAACTTGCCTATTGGTGTTTTCCTCCGCTTCAGCCAGTTTATATGCCTGTTTTGTACTTTTAGTTCTGATCGACGCCTTGTCATGATTTTCGTTACTCTGATGATTATTCGATGCCGTGGCGGATACTCTGGTTTTGGTTCGAAGAAACTCAATAACTCAAACTCTATAGAATGAAATTCACCGCCAAAAAATATGGCGTTCACCCGTTCGGAAAACAAGTTCTGAATACCCGGCCTTATTCAGGCATTTTCTGACATTTTCCGACAAGAAAATCCAAAGTTTTTCCGTTGTTTTCGAGTCGCCGAATATGCCGCGCGCTCTCCGTGAAAGGGAAAACGAAATTTGAGCACGACATCTTTCCGGTATTCACCGTTTGGTAAAATTGTGGGCGAAAGGGGATTATCAGATCAATGTGTAATTGCATAGGCAAATTACAAAGGCGGAAAAAATAAAGTTAAAGGAGCAGATACGGCTAAGAATGAGGAAAGTTGAAAATTTTTTAGGATAACTTTTTTAAGATTATCAAACTGTGATCTAGCCCCACTCACGCGAGCTAAGTGAAAAAAACAGACTTTGACTGTATTATAGAATAGTTAAACACAATGATATGCTCTTTTTTGTTGTTTCTCTTACCTCAAATCTCGGAATTTCTGGGGTTAAAGGCGCCAAGCCCCTTGCTCCATGATGTGCCCAGGAATGATTCCACATTTCACAAATGTCACACGAAGAAGAACCTCCATAGGTCAGCAGAGAGCCTTCGATTCCAATTCCAAGCGATTCCCATTCCTTAAACAAAGTAAGAAGACGCGAAAGACTCAATAAGTGCAAAATTTAGTCAACACTTACGCACTTTGAGATGCTCGTAAATCGTAAACACAACTGTGTTTCGCTTCTTCAGTGCGTTTTTTTTTTTTTTTTATTTCAAACTTTGGCTCATTTTTGATTGTTTGTTTGTCTGTGTGTATTTGAGCTAAACAGTCTGAGTACCTCTCCAAAATTACCAATTACTTCCAACCAGATATGGTTCTGTTTGCTCACACTAAAATATTTTCAGTGCCGTAAGTACTGATATTTTTTTTACTAAATTTCTACTTGAAAATTAATGACTGAATTCACCGTCTATTGCCGTATTCAATAAGCTGCAACTTACAATTGTTCCGTTCTGTACGTTTGTCTGTCCAAGGGTTGATGGTTCGAACACTCTTCGGATGATCTGACTACACATCTTTCGATTTCCGTCTGTTTCGTGTAGAACTTCATCGATCTTTCCTTCATCTAAAGATACAGATAATTTGAAAAGTAAAGATCACTTGAAGGGTTTTGGAAGATAATTGTTGAGGTGTTCAGTGATTTTGTTTTTGCTACTATTATTGTTGCTAAATTTATGAATGTCATCTGGTGATCTTGCAATTCACGATACGAAACAAGTCAAGTGTTTTTAATTCTCGCCTACTAGAAAGCCAGCATTCCACTCTGGCCAAAGAGAGCTAAAGATAAATGTCACAAGTAGCAAGCTTCGAACGTATGCAAGCAAGTCACAATTGGTTAAATTTGGCATCTGATTGGCCGGAAAGGCACCTAGTGCTAATTTTTTTAAACCAATCGCGCAGTATGGCTGCGTGAAACCAACATTTGCAATCATGGTTTTCTTCGAAACTCAATTGAAATATGGACCAAAGGAATATAACCTTAAATTAGGTTGCGTGCTTCTGTATGGACTACATTTGACATTTTAGTTATTGATCGCTCGAAATCGCTAATAGCTATGAGGTTGAACCCGCTCTTACCAGTAAGCGGAAAAGAATAGCCGTATGTTGCAAAGTACGTCCTTTGTAGTTTCTCCACAAGTTTATCTAAAGCAGCATCCTGTCCACCAAAAGAGAACAGTGAATGGGCAATGGATTAGACAACATTAGGAACAACTTTGATTAAAACTGACCCATCGTTTTTTAATAAGCTGACCTATAAGAATGCAGGACTTTTCCTGTCGCCGACAAAGAAGGGGGGAGTGGGGGAGGGGGACAGCCTACGGGTTAGTTCGCCCTAAGTAAATTTGCCAATAGGTCAGTTTCGCTTAAAAATCGTTTCGCCTTTAGGTTGACTCGATTCCAAGTCATTTCGTCTACAGTTCAGTTTCGCCAAAAAGTCGTTTCGCCCACGGGTTGGTTCGCCCCCAAGTCATTTTACAGTTTTGCTTCCAGTGATGAAATAAGAAGTCTGATAACTCCTAACAATCAAAAGCGGTTCAATCTTTTCCTTTCTCCTTAGGAGACGTCGGAGAAGTGTTAACGATATAGAACATTAAATTCGTTTTCCGACGCTGCAATCCAAATCTTTATTTGCCTGGACACACCAAGTTCCACTGACACTGATTTCCTTTCTTAACGTCACGTTTCGCCTCAAAGTCGCTCAATAAATATTTGCAGTGTAAAGCGATGGTGTTTGCTTAGAGGGTCTTCTCCCGCTTGAATCTGCCAAGGAACCGTAAACCTCAGAATGCAGTTTATGTGATCGCATATCTTTTAGACGGATTGAAATAAAATATACGCATCAGTAAATTCCACGAGTTTTCTTTTAGTAGAAAAGCACAGGATTATTTTCATTCGCTTACATGTTTATTGATCTATCGAGCCGCCAATGTTTACAGAAGATAATTAAATTTAATCAATCAGCAAATAAACTTTGACTGCTGTCACAGTTGTGGTTTTACATTAGGTAAAGGACAATCAAAGCGATTCACAGTGTTGGGTTTGTGCCTGAACCCCAAGTTTTTTCGTTCACTCGAGAGGTAACAAAAAAAAAACGCCGTACTGAATCTCCAGATACTTGACTTGTTCCCTTTTTCCTCTATCAGAGCACGTCTGTGCACTCATTCCACAAGCTTATTCAAAATTCCTTGGCTCCTCTTTAGACAATCCAGACAGGCATTTTCTGTCTGTCACAGACCTTTTTTTTAACCCTTTAAGTAGTCTTGACCCAAGTGACCCAAACATGCATGACCAAATCTACGGCGAGAAATACATTTTCAATTTATCTACGGAATATCGCCACAACGTTCGGCTCTATTTCTAATTTCATTTTGAATAATTTCCAAAGTAAGTAAGATTCCTCATACCCTGCCTTCTTCTTGTACTCCAGGCATTTCGGAAGACTTCATTTTACATAGGCATCTTTGACACATTCTGAAAACAGCGATGAGGGGCATGGTGACAAGGTTAAATGGAACTGGTGCCGGATGCCGTGCGCTGTAGGTTTTGATTGTTACTGCCTTCTTAAAGGACCACTCTTGTAAGGCGTTATTCTGTCAAAAGAAGGACTAGGAAAAATTATAAAAGATATTCATATGATGGACAAGTATACGCAGATGCGCAGTCACCTTAAGCTTCTGAATGAAAAATAGGAGAGAAGAAGCTCTTGGTTGTTACACAAAATGTCCTTGTCACTACCATAGGAAATGTATAGAGAACAATATGAAGAATGTGAGTACTAATGTTAGGGCGTACATGAAGTACATTTCTGCAAAGTCCCGCACCTTAAAGGACTTACAGTAAACTAGAGGAAATGCTGTCAGTGTTATTGAGACTTTTACCTGGACCTTTTGATAGGTGTTGGAGAGCAAAGCTATCATCATATTAACGAGAAGAATAACTCCCATGACCAGGAACATCAAGTAGAGAAGATTGGCCAAGATGGCAGACGGACTGCGCTCCTCGAGGGTTTCGAATGGAGTTAATGAGGTCATTCCAAGTAAAGATCTTGCTAGATGTCGCGTTATGTTCCACCAACTGTAAACACAAACATTTCAATATTTTTAGTCTACCTTAAAGAAGTTCTCTTACGAGAGTAACAACGACTTTTTTTTAATATGTATCTCATCTGGGCAACTCTGATCACTGTCAGTACAGTGCGAACTAACGTACCAAACATATGTCACAGGAATTGATAATCTGGGATGTTTACACTCCACTGTATTTAATTTAGGGTAATTTATAATTTATCTATGCCCATCAAACCTCTATAATAAAGTTACATACGAACTTCTTTAAATCAAATATGGCAACACATGAAGCAATTGTAAATTTATTGAACAAAATTAGTCCTTTAGACAAACATGAAAGCATCTAACTTTGTACATACGAGGAATTGACTGACTTACCGAGATAAATCGTTGCCACTTTCAATACAGCACAATAAGAATGGATAAAAAAATAATGATGGAAACAGTCAGTTTTGGTGCCCGAGAGAGATGGGGAGAGAAAACTAGGTTTAAGTTGGTTAAGATTTTATATGAGGACACCGAGGGGTAAAATGTAAAAAAAAACTCAGTAATGGGATCTCATTAACTTCAATAAAATTGGGCATCAGGCTTAGATTGCTCACTATAATGCTTCTCCCACGAAAAATTTCTGAGATCTTTTAAGACACTTTAAGTCGCAAGATCTGATTGTTAATTTTCCCATATTGCTGCTACACATTTCCTTGTAAATTAGGTACAATAATTTGGTGTTAGATCAAAATAACAACTTTTATCTGATAATTTTGAGTATTCTCATTACCTGTTTGCTGAATAATTTATGGATATTATACGGCGAAGTAGCATGTTTATTTCCTAAGGGTGTTAAAGGGCTAAATTCAACTGAAGAGGTTTTAACTTTACTCTCTTTTTGATCTGAATGTCGCCAAATTAGAACAACGGCCAGTCAACACAGAAGTTAATGAAAGTCAGAGTTAAAAGGTGCTTAAAGCTTCCCACAATAAACACTCTTGAATACGCAAGGTACATGGAACGAAATTGTCCAGGTCACGTGAATTTCCATCTTGGATGAGACTAGTTGAAAACGTGGTGCGAGTTTCAGCAAGTACGCAGAGCGTAATAAAGTAAAATAGCTAGTAATTACGGCTCAGTAATAACACAGAATGGAAAATGCCTCATTTGCTTGTTACATTTATCAGTCAAGTATAAAACTAGCGAATAAGGTAAAAGCTACCTATTTTCTAACGAAAACTGAAACGTAAAGGTCATACTTACCGATCACTGTGAGAATTCCCTGACGAAATGTATGATGTTTCGACCATAAAAATCTTTGTTATCACCAGTGAGAATCCGAGAACAGTTGCAATAAAAAGCCAAAAGATGGTACGTAAATCTTTCAGAATAACAAAGACAGCAATTTGTATGGCACCCATACCCCTATCAACCTCCATCACGTGACCAAAAGCGCGCTCCGTGAGAAACAAAGCGATTAAGCCATAAAAATAACCAGTGATAGCCAAGGTCCTATTGCCTGACACTGAAGAGGATGAAACCCATGTTAACATGCGTAGAGTGGCTGTCACGATGTAGATGATCAGAATGACGACGTCACACGCATGCCAGGGGTCACTAGTAAAAAATAAAATTGCATGCCATAGTTAACTTGATAAGCATACGTTATTAATAGTAGAGAAAATTGAAGTAGTTTGTCAAGCACCTTTACCTTCTCTTTCATAAAGATAAAATAGCCTTTAGCCTCTGTTTAAAATTTCCGGCTACAACTGATAATTCATAGCCATAAGCCATGTTATTTGAAATCTTGTGGTGATATTGCTAAATAAACAACTGCAAGAAAATTAGGACTCGCTATTGGTCAAGATGATGCAGCGAGTAAAGTATTTTGATTTGAGGCTACGTGGACAAGTAGGAAAGTTTATCAGCAGTGGGCCAAAACATCATGCGCATCTGGTGCGCTCCGCACGAGGAAGTATCCGAGACAAACTTATTAACCACCTTACAAATAAACTACTATTTCGAGTTTTCTCATGGCTTCCTCATGTTGTTTAACACTAAGGACTAATAGAAGGAAATAATTCATAAATAAATAATCACCCACTTGCAGTAATTGACAAATTTTCTCAGCGCAATTTTCATATTAGATGAGTCTGCCTTTTGATTTGGATCAGAACATTCTTCGTACGAAGCGTTCTTGAGGCATCTGTGTCGCTTTCGTATCGCTAGTTTCCTCTCTGTCTTTATTGCGCAAATGAACTGATCAGCTACCATAACAATTCTTCCCAGAAAGAAAAGCAACACAACCCACTCAACAGAGGTAAAGGCGATGGCTGACGGAGTTAGGCAAATGGCAAAGTGAAGGCCGAGTAAGGCGACTGCACTTAATGTGTCGCGGAGGAAGATGAAGTAAGGAGTTGTAAAGTAATCCACGTAAATTTCTGCGATGAAATTTAAAAATTACAAATTATTCTGTGGTAGGCTTAAGTACTTTTTAAATAAGGAATACTTTCACAGACGCAGAAAAGACTCCTGTGCCTCTATTCCTTTATCCTTTTCAAGCCGTAAGACTAAGATTTGAAATTTGCAGTTTAGTGGAGCAGTCAGTATACGGAAGTACTTATTTCGCTTTATCATTTCCTGAAGCCTTATAGCTTTGCACAATGCCTTGCTCTTATAGGTATTGGACTGTTGTGGCTAACTAGCTTGAGAAACTCGCGCACACGGGAGGCACCAGCAGTCCGATCAGGAACTTCTATTCACTCTCTGCCTAATGACTCTCAATAGTGGCTTTTCATTTGAATGGCTGAGTCTCAGTGTCTCTAATTCAGCCCTAGGCACATACTCTTAGATTCCTTATCGGTAGGCATGTTTGGGCTTACGGGACAACTGACCTTGGCAGAGTAAACATATTTTAGAACACTAAGCTAAACAATTTTAAAAGGTATTGGAAATGAATCACGAAGTACCTGAAAAAAAAAAATTCTTCGAGAACTAAAATCTAATCAAAACCTCCCGTTGAGAGCTCTAAGCAAGGACAAACACGACTGGCGATGACGATTATCGTACGAGAATTAAGCCCTATTACAACGGTCAAGGACACATCATTCAAAAGGTTAAAAAAAATGTGTGGTCTTCCATAACAAACCAAGGCCCACAAGACTCGCATTAGGGTTTCAAGATAATCTAACAGGCCTCAACAATTCCTAAGCACTTAGCCAGAACATTCCTTCTTTTCGTAGTTCCCAAACACTTCTAATTTTAGTGGTTTACAAAATAGGTACTATGCGCGCGACCATCTCGTACTTGAATTTGTTGTTGTTTTTCTTTTCATTCATTGAATTGGTATTAGTTTACGCTGTTTTTGATAAAACCGTGTACAAGGCATTTTAGAGGCATCTTCATTAGTCGTGCACAAGAAGTGGATATAGGTACTGAAAAGGTGTTATGAAATTTCTATTGCTTCATTATGGTTTAAATAAATTTCTCTTAAATTCTTACCATAGATGTCTTTGCCTTCCAAGTCTACAAGAAAAAAAACTCATGTAGAAGGTCTCTTAGAAACACATGAAAAACAATATGTAAATACCCCTGAAAGATTCTTAGGATGATGGAAAGAGCGCCTTTTATCTTTCCTTTCTTATGTTAACATGTTTTGATGTTAATAAGTGTTAGTGATGATGTTAGTAAGTGAAACGAGTACCTGTTTTGTCAAAGCTGTTCTTAAATGGTGAGGGTTTGGCGGATCTCCTGAGAAGTGTATTTCCGTTCAAAACTTTGGCAGTTAAGTTACCCATCCATTAGGTAAAATACTCTCTATCATAGGACAGGTTTATTACATAAATTTTAGGATAATGCGTTCATAATTATTTGGAGCGGTGCAGCCAAATGCTTCCATTAAAACGCCGGCATTAACTATACTGATTTTTGAAGAGAGAATGATACGAAACAGTTACCATTTTAGTTACCTTGTATAACAGCTGTTCCCAAAGTCCTTGCCGATTCAAATTCTTCTAAGTGAAGGGCATCCCGTTCTGTAATATTTTCTAGTTCATTTAGATTGGCTTGCTCTCCAAATCCAACAGCGACGAGCTGAACGTCCATTTCTCGAATTTCCTCGATTACGACCCGAACACCCTCCACATTGCTCAGGTCATTTACGAACACGATGAGGACCTGGAGAAAGAGAGGAGCGTTAACTGGGCATAAAGCTCCATCAGCTCATTCACATAAGAAACCCAGAAAGGCACTTTATATGCAGGAATGCTAAGATAAATAACCGTAGTTTAGATGCAAATTCTGCATTACTTAAGGCGAATGATCCTTCAATGTTGCCTTACCTAGTGATTAAGAAAAACGTATTTGTGAAAAAGAAATTAATTCAGCTCCAGCCATCAACAACTTCAATTTTGCAATACTCTCCCTGCGTACTGCTACTTCGGTTTTACATTTAAAATATGGTTCAAATAATTCTTTCTTCAATTCATTCGTTTAATTTATTCGATTACACGCACACTCGTTCAAGGAAGGTAATGTTACGGGCTAACTTACCTTTTTGCTTTCTAAGCGAACGCGAGGGCTTTTGAATGCATCGCGAACAGCGCGTAAGTCGTCACAAAGCGGAGGACGAATTGCAGTGGGCTTTGTTAATTTATTTACTTTGTTAAATATATCTGTCTCTGTGGCGTTTTCAAATTCGAAGGTTATACTGGTGATCGGAACATGGTCGTCCTGACGTAACATTATGCAATAGTTGGTTGAGTGACAGCCGTATTGATGCACTATGTAGTTGATCGACTTCTTTATTAAAGCAAACGTCTCTTCCGATGCTTGGCCAGAGAGGGATATCGCAAAACAGACCTCTGTGTCTATGAAATGTGATTGAGAAATCATGAAAAAATGATTTTGTCGCTGAAGTTTGCCTTAAATATAATTTACCACTGGTTAACACATCGTCACTTAAGGTAAGGGACAAGAGCAGAGCATTTCCCTCCCCATTGGTCTCTGTTTTCTCCTCCCCCAATTTCCTCTCCTGTTCCTTTACCTTTTTGTCTGTTTAGAAGCTCACTTGACTTATCATTTCGCAAAATCACAACTTCAAATCGGCACAATAATTTTCCAAGTCCTTCAAGCGCAAAGCAGCAATCGAAGTCATTTGTTTTTAGCGAGAAAATGCGAATAATCACTTCGCCTGTGTGTCAGTATTTGTCTCCTGTGCTATTTTGCGTTGCACTTACAAACCAGCTCAGTTATCCCAATGTTTTCCCGAGCACTCAGTCATTTGTCCTACTGTCCGAAAAGGTCAGAATCTCAGAAATTAAATACTACCAACACTATCGGTTAACTAAACGTCATCGAACATGCAAACGTACCTGTCATTTTTCGTGAGCGGATTTTTATCTGTCTAATGATGAAAAAGAACGTCAAAAGGAATGGGAAAAGGAAGAAATCAAACACAGCCCAGATGTTGAGAAGGATGTATTTCCAGAAGCGTAGGCTTGTCGCAGGGCTTTTCCGCAAAGAAGCAAATGAACCGTACCATTTAGCCTCGAGTAACTTGTAAATCACTGGATGAGATATAAACTACACAAAGAAACAATCAAAGAGGGCTAAAGTTTGAAATAAGCACCGCGAGTTCTTCGAAATTACGATGGTTTTGATTCTATGCAATCTGTAGCCTGCGAGAAGGCCTTCATCATGAGCCGAGAGCGCTATAGGACGCAAGACGAGTCATGCCGGTTGTCTGGCACTAATAGCGAGTGCCAGACCCCTCGCAGAACCCTCACACGTTGCTCGAGAGGGTCACGATGGGGTTAACCGAGAGCCGTAAAACGGCCAAAAAGAATTAGCCGTTTGGCGTAAAATTGACAAATTTTGACCGTTACTCGAAAAAAAAAAGTTAACCGTAAAAAGAAAAAATCCCAATGACAACAATGAAGTAATATTAACCGTCAGGCGTAAAATGACCAAAATATTAACCGTTAGCCGTAAAAGCTATCACTCCACTGAGACCCCGCTCAAAGTCTCATACTTTCCCACGGGTAAAGCAACGTTGGCGGCGAAGTGCTAATCATAAGGACCTGCTCGCACGCTATGAAATCTGCGACTGCTGATATGCTTCTCTTGACCATTTGACCGTGACTTGGTATAAGCTAACGTTCAATTCCAGTGATCGAAGTATTTAAATAAAATTACTTCGAGTTCTGTTTGACTTCCTTTGAAGTCAGCAAATTTTTTTGTTAATGATATTTAAGTCCGCAATCAACCCTTACGTCATTCATTTCCATCTCATGGCGCACGTGAGCGAGTTCAATTTTACGTTTTGTTGTCAAAATAACAACGCGTCATTGCCAAAATGACTTTGCACGAAAGAGAGCACGAATCGAATCGCATGATGACAACATGCAGTAAGATTTTTACATACATCTAGCTGCGTCGCTAAATTAGTTACACTTTCCAACTATGCAATACCTTCTTCTGCTCTGTGTCGATGGCTTTTTCCATTACAGTTTCTAAGCAGCTGCTAAAAGTGCGTCTAGCGTGGTCGTCAGATTTTAACGGATGTATTAAAGCCGCCGTGAACTCATCCACTGAGTTTGCCAGTGTTTCAAACTCATTCCTCTCAGCTCCTCCACTATCGGGAATATCTGTGATTTTCTTCTTCACCTGCCGTAAAAATTTTTTGAGATCAGCATGGCTACTGGTGATTGTACACCGTATGTCCTCCTCAAAGCGTATTGATAACTCACAGCTTAGTTTAACTCGAAGCTTGTCTTAGTTCTAAATAAGGAAGTAATACCAAAATCATTTTATCAAGTCAGTACTCGCTCTCTTAGGGCTTTAATTCTAGAGGCTTCCCAAAAGCTAACAAGAGCTTTTTAGGCACTTATTCATAAAGAGCTCATGCTCGGAGAAGAGGAAACATCTTACCTCAAATGCCTTGAATAAAGCGTTAGTCTCACAGCTGGATAGAATCCTTGGATTTACGTGATCTTTAATCGAGTCATAGTGTTCTCCATTCAAGGCGTCATCAAGTTTTTTTTCAACATCTAAGAAGCAGGAATCATCATCAGACAAAGCCCTTCTTCCTCCCTACCTATTCATTTGTTCGTCTGTCTGTCTGTCTTTCTGTCTTCTATGTGTCTGTTTTTATGCCCGTATGTCTGTCTGTCTTCCTAAGTGTCTGTTTGTCTGTCTGTCTGCCTGAGTGACTGTTTGCCTGTATGTATGTCTATCTGTCTATCTCCTTGCATGACTCTCTGTCTGTCTGTCTGCCTTTCTGGCGTTGTATCTGTCTGCCTACCTGCCTATCTGTCTGCCTGTTTCCTGTCCGTATGTCTGTCAGCCTGTCTCTCTGTCTTTTTGTCTGTCTTTTTGTCTGTCTTCTTGTGTGTCTGTTAGCCTGTCCGCATATCTGCCTGTCTCTCTGCAAGCTCTCTGTCTGTCTGTCTGCCTTTCTGACGTCGTGTCTGTCTGCCTCTCTGCCTATTGCCTATCTGTCTGTTTCTCTGCCTGACTTTCGACCTGTCTGCTTGATTGCCTGTCTGTCTGTCTGTCTGTCTGTCTCTCTGCCTGACTCTCTGTCTGCCCGTCTGTCTGCTTTTCTGTCTACCTGTCTGTTTCGCTGTCTCTCTGCCTGACTGTCTGCCTCTTTGTCTGTCAATCTTTCTATCTCTCTGTCTATATAGCCGTTTGCTTCTCTGTCTGTCTGTCAGTTTGTTTTTCTGTCATCGCTCAGACGAAGAGCTAACACTCGATCGAAACGTCAGCTTTTAAACTCTTTACGGTGGCCAATTTACGTTAAACTCAGTTGACAATACTAGATTACTCTGTCTTTCGGTCTATTTGTCTTTTGGTATTTCCGTCTTTTTGTGTGTATGCCTGGACGTCTGCTGTCTTTTTGTCTGTCTGTCTGTCTTCCTGTCTTCCTACCATATGTCTCTCTGTATCTGCCTGCTTAACAGTCTACATGACGTCTTTAATCGTAAGTGTTGCTTAGTTACCTACTGCCTCTGCTTCTCCTTCAGCGGAATGAATTCCAGGATATGCGTGATCAGGATCTTGAAGAAAATTTAAGAAAGAAATTAAGACCACTCTGATGTCTCGGAGATTAGCTTAGAGTTTTATTGATTGTCACCGAGAGTTGTCGATACCCCGTGACCACTCATGTAAACGAATAGCCTTGAAGATTGACTATCAATTGTTTCATGCAACAAACGTTTTTCGATGAAGCCAGGGCACATACCAAATTCTGCCATGAAACTTTCGTGCTCAAGTGAGTGGTCCTTTGAAGAGAAAATTTCACAGATCCTAGCCATTTCCTTTTCTTCTTTTTCTGCCTTCCGTCGCTTGCAAAAGGGTAGAAAAACGTCTTCGTGTAATGGGAATATGTCATTTGGACAGGCTTGCATAACGTCATCTTCTTGAACAACCACCGTTATTGTTTCTTCCCTATGTGATTTTAAAAACCAAAAAACTTTAGAGAGACTTTTTCCCGAATAAAATATTCGATCTTTTATTCTTATAGAATTAAATTAGTAGAGGCTGTGTTAAGTTTGTGCCCTGCTTTTTTTTATCAGCAACGAATCAATCTTTTCTAAAAAATGTATATTTAATTTGGCATTTCAATTCGTGTTAAACCATGTTAAGGTTTTTTTTAAATATATATCTGTTTATGTTACACAACGATGTTACTTAATTTTCTATTCTATTGAAATTTTCCACGACTTTACCAAATTGTTTAGAAGATAGCGATTTTTCTTTGAAAATGTAGAGGAGCATTTAGAAAAATATTTACGATGTACTTAAATATGCTTTACTTACACGTCACCTGGTGTAGCTTGCTCCATTATCACCTTTAAAAGAATAATGATTAAAATTACAAAAAAAGAAAAGAAGGTTTTGAAGTCGCAGCGATAGTCAACTTGCAAAAGTGCAATTGCGAGTCAATTATTCAAAGACATGAAAGTTGTGCATTCTGAATATCTTTTATCAAAATATGCATATTCCATTATCATACGTGTTTAATAATTTTAGACTAAAAAGTAGGATCATTAAAAGGAAGGAAGACTTGAAGAAGCATGATGACGGAAAAAGTAGTCTTTGGCTCATTTGTTTGAACGCATTCTGAATATCTTTTATCAAAATATGCATATTCCATTTCTGGGATCATTAAAAGGAAGGAAACTTGAAGAAGCATGATGACGGAAAAAGTAGTCCTCATTTTTTGATTCAGTTCTGGTACATATGGAGATTCAGTGTACATATGGAGAAAGTGGAATTCACTAGAATCGACTTCTCCGGCCTAAATTTAAATTTTTTGTTTTACTCGCGAAATACAAATTTTAGCTTTGGAGTTAATTAGCTTCACGACTAATTGCCACTTTGAAAAGAAATTGTTGAAAAAATTATGACTTTTTTTTTAATTCTGAGAGTTCTTCTTGTGATATGCTGAATGACACCTTAAAAGTGTCTGTTGGTGAGAAAACAGGGCAGCAGAAAAATAAGAAAGAGTTGTATGAAAGTAAGGAGGGGTGTGCAAATTATGACAGAGGAAGAGGGAAAGTTTATTATTACACAACTGAATTTCAGAGAAAGGGAATCCAGAAATAAAACTGAAAAAAAATGCAATCACAATGTAACTGTCGGAGACTTAAAAAAGTTTAAAAGGGTAAAAAAAAAAAAGCGGCACAAAATAGCGAAGGTACCTACTAATCAACTGTCACGGCGTCTGGTCAATAAGACTCCATTAGTGTGGTCAACTTAAAATCGGCTGTTAATTAACAAACATCATTTTGCCGTTTGACACGACAGCCTTATGCTTATGACTATATAAGCATACTTTAAAACTGAGTGCTTATCACTCCCTTACCACCTGCAACGGATTTTTCAGAACTGCTGCGGCGACAGTGAACGCCCAAAGTGCAAAATATAACAAAAATAACTGAAACAGTTGAGTAATAAATACATGTATTGTCCATGGAATCTTAGACATACTATTGAATAAATGAAAGTAACATACTTCTTAGTGAGGTTGAGTAGCGCACCACTTGATATACTACCATCCTACAAAACTACAATACGAGTAGATTCACAGGCCGCCGTTCTTAGTAAGGGTTGATTTTCTCGTAATTGACCAATTGAATAAGTCTACTCTCGCAGTTAAAATCGTAACTCTTGTTTGCAGGCAAGGAGGTTTCTGTTAACTCGAAGAGGTTGAGTAAATCCACAAGCCGATATACCAACTCAGTTCTCCAATCCTAATTTTTCTCCGTCCATAGGGGTTACTTTTCTCGTTACTTACCATTTGAACGAGTCTACATTCGCAAGTTAAACAAGTTGAAGTGTAACCCTTGTTTTCAGCCAAGGAGGTTTCTGTTAACTTGACGAGACCGATTTTCGCAAATGCATCCAAAAGTACAAATGACTAATAAGTCTCGTAATTTCCACCATCGTGTTATTTCTTATGCTCAATATTAAAATAAATTCACTGAGATGAGTTTTAAGTATTACTTATACAATGATATTAGCAATAAGGAGCAGAGAACTTTTTCTTACCTTAGTTATTGCCTTTTTCCTGCTTAATCTGGAAACGAATTTGTGAACTCCTCTACAACAGTTTAGCTGATATTCGTAGGATCTGACAGTTCATATACAGCTGCCTGAATATCATTGAGATATTGATGATATTCCAGCAGGAGAGAATATTTTAACACATCAATAATTGCAAGAAAGCAGACTAAATTTAGAGAGCCATATGTTTTTGCATAAACATACTTAATATTTTTTCATAACAAAGGGTAGTTACGAATGTTATCAAAATTTTGATAAGAAAAAAAGTCGATTTTCATTCCTAGTGGAGTTTTGGACCGTAATTTAGACAACCTTGCAACGAAATAACATGCACACGGACTCTTTAACTCTGATGTATTGTTATTGTTGCTTTTATTATAATATTTGCATTTCTTTCGCACATTTACCGGCTGAAAGACTAAATATTAACCTACAAGCTCAACGAAATTCCACAGTATACGTTGTTTACTACATCTATCATTTTTGAAGCGACCATTTCAATAAAGCACTCAAGTAAGCCATACTGGTTAGCTCTCGCTGCAAAGCAAGTAGCAGAAACGTATTCACATTTTACATCATTTTTAATGGTTATGATAACAGTAATAGTTCTCAGAATAGTCTAAGTGGCCCGTTCAATATTCAAGTTATTGTTTTCCTTTCTCAATTTCTGCAATTTATCAAGCGATGTACACCTAGTCTCTCTCAAAATACTGCCATAAGGATTGTCAGGTAATATGTTAAGGCTAGTAGGGAAATGAGAAAAAAAAAATTTTTGATTATGACCACTGCTGTCGCAGTGAAGCAGCAAGCAAACAAACATTTAATGGAGAATTCTTATAATTTTACTTCCCTTGTCAGCATTCACAATAAATTTGAAATCTAAGTAAAACCGCGAACTTTTTTTGGAATAATTTCCGCATTGAAACTTTTGCATCGACAAATCCCAAAAACACAACTGAAATACGAAAGCCTTTTTTACTACATTTTTAAAAAGCCAAAAGTCTTCAAGAATTGTATACCATAAACTTATATCTGATAAAGGCTAACGACCAATATCATGTCAAGAGAAGTGACACAAAGTTATCGGTTCCACGACCGATATAAACGTTGATTGGAAGAAAGTGTATCAAACATCTGCCGTGTGCACAAGGAACTCTAAACTAATAGATTTCAATTCAGATTTTTCCAAAGACTGATAGCGACAAATAGCTATTCACAAAAAATAAGAATTAGACAGGACGGAAAATACACCTTTTTTCCATGACGAAAAAGAAAATCTTATGCACTTATTCTGGCAATGCAAAGAACAACAATGCTTCAGCAGAATCTTGGGACATGGCTTCAGTCGTGTCATATTCTCCCAACAGACAACCAACCACACATGGAAACCGCTTTGGGTCCTAAGCCTGACAGCCGCAATTTCAAACTCCATATAAATTTTTGCTGCTTAATGGCTAAACACTATATTTAAATATGTCGATCGAAATAACTTTATCCAACTGGAGACGATTTCTTGACTC